GATACATAGTCTAATAAAGAGATAAAGACCACCACTCAAGCTGGCTTAAAAAACTGTATCGGTGCTGGAGTATTAAGAAGTCTAAATGTAAAAAAAGAGGATATTCATGCACTCAGTCAGTGCAGTTTTTACTTCAATGTGTTCATCAGATCTCTGTCAGAACACAGAATGGACAGAATAAAGACAAATGAGAAATAAACAATCACAAAGCACTTTCTAGTACTATACATTAATAGCCAAGGCTGCCATAAATGAGAAGTCTCTATAGACTAAAGATACACATACCTAAGAAAAAAGAAAGAGCTATGGAGGAATATTAAACGGGAGCCAGACAAGTGTTATGGCATTGGGCACAAACAGGCAAACATAAAAACAAACATAGTAGCTACTTTCACTGAACACATACTGATATCATGATGTAAAGAAGCGCTTCACTCAGGTTTAAAATCCAACAGAAGGGAACAAATTTAGAGAAAAAATCCAAACCACACAAATAAGTTGATACGGACACTGCTTGTTTGAGTGAAGACTGATATATTCTCTTACAGAAATACTCATTATTGCTTTGACCGACAGGTGCTTTTATTGTGATGTGTGCACATTGGTTGATTTGAGTCAGCACAACAAACCAAATGCCGCCTGCTGTTTCAAATACTTACAATCACACCTGAAATGTTTTAATACAGAATATTTTAATAATCCTCAACTAGATCTAGTTCAAACCTGCTTGTGTAACATTTTTGCAAATACAGTGTGCATATCCTTTGAAAATTACTGAGACTTAAAAACTTGCCCTATTTGTAAAGATTAATGACAGGGGATAAAAACTGTTCTTCAACTCGTGTGCCATATCCTCAGTAATTAGCAGTTTATTAAATTAGTAAGTTATGACTTTTGTCATAAGTCATCTCTTTCTGTCATTACAGCCCAATCACAAAGCTGATTCAACCTGATGTGCTTTTGATTTGGTGTCATCACACAAGTTTGGGTTGACTTTGGCAGTAATCTAGTGTGTGGAGTCCTTCCCTCAGGAGATGTACTGTCTTTTTGTGAATTATAAATGAGGTACAGTGGCTACAGGATACACATCAGCTAAATGACGTCTGCCTCTGTCTTGAAGAAAACACCCCTCATAGCTGAAACAAAGATAGCTGGAAATGTTTTGGAGCAACTGTGAATTCACTGCTGCATTCAATCAAAACGACTTTTTAAAAATATATATTATTTATTCTTTTGCATTTTTTTAAAATCATTTTTCCTTTTATTCTACATGTGTGCATGCTTGTTGCAAGTTTTTACCATAGTAGTTTAGCATCAGATTATTTCTTTATGAAATAATCACCAAAACTGTGAACAAAGGTTGTGTAGTTGACAGATATTCAGACTTATTTTTTGTAGTTCTCATAATAACAATTCTGATATAAATAAAATAAATAACAACTAATATGTGAGTTAAAACAAACAGACACAGATTTTTTTTCCTCATAACAAGAGGTAAACAACCAATTTAAAACTGATATAACTTTCAGCTCATGGAAGAACATTATAGAGTGAAACTCAAGGTTGCATCAGAGGCAACCTAAATTACAAATTTTATTTTTCTTTTTTATACTAGGAAATTTATAGGAAATATGCAGTCAGTTGTCACTTATGTATGTATGGTCTGTTGTCTGTCTGTATTGCATCTTCACTTCCATTAGAAAGATTTGAGCTTTGTCTAAAGGGAAATCCTTTACCACAAAATGTTCAGTTGTTTCCCAAATCTGGATCACTAAGGATGTCTGACACAATCTGGGAACAAATGTTTGTTTGCACGTTCATCCATTTGTGTGGATGTATCGGCTCAGCGTGTATAATGTGTGTCAAAAAAAAAAAAAGTGTTCACACCAAACATGTTCCTAAGAATCTGTCTCTATTATTCTGTGTAAAGAGGGGAGCACTGTGCAAAATCCACAATTAAGTGTACATACTGCCACCATCTGGCCAAAGTCAGACATTTAGGAGCTTTTCAAAACATGTTGACAGTTTTTTTTTATCTGGAAAACTTTGCAGAATATAAACCAAGGCAAATCAAATTGCTGAACATGAGTTTCAATGATTGGAGGTGTAATATAATTTAGTAAATGATTTCCCCTTGGGACCATGAAGCATTTCTGACTCAAAGTCTTGGATCAAGTCCTCGGCCAGCAAGTTTCAGAGACTAAGAAGAATTCTTTATTTATTTATTTTTTTCCAGAGCTCTACAAATAAAAAAGAAATCACTGTTTAGCAGTTTTTTTATGTTAATTTTTACAGCTGAAAACCATACTGTAGCAAAGCTGCCCCATACAACTTTGTTGGATCATGTAGAAACACTGCTACTATATCACAGTAGCATCATCAGCTTTTTTTGAGAGGTTTAGCACAAAGTGAAAGTCTTCAGCATATCAGACAACAAAGTTCTGTGTTGAAGACCCTAACAGTCCTAAAGATTTATAGGTGTTTTCATTCTCACTTTCACTCTCCCTTTTTTGGAAAAAAAAAAAAAAGAAAAAGAAAGAAAGAAAGAAAGTGAAAGCAGCAGCTACCTGAATGAATCTAATTTAATATACACAAATTAAAGAGTAAAAAAACAAAGTTAAACCTGAGTGTTAATACCCCTCTTCTTTTCTACAGAGACTTATGCTGATATTCAACAAGTTATTATCTAACTTGTGTTTAATTTCCTCAAGTACTCAAAGACTTTCAGGAATTATGTTGAATAATAATAGGAGCTACAAGAATTCCCCAAAAAAGGCACTGTACAGCCTTGAATGCAGACAACCTCTCAGTGTTAGTTGTTCTCAATCCTCTTGTTTGACTGTCTGCTGCAACATGAACCTTCCTGCTCAAGTGTCTCCACGGCAACATTCATCACTTTACCCTTTATCTCCAGCTACATCACTGAAACACCGTTTCAAGTTCTCTGAAAATATAACATGACAGGCTCCTGCTGGTATAGCAGACATTTATAAACTGTCTGTGCTTAAGCCGGTTGATACATTGAGCAAAAGCTTGTTAATGTGTTAGCATGCAAAAGTGCATCTAAATTTGGTTAATGGTAAGTGTAGGTCGAATTAATTATGTTTTTGGTTAATTGCACAGGGGGAATTTTACTTCTGAGTGCGGCTCATATTTGCGTGTCCGTATCTGTGGGTGGTTATTATTGGCAGAAGGGACTCTCTGGGGTTTGTGCGGCGTCCTTTTGCTATTTCTGAGTGAGAATGTGGAGTCTATTTTCAAGGTTGCCATGGAAACCATTGTATTTGTGTTGGCAGCGATTGGTGCTGCCGGCCAAGCAAAGACTGCTATTTTTGTCATGAGTCAACACCTGATACACACACTTTTTTACATACACTAACACATACACACTCGAGTGAACATACCTGAATACTGAAAACAGTAACAGTAACACTTAAGGCACAAAAGCACACAACACTAAAACAACAATGCAAGTTTTGAGCAGTTTTAAAGGCAATATATGTTTAGTTAATGAGTGTTTATTTTCAGTCTCTGCTCAGTGTAACCAGACATCTTGATGCATCCTCACCATGACAACGGAGGTAATCGCCGGCCATTAAACCTCTCCACCCAGCTGCTACAGGCTCTGTTGTACAGGCATGTTCAGGTTTGAAGTATTGACATGAGCAGATAGATTACGCTAGTGTGTACTGAGTAAAATCCAGAATAAAATCAAAGATAAATTCCTCTTGTGACATTTGGAGGATTGTAGACTTAAGAGATTTTGACAGCAAAAAGTTGCCATTTTGTCTGGCATGGGTGTTTTGTGTTAAAAGCAAAATGATATTTGAGTATTAATTCTATGCAATTCCAGACATGGTGACATTTGGGTTTACAATGTCAAAAGGATTTGTTTCATTACATGTTTCATTGTATATCATCTTTGTTCAGTAAATTGTTCGGTTTGTAACAAAATTTACCCCGAGTTGAGCCAAAACATACTTTTCCCATTTGTCTGCAGTCTGAAAATATAACCATGTTGTTATCACACACCTCATTAACAGCAGATAATATTCATACTTGGGGAGACATTGGTGTTGTTGCTTCACTCACATAACTTTAGAATTTTATAAGTTGCAACTTCGTTGAGTATTTTGCCACCCATCATTCCAACTCTGGTGCTCAGTTGCACTTCAAGGGATATTTCGGTGTAAAATTAATTTAGGGTCAAACACAGTCTAACACCGAGTTAGACACCGCCTCAAGAGATGAATGTTGCCGACCACTTGCTTCCCTAGTTATACCAACTTTAGTAGTCCAGTAGTAGTAGTTACAGACTGCTGCAGGGTGACGCAGCTCAAGGAAGAACATTTATGATCATTTCTTCATGGAAATGCAATCAGACCGAGATGCTAAGGGAGAAGAACTACAGTGCCTGCAGTGCAAAATGATTAATATGGTGATTATTACTTAAAGGAAATGATAAAGAAATGATCACAAATGTTCTTCCTTGAGCTGCGTCCCGCCGCAACAGTCCGTAATGGACTGGCCCGAGGTCTCACTACAAACAAGTGGCTGCTGGAAGAGAGTAGGTGAGTTGTGTTTAGTCCCTTTGCTAAAGAAATTAGTCAAAGTTAAAAAGATGTTTGGTGGCTAGTACTATGGCTAGGACCCTATATGTACTGTTGATGAAGTTAGGTGCTGTTCTGAGCATTATTTGTGGCTATAGAGTGGCGTTTTGGTTGAGGTTTGTTAATGGCTCCTCAGACCGCTGTGTATTGCTATCTGCAGTCATTACTAAAGTTGGTATAATTAGAGAAGTAAGTGGTCGGCAAAATTCATCTCTCAAGGGGGGTGTCTAACTCGGTGTTACGGTGTGGTTGACCCTAAATTAATTTTACACCGGAATATCCCTTTAAACTGGAATCATAATCTGTAAGGTAAAGCCTGAATGCGACTTTTGTTCAGTAGTTCACCACATGAGAGTAAACTAGCCTGTTGCTGTGGATGGTCTGTGGTTACGGATGCAGAAAGTGCACATGTATGTCAGCTGTTGGCATCAATCTGTAAAATATTGCTGGGCCTCAGTGATTTGACAAGTTGCTGTATTATATGCTTATAAGGATTAAGTGCACCAGATGAATCAATCAGTGAACAAGAGGTGCTGAAAATTAAAACATGCCCTTTAATTTTGACTGAATTGTAAGATCTGATTCATGAAATGCAAGTGTGAGTAAGATCACAGGGAACATTACAAATGCAAATTTAAAGCACCTAGCACCTAGCAGCTTCATGCTTGCTCCTTCAGCCTAGTAGCCTCAGCCATAATGGCCCAGATTTCATTGTCCTCGCAGACAGAGTGATGAGAGTGTATATGAAAAAGATCACCGTGGCAACAGGAGCCCCAGTGTAAAAAGCTGTGATGGTGGAAGCTGAGGCCTGGTCTAATCAATGGCTCGCCGCCTCAGTGAATCTTACACTGGAGGGCACTTTAAACCATGAAATTACAACCTGAATTATTGCTGATTGACAAAATTACTTTAACTGTGAGGGGAGCTAGAGATGGTGGATTGAATATGAGGGTGAGATCTCATTCAGTGTGCACATGACTATTTATGAGTACACACAAGGGCACTACTAGGAGGTAATGTTCTGGGCATTGAAGCATTAACCAGCAAGTAGGCCAACTGCAGCAAAGTCCAAGCACCACACAGTAACTGGGAAGATAGAGGAAGAACGGTCTCATCCTACATCCTCTGTGGAAGAAGAGTATTTTACGAAAAAGTGTCAGTCTTAATTTTAAGTAGGGGGAAAGCTAGCCAGCTTGCGGTGCACAAATGAATTTTCCTACTAATTGAGGCCTCCATTCAACTCAGCAGATGGACACCTCTTTTGTTAGTGTTTATTATGTTTCCTCTCATTGTTTCTCCTGCAGTTAACAAGTATGAAGAAATGTAGAAAAGCTGTCAAACATGATGTCACATCCCCTAGCATGATAAGAGTTAACTTTATGATGTAAGGCACGATCCAAGATGATGATAATGATCCCATGTGTAATACAACATAATTTTCTAGGTTTACCTATTTGCTATCTCTTTAAATCAGAGACAGGCTGACCTATACTACAAACAGCTACCGGGGGAGGCTCTAGTACAGGTTTTGGTTTCACAGTTGCGCTATCCATCATCTCACAACAGTGGTTTGTGAACATTATTATACTTACAGTTGGTATACAACAGATGTTAAAATTTTTGTCAGTTATGAATCAGTTATTATGATTGACATGTGAACATTTCACATGTTAATATTGTAATTATGCAGATGGTGCACAATATCACGGACCAGCATTCAGCGTGTAGACAAACTGTAATGTTAGGATGCATGTTTGCTGTTATGCTATGCTTTTAAAAATCACAGTATTTGTTAGGGAAATTAAATGAAATGTTGTCTCATTATTTACGAAGATTGAATTTAAGCTGCTCAACAGTGTAGGGTCTCCTTTGCTGTATGTTTTCAGTCATGATGCACCAGATTCTTTAATGGGTTACAGGTCAGGATTGCAGGCAGACCAATTAAGCACCCAGATGCTTCTCATACATAATACATGCATAATGTGGTTTGGCGTTGCGCGGCGGAAATTTGCAGTCTTTCCTGAAAAAGGCATTGTCTGCATTGTCAACATGTGTAGCACCAAAACCTATACTGTAATTTTCAGCGTTGGTGAATGGTGCTTTCCCACATGTGTGAGCTGCCTTTGCCATAGAAATTTACACCTCCCCATGCTGGCTTTTGACCTGTTTGCTTACAACAAGCTGAGTGGGAGTGGGTTCTCCTGATGGACCCTCCCTTCCATAGGCTGCAAGAATGTGACATCCATGATGTCCTAAAAGAATGTAAAACTCAGATTTGTGAAATCACAGAGAAGTTTTTTCACTTCCTCTAAGTCCATCTTGAACAGACTTCAGATCAGAGAAGTCTACATGTTTAGATCATATGAATAGAATTTCCTCTTAGTATTGTTTAAAAACAAACAAACAAACAAACAAAGGACAATACAGTATTAGTAGCACATATTCTCATAGCCACAAGACGGATAACTGAAAAGTCAGTTTAAAGTGCTGAGATTCTCTTATCTAGTTTAGTTACTATATTCTGAAGGCAATCTCAAGGAAAATGTAGCAGTACAGTGGGGACACTAGGACCCTGTGGATACAGCAGGTCTGGTCCTGTTTCTTACAGCCTCCTGCTTCATCTCTGCAGTCACTGTGTCTGAGTGGAGAGGGAAGCATACAGAGTGAGCTGTGTCTTTGCAAGCATTCACATCAGCACCGATTTGGTGAAATCCCCACCGCCACAGCTGAACATATCCAGGGAGGAGGATGTACCAGGGAGACATAGGAAGAGAAACAGGCTTGTATGGAGGAAAGTACATCATCCATGAGGTTCAGTGACCGATGTGTGTACCTCAGCAGTGGGAGCTACACCAGATTTTTATCCTCTGAGACCAAAACAGCAGGCAGTTGCATCAGGAAATACTGATCCAGGTACACAATGCTTCTTCTCTCACGCCACATTTTCCTCTCTTCTTCAACCCTCTTTTTCTGATCTTCTAATTATACTCTGCAGAGTACAACAATAAATCTCATTCAACCGTAATGTGATCTGTAAAATGTGGGGCTTGATTTTGCAGTGGGTGAAATGCACCAGTGATTAATATATAAATGAGTAGGCAGTAAGACATGACTAAACCAGGCAGAAGGGTTCATCTGAATTGGGAGTACCCCTATGTGTGATTTAGAGATGCTGCTCACTGATGGTGATCATTCATAGCTGATGAGGGAGATAAAGGCCCTTATTTGCACTATAATCACTCCTGGCAGCAGAAGGAATATCCTAAGCTTTTATTTTACACCAGTGGCAAGCATTCTGGATTTCCTTGATCAGACACATAAATATAGCTGAAGCCACCCAAAGCTGTTTGTTGTTTCTCATTGGCAAGCGGTGTTAATATGCAGACAGCTTGGGAAGCCTATGAATACCCCCAGGTTTTACAATTGAAATAAGAAATTCACATTTACCAAGTGGACAAAGCCTCCTTATTGTAACACAATGAACACGAGCATTATCCCTCAGTACAATGACTCTTCCACTAACATGGTAAATGCATTAGCAAGGCCTTCCAGAAATGTTCTGTTTCTGAACAATGTAGCAACATACAATCAAGGCTTTCGCTGTAGTTGTTAAGTAGATAAGAAAAGGCTGATATGAGTTCAAAGTTTGGAATAGTTTGTGGTTATTTTTTGGCATCAATACATGACCAGGGTATGTGTTTGTATATTACCTGTGGCCTATCGGTAAGGACCAGACTATTTGTTGAGCATTTTTGACTGAAATAAGAAGAGTATTAAGAAGTTGTGATTGTGATTTTGTTGCAGACTGACTGACCAGAATCTATTCGAGTAACCCAACTCTTTGATCCTTTTTCTTGAATATTCATGATTATTCAAATTAAATTGCGCTTTTAGTTTTTTTTTGCATGTGCCCTATATCAACCTTCTTGAGTAATTCATGCCGAATTTAATGAATTGGTTTGTCGGCTGGCCTTGGATTACCCTATCAGTAAGATTGCCTCAACAGAGATTTGAGAAGCTAAGAAGGATTTTGAACAACTTCATCTAGGCTGATTAATTTCTTGGTGGCAGGGAAAAAACAAGTAACTTGCACATGCAACTTATTGTAAAGATGAGCTAGAACCAAGAAATCCAAATAGGAGGCCAACAACTCAGGCACAGTGACCTCACAACCTATTTCATCTTTCTCTCTCTCCTGTTTTTAGGGTGGAATGTGACTGATGGCAGACATGAAGACCTTTTAAATGGACAGGGAATAAAATATCTGGCCTCCCAACACTCACAGCCTCATTGTCCAACCTACAGAGACACTTTTGCCTTGATTTTAAGCCGTTGTTTTCTGACTGTACTTCCTGGCTTTGAAGGATGGGTGATGGGCCTGTGACTGATCCTGCTTGGCTGCCTCATCCCATCTTTCAATGGAGCCGATGTGGAACTCCTCCCACCAACCTCTACAGCTCATGCCCAACATGTCTGCCTCCTCTCTGCCCGAGGGCTGGGCTCTGTCTCAGACCCTAGCCTTGCTAGCCATGCTGCTCATGGATCTGCTGGCTGTGGTGGGTAACGTGGCTGTTATGGCGGTGATTGCCAAGGCCCCACAGCTCCACAAGTTTGCCTTCGTCTTTCACCTGTGCGTGGTTGACCTGCTGGCAGCCCTGGTGCTGATGCCCCTTGGCATGCTCTCGAGTCGAGCCTTCTTTGGGGAAGCCTTGTGTCGGAGCTACCTCTTTCTCAGTGTGTGCCTGGTTAGTGCCGCCATCCTGTCTATATCTGTCATCAATGTGGAACGTTACTACTACATCATACACCCCATGCGCTATGAAGTAAAGATGACTGTTGGCCTGGTAGCATCAGTGCTGGTGGGGATCTGGGTAAAAGCCTTGGCCATGTCAGCTTTGCCACTGCTTGCTTGGTTCCTGCAAGGTGGAAGAACTCCTCTCCTGGAGAGTAGTGGAGTTGGGGGAGTAGGTGATGGGGCAGTTGCACCTCCTCCAACTCAGAGTCACAGGCGCTGCTCACTGCATTGGACAGGGGGAGGGTCAAACCGCATGGCCTTTATGGTCCTATTTACTCTGGTCTATTTCTTGTGTCCTCTACTGGTCATCCTTGTTGTGTACTGCAATATGTTCAAAGTGGCTCGGGTAGCAGCCATGCACCACGGGCCTCTGCCAACCTGGATGGATACACCTCGGCGCCAGAGGTCTGAATCTCTCAGCAGTCGCTCCACGATGGTCACCAGCTCTGGAACAGGGACTGGGACAGGCCAAGCAACCCCGCAACGACCCTTTGGGGGAGGAAAGGCTGCAGCAGTGCTGGCAGCAGTAGGTGGGCAATTTCTTTGCTGCTGGCTGCCCTACTTTACTTTCCACCTGTATTCAGCTCTGGCGGCCAGCCCTCCGGCCACACTAGCCTCTTTAGAAGAGGTAGTCACCTGGATTGGCTACTTTTGCTTCACCTCCAATCCCTTCTTTTATGGCTGTCTCAACAGGCAGATAAGGGAGGAGTTGGGCAAGCATCTTCCTTGTCTATTTCGGCGAGCAGGAGTTGAGATGGAGGACAGACTGCCCAGTCATGAAGGATCCATAGAGGAGAATTTCCTCCAGTTTCTTCAGGGCACAGGCTGTAATTTGGATCCCCAAAACTCTCACAGCACCTCTAGTCCCAAAGGTGAGGCTGGCTGCCCCATGTCTCAGCCACAACCCCATGAACCTGTACAGCCCATACCCATTGATTTCAGAATCCCTGGACAAATTGTAGAGGAGACTTCAGAGTTTATTGAGAATGAACAGGTGAAAAACAACCATATATCTACAGACAATTAAGCTTCAATGCCTTTATTTCCTGACAATAAGCCTAGTTTTGATTGTTCACAAAGCAGAATTTATTCGAATTAATACAAAACTATTTCTACTGATGACCATCTAACAGTTTATTTAAATGACTTTAAAATCTATCTTTGACTCACTGCACTTTGCTTCATCAGAGTACATTCTAAAAGACTTGTGAAAACACATTTTGTATGCAGTTGTTGGAGATTTACTGGGAACAGTGAAAATTTAAAAACATTCCCCACAACCGCTCAGCTCTGTACAGAAAATGACTCAGTGAAATAACTTTTATGTATCATGTTTTTTTTTTTTTTAATAAAAATAAAAAAAACATTAAGTTTATATTTGATGCCACAGGTTACTCAAAAGTTTTCAGAGTTGCAGTATTTTTTTTTTAAATAAGGAAGTACATACATTGGCTCCCTCTCAATTTTACACATAACCATTGTACCAAAAGGCTGTGTGGTATGAGTCAAATTGCCTTTGGTAATAAAGACACAATCTTTAAACAAGCCCACCTGAGTCCTGTGAGACTCTGGCTCGTTACTTATTACAAAAAGCTATAAATTACTCCAAGAAAATACAAGTCATAGAAGGCAGCAATAAATTTTAGACGGTATTTAAAAAAAATCCAATAAGAAAAAAAAAGCACAACTGTCACTTTCGATTAGTGGTGGGGCTTTCAGCAAGGATAAAGCCGCTCTTAACCCTTATACCAATCTGCCAAATTTAATTAGAGACATGTTTGTTGTGACCTAACTCTCATGGAAACACTACAAGTTGTTTACAGATTTCAATTTTGTCCTTTTTTTGGGTGCTTTTTCAAACACACTTTTTTATTAACTAAAAAGAAAGCCAGATATTTTGAAAGATCATGTTTTGATAAAAAGTTGACTTTTTAAGGGTCACCCAGCTTCCTGCCATATGCTGTATCAGTGGATAAAGATCTTTAAAAATAGTCTTGTGATGCACTGCATTGCATTAAAAAATGACTATTTCTTTCATTTGTCAAGTGTACCAAATTGTGTGTTATGTTTAGTGAGACAGTTTAAGTTGTGGGTTGTGTGCTTCACTTAACACACCCATTTTTCTTTCAACTGTTGGTAAAGTATTTGTAATAAACTTTATTTGAGGAGTAAATTGACATAAATGCAGTAACTGCCTTCTTTGTTTCATTTCCAGCGTAGAAAATATCTATTCAAGAGGAATTGACTATCCTGTTCATCAGGGTTTTTATACAGTACCTCACATGCAGGAAAAAGAAAATCATTTTTTTAATTCTGCATGATTTTTTTTGTCAAGGTTGACTCCTGCACACTCTAACCTAACGTTGTACAATGACTAAAGCAGGGGTTAATTGTATTATTAGTTTTTATAAATCAGTAATGAGGGTTGAGACTTTGCTACATTTTTCAGCCTCAGTTTGATGGTGAGATGAATAAGTATTTTCTAGAAATCTATTTAGTGTGATAAGACATGATATGTGAGAATGACTGAAAAAATACAGATATTTCTAATATGGAAACAGGGTTTTTTTTATGACAATATTTTCAAATTTGTCCTTGAGCAACAACACCAATCCAAAATCTAAAGATTGATCAACTTGATATCTTCTTTTCATCACATCTAATTATTCCAAAATGTGAAAAATGTGTATGTGAAGATTTTGACATGTTTAAGAGTTGTTGTTTTATACAACAGAGGATAAAAAGAGAATGGCTTCCACTGTACTGCAGAGGTATAAATGAGTTCACAAAGATACGCAGTGAAAAGCTGAGTGACAGACTCTGTTGTAATAAAGAATTTCTATGTTTGTAAAACATTTTGGATGCAATCTCATAATTTTACAAACGTTTACAGACCTTATTGACTGTTTTGCTTAACATCTCTGTGCTCTGTGTCTGTAATGATGTGTGTGACTCCATCTCTCTGCTTTTCATTAATATCCCATCACAAAGAGAGGGAGTGTGAGGATGCAGTTCAAACGCTTTGACCTTAAAGTAACATTTCAACTTCAAAGGCAAAAGCCAAAGACATGACCTTCATCAGAACAAGGACAGACAGACAAACAGATAGACAGACAGACAGATAGATAGATAGATAGATAGATAGATAGATAGATAGATAGATAGATAGATAGATAGATAGATAGATAGATAGATAGATAGATAGATAGATAGATTGACTGACTGAGTTGGACTCTTGGTGCACGACAGGCCTCACACCTCAGCAATGGACTTCTGTCAAACCGCCCCCAGCTTTACCAGGCTCTGCCATCCCCATGGCAATTATTACCTAGTGACATTTCTCGGTGTTGTAGTGGGCGGGAGGAGGAGCTTGCTCCATCAGGAATCATACCAGATACCTTTCTAAAAATACACTCTTTGGACTGCTTAGTGCTAGCATTTTTCTGTGAATTATTACATTGCATCTACATTATATTAAAGATAATATATGTAAAAGATGCCAAGGCCACTGTTAAAGCCAAAGAAAAGAGAGTCAAGTATGTACTAGATGAAAGTCTGAAAGAGGGCAAAAGGTTTGAAGCTCATTTTGCTTCACAGAAAATGATGAGCCATGGCCTGGAAAAATTATGTCAAGATTGACGTCAAACATTCCTTGTATATGCTTGTTTTACTTCAAGCTTTATCTTCACTTACGCCGGAGGGAATATGCGCTGTTTCAGAGCTTAACTTGTATTTAACTTTGCTTGTAAGCTACCAGGCAGGTTAAATGGGGGGTGGGGTGGGAGGTGGGGGTTGCACAGATACACTGAAGTCCACTGAATTAGACTTTCCAAATTTTTCCAGGCATTACAAAGACCTATAGTATCATGAATGTGGCAGAGGTATTTACAGATTTACTTACCTATGCCTTCCTGCATGTCTTTTTTTCTCCCTGCATTACATGGCATTGCAACCTTATTATAAAAATAACACAGCCACTTTGTCACTGAGATTGGGACACAAAGTGATAAAATGTTGTTTGACAAGGAAGATCTGTTATTTTTTTTAAATAATCAATTGGCCTGCTGATGTCATAGATAAAATAAATATATGCTCAAGATGTAAGATTGTAGTTTGACATAGGATTGAAGTAAATAGCACAAGAAATAAGTTACCAGTGTAAACTGTTTCATAGATTTATCACTCCAGAAGTTTGACTTTGTGTTAAAAAGGGGCGGGCACTTTGATGGCAAGGGTGGTCAGACATGGTGGTTTTATGAATAAAATAAACAGGAAATCGAAGTCGGTCTCACAATTCTACCACCATAACATTCAAATATGATGAGTAGGCCGTTTTCATATTTTCTTATTTATCACACAAAGACTATCTTTTAAAACAGGACTTTCGGAGTCAACAGATAGTTTAAAGTTACACCGACCTTTGAACCACAGCAGACAAAGTGTGCGGTCCCTTTAAACGTAGTTCGTCTTCGAAGGAAACTTCACAACCGTGAAAACGAAAATTCTCATTGACGAGCAAATCTGAAGTGGGCTAAACCTCAGGTAACCATTCTGAATACTGACTCCAACCATGACATTTTTGTTTCGTTTGACACTCATTCTCAACGTTCGTTATCATATTTACAGATTAAACGTACGTGACGTAATCGACGCACGTTAACGGTCACATTTTCAAACGAAGCTACCGGAAATTTACTAAAGCTTGGTGAAACAACCCGAAGTGTTTAGAAGAAGTTTGCAAAATTGACGGCACATTGAGAAAATTAGGCAATAAAAAGTTTGAGTTCCAGTACACTTGGTAGTTGTTATTAACAGGGGACGTACCTGAAAGATATTCAGGTTGAGTGAATCTACTTTTCAGCGAGCTTGCTCACTTACACAACGTCGGTTTAACACACCTTCCATGCCGTTTAATTCTTCTGTGTGTTTTCTTTAGGATAACCTACTTCCTGTCTCACACTACAGCGTACTTCTGTTCCCATCAAGCTCTCTATCATGTCAGGTGGTAAGTAAACAAGCTCCAGTGACACCGTACAAATATTTGTAACCCAAAAAAGCATGTTCTTCAACACAGTAAAAGATAGGTGTACATTAATGCAACAAACGACACATTTGTGGCCCAAGGGAACTAGGGATACCTGCCTCCTTATCTGCTAAATCTCCATGAAACTGGTGGTCTTATTAGGACACTTATTAGGTCTCTCTAACACCGGCTTTATGAGTAGCTTTGTGTAGATGAGCAGGCAAATATAGCCCAAAGTCACATTGTGCCTCAGAGAGGTTACAGTCAGTAAAACATATATACCCTCTTGTTATTTATATTACCCTGTGCAAGTACACACCTAATCTTAATTGAAAGTGCAATGTAACAAGTTGTAATGTTTGGAGTAAAAGTATTGATATTTCAAGAGCCAGACTGTCTGTTTTTTTTAAAGTTAAACCGGAAAGACTTTGATGTCTGAAATTTTAGTATCAAAACTGCATTGACTAAGACAGTGAAATCCCTTTTGAGACAGGCCAGTACTGCCAAATGTTCAAGGATGTATTGCGACATCCCAGGCCTTGCTCTGCTTTCTTTGACATTTGTTAAGATTAATTTTTTTTTTTATATAGACTGTTAAGTCCTCATACTTTGTTTTTCCATTGTTTGTTGTTCCTAGTTTATTTTTATGCTGTTGAGGCATCCAAGAGAAGATGCATATAGAGGCCACTTTATTAGGTACATTTGTTCATTTGCTTGTTAACACAAATCAGCCAATTCCAAGACAGCAACTCAATGCATTTATGCATGTAGACAAGGTCAAGATGGCTTGTTAAAGATCAAACCGAGCATCAGAATGGAACAAAGAAGAAGAAAGAGGATTGAGGTAACTTTGAACCTGGCATGGTTGTTGGTGCCAGACAGGCTGTTCTGAGTATTTCAGAAACTGCTGATCTGCTGGGTTGTTCACAAACAACCATCTCTAGGGTTTACAGAAAATGGTCAGAAAAAGAGAAAATATCCAGTGGCACACTTGGGGTCCCATAGTACCACTTAAGCTTTGTTTAAATGGGTATTGTTGCTGACCATTTCCATTCCTTTATGACCACGGTGTACCATCCTCTGATGGCTACTTCCATCAGGATAATGCACCATGTCACAAAGCTCAGATCATGTCAGACTGGTTTCTTCAACATGACAGTGAGCTCACTGTGCTCCAGTGGCCTCCACAGCCACCAGATCTCAATCCAACAGATCACCTTTGGCATGTGGTGGAGCAGGTGATTTGCATCATGGATGTGCAGCTGGCAAATCTTCAGCACCTGACAAAAATCCCTGAGGAAGGTTTCCAACATTTTGTTGAAAGTGTGCCATGAAGAATTAAGCCATTTCTGAAGGCAAAAAGGGCTCTGACCCGGTACTTGCAAGGTGTACCCAATAAAGTGGCCGGTGAGTGTAAATCAGGCTGTTGTTCCCCTAGGTCACCAAATATGTGAAATGACAGCACTACTGGCTGAAGAAAAAATGATTTCCCCTTTTGACTTAACGGTACCTCATAATCAGAGCATTAGCAAACACTGTATAATGGACTTAAATAGATGGACATAGAGGTTAAAATTAGCCAAAATGTTCTTGTTTGTTCTTACACAGAGTCTCTATAAAGTCATGATGATAAGCAAAAGTAGTGATGTTAATAGGTTAAAAGACAAGCTACATACCTGAAGAGAAAAACTATGCCGTGTTCCCTGAAAGTTTGGACTACAGAGAAAGGGAGAGCACTGTTCTCTTTTTTTGTGTGTGGCCTCTGCAAACAGAATGCTAAATTCCATGAGCTTTGCTCTGAAGGAGTGAAAAAAAAATCCCTCTGTAGCCAGTGTACGCACAGTGGTCACATTTTTAGGAGAGGCTGTGCAGACTGAAAGCTTAACCAGGCTGCAGGGAGCAAAGACAGCAAAAGAATACTTTGACTTACATAACCTGTTCCTGTTTACAGGTAAGACCTTGATTTATGTTTGGTTTTTAGCCGTATGTGGATCATTGTCAAAGGGTTGATTATGAGCTTTGTTTTAGTTAGAAGTAACCCCCTGTTTTTTTGTCTTTGCTGCTGCTGTACCAGATGGTAAGTGACAACTCTCAAAAAACTGGGTCAACTTTTAGGTGGGGAGGGGGACATCCTAAAAGTTTTTTTTTTGTTTAAACTTAAAGATAAGTCTTGAACTCCCTGACTAAAACAAGTTTATATCCTCATTTTTGAGAGAAGTTGCCAAGCCCATTTCCCTGAAAAGTTGCGTGTTATTTGATTGTTGTCTAGGAAGGGTTCAAAGTATTCAAGAAATACTTCACAAAGGAAAAGAAATCAATAAATGTTTTTCTTTCTGATAATTCAAAACTGACTTAAGAACAAATACCTTAGAGATAAAGTTTTAGACACATGAATGTGTTTGGTTGGTATGACTGTTTTTGATTTAGTCTCAGATACAGTTTTATTTCTTGAAAGTGTTTTTTTATTGAGATGACGTTTGTTCAGGCATAGAAAAAACTAACTGTGGAAGTCTTGCTTTACCTCAGTTGGTTGGACAGAAGCCACAGAATTGGGGGCTGTCTTCACATGGAATTCAATCTTTTTTTAATCTCTTCTGATCTGCCTTATAGCAAGTCGAAAGTTGCACTGAAATACATCTGAAGCCACGCAACTGTGATAACTGTAAGGTGTAACTACAGTGTTAGAATCAATGAGCTTTAAGTACTAGTAGTGGTGAGTGTTTAGGAGGGTCACGTTTTCTCAAACTGCATAAAAAATTCACACCACTAGATGGGGATCTTTACTCTTCTTTTGTTGCTATTGTCCTCTGGCTTTTCTTTGAGCTTGAGCTAATGTTTTCCTGTAAACTCTGCACAGGATCCAAATTCTGTGCCACCCAGCTCAGGCAATATAGATTTGAATGGTGTTCCATGATGTGGGAAATCCTGTTCTGTGAAATGGTTTAGCAGAGTAATTATGGTTGAATTCAGTGTACTCCCTGACCACCTCCAGGAAAATTTCTTAATTTAAAAAGCAGAACTGGATAAGTGATTATATAATCACATGTTGAAAAAGATATCTTGTTGACATTTTAGATGGTTAAGTATAAGTGTCAAGAATGTTGACTTTAATTCTGTTGTTAACAAGGACTTTGAAAGAAACTGAAATTTTTATCAAACATCATTGAAGCATGTACCTACAGCATTAGGTGTCAATAAAAGGATCAAATACTTTCAAGGAAGACAAGTCTCTCTTAAAATAAGACCCTGTTTCTCGATGAGTTAGTCTGTATAAATAAAGCTTTGATAAAGATTAGTAAAGTAATGACAAAGAGACAAAAAATACAGCCGACAGCTTTATTTGATTTGTGGCATGTGTGGTTGTGTAATAAAGATAAATGCTGAACCACAGGAAGACGATGAGAGAAAGTTGTGCACATACTTGTCACGGGTTGCGTTACTGGTCTTGCTTGGTATTGGTTGTCACTATTTATAATACATCATGTCAGGCGGGTCCCTGTTGCTGGTGTTTCGGCTCCCCTCAGAATTTTCCACCAAAGCAGATTGAGAGTCCACTAGTCAGCTTACACTAAGCTGGTTTCTCTGCTTATCCACTCTGGCTGTTCTCTATTCTTTGACTTTTTGATTTGTTACTTTCTGTTCATCGGAATCCTCTGTTTTTCCTTGCTCGGTTGAGTTTACACTCTCATGGTATCTGATTTCTATTTTTAGCCAGTGGAAAAACTTTTGTCCTTCCCTCACCTTGGCGCTCAGCTGCCGGTGTGTAGTCAGCTTCTGGGCTTGCTGGCTGTCATGCTAGCTCCGTTCTGTGATCTGCAATGCCCTCCTCTGAGGCTGTTTCCTCCTGCATTGGCTATAGGAAGCTTTTCCACTGGTTGCTAGGGCAACCGAGGAGGATGGCCCCCAGCAAGAGTCGGGGAAGCCTTGGGCTGCGTTTCCGCTCGTCTCTTTGCAGTGCGCCTGCTGACCTGCTGTGGGCTGGTAGGAGGAGCCAACTCTGCAGAGGAGCTTCTCCCGGCCCAGTATGGGTCCTGCTGCCTCTCTGCCCCATCATGAGACAGAGCTCCTCCAGCGTCAGAGCCAGTATTCCCCTCTCCCTCTGCTGGCCACTGCACAGTTCTGACTCATTCTGCTCCAGTAGTAACAGGAGCACGGGCGGCAAGATGTCATCCTCTACCTCCTCCTCCAACAGTGATGGACAAGGGAAGCCTAAATCTAAATCCCCGTTTCGCAAGAGGGGCAGCCTGCAGAGCACCACCAGCCCTGGTGAGTGTGGGTGTGAGAGGGTCCTGTAAAAAGGATGGGTGAACTCTTTACTGTACAGTGATTGTGTCTTCAGAAAAAGCACAGATGTTTGTACAACAGCATTTGAGAGTGCATGCTGCTCTTGAGGAGCAACAAAGAAACGGGAATGAGGTTATACTGCAGCTGCAGTTTGTTATGTTTTGTATCTGTTGTTGTTGAGACATTGGTTCAATTTGTTTGAAGCTTTGGCAGAGTTTGTATTTTTAGCTTTTTGCTTGAATTCTGCTAAAAACTGATGAAACTATACTTATAAGACTGTGCAGGACTGCAATAAAGTCAGTTTATTTAAAAATGCTGTTGCAATGTTTGTAGATCAGTTTACTGTTTGGAGAATGAAATGTTCAGAATTCCAATGAAATATTGAATGGTCTAAGAGCCGAAAGAGCAGCTAGAAGTACAACTACTTTAACTCTGTTATTGCTCAAAACAAAAGACTGAACTAAAATTTGAAACATGTATCAGGGAGTGTTTGGCTGTTCATTTGGGTTCATTATTCACTAATTACAGTTAATTAATTACTAAAAATGTTGTAAATACTTTTGAAAGTTGAACCCTCGAATAACGCATTTTAATTCTTGTTCAAATAATAATCTTTAACAGTTTAGTAACCAGCACTCGTATAAATATTTATTAATAAGTGCTAAATGCTGCAGCTTCTTGCTACTGCCTAAAAAGTTCGTAAAAAGAAGATAAAACCCTGTACTGCAGCAGGTTAAAAAAAAAAAAACAACAGGGTTGACTCCTCTTTTACTGTTGTGCATTCCAGTACATTATGTAACTGTGAGGTTGTTTGCCCATTCCTGGATCGGCCTTCTCTACCCATTGCACCAATAATTTATCACAGGTCTTCCGACTCCCCACCCCCACCCTATCTCATCTGCTGGTTGAGACAGTGATGTTGGATTGTTTTATTTTGTAGCTACGTCCATCTAATGTAGAGACACAAAAACAAATTTATCCATTTTTTTTGCATGTGTTAAGATTAGATTAGGTCAGAGGTTCCCAAACCTTTTCAGTTAAGGAGGACCCAACACTTGGTATCTCCCCAGGACCCAATTGTTATTGTTTACTTACAGTCAAATAGAATATGGACATTCAGACTCACTGCTTCAGTTTACATTGGGTTTGGGTCAGGATATGTGTAAAAATAGAATAGCTGTAGGATAGAAGTCAGACTAAGGTCAAGTTCAGAACAGCTAACATTAGCTTGCTGGCAACTTATAATCAATTTCAAAACCAGTGACAACCCCCCCCCCCCCCCAAACACTTAAATGCAACATGAACACGAGATGTAATGATACTTGCTCAAATCATTGTCACACTGTTTCTTTAAAGCCCGGTCTTGCACAGAGAAACTTATTGTAATTATTCCCAGTGTTGCAGATGCTTAGTTTTTAGATGTTTGTCCAATTTGTTGAAATCTGGTCTCTTGTAACCCCCTGTTCAAAACAGGAGGTTTGTCTTCTGCTTTTCTAATTGCGTTGGTGAAACTATTGTTTATGAATTCTTTGAATTTTCACTCTGACATGTATAGAAAACAAAGCTGAAGGAAAACAAGGCTAAAGTGGTCCCATCAGTAATACACTGCTTATATTACCCACTGCCCTGAACACATTGGTGACATTGCAGGGTCACTGGGGAAAGAAAGGGGGCGAATGGTAGCCAATTACATAGTAAATTTGCACATAATTTAACCTGCCAATTGGATAACCAATCAAAATGGCTGAAGTCCCATTGTTGTGTCCCAACCCTAACTTGACAAAGGCTGGATTGGATAAATGCATTTCATTCTGATTAGCCAAAATGAATATATACCTTTCTGTCAGAAATTCAAGGAAATACAGTCTCACAAGTTCTCTCTTAAATTAACTGGGTTAACTCATATTTGATGCTGTGTAAATGAAAGATTACACAGAAGAAGAGGTAAATTACAGATGCCGTTCTGTAAATCATATTGTGATCATTAATTTTACACTTAATTGAATGACTACAGCATAGGCATTCAGTTATGCTGTTGTATTAGAGGTGTTGCAGGAGTGTTGATTCATATGTTACCCTTAAGGATTTTCTTTTATGTCTTATATTTTTGGGCATTTTTGCTTCTATTAGAGAGGACAGATGAAGAGGTATAGTGCCTCTGTATGCAGGGTGCTTTGACTGCAAGGCCATCTGTGCCCTCATTTCATTTAGGTTAAAGGATCATTGCGCCATAGCTGTAGCCAGTTTTTTTGCAGACTGGTCTCTGGTGAGCATTTAGAAAAGCTTGACAAGCTATTTTTATCTGTGAAGAAATTAAATTTTAATATCATCTTGATTCAAAGCAATTTCCTCAGTGTACCCTTACAGCCATTCAGTCAATGAAATGTATTAGCAGAACACAAACTGTGGGTGTTGGGAGGGATGCAGTAGCAGATCCCAAGTCGTAACTCACGTTGACAAACACTGTGCTGTATTTGCTGAGGAAGCTTGTCTTGCTGCAGTAATAAATAAGTTAGAGGTCTCTCCATCCATGCAGTCATTTAAATCCTCTCAATTAGCTGCTTGGCTGCACCCTCTGCACTCTCTGGCTGTCATAAGAGCCACATGCAGGCCAGCCATTACAGGACTTTCATCTGAAAACCCCAGTCTTTTAGCTTTGTCTATTCAAGATTGCTGCTGTAGAAAAATCTACTGAAGCTGCAGCTTAAGCAGCTGGTCCTTTATCTACGCCATGATTATGAAGCCTTCATGTTTTCTCCTGTCTTACTATGCGAAGCAGCGCTAGAAATTGCTTAACCCTTGGCCTGTCTTTTTAAATCTATTAGATTCTTTTAAATTCTTATCATCAGCTCATAGGAACAGTGAGTGTTGGTGTTGATTTGCTGCTGGATTTCTCAGGTAACTTTCTTACCTGCAGAAATCTGCCTGCAGGCTGCTAACTCCCTCTGGACTTTCTTGGCCTCACATGAAGCAGAATATGTTATGTTCTCCCTTAGCTGCCTAGCTATATCGGTTGATATATAGAAGCTATTAAACTGTCTGCCAGAGGAGTGGATAGGCTCCCTCCCACCAGCATTAAACATTACTCCTCCACCTTTTGTTGTGACCCAATCTGATGCTTAGCTTGGTTTTCACTCACTTACTAGCAGAGACTAGCTCATGTACTTTTATTGAGTAGGTTGTCTAGTAATCTATCTTAATCCTCTTTGTGTCTCTTAATTTCAGTTACCACATAGGAAACATCATTACATGTACTCTCTGACTTGGTCATTTTGCACTGTGATTTCTATATTATTGGAAAGCAAAGAGATTCCTGGTATGTAGCTTGGAGTATAATAATTTGTCCATGGTTTGAGGCCATTTGAGAGATAAAGCAGAGCAATTATCCATATACCACTTTTTTAAGATATACATGTAATTAATGTTTATTGTAATATGTGTTGTAACATTTGCTTGCTTGGCACTACCTAACAATTTCACAAATGTAAATCAGATTAACATCTTTGTTCTCTTTCCATTTTAAAGTGGCAATATCAACACTTGGGTACTGGCTAAGAAGCCTCTTGAGGCTACAGCTTCTCAATGCAATAAAATGTAGCATCAAAAGAGGCTTTAGGACTGGATAACTAGTTCCATAATTTAGATTAAATGGCTCCTATTTTGACATATAACAAACTCTAGAGAGAAAAGATGAAAAAGACTTAGAACAGGCATTTTAATTTGCATAGCCACTTGTTTATGATACATTATCCCAGTGATAACCAGTGATAATGAAGTAACTGACGTAACATGAATATGCAATAATAAGAAATGCCTGAAAACTCCCTCTGTTTCCATAGTCATGGTAATGAATGAATTGACCTTAAACTGAACATCTAAGCTGACAATCAGAATAAAACATTACCCTGCTTATCTATTATAATCTCTACTAAACTAAGCATTCCTATAATGATAACAGACAAGCGCTCACCAGTGGGGCTGCAGTTTCCTGTATTTTAAGACAGGATCTTGCTACACTTTCCCAGTCCAGAGATGGTTTGGGCCCATGAGCTCTCCAGGCTGCTCTCACATTTGTACATGGTAGCTTTTATTATGCCCTTAATCTTAAGATTTGTCTGAGGCGTTCAGTTAAGTTTTTGCTGCAGTGTTTGCCTATTAAGGTAATGGAGTCTAACGTCTTTGCCATGGTTGTGGGACTCCTTTATGTAAATTGATCTGATGACATGATGTTTGCGACATGATGTTTGTTCAGCATCAGCAGTACATTTTGTTCTACTTAAAACCTCAACAGCAATAGACCCTCCCCCCTATTTGACAAAGGATTTTGATTGGTCCAGCCTATATCAGTCAGGTTGTCTGTACCAGAGTAAAGCTAAACGTATGAAGATGCAAATAAACCATAAAATTGCATTATCCCCAGGAAGTTTTATGCAAAGTTAGGTAACACATTGTTAGTCATGAAACACGTTACATAGGTCAGAGGTGATCCATCCAATCACTGCTCTAGTTCCAGTTGACTGGTTATTGTACCCCCCCCCCCCCTCCAGCAGTCCTCATACATTGGTTAATTATTAATCAGATATGTCATTTCTGACATGTTTTGGCATGTTTCTGTGGGCTTCTCTCGTGAACTCCTGTACATTAAGTATCTCCTAACTTGCCACGTCATATGGACTCTGTTCTGTTACCCCCTTGGGGCTTTTTTTTCACACCTGTTTAACTCACCAGCACATCTACACCTTGTTACCCTGTGAACTTCAATCTGCATAACCCTCCCACTTAGTCCACCTCCACTCCTGTCTCTGCGATAAACAGAAACATATGATAAGCAAAAACCGAGAATCCCTGCCCTGGACTGCATAACCTCAGAGCAGTGTGTGTGTGGGTGTTATGTTGACGTTATATACAGTACTCCTGCTGCGAAGGTGGTCTTGAATTTTTTTATTTCTGCATTACTGAGCCAAAACAGATATCTGTTTTCCTGGCTAAAACTATTATTTATTATTTTAAACTTTCTAATATACATGGTGTAAAGACATATTTGGGACCAAGGGCAACTAAAAGGTATGATGAAAATTAAGACTTGTGTATCACAAGACAGTTCATTAATTTTTTTTATCTAGTGTATCATGTGAATATTTTGAAACTTTTGTTGAAATGTCGTAGTATTTCTCTCAGCTGCTTCTCTACAATGCATTTTAATAGCTGATTGGAAACGTACCCTTCTGCATGTCTCTTTATCCAACCACTAGAGGGTGCATCTTACACAAGAAAGTGTTACATCTTGTCAGATAATCAGTTCAAAACAAGTGACTGGTTGTCATTGTATGGGGTTTGTGGCCATTCTGCAGATAGACATGACTGAGGAGCAGTTTACACTGTGTTTGGGTGGAAAATTCCAGGGCTTTCTTTTGCTATGAATAGCTCAGTTGCTTCCCATGTAAGAGTGGAAGTGTGTGAGTACTGGAAAAGGGATTTTGGAGAGCCAGTGACCAAGGCCTTGAAAGCTGAAACACCAACAGGTGGGCCTGTTGTTGCTGGGACAAGCAGATGACCAGCAGATCCACAGTATCTGTCCTTTTTATCATCACCCCAACAAAATGTCACATAGGCTCTACTGTGCAGCGTAGCCAGAGTCCTCATCATGCCTTGGGACATGTCATATCTCACCAGGGTGATCTGCAAATTGCTTACACACGTGTTATGATGGGTTGAATTTCATCCCTGGAGTACAGTTAAGCACGCCGCTTTTGTCTGTCTGTGTTCTCAGCATGGCTGTTAATGAAGATCCAGTTTCATTCAATCCATCTCAGTGGATCATGGATGAAACAGCATCAGCTGATTTTCTTGGCATTTTATTGTCCTGTGACCTCAGTGAGTCACTCAGTCCCTCACCCACAACTCTCTCCTGTTCACCTAATGATCTCCCAGCTCATATTCTTTATGCCCTCATGCACTTGAACATTTTAAAGATTAATTTCTAGAACATAAACATAGTTTCTCTTTGGAGACATTCCTTAGTCAAGGTTAAGTGATTGTGAGAGAACTCTAAAGGAATATTTTGGGGGCAGACTGCTGGTTTAATAAGTCCTCTATGTAAAGTTGTGTTGCTGTTCTTGGATAACGGATAATATAATGTTATTTATCGTTGCGTTAGTAAATCACTGTACTTGTGAATGTGTAGGAATAGGATCGTTTGAGAATTGTTGATGGATTTTCAATGCCAAGTTCAAGCCTCACTATGCTTCAGGGTGTGATTTCTATGGACTAAATGCCGTTGTATGTAGCAAAGGACAATTATTTTGATGTAAGAAGTATTCTTAGAGGAAGTTTTTTTTTATTTTATGCAATAAGTGTGACACAGTTACATTCTGCAGGCTGAGGTCATATGCAGCAAAGCGGTTCCTGTTTGGAGCAGAGGTGGTAGACCACAACAGTTTTAGTACAATTCCTGACTTATCACCTGAGGATGATTAAGCCATTTTTTAATCTGTAAACATCTGAACGCACATAAGCATGCATTTATGGACACTGTTTTTTCATTCCACCCCAGCTTTGTTTGCCATATTACTAGCTATATATTATCCTGGATTTTCATCTGTTAACTGTTCCTGTAAGAGCATAGTGTGTATTTGTTGTTAATAATTTATTATTGATTGTTTATTAGTTATGGTGCACTCTTTTAATAATTAGATATTATTTCTTGTAATTGTTCCTGGGGGGTGTTTTCAGTGTAATTTTAGTCGTTAGCTATGTGGCGTGAGGAAGATGAAGAAAGAAAATTATTTTTTCAGTATTTTCCTCAATGAACGATCAATACTTTAGAAATTGTCCCCCCCCCCCTTTATCTCAGACATGTAATCTTTTTCACTAACTGTACATTGACATGTTTCAACGGAAACTTCCGCCTTACTCAGAAGTGTCACTTGGTGGTAGGTGTGACACGTCATATCACCTACCACCAAGTGACACCGCTGAGGAAGGCGGAAGTTTCCGTTGAAACATGTCAAGGTCATGAAAAAGATTACATGTATGGGACAAAAGGAAAAAAAGAAAACTGTTTCTTAGAGACTGGGGCCATAATGAACATCATTCAACTATTAAAAAATCAATACTTTGATTTGAATTTGTATGGCTTAGAGTAAGAAGGCCACCTTTTATCAAGCCCTTTTTTGACAGTTTTAGTCAAAAGTTTTCATTGCAAAAGAAAGTTTAGCATTCCTCATAAAACCAAAGTCAGGAACTGAAATAGTAATAACCTGTTTACCTGTGGAGTATTTGTGAGGCGATGCACAACATATCGAAATATCACACAGGATGGTTCAAAGGTTAGATTTTTGGCTGACATTCAATGGTGTCAGTACTATCAAAAAGACTCAATTGAGTGTTTGTGTGTTTATACCAAAGTTCACAGAAACTTGTCTTAACAGAAGCCTACACACTTCAACCAACTCATGCAGTTCTTTCTTCTTGCCTGCAGCTCTGACCCCTCTCACACCTCTGGTCTCAGGATCAGGGATATCAGCCCCTTGATGTCTAAGTGGTGCTAAGTACAGTGTACTACATGTTGACAGTGTTAAGTGACACAGTGCTGCTCTTTGCTATATTCAGATATGGTGAGAGATACACTGACAGTGGTGTCTGAAAGTATCACAGAGACAGGACAGGGCTGTGGATATGCCAGAGGATGGGAAGGGCTGTGTTTTCTTTGCATTGGTTATATTCATCCAGATGCATATGCTTTAAATGAGAATTGATTTTTTTAAATTGTTTTTGGATGTTATTGGCTGTAGGATGATTCATTGTTGTGAGATTTTCTCAGACCCAGGGATAGAGGCGGGTGACATTTGTGTGAGCTGCAAGTTCCTCATTAGTACGTCCTTAAAGTGTTTGTTCTGTTTTATGTTCTGTTTTATTCCCATGGGAATCTTTGTGCAGGTGTTTGGTTTGCCCATCAACTGACTCAATAATTAAGTCAGGTCTTATTTTCCTCTGGCAGCACATGGGAGTGCACAGACAAACTCCCATGTGCTGTTGATCAGAGCCTTGAGGATAAACAGAGGTAACTGCAATGAAGGTAAGGCTTGGGTTAAAACTGACCCCAAACCTTAGGATTATTTATCCATTTTTCTGTCTAGATTGCTCTGGTCATTTTATAAGCAAGAGCAAGTTCATGTCCCCAAAATAGATGACAAATCCTCACATGATTTGACAGCTCTTTCAAGGTTTCTTTAAAAGTACTATCCATTTATTGTCAACCATTAGTGACGTTACAAGAGCGATTTCTCAGTTTTGTTGATCTTACTCCTGTGAAGCAGCATGCTGCTGCTAAGCTGAGGTCTCCTATATTGGGGGTGTTTTATTTCTTTGACATTGGCAAATAGGCAGGAATTAAAAAAACTGATGTTCATTTCCAGCTTTTAATAAATTTTGATGTAGGAATGAACCCTCCACAACTTAAAAAAGACTCTTATGTATTTGTTTTTGCTGTTAACCAGATTTTTTTAAAGTAAGTTTTCATAAAGAAAAATTTTACCTATGAACTGTTGATTTACTGTGGCAAAGTTAGGCCTCAGCTGAAATGTAGAAGTGCTGCCCACTCGGTACACAGCAGACAGGAAATGGAAACATCACTGACCACCACATGTAGCAGGCAGCACAGCTGTAGCAATGACAGGGTGGCGAATGTAGAGCAGCTTTGTTCAAAAGCTGTGGGTGGGTAGTTGGCAGGTTCAAACATGAGGGTTACTAAGTTTATCTCACTCCTCACTGCAAGCTTTGTCTTTCCCTTAACTCTGCAGGAACAAGCTGCATTTTCTGGTTTCAGCTGATCTATGTCCTCTGATCACCTTCTTAGATACTTGAGATTAAAAGGCATTCATGAGGTAGTCAACCTGTCGAACTGGATTAGCACATGATATTTGTTCTGGATACTGGAGCACTAAATATAGAAAAAAAGACTCTCTTTCTTATTGTGAGTCATACAAGTGCACTAACATTGTCACCACTTTTGTGCCTGAGTCTGGCATCTGATGGCTCATTAGTTTTGATGGCATGGCACTAACAATCACAGAATTCAGAGCCTGGTGTTGTCTTTGCCATGCTGTTTGTTTCAGGTCCTGTATTTTTACCTATTGATTGTCATCTGGGAAAAAACATAGAGGATATTTTGTAAATTTTAAATAGAAAACAAATGAAGACTTTTGTCCAATTTGGAAATTACATAGCAAAATGGCCCTGTGATTTACAGCAGTCATGTGAGAGAGGAAGGAAACGGTCACTGCTGAGATCATGTGGTTAGGAAACAGAATGGCATGCAGTGTTTGAAAGACTTTCTTACATTGACACATAGACACACATTGATGTAATTTTAACACTGATCCTGCAAACCAGTTAGGTTCAGTTTAATTATAATTTTAAAACCAAAAAGGATAAAGTGAATTAAAAAAAAAACAGTGTGGGGAAAACAGAATGCCTTGAAAAGGTCTGCCGATTTTTCAACTCATTTTTCCCTAAATAAATCCAGGAGATTGCATGTTATCACATGATGGTAGGGTATCAAAAATTAACTGAGCCATAGAGCTGAGATTAATTTTATTAACATCGCTAACACTGTGTGTAGTTGAAGAAACCCCCAAGACTGTAAGCCTTTTAAAATGTACATCTTTCAGGCACATTCATCTGGTAAGATGTTGCTAAAATCAAGCAGAGGACTCTAGATGCATCAGAAAAAGTAAGCTATAACACTCATTTATCAACCACCTCATAAGCCTTCTTCAGTTCTTTTTGTTCAGCTCTTTGTTGTTGTAAACCACTCTTGCATGTTTTTGTTTCTTCTTCTTTTTAGCCATAACATGAAATGGACGATCCACATACTTTTATGAACTAGATCATTGAGTTTACAGACTTCACTCTACAGATTGATATGATTGTGCAGTGCTCTTCACTGAGGTTTCATAAGAAGTGTCATATTTATTGATAGGTCTGCTATCTTAAAATAGAAAAGTAACAACTTATGAGAAGGATTTACTTCAGTATGTCTTTTTTTTCTTCATTATGATTCACACTTAAGGGATTTACCCCTCAAAACAAACAAGCGAGCATTAATTACATGGATAGATAACCTAAAGCAGTGGTTCTCAACTGGTCTCACACTGGGACCCACATTTTCCCATGGTCATTAAGTCACGTCCCACTTTTATGAAATTCAAACCAAGCAAATTTATTTTATATTAAAAAAAAACTTTAAAGACTCAAATCTAACATAAATACACCATTTTTATTGAGTACAGTGCATTTCAGAGCACATGAACTGAGGATGACAATGACTAAAGTTGTGTATACAGAAAATATCTAATATCAAATTGCACAAAATGGAGACCAGCAAAATAAAAAATTGACTTAGGCTATGTTCACACTGCAGGTCAATTCTGATTTTTTAACTATATGTGACACCTATCTGATTTTTTCATGTAAGTGTGAACAGTGCAATTCAGATTTTTTTCAAATCTGACCCAGGCCTCTTTTGTATGTGGATATAAATCGGATATGTATCCGATGTGACTGCAGTGTGGATGCTCAGGTCGCGTTCATCCAACCTATACATCATTAATATGCAACAAACGTCACCATTGTTCGACAACACAAACAGGCGTGGAAAGCAATTTGTGCTTTGTGCACATGCAGGTCACTTCATGGACGCATTCTGTTCACATTAGGTGCCGCATTCATTGTTGTAATGTGAGCGACCACACAAAAATCTCGAATTTAACAAAAAATCCGAATTGTGCATCATGACCTGCAGTGTGAACTCAGCCTTATATGCATCTCTGCATTTAGAGCATATTCAGAAACACCTGAGGAGGACCATGCAACGAGGCATGGACAAAAGTGAATGAATCAAATTGCACAAAATAAATAAATAAACATGTATTTTTACTGCATCAGGCCACATTAATAAGAAACTAAGAAGGACCATGACAAAACGCATACCTTTCAAAATAAGCTATTTTTCAAAATAAAAGACATGCCTATGAAATATTTACTTTTTTGACCAGCTGTTCGCGACCCATCCAGAACGTGTCCGTGACCTACTTTTGGGTTGGGACCCACCACTTGAGAACCACTGACCTAAAGGGCCACATCCTTACAGGGGGGAAGACAGAGCCTTGTACATTACACAGGAGGTGAACAGACCACTACACACATGTAAAAATGCTTTAAGTAGATCACAAATTGAAGATTTTACACACAAAGACATAATCCACAATCCCAAATGTTTCATACATTTGAAAAAAAGTTTGTTTTCATCATAAATTCAAAGATTTATGGTCATGAAGCCAAGCCTTCATGAATGAAAGGAGGAGGAAGAGAAAAAGTGGGCGGGACCTCAGACTCAGGGCCTCCTCCATTTTATGGCACAATAGGGTCGAAGTAGCTCACCCTGGACCCTCCCCCTTTTTTTCGCCACGTGGTATGTTCCAACCCAGTATTTAAATCCGGGAGCTTGAAAGCCGTGTTGTTCCTGGGCTGAAACCGGTGTAATCAGGAAGCTGAGACAGATAGAGGCAGAGAGGAGGAGAGAGAGAGCGAGAGAGAGAGAGAGAAAGAGAGAGAGAGAGAGAGAGAGAGAGAAGACTGCCTTCACAGCATACAGGAGGCTGCGACAGTTACAACAGAAGGAGCAAAGAAAGGAGTAAAAGGGGGAGGTTATCAGAGCAGCAGAGTGTGTATCCTGTGTCTCTCTTCTGCCTCTTCACTGTCATCCGTTCTTTTCCACTGTACCGACGGGGGAGGGTACAGCAGCCGCCCCAGGCCTTGTTACATGTCCCAGCATCCCTCAAGAACTAAAACAAGGCCACTGCGACCGTAACGGACACTGTGAGAACAGGACAAGACAGGGACTCAGAGGTACTGTAACCTGGGCTGAATTATAATGTACAGTACCTCATACTGCAGAGCTTGTTACTGTGATTCTTACGATGCTACAAGTTTTAACAGTTATATGGAAAGTATGGTTCTTGTGACCTCAAAATAAACCGGCTCAGAGTGACAGATGAGGTGCTAGTAAACAGCTGTGTGTGCTGGCTCAAGTGGAACTAAATGAAAGAAGGGAGCATTAACAGATGGAAAAGATAGTTGTGTTGATGCTGATAGTTGATTCCTTTATTTTTTCAAAGGTTTACACAGAATCTAATGGCTGCATAGAGGGAACATTTGGGGCATGAAGTCCCTGCTGCTGTGTGCTACTTCCTGCATGATGTGGTAATTTTACCCAGTGGATTAATCACTGAGATCCCTGCAAGTGTGCTAACAAAAACAAAACCCGCTACAATGGTGTGCATTAATTCAGAAGAGGTTTGTAACAGAGAAAGGTGCCAGTGGAGCTGGTGGAAAATACACATCTTACTCAAGATAACATCTTCATTAAAGCACCTGTGAGGAACTTAAGGGTATGTGCCATTTTAACAGCCTGTGGACAAAGTAGTCTTTGCACACATACTCCTCCACATGTCAGAGTTATTTTATTTTTTGCAAAAAGCCTAAATCTGTTGACTTTATCAAAATATGTTCAAAAAATATGGCACTTACTCCTGTGCACCGCTTTTAGGCATGAAAAATTGCTATATAGAAATGGTCAGTTCTCGTGGCAGATGCTTTGCTTTGCCTCTTAAGGTCATAAAGAGGCATTGGTTTTAATTTCAGTCTGTTTCCTACCCACCAGATAAAATCTTCCCAGGAGTTTAAAGCAGTTATTAGAAAATACATACTGTATATACTTCAACCCAGTTAGATCTCAGGTGTTAGATTCTGCCTTGCCTCCCTGCAGTGTTTGATGTTGTGTATGTGATGATAGTGCCTTAACTTCTATCACTCTGCCGCTCAAAATGTTCACGTTATGAACAGAAATCTGTGATGTAAGTCCCCCACCTAGATGCAGATAACTTGTTGGTTTTTACAGGAGCATTCAGTCATTTTTGTCTGTCCTGCGGGTTGTCATTGTGTGCTCTTTTAAAGAGCTGATGCCCCAAGTGTTTAGAGTACATTCATCATGGGCAGTTATTTCAATCAGCAAAATCGTCTTCAGTGTTTGTACTCTTGTACCCAGCCTGTTGAGAACTAATAATGCATTTTTAAGATTAAGACCCAAAGTGGGGGTTTATTCTCATCTGTGGTTGCTAAGAAACATCTGAAGCCTGTGTCATGTCTCTCCTTCCAGGAGATTAAAGTGAAACCTGTAAGGAAAACCGAGGTTTCTTAAAGCTGTAGCAGTTGACATAAAAAATTAAAATGAACACAGCTCTATGAAATGCTTTTCTCACCTACAGACACACCTGTGCATGGTTGTGTCTTTATTTGTTGTTGTTGCTGTCAACAGTTTCCTATGTTCAAATAGGTCCATCCTACATTGCCGTTTAGGTGATGTCCCTGGTTGTACAGGTCTTTCAGCTTTGAATCAAACAATTACTGCTTTCTTTTAATTACAGTTCAAACAAGGTGACAGCCTTTTGGCATTCATTTGGTTTGAGTCAGCGATTATTCACATAATCTGGTGTCATTATGGTCTGGTTTATCTTAGAGATGCATCGATCCATTTTTTTCCAATCCAATCTGAGCGTATCGGCCGATATCTGATACCGATCCAATACTACTGTTGAATGAATGAACTGTATACCTTACTCTGTGAGTGAAGGCATCAGGGTTGACATTAGCCTTTTTAAAAAAAGGTAACAAATTAACACGGATATAAATTTACTTAATATTATTTATTAACAAATAACAAATTGCACATTAGCACACAGCAAAAAGAAGTAAGACTTGCATGTAAACATTGAGTGCAAAAGGATAGACAGACATAGAATATAGAGCAAACAGAATTGCTGTGTATGATATAAAGTAAAAGAAAAAAAAAAGACTGGATCGGCATCATTCATCAGATATCCGAGCCAGTTAATTTGTCAATATCGAAGCCGATTTCCAATCCAAATATTGCATCGGTGCATCCCTAGTCTATGTTTTAATCTATGTAAAATAGGTTCTGCCGGGTTACTCACTTTTACTTATGTAGATTACCTTGGGTGTTGTTATTCTGGTTTAAACTTTCTCCATAACCTTTCAACTGAGGAAAGTTTAATACGTTTTGATTTCATTGCAACGGGAAGACAAAGATTAAACAATTTAATCGCTAAGCATACATCTAAAAGCCTATAAAGAAGCTTATAGGTAACAGAAGAAATTTTAGAAGTAAACTGGGAGATAACTGACTCTGTTTTAGCTAAATCATCATAATGTTTCGAATCAACAGCCAGAAGTAGGCCTGGTTGGGGAGTTGAGGAAACAATCTGGCCTCTGTGACTTGAAATCATCATCATTTCAGATCATTAGGATGAAGCACTATACTCACAGGCATTTTTTATTTCTCCTCTCTGGTTCATGAACTGCTCTGCTGTTGTTTAACCAGGAGGGACAGGGAGTATAAGACAGGCTGTTAAGAAAGGTATTGATCCCCACAGTGCAACAGAGCCTGCACCACTGATTCAAGATGACTGTCTCTGGTTGGGTTCAAAGAACAGGTGGGAAGTGTATGTGGGCGATGTGCAGATTCAGGTCCAGGAGATGTGAAGAAAGCTTCAAAAGAGAGCTTTGTCAATATACAGTAGCTTTCTTTTCAAAGAAATTAATTTACAATTTGGCTACATGAAGATGGAGCGGTGTTTATTCCAATATGGTGCAGATTAGAAACGTACAGTTTGAGGTGAGGCTAGAGTCTGGTGTCTCAGCTTGCCAATGCCTGTGTTTCAAAGCACACTGGTTTGAAAAACAGAAAGGTTCAAAGTTTTAATGATAAGGCTCTCCAGAAAAAATGCCATAACAGAATTGCGTTGTCAAGTCCCTTGGTGATCCTCACTTTTTCACCAATCAGTTGCACAGATTTATGTCTCAGGGACCATCCCACAGTCTAAAGTCTAAAGTTTTCACTATGGTCGACCCTGATATCAAGGAAAATGATCTTTATTGTTGTAAACATTACTGATATGACAGATATGTCAGGAAAAATGACCAGTCGTCCGTTCAATTACACATCTAGTTAGTATTTGGATGGGCTCTATTTTTCATTTGGTGAGCCCTCCTGCCATGATGTCATGAAACCCAGTAGCATTGGGGTATGCTGGATTAAGAGTCAAGCATGGAGGATTACATGGATACTATACTGGGAATGACTGCGTACATGTTGTCTGTTTGACCATGTGAAAGTAAACATGTCCTTACGCTCACCCCACACACGCGCACAAATCTGGCATATATTAGTCAGGGTACAATAACTTTATTGAAAGAGGCATGTGTGCCAAGGTATAGTATTGTAGCGATATATGAAAAGTTAAGGTCATGTATCTGCCTCAAGTCATGTTCATGAAACCTCCTAAACTTTCAGACATTTTGTGTTTATTCAGAAATTGCCTCACACCTTAAAGATGTTGTATCGGTTGAAACAAAATGTGCGTGTATGGCTAAGCACTCATTCTATGTTGATGAGTAGTCTCTAAAACTTGTGTGTCCAGCTCTGAAATGTTTTCAAGTGCCATGCGAGTCATTGGCTAACTGTGGAGAGCCATCCTCTGTTCAATTCTGACTATACAACCCTGGAGGCAGACAGCAGATGGCACAGACTAATTGTGGCAGGCCAGACACAGCACCAATAACACAACAATTGCAGGGGAGAGTGAGCACACCACTCCCAAAGTAATAGTCTTATAATGAGCGGGTGAATTACTTTGTGTGTGTCGCAAATAACTGTGGTACTTTAAAAAATATGGCTCTTTATAAAGTTATACTCACTGTGTTTATGGGAAGCACCCACAGTCAGTGAATCTGACGTTTCCCAGTATACGTGTGTATTCTTGGTTAATCCCCGTACTTGTGTTTGATTTAACCTGGAGTGGGGCTGCCGTCATCTGTTTCCAGCAGTTCTCAAGAAGGGAAGGCCCATCTGTGTCAGAATCAGGTGTGTGTGTATGCATGTGCCAGTGTGTACATGTGAACTGGGGTTTCAAGTGAGTGCATGCCCGTGTGTGATTGAAGTGACACATGATCTGCTGTGCTGGTACAGCTGTCTTTCCCTAATCCCTCCTCTGTTCTTGGATATATAAAGAGGATTTTTAGGCTTTGATACAGATTGTACCATGGCCGCTGACACCAGTGCTTTTTAGGTAATTATGTTTATGCCCTGTTTGCATGTGTTTTCACTTCTGTTTAGTTATAGCTAGTGTCTGCTTTTGACATTCCCAGCACATAAAGAGTTTATCTGTAGTTCAACAAACAAACATAGATAGCTCAGTCTCGAAGACAATGGTTTTCTGTAAGTGGCTTATTTTTGGTTAAATTTCTATTTTCACTGAAAATAAAGTGGTAAAAGGCAATTAAATATATATATACCAGTATGTGAATTCAAGTCCAAACTATAATACGGGCCAAGCCGAATTTGTGCTAAAATTATAGCTCTTCTCACTCAAACTACCTCACACTGTAATCTTTGGTTAACCAAATTTAAATACTTCTCTATTTTTATTTGTGATTGGTCTACTTAGCTGAGCTTGTCTCAGACTGAAATGATAAACAGTTGTAGTGAGACTGACATCATCATTGTTGGATAAGCTGTGTGTGTCTGCAAAGCCCCTCGTCTGATGAAATACCTCTGAGTTCTGTAGATAAGGACTCATGACGTTGGATACAGTTGGGCGGATGCCAGGAGTAGTGGAGTATTGATGAGCATCTAGTTTGTATTTGTGTTAAGGTGTTTAGAGGATGGTCTTCTTGAGTGTACACATTTGTAAAGAGAATAGGGGATAAATTATTGTTCACGATGTATCGTCAGAAAAATCCTCCATGATAAATATTTGCCATCTCATGATAAATATGATAAATGCAAGTTGATGACATAAGCGCGAGCGAAGGACTCGCAGCCATAGCCCACACAGAGCAGAAAAACAAACAAACATGGCCGAAGGTGGAGAAGAGGATGTTTCTGAGCAGCTCGTTACTGAACGAGGCTCCGTATTAGGAATTCCCTTTAAGATTGGGGTTTAGACAAGTGCAATCAGGTATGCCTGACATCAGACAGTGGATCTGCTGCTGTTCACTCTGTGCAATAAGAGTTTTCAGCAAATGTTGAAAATGTTTTCACATCGGAGACTTGTTTGATGTCATTAGTTTTCTCCATAACCTACCACTTAAACTTGTAGTTAAGTATCTTATTCGACTATTTCCACTGGTGTTCTCATGACAAAATGAGTCAAAAATATTGGAATTAGAATATTTTTTATCAGGACTTTTATCGTTATCCCCAGAATGGAATATCTTATCGTGATAAGACTTTTTAGCCCATATCGCCCATCCCTCGTAAAGAGTTACATTGTAAGTATTAATGTACAGTGTAGTGATTTTTTTGACAGAAGCAGTTTGGACAGTGAAGTGAGATAAAGCGATTTCTGAAGTACCTCTGAGCCCCTCTGAGTTTTATATGTTTTTGCCAATTCATATCCTTTTTATGTCGCAGCAATTGTGTTCCAAAATAAAAATTTGAAGACTTTCATTAATTGGCTTGTGATTAATTGATTGCCTCTGGTGTGATGAACACAGCACATACATAAAGAGAATCTGTAACCTTCTAAAATTTGTCTTCTTACAGATCTTAGTGGTGCATCTGGGCCCAAACCCCTCAAGCCCCAGAGATCTCTCCCAGGTACACCTGTTTCTATCACACACTTTCCCATCGACCTACGAACTTCAATGGAGGAAAAATACAAAGAGATTGCCGAGGTAAGAACTTGAAAGCAGATCATAACTCTTCATAGTCAAACTGAGAAGCACTGTAAACTCCTCTAGATCTTTTAGATGAATGTACTTACATGGAAACGTGTAAGACATGAAGCTACTTGTCTGCAAAAAAGTCTGCAAAAACTTTTCCAACTTTTACAAACTATCACATAGTTTTTTTTATTATTTATTTGTTACACAGTGGCATTATCTAGTGCTTTTTCTAGGCAAACACATCAGGTTGTTTTATATAACCCTCAGAGACTGCCATATGTCCACTGGCTCATGTTTATAACTTGTCTTTCCATTAGGAGCTGTTCACACGCAGCATGGCGGAGAGTGAAATGCGCAGCGCTCCCTATGAGTTCCCAGAGGACAGTCCTATTGAACAGCTGGAGGAGCGACGGCACCGCCTGGAGAGGCAGATCAGCCAGGACATTAAGTGAGGATATGCAAACACACCAAACAAACAAAAAAACGGTTAAATATACTCATTAGAAGCCCCACAGACAGGTGCACGGCTCTGCCCTGCCTCCACTCTGTACACACAGTTCTGCTTTCTCCCATGCACACATGCTTATCAGCTGCCAATTCGCCAGTTTGTGGGCTAACTAACCACAGCAATCAGCTAACTGGGCGAGCCAGCAGTGCACACCTGTGTCAGTGTTCAGTCTTTGTCTCTTTACTTTTATAAGTGTATGGGTTCTCTTTTGGTGGCAGCCCAATACTCACTGTTATCAATCACGGTGTATCATTACTAACTTGGCATTTGGTCTCTTTGTGTGCTTGACTTCTTCTCACGACCTCTGATACCCATTTGCCCCCTCAACTCCCCCTCACCTTGCCCATGCTCTCCTGTGCTGCTGCTGCTGCTCACTCCAAGGCTTGAGCCAGAGATCTTGGTGCGGGCTAAACAAGACTTCATGAAAATCGACAGTGCTGCAGATCTAGAGTGAGTGAGCTCTGCTTCAGTCTGTATGGTTTGTGTTTATTAACAATTTTTTTTCTTTTTAAATGTTTTTTTTCCCGCTTTCTTTTGGAAATTTGCTCTGCAGCAACATACCTGAATTACAAAAAGTGTGTCAAAATTAATGTTCTTCAATGTGTGTAGTATTTGGGGACTCCAGACTTGTGCAAGTGCTTCTCCACAGGATCCCTGACAGACTTTATTGGCTCAGAATATCCTCCCCCTGCTGGTGACATGATAGCCTTACACATGTATACCTTTTATGAACATCAGCTCAGTTCAGCTGTAACTGTGAAGCACATTCGACACAAATGCACACCCAACGTTCTTTACAAGCAATAAAACATCAAATCAGATTAGTTATAAAAACAATTAACAGATGAGTTCAGAAATAAATTGAAATCAGGTCATTATCTTTTTCTTTCACTGTGAAAGTCTTAAAACTACCTTTTAAAAGTATTTTATTCAGCTTTAAAACACCTTAGTTCTTTGCTTAGTTATGACTTCTTGTTTTCTTGGAAATGAAACATTCAGTTCTAGACATTGGACAGCTCAGTTGGTTAAAAATGGACATTTCTAATAAAATTGACAGTTTCCGTTTTTTTGTGTCTGTTAGAAAAGAACAACCTTGTTATCCCTAAGCTTGTGTTACCTTGAGAACGCTTTATCAAACATTTTGCAGTCAATACACTGCATTGATTTCTGTATTGTCCATGAGAGTTTTTATTAAAACCTACAACAGTTAGAGTCTCTCTCATAGTTTTTGCCACCATTCCTGCTGGTATCCATGTTTTTAATCCCTGTGAATCCCCATTTGCCCACTTCTCTCCCCTTTTCAATCCCCCTTTCACTTTCCGTACCCTTTTAAGGCTGCTTAAAGAGAAGAGTGTGGACACTGTTGATGATGGCTTTAAGGAGAGAGAAATGCCAATGGAGAGGGAGTACCAGCGGGTTTCAATATCTGGAGAGGAAAAGTGTGGGGTGAGGAGTTTGAATGTTTCCATCAGTATTTCAAATCCAGCTCCACCAATTTTAACCCAATTCACACCAGCTTTTGTAACCGTCTTTGGCCTTCTTCCTTCTTCCTCAGGTGCCCTTCACTGACCTAGTAGATGCTGCAAAGTGTGTGGTGAAGGCGTTATTCATCAGGGAGAAGTATATGAAGCGATCTATGCAAAGTTTTTGTAAGACTACAACTCAAGCCCTGCAGGAACTTGGGATGAAGCCACTGGACCTGAGAGTGTATGATGAGATACCGGAGACCCCTGTAGATGCCGGTATGAGAAGCGCACACCAAACACTTAATTTAAAAGCTAGATAACCACTGTGTTCCATCCTTTAGCCATTTCAGTTTTTTTTATTTACAGAAGTAGTACTTTGCATATTTTTTTAAAGACATCTAGCCCTTTAATGCCTGAAACCACAAATTATGGCCAGAAAATTCATTTTTTTTTTGGAGCTGAAATTTTTATTTCATTTACTACTGAAAACCCCAAAAATCAAGATGTCCTTAGAATTTAACTTATATATTTATTTATCTCGTTTGATACATCAGATGTTTTTGGAAACTGATAAACCACAAGAGGACATTTTCATCGTTTATCGGACTGTATTCAGGTGTTTTTTTAGTAATTTGTTGATCATATTGATTTGATAGAAGTATATAAAAGAATGTATCAAATATGATACAAAAGGCAATAAAGGGTTAAAATGAATCAACTAATTCAACCAAATGGTTAAATTAGGAAACCTTTTCTTGATCATTTACGGTTGATGGATGTTATAAACTAATTCATGTGACTCCCCTGTTTCTCCAGATGCCCCTGTTCACCCACCTGTTTCAGAAACACACCCCTATGACAACCAGGACCCCAAGAATATGCCCCCGGATACAGGATACGGTTGCAAAATGGTGGATGGAGTAGTCCACGTCTACACAAAGAAAACCAACATGGACAAGTGTGTGTTTGTATCAGCAGAACAACTTGACACTTTTAAGGATTTCTGTTTATTTTTTTCATTTCGGTTCTTTGTAGGAGTTCAGAACTGGACCTACCTTATCCTGACCTGAAAGAGTACATTGCTGACATGAATGTTATGATGGCGCTCATCATTAACGGACCAGTGTGAGTGTTCAGTCCAAACCAAGTTTTGTTTTTTTTTTTAGCTCAGGGTTTATTTTAAAGGACATCTTGTGTGTTTTGTGTAGGAAGTCCTTCTGCTATCGCCGCCTGCAGTACCTGAGCTCTAAATTCCAGATGCACATCCTCCTTAATGAGATGAAGGAGTTGGCGGCTCAGAAAAAGGTTCCACACAGAGACTTCTACAACATTCGAAAGGTAAGAGCTGATATGTGATTTGTAGTTTCAGGGGGGGGAAAAAGAAAGTTTTGAACATAGGACTGAGCATGAAGCTGAGATCATGGGTACATATCTGCCTCATACATATTCTTCTGTGCCCTACTTTCAGGTGGACACACACATACATGCATCATCCTGCATGAATCAGAAGCACCTGCTGCGATTCATCAAGAGAGCCATGAAGAAATACCCCGAGGAGATTGTTCACATCGAGAGAGGCCGCGGTCAGACTCTGAAGGAGGTGTTTGAGAGCATGAACCTGACGGCGTTTGACCTGAGCGTAGACACACTTGACATGCATGCTGTGAGTATTATGAGAGTTTCTACGAAAGATGGAATACGTTCACTAGAAATTCACAAGTGGTTTTACTGGTTTTGTTTACTTCTCAGGATCGCAACACATTCCATCGATTCGACAAATTCAACGCCAAGTACAACCCCATTGGAGAATCCATCCTCAGAGAGATCTTCATCAAGACTGACAACCACATCGGAGGAAAATACTTTGGACATATTGTCAAGGTGTGAACACATCCGTAATCCTCTTCTTTAAAAAAAAAAAAAAAAAATCTGAAACGTAAAAGAAGCTTAGGTATTATTAGCTTTCTCTATTCATCCAGGAGGTGATGTTCGACTTGGAGGAGAGTAAATACCAAAACTCTGAGCTACGTCTGTCCATCTATGGTCGCTCCTGGGATGAATGGGATAAGCTGGCTCAGTGGGCTGTTAATCACCGAGTGTACTCTGATAATGTTCGCTGGCTCATCCAGGTGCCTCGCCTGTTGTAAGTACTTCACCCACTTGCTTTAGCTTGTAAGTAGAGCTGTTGCGGCATTTATAGATTTGCAACTATGACTATCTACTCAACAAATGTAAACACAGATAACAATCCCTGCAATGAAGCCTATGTTTGGAGAAGGAATGGGCACGATTAACCGATGATTGATTAATTGATGGTTAAGAATTATGTCCATCATGCAAAATTTCAGTCGATCTAACGTAATTAGAAAAGGTCTGACAGTGTGCGTCCATCCTTCAGCTGCTTTCCAGAAAAGATCAACCCTCTTTGTCCAGTCTGTGTGTGTGTGTGTGTGTGTGTGTGTGTGTGTGTGTGTGTGTGTGTGTGTGTGTGTGTGTGTGTGTGTGTGTGTGTGTGTGTGTGTGTGTGTGTGTGTGTGTGTGTTGAAGCAATGCAGGGACTATCACCATGCGGATTTTGACATTTTACAAGGGGGAGTGATACAGTGATAGATACTTAGGTAGAAGTCGAAAAAAACATAAAGAAGGCAAGACGAAGTGTGGTGTGGGACCATTTCGAGCAGAAATAAAAAATGATGAGGTTCGCTGCAAAAACTGTGATGCCGTGTACAAGTACAACACGACAACGACCCCAATGATGAACCACTTGAACCACATACATCTGACTGAGGTTGATGAATCAGACTCAGACTCTACCAACAGCTCCTCGCTAGCAAGGAGGAACTGCAGGGTGGCTAGACGTGCCCAATTTTGGATTACCTAGCCCTGGCTAAAGTTGTCCCTGGAAATCTCCCCGATTTTCATGTTTCATAAATGAGAAAAAAAAGAAGGTTATTACAGTAGCTGGGCAGGTAGGAAGCTTGAATTAGCATGTAGCGGTCCTGAACAACAGTTAAGGGGGTTCAATGAGGAAAAACACGTTTTTAGCGTATTCTCTGTCATACACATAAAAAACGATCAAATTGATGATTGATTGTAAATTTTTATGATTAATTGATCAACTGACTTTCTTAAAATGCCCATCCCTAGTTTGGAATAAGGTAGCCTTCATTTTACTTGGATCATAATAACCACAGCGGTAACAGCAAATGTCACTCTTGAACCCCCATCTCCGCAGTGATGTGTACCACACAAAGAAGCAGCTGGCCAACTTCCAGGAGATGTTGGAGAATATCTTCATGCCTCTGTTTGAGGTCTCCATCGACCCAGGCAGTCATCCTGAGCTGCACCTCTTCTTGGAGCATGTGAGTGTCAACTCCACGAAGAACACGCCAGCATGATATTTCGCACAAAGAGAATGTGACATGGTTTATTGTTTTATTGTTCGTTTGTTGTGTGTTTGTTGGTAGGTGGTGGGCTTCGACAGTGTGGATGACGAGTCAAAACCTGAGCATCACATTTTCAACCTCGACAGCCCGCTGCCAGCCAACTGGACAGAAGAAGACAACCCACCCTACTCCTACTACCTCTACTACACCTACGCCAACATGACTGTGCTCAACCACCTGCGGCGGTATGCACTAGCCTGATACAGCTCCATATATTCAAAGTCATTGTCCTACTTCAGCTCTGATGTGTTTTTGTAAACTTTTCGTCTAACCCAGGCGGCGAGGCTTCCATACATTTGTGCTGCGACCTCACTGTGGGGAGGCAGGGCCTATCCACCACCTGGTGTCCGGTTTCATGTTATCAGAGAACATCTCTCATGGACTGCTGCTCAGAAAGGTTAGGACAGAGGAGACTGGCTTGTTTCCAGAACACTGCTGTGAGCGTGTCTTTAAACGCTGCCCATGCATTACAAAACTAACATTACCAAATGTGCAAAATATGTCATGCTTTAAATTTTCCTTTAGCAGATGTTGGAATGCAAAGGCAGAGAAGGCTGATAAAACTATTTTTAGTTCAACTGCACTGAATTGGCCTAATTACAGTTAGTGAAGCGCACTGACAGTAAAAATCTATTGGGTAATCCATAAAAGCAGATGACATTGCTGTCCTCTAAATATACCAGTAGACAACAGGCCTCCATTGAACTAAGCCACCAATGAAACCAACCTATCTGTATCTGTTGGGGGGTCTGTGACAAAGATGTACACAACTCTGAATAAGCTGTCTCTTCTGTCTTTGCCCCCCTCCCCTCCAGGCCCCGGTGCTGCAGTACCTCTACTATCTGGCCCAAATTGGCATCGCCATGTCGCCGCTGAGTAACAACAGTCTGTTCCTCAGTTACCACCGTAACCCTCTGCCAGAGTACCTGTCCAGAGGTCTCATGGTCTCTCTGTCCACTGATGACCCTCTTCAGTTCCACTTCACAAAGGTCTGTATGGATCCAAACACTGTTTAAACTGAAAAAAATGACAAGTGGCAGAACTGAGGTTACATTTTTCCTGCTTTGTGTTTTTCTGTGGGTTTTTTTTTTTTTTGTGTGTGTTTGTTATGCCCCAGGAGCCTCTGATGGAGGAATACAGCATCGCCACTCAGGTGTGGAAACTAAGCTCATGTGACATGTGTGAGCTGGCTAGAAACAGCGTCCTCATGAGTGGGTTTTCACACAAGGTAAACCTCTCATCTTTATGTTTAATCGTATAATAATACCTTATGTATATTAAATGAGCTTCCAACCCACAAAGTTTATTCTCCCTCCAGGCGAAAAGCTATTGGTTAGGCCCCTGTTATTCCAGGGAAGGTTCTGAGAGCAACGACATCCGCAGAACCAATGTTCCTGATATCCGTGTGGCGTACCGCAGTGAGACGCTCTCCGAGGAGCTGCAGCTCATCACTCACGCTGTTCGCACTGAAGAGCTGGACACCATAGACGAGGAGGACTCTCTGTCCATGGGCCCCCTCCCTGGAGGGCGCTGATACTACAAGCACCTGGAATCGTCCAGTTAATCCACAAGTCCAACTAGCATAACACTGAGGAGTCTGAAATGTCTGTCGTTGATCTAGTTTACAGTCTAAACACCCCCAACATTTGCCATAGAAGTAGACCGCACACTGGCAGCCATTGAAAAGCCAAGGATGTAGGTCTAACACCGCATGTCATCCCCCACCTGTTTCAGTTTGATGTTTTTGAGTAATTTTAGGCTCCAGACAAAGATTTTATCAAGGTGATAAGTTTCATTATCGAGCAACGAGTTTGAACTCACCAGAATTTACAAAGCATGTCGGACTTCTGCGGTATCCGTATACTGCAGAAACACCAGCACACTCAAACTTGCCATGCTGCTAAACTATAAGTAATGCATCAATCATCTTTACTATACAAATTTTTAATGAAGTGCCACGAATGAAGAACCATTCAAATAATACAGTTTCACATACTAACTGTGATGGATCCCATGTTCTAAGCTACTAGAGAGCAGCTTTAATCTTGGGTTTAAACTGCAACTGGTGTAGGAGAGTTCACATGAAGAGAGGACCCAATCTGTCTGAATCATGAGTGTCAGCAAAGCATGATGCCCTGTGAGGTTTCAGATCACGTTATTTGCCAAATTGCACACTGAATCGTTCTTCCATGAGACACGGGCAAACTCCAAAGCCTTCACGTCAGGAGAGTAGCAGCATCCTGCGGTTGACTGCAAAACATTCCATGAAGCAAACGGTCGTTTTAGCTGCTGTAAATGCTGAACGTTATTGAGTGGTGTTTACTGTTGGAGAGGGGAAAATTGCATTGTAGCTTTTTGCCACACATAGATGTGGATGAACATTGTCTAATGAACACCCTCACTGTGACCTTACTGTGGCCATGAAGACCTGAACCCCTCTGCCCTCCCTGTGGACCCTCTTTGACTCATTCCTCCCACTCTGAAAAAAAAAAAACAGTCATCTCCTCTGCATGCAACTGTACATAGCAGTATGCACAAAGCCAAGACTTCACAGTGCCTTTTCCTTTTCAGCTTTGGGCACTGCATGCCCAGATTCTGTCCATACTAGGGGAATGTGTCTTTGTTTCTCTACATACAAATGCTTTTTGTATGCATGCCTGCATGAACAATGGATGGCAGAGAGAATGATTGTTTACGGCAAGCTGTAATGTAAAAGCATCCTCATTGATTCAGGACTTTCAAGCCAGAAATTTCATACAGCAAAAAGATTCAAACAAACCATGTAGAAACGAGTAAAAACCATGCTGGGACATGGTTAAGACTGATGCATGGGTTCTGTAGCAAACATTACTTTAAAAATCACCCAAAACGGATTGAAGCTGGGATCATGTTTTGTACCATACATCAATGTATTATCACATCCTGCCACTGCACACGCTCCAACCTCCCAATCAGCTGTGAATATATCAACCAGCTGGAAAATACTGAATGCGTAAACTTGGAAACTGTCCGCCTTTCTTTGAATGACCAAGTGTAATGTATTATTATACAACCATGTTTGTTTCTAGAAAGTAAGGGTAAAAGATGTGTGTTCATCTTTGCTCAGCGAGAACACAGTAGCGTCTAGATGTTCAGGGGATGCACTTAAGTTTTGTGCTGATCTCGGTGAAATGTGTGTTGGATTTCATAAAAGTGTATTTTCTAAAGGTGATCTAGAAATAAGAAATTTTATATTCAGAGTATATTAATGTTGAAGTTTAACACAGTTTTGTTGATTAGCATTTTTATGTTTGAAAGTAGAGTTTGTTTTTTTTAACAGTCTGATATTGTCAGTCTTTTTAAGTTGTTTTTTAACACCGTAATTATACAGAGCCATTTTAACTCACTTGCTCACTATTCTGAATAATTGTTTTCAGTATTGCACAACAGCTTTCACCCATGATAGACAAGAAATTGCACTTCACCTAAACTCTCATACAAAAATGGGTCTTTTTTTTATTTTAAGTTTTATTTTATTTTAACTTTTTCTTTTTAATTTTCTACACCTACTGTTTAAACAAATCTGCTTTGTGACACAGAAATGTAAGTTTAATATCAGAATGAAGAATCTGCACTGGCCTGAACCTTTTCCATCCATATAACTTTACTACTTCTCATGACATCCACCTCATGGTTGCACGTTCTCTTTACAGTTAGCACACATAACAGCCTGCACCCTACCTCACAAATACTCACCTCTCGTAAGTGTCATCGCTCTGTTCTGTCCGCAGCAACAGCAGGGCCACAATTTAGGATTATGTTCACTATACTGTTGTGAGGGGAAAGTCAGGGCACCCCTTTAAAAAAAGCATAGTTTATTTATTAAAAAAATAACCTTGATAGTTATGGTCTCTCTGGTAAATAGGAAAAAAAGACAATATTATCAGAAATCATTAATGCACAGTTACTTTTTATTTTGTAAAAAAGTACGAAATTACAAAAATAAAAATCATCTTTTTGGCATGTGCAAATGTCAGGGCACCATGAGAGCTTTAAAGTGTCTGGTCTTTCAAGATTCTTTTTAGAAGCTCAGACTTTCACCAGCTCGTTAGTCGTGAAGCAGGTGTCAACAATTCTCATCAGGGAGCGCCAGCTGGTGCCAATTTAAGGGGTTTCAACTCCACAAACCTCGTGCATTCATCCAGCAACCATGGGTTCCTCTAAGAAGCTATGTAAGACAGAAACAATGAAAGTTATTGATGCCCACAATGCAGGGGAGGGCTACAAGAAGATAGCAAAGCGTTTCCAGCTTGCAGTTTCCACAGTGCGAGGTATAATTAAGAGATGGCAGGTGAGGGGAACTGTGGAGGTCAAGATGAGATCTGGAAGACCAAGAAAAATCTCAGAGAGAACAGCTCGTTTGCTGGTCAGGAAAGTAGATCAAAACCCACATTTGACTTCAAAAGACCTGCAAGAATATTTAGCAGACGCAGGAGTGGTGGTGCACCCTTCCACTGTGCGGCGATGTTTGAACGAACAAGACCTTCATGGAAGAGTCTGCAGAAGAAAACCTTTCCTGCGTCCTCATCATAAAATACAACGACAAAAATATGCAACAGAACATCTAGAGAAGCCTGATGACTTCTGGAAACAAGTGTTGTGGACTGATGAAGTTAAAATAGAACTCTTTGGCCACGATAAGCAAAGGTATTTTTGGAGAAAAAAAGGAACAGCTTTTCAGGAAAAGAACACCTTGCTAACTGTGGAATATGGGGGTGGATCCATCAGGCCTTTGGGGTTGTGTTGCAGCCAATGGGACAGGAAACATTGCTCGAGTGGAGGGCTGAATGGATTCCTTTAAATACCAGCAAATTCTGGAGGCAAATATCACAGTATCTGTAACAAAGCTGAAGCTGAAAAGTGGATGGTTTCTACAGCAGGATAATGATCCTAAACATACCTCTAAATCACTACCTTAAGAAACGCAAGCTGAAGGTTTTGTAATGGCCTTCACAGTCTCCAGGCTTAAACATCATTGAAAATCTGTGGGTTGTTCTTAAAAGAGCTGTGCATGCAAGACGACCCAAGAATATTGCAGAACTGGAAGCCTTTTGCAAGGAAGAATGGAGGAAAATCCCAAAGGGTAGAATCCAGAGACTTGTAGTTGGCTTATAAAAAGCATTTACAAGCTGTGATATCTTCCAGAGGGGGTCTTACTAAGTACTGAAGGTACTGATGCTGAAGGGTGCCCTGACATTTGCACAAGCCAAAAAGATGATTTTTATTTTTGTACTTTTTATAAAGTAAAAGTAACTGCATTAATGATTTCTGATAATAATTTCTTTTTTCCTATTTACCAGAGAGACTATAAATATCAAGGTTAATTTTTTAATAAATTAACTATGCTTTTTTTTAAAGGGGTGCCCTGACTTTCACTCACAACTGTATATTTATTATGCTTTTCCTATCAAAAGATAAATGGGTAATGAATGTGCATGATACATTTTCAAAGTGGGGCATTTATGAATTATGAAAAGTTTGTTTCCCCAACAAACCCCAAAACTTCCCTTTATCTTCACAGTCACTCAGATTATCAACTTATTTACCACGTAGAAAAGTGTGAACCCTTAAATCCAAGTCATTTTACATTTCAAAAAGGGGTTAAAAGATGTACAAATTAGCAGAATTATTGATATTTTTGCTAATCCAATGCTTAATAATTACACAGAAGTGATGATTCACACTTAAAAATTGTCAAAATTATTTACAGTAACACAGCAACTAATTAAACTAAGTAATCTTAAATCAATATTAAGTATAAGATCAGTTAATCAGATACTTGCTCCGATCACAGATTTCTTGTTTAGTCCTGTTATTGACACATTCAAATGGTATACTTTCACTCTACAGTATTTTGATGCCTCCAGTCAAGATGTATTTGTATCAGCTCATCTTTCCCTGTACTGTTTTTACAGTTTTGTCACTTTTCATGTTTATTTGTTTTTTTTATTTTTATTTTACAGTACTACTTAATGTCGAACTATCTTTAGCCATATTATTGCCTGGAGTAGATTGCCAATGTTGAACAGTTTCAGAGGCTTCCTCTGAAAAGACTCACCTGTAACATCTGATTGATGAAATAAAGCATGATAACTCACTTCACCTCTGTCTGTGTGTCAAAGATTACTTTTATTTACAGCCTTTGGACTGATCACAAAGTACGTTTTATTACATAAGCCAGGTTATTACAAAGGGTAAGCTTTTATTGCAGGAGAAACAACATAAATTATCTATAATTTACACCTCTCATGACGTATGCTCATTTGATCCCAATTTCCTCGTAAGCATGTAAAACAGCACATTTCTAATCATCTTTTATGCATGAGCTATGTTCCTAATCATTAACATCACACCCAAGATTATACTGTGTTAAACCATTGCTGGCTTCCTCTCGTAGGTGGTCATCATCATCTTTTATCTTTGAATAGCAGCCTGCAGAAATGAAACAGAACAGTCATAAAGTCATTAATATTACACCAACATTTATTGGCCTGATTTCCAATAAATCATATGGATAAATGGCGTAAAGTTGGACTGTGTTGTGTCACTTACGGCTAAGGCAGAGCGGACTGCTTGTAACTGGAAGAAGACCCGCCCTCCTTCCTCTGGACACACCTGCTTCAGTTCCTCTCTGGTCATTCCCAGCAGCATGGAGCCGCTCAGCCCACCCAGACAGCGCACAGTGCTGACAGAATGAAAGACGCATTTATCTGCTGTAAATCAGGTCTGGGGTATGTCATGAAATGGTTCCCAAAGTTCTTCTGCAGGACCCTCCTTTGGTCCATGAAAATATTTTCAAGCTACCTAATACCCTTACCCTCACCATACATGTCCCATATTCCTGTATTTTTGGTTGAAAAGAGTTTGAAAGAGACTGCAAAGATTAACAGATGAAGAAACTGAAAGCAACTCAAATGCTTAATATGTGAGTGGCCCACAGTGGGTGGAAGTGATGCCAAGGATGAACTATGAATTTCAATTTTTTCTTTGTAAGGTGTGACGTTTAGTGTCTATCGATCTTGAACAATACCTCTAGTGACTCCTAGTGGGTTAAATCTGTGATTTTCCTTTGAGTATCAGACTTGAGTATCACACCGACAATTGAGGATCTTTAATTGTGCCAATTAACTGACACATTTTAAAGTCTTCTTCTGGGTGTCTTTGTTCATCAATAGAGGAAACAGAAGGCATGTTAACTAACATTGATGGAGAGAAATGACATAATCCAAACTCGGTAAAGCAGCAGGTTCTATTATTGTATTTCTACATTCAGTCATACATACAAAATCATTGGCAAAGACCGATGGGATTACATAACAGCAGGTTAGATTGTCACCTGGAGTTCACATCTTAATATACAGTTTACCTCTTATACTTTTCTTCATAGATTTAAGTCGATTTTGCTTATACAGTCCCCACTGAGTATTTTTTGGTCTAAAGAGGTCTAATAGATGTCTTAATGTAGCCTAGATGACTGGTCTAAAACCAGGCAACCACAGTTCTAAAAATGAAAGTTTTTTAGACGTCTAAGTTTAGACCAAGTTTAGACTAAATCTAAATCTGGGCTATATCTATACTACACTGTGTATTGCTCAACAGCTATCATAATTATTTTGGTTAAGTACTTGGAGATCAGTTATGCAACTCACACTTGCTTTTTGAAATAAACACTTCTCAAGTAATGGGTTAAAGTGCAACGTCTAAATTCCGTCTAAAAACATACAGAATCTAGACGGTTGAAATTAGGTCTAAAAAAAACCTGACGTCTATTGCTTAGTGGGTATCTAATAACTGTATATCCTTACATCTTACTGAAGCCCTTGTCCTCCAGCCAGGCTTTCACTTCTGCAGGCCTGGATCTCATGGTCAGGACAGGAGGGCCTCCATTCTGCCGAGAAAACTGAACAATGGTAAATACAGGAAAGGTTAATATTAGTCATCGAGAAAGATTCTGCTGTCTCATGTCTCATGTTAGTTCTCATTTAGTTTGCCAATACAGCCTCCAAACATACATTTAATAAGTCACAGGTTTCACTCTGTGATCAATAAATTTCATTCTGCTGTGGAGATATTTTTTTTCCACTATAATTTGGTAAATGTCAGCCCAAAGGTCAGAACCATCAAGAACTGGCGCGTAGTTAAAAGCAGTGAGTAGTGGATGTCTATTAACCAAAATGCAGTTTGAAAGCTTTGAGGAGCAGTGTGAGTTTGTTGCCCCATTATTCTGACTTAAAGCCTTATGATGTAAAATTTGTAGTACCCACCTCCAGGGCCGCCTCATCGTGAGCCTCCAGGACATTATGGGGGACAAAGCCCTCTTCCCCTCCACTGTTCCTCACCTTCCACCACTTCTTCGACTTGTCCAGTAGCTGGAAATGTTGACACAAAAATGCAGTAAAGACCGGAGGAGTGATTTAAAAAAAAAAAGCGGATCATGTGAGTGCTGGATCATGTCAGTGGTTCTCACCTGAACTGTTTCTCCCTTTTTGACAGTGAGCTCTCGGTGGTTTCTTGAGATGAAGTCAGACATAACTCGCATGGGACCCTTTGACTCAGCTGGGCTGGAAAATGCATCAAAGGACATCAAAGCTTGTTTAGTTTAAAAATAATTTCACATGACCTTTAATTTTGTGTTTGGTGCTTCTATATTTACCGTGCTTTCTGTGGGGGAGGAGCTGGTTTCCACTTTGTCGCCGTCTAAACAGAAAAAGAACAGATGCATGCAGTGATTTATCATCTTTTAATCGTAGTTGTCCTTTCACACCCGTCTCATGCTAGATTTTTTTTGTTAATTGGGTACCTGGTCAGATGCAGGTTTTGGACTCTCCTGTCTCCATTCAGGTGTCATAGGTTCAGGTGCTGTGGACACTTCTGGGGGCTGCCAGCCATCAGTGAACTGCAGAGTGTATGTTGGGATGTCCTCATCATCTTCAGGCCATTGAGTACTGGTGATAATTTAAGATAAAAGAAATCTATTACTACAGATGCACAGCTGATTGTTGCTAACTCTAGCTTTTAAAATCATCGTTACATAAATGTACATAAGTATTAATCCTGCAAAAAAGTTGGCATCAACAACATTCACTGTTGTGGCTATATTGCATTGAGCTAATATTAGCCTCCCTCCAACCTTGGGTAGTTTAATCAAGTGACACCAGCCTATAGGGTCACGTGATAAATAGGTTTTAGGGGAAGGAGATTAAGTTAAAGAGCAACAGCACAATTCGCTGTAATTTTCTATATTGGTCTTAAACTCAAACATCCAAGAAGTTTAGAGGGCAGGTTTAATTTTGGCTCAACTTCTGACGACTCCCAGAAAAGCTGTCAATGATCCAGAACTCTTTTCAGATTTTTGTGTAAGAAAATAAATTTTATTAACTAAAAAGGTCAAAAACCATGGTTTAATCATTATTAATATATAGAAACTTAAAGATTTTCTTTTTTTTTTTTTATGACAGTTTTTATCGTTAAAGAACACTTTGGCCAGGATTGCCCTAAAAGTTTTAAGCTGCAAAAAAGCGCCATAATTATCCCTCTGAGTTTGTAGCAGAGTAAAGAAAATACATAAGCACTCAGTGGAAACTCAACTCTAGCACAAGTACCCTGGACCTGCACTTAATTACATTCTTGAACAAAATGTCACTGCAGAGATGTTGTGACATGAAACTTATACTCTTATACTCTCATCTAGACCATGAACGATTCAGCCACTCCCATACTGCACAGGGTCCCACCTGGGGATGTTCCAGGCATCTCCCAGAGATTGCCACAGCTGGTCCTCCTCTGCGGAGGCCTCTTCACTCATCAGACGGATGCACACAGGGGTCAGCAGAGGTGCCACAATGGTTTGTGGCAGACCCTCAGGGCAGTGAGACACCACCTGATCAGGTAAAACATAACTCCAAATAAATGCATGACCCCTCCGGTAACTTTTACAGTAAATCTGTACATGTTGTTACAAGTTATTTAAGATACAACTAGCTTAACCATTTCAAAAAATGTCAAACATGCAGTGACTTACAAATCCCAACGTTGAGAAGAAGGAGTGAACAAATTCAGGGGCACTGGGATTATCAATTTCCCCGTTGAGCTCCGCCTGTCAAAACAAACAGACTTTATTCACTAAATCACCCACAGCAGCAAAAATGTTAAATTGATTGAACGCCAAACAAGAAGAGTTATAACCTTGATCATAATCATAGTTTGTAAATAGAATTAAAGGCACATACCACAAGGTTGAAACCACATTTGATCTTGTGGAGACACTCTGCAAACTCTTCAGCAGGAGGCATGTCATCCATAGCTACAAATTCAAAATAAATGCAAAGACACAGTTACTGTATTTCTGCAAAAACAGTGTGTACGTTTTAATTAAACAGTCTGTTCATTGTATTTTCCATGAACGTACCTTTCCCTTTCTTTTTCTTCTTTTTCTTTGCATTTTTAGCTGTTACTGCCGCTATTTTTCCAATGAAGATCTCAATGTCGCTGACTGTATGATTCAAGATGTCCTGTGGAGGAAGTGGAAAACCATTTTCATGTGTTTCTTGTTTAAACTGTGAAGTACCATTCATCCTGGTTTAAAGATAAAAAGATACTCACTACGTTCCTCTCCAGTTCTGTGTAAGGGCGTTGAATAGCCAGCGGTTCTTCAGTGATCATAGGCTCAGGTGTTGGTGTTGGTGTCTCCTGCTCCTCTTCCTCTTCTAGAGATAAGTCCAGCTCTAGATCTGAGACCTCATCCTCCTCTATAAGTTCAAAGGAGACTTTGTGTCAATTTTGACCAACTCTTGATCAGTGCAGTAGGTCTATTTCTCCTGTCACAAACTCACCATAGTCTGGAGCTGGCACTGACTCGACTGACTGGCTCTCCTCTTCAGGTTCAGCAGATTTTGCAACATTATGAAGGTTTTTCATTCCAACATATCCAGCAACAGATCCTGCATTACTGCTTCTAAAGGTGTAAGAAGCATGTTACAGAAGAATTGTCAAAAGTGGTGATATTTGCTCTCACAATTTTTTGAAAACTTACTGGACGCTTGAATCCTCTCCCCTGCGTGAAAGAGCCTGTGCAAAATCTCTCTGAACAATGTCAGCCTGTTAAATATAACAATAGAAAAAAATAAATCAGTTTCTTCACTTTAATGAAGTGGTGGTTATCAGCATTTTCCATGGGTTTGTCCTCACCCTCACGTCTTCACTCTGAAACATAAAGACAGTGGTGGTGTGTTTTCCCCTCTGCTGGACTGAAAGTGTAAGCAGGGAGTGAATCGCTTCAGAGTCCGGTACAGCATTTAGCTCCAGGATGTCACTGAGAGCCAAAGACTCCAGCTCCTCCTGAAAAACACAACAAGGATGTTTTTATACACAAGACTTGAAAAAAACAGACTTCACGGATGAGGAGAGGTAACCTATCCTTTGAATGTCTTATGTTTCTCATTTTGAAGTCTCTTGCGTTTCCAATAAAATGTACCAACATCCTTGAGTCACCCTCATCCGTTATGGGGTAGAGGTGTTTCTCAAGGCCAATAGGGACTGTATCTATTGATCGTAGCGTGATATAGAATATGCTCAAAATAGTTTCTGCTGTATTTCTTGGGATTATATTCTCATATATAGAAATGTATGTCATCTGCATAGAGGTTAAAACACTAACTATATGTGAAGTTTACAGAATCCACTATAAAAAACCAAACATGTGGTTAACTGCTGTATAATGAACAATGACCTTACGTAAGATTATCGTTATATTAAGGCAGGAATAAAAACATAATGGCCAGTTCTTCATACCTGCTCCCAGACAACCTCATCCGGGTAGCCAAAAAGTGAAATTATAAGACATTGGAGATGTTACCAACTCAGAGAGCATGAGAAACAATCTTAAATAACCAAAAAAAATATTATCTTTACATTTGAGCAAAGTTCACAAGGTACATGCAAAAAAACAACATACAATGAACTCACTTCACTGCATATGACTGTATATGTCTAATTTCTGGTCAAAACACCTTATCACGCTCAATGTGAGTCACTATATCACCTAACAATTCCACATGAAATGTCTCATTCAAAGGGTTTAAAAAAAAAACGAAGGATATAAATGATTTTAATGATTAAAAGTGGCTGCCACTGCAACTCGTTTCTTTAAACAAATATTATGATTATCTTAAAAATCTTGGCATTGGCAGCTATTCTTCCTCATTAAAATCAACAAGTCTTACTTTTGTCCTGGAATATTTAGAAATAATGTTTTTTTTCTAGATTTAAATTAAATTCAATAAGATATTTTTACTTGTACTGACACACATACACTTGGTAAACTATGAGATAAACTACCTTTTGATGGGTCAACAACACACAGATAAATTAAAACAAAAAATTAACTTTTCAAACATTGAAATTTCTAAAATTTATTTACTAATAGGCTGCTGGGAGGCTGTTTGAACTACAGTCCTCGCCAATGGTATCTTTCATAGACAAAAATAGTAAAAGAAAAACTATACAACAAAGGGAAAAGCCTGTGACTGTAGCATGTATGAGTAAAAAATAAAAGGACCCAGGATTGTACCTTGGGGTACACCAATTGGCATATTTGCCATTTCTCAACTAAACTTACAGAGATTGTCCTAAGCCCAAAGGTAACACCATGACAAGGTTATAATATCATGCTTTTGTCTCGTGGCGCTATCAAATACAGCACTCCAAAATCTCCCAGGATCTCTGTTGATTTGTTATCTGATGATATGACAGAATGTCTCATTTATTGTAATATTGATCTGATTATTTTAGTGCACATTTGTCCACCCCTGTGTCAGAAGGAGTCAATTCTCATCAAGTTTGAGTTTCACTTTCTCACCCCTTTCAGCTCTCATATCCTGCTCACCTTGGTTTCAGTGTCTGTGAGTATCAGGTTCCCTCCTTGGATCTCCAGGATCATGCTCTGAGCCCACACACGACCCATCCCGTCGAGCAGCTTCAGCCGCTCAACGCAGTCTGCTACGCGTCTCAACTCCTTCCCATTCAGGTCACAAGTAAACAAGTGCTGTTGCAAATGGTTACAAACACATCATCAAACACAGGGTGATTTAGAAAGGGTCATACTTCTGTTCTTTGTACATATATATATATATATATATATATATATATATATATATATATATATATATATATATATACACACTACGGGCCAAAAGTTTGGAAGCAAGATCAGATTTGTACAAAAAAAGATCATAGTTTCATATATATAATTTGCAACACAATAAAAATGATTATTGTGTAAAGAGTAACTTATCAGAAGACATTTTGACTATAATTATTAGGTATTTGACTTATTGTTGCTTAGACTTTGCTTTCTTTAAAGTAACCTCCTCTGGCTTTTTTAAGTTTTTTAAGGTATCTTCCAGGGATTGCATTCCAAGCTTTCTTAAGTTCATTAAAAAGAGACTACTGATTCATGGGATGTGTTTTTCTGACTGATTGATCCAATTCATCCCACACAAGCTCAATTGGATCGATCGGTCTGGAGACTGAGGGGGCCAAACCATCTTTTGAAGAACACCTTCCTCTTCTTTTTTGTCTAGGTAACCCTGACAGAGCCTGGCAGAGTGCTTAGGGTCATTGTCTTGCTGCAAAACAAACTTATGAGCCACAAGTCTGAGTCCAGATGGAACAGCATGGTGCTGGAGGATGGAGTGGTACTGTCCCTTCTTCATGATACCCTTTACTTCAAACAAATCTCCTACTCCATCACCTGCAAAACATCCCCATACCATGGAACTACCACCTCCATGCTGAATTGTGGGTGTAACACATGGTGCTTTCAGACGTTCACCAGTTTATCTACAGACATAGACTCTGCGTTTTGAACCGAACAGTGCAAACTTGTTTCTAGTCATCATAAGTCCAATTTTTGTGAGCTTTTGCCCACTCATATCTCTTTTTCTTGTTCTCTGGATGAAGTAGTGTTTTTTTTTTTTTGCAGATACACAACCCTTCAGACCAGCCTTTCTCAAACGTCTTTTCACCGTTGTCAGAGATATGGGTTTCGATTTTGTCATGTTGATTTCCTCCCTTATTTTTGGTGCTGTCTTTTTGGTTGCCGATCTCTCTTACTGGTGACAATAATATGTTTATCCTCTGCTTTTGTATCAACTCTCTTTCGTCCAGGTCTTTTTCTATCATCATAACTTCCAGGTTCCTCTAGTCTCTTCAGAGTGTAGTGGACTCCTTTGTTAAACGCCTAAAGGTGTTTTGCAATTTTCTCTTTCTGTGTATCCTTCTTTCCTCAATGTACAAATCTGTACTTTTGTTTCTTTACTCAGTTGCTTCTTTCTAGCCATTTTTGCAGTAGTTTGAATGCAGCTGAGATTAAAAGCCAAAAAGTTGAAGTGAGTAATCCAACTGTGATTTGTTTTTTTTTTTTTGCTTTTGCACTGAAGTTGTGACTCTTGCAAATGTTTTCAACCCTAAAACTAAGCCCTTATTATCTTTTGCTGACATATATTTAGCAATGGTCTGTTAACATCAATGTATATCTAAAGGTAAATGGAGTAAAATGGTGCATTTCCATGAAAGCAACATCTGATCATGGAGTAAATACATCCCAAAATACATACGACTCATGCTGGATTAAAAAAAAAGCATTGTGAACAAAAACTTTTCTACTCCCAACTGCTCGGCCTGTAATGGCCTTGCTTCCAAACTTTTGGCCTGTGGTGTATATTAGGCTACCTCCACTCTGTACTTGAACTTTTCCATCATCTTGTTCAATGATGCTGCATACTCCTTCCTCTGAGCTGTAAAAACATAAACCACAGTTCTTTTTGAGTCATACTATTAACCTCAACAGGCGTAACCACAGATTTAGCTAAGTACAGCAGTTTTTCTTTTAACTCACAGTAAATTGACTTTGCACTGGGCCTTGACAGGTTTGATATTTGTGATGACACTCCATCACTGTGAAGACAGATGCAAGCAATTTATAACAATATCAACAGAATAGAGGTGACAATTGACCGGTCATATTCATCCATAAAATACGCACTCAGACAGGACTGATCCAGCGAAGCTGTTAGTGTCATTTCCAAACGAGTTGTTACTCCTTGGCATTTTTAGTTCTGACTCAACACACCTGTGACAGAAAATATGATTATTAAATTATTTATAGTCACAATAAATCGGAGATGTCAGAGGAATAAGCTCACTCAGCAATCTAAATCTGAAATGTATCATTTGTTACGGAAAGTTGATCAAATCTTGGGAACTTTGAGAAACAAGATTGATTTAGTTTAATTTACATTTCAGAGCCATAATAGTTTGTTGTTTAAAAAAAAAAAAAACACCTGCTTCAAATCATAAACCGATGCATTTTATCATGAGTTGTTTTTGTGAACTGGCACCTTCCCATCCATGTAGTGCTGCTCTAGCCGACTATTAAGTTTTAAAAGGCATTTAGCAGACTGATTCACAGACATGAGTTAAAGTAGTCCAAAGGTAAGTGATCTCTGTCAACAGAAAGAAGAACTTTTTTAACAGACCGAATGAATTGTTCAGAAAATTAAACAGTAAAAAAGTTCCATGTCTTTTCTCTGTTTTGATTTGGTATGTTCGTCAACATTTTTCACACGAATGGAAATATGAGCCGCTATTGCGAAGCATGAATTGTGTCAAGTGCAAACACACAATATGACCTCACCCCTGGTCCTTTCCATGAATAACCATATTTGATAAAACATAGACTTCTGTCAAGATTCAACACCAAAACTCTTACCTTTGATGACTGTCAGTTCAATATCGTCGCTTCCTTCTGTGTTTTTCAGCTTTAGGTCCAACTACAACTCATATTTTTATCCTGTTCCTCACGCAGTGACAGCATACACCCAAGACTTCCTCATAAAAGAGGACAAAGTCCACCTTAACCATCAGGAGCATACTGAACAATCCTGCTGTGGGCGTGAGATCTGAAATATGGCACCTCCACTGAGCAAAGGTTACCAGATATAAAGGAAGTCACCATACCCCAGACTATAAACCCTCGCCTGCCTGCCCTATCAGCATTTTTCTTTTTTCCACTGGTAATTGCAACAACTCCTCAGATACACATTACAGATAACTAGAAATAGATCTGCAGAGGAAGATACAATAAAGAAGGATTGATTGCTCTCGTATCTACATGAAATGGTGCCATCTTTGAAGGACTGCCATAATATTGAACATCAGTTATCTAATAATTCATATAACTAAAGTTATCGCTCTAAACATCTGTTTTTTCTTCTCAAAATTCAGAATAACTGTTACACATTAACAAATTGAATACCTCATTGGTGCAATGAGTTGACGGCATGTAGCATGGGGATCTTATGGTTATGATTATTCATGATAATATACAGAAATAACAGCAATCCTTATTAGGCCATTAATCGTGTGGCTGCCATAGCTTTAAAAACAAGTTCATATCACCATCTATGAGATTCATGAATTTAAATGTCTGGTAAATATCAAAAGTAATATTTTTCCTTGCTAGGGTTAACAAATGATACACTCATGGTAGATACAGATGGGATGAGGGTGGGTCTGATCTTGTTAGATTCAATCTTGTCCAGCCTCAATGTTTTTTTGCAAATCTAATGTAAGTCTATACCAGCTCTTTCTGTTAAGAATCCTGAGATAGCATTTGTTGTGAATTGGTGCCAAACAAATAAAGACTGATTGATTAGTTGATGATTTTACTTTCATGTTGTATGCTGTGAGAGATTTTTGCTGATATTTTTCAAGATTTTTTGCTATTTCTTTGCACCACTAGAGGTCATTAATGCTGCATGAGTCTGTTCAGAAGGTGCAGGAATGCAGTTACCTCAAAAAACTGCTCGCATTTGGTTCAGCGGTCACACAAACTTAAACATGCAATAATCAAACACGATTAAGTGATTTAGGTAATAAACTGCATTGTTAAAAATCGACTGCTTCCAAACTATAGAAATTTAATGAATCCACTGTGGTTTTTGCATTTTTATTGATAAAATAAGAGTACAATCATGTGATAAATGCACTTACATTCAATAAGGAAACAAACATAATCCAGCACCCCAAAGTGCAGTGGCATCTATATATTAACAGATCCATAAAGCTGAATGTTGTTTAGATAAATGTCTGCCTGAAGACAATTAAAGGCTAATATGTGAATACAAAAATATCCTGCAGAAAAACAGAGAAATAAAACAACTGGAGAAAAACTGTGAGCTCATTTTTTTGTCAGCTACTTGCCTAAAAATTTAATACACAATTACAGCGTAATTTCAAAAAGGTTGGACAGCTTGATCACATATGAGTTGAAGAAGGAGCAGTCCCCACCTTTATTTATATTTGCATATATTTAAAAACTGGGGCCAAAAGATAATGGGTATACCTGTCCTGTGTCTGACCCCTGGAAAGTTTGGTAATTACAGCCCAGTTTGTAACTGTTTAACTTTGTTGAATGTCCCCTCACAGCAGACTTTGGCCCTGGCAGTCGGCTCAACTGTCCACGGTCCCTGCACAGTCTAATGCAGGCTTAAAGATACAACTTCTATATACAAACAAAGTAATATCACAATACAAGAGAGAGGCTAAAGAAACAAAGTAGTCCTACAGTATGCAGAGCACACTTCTTAACTGATTACACATAAGTACTTCTTTGCTAACAGTGGGTAACTCTCAGTAGCAGTTTAAAACAAACAAGACATAAAATAAATGTACGATCACAGCGTGTGCTGCTTCACTGTGCCTGCAGAGCCTGGACGATGTTCAGACCGGGGCCAGGGGGCAGGGCCCAGCCTTCCTGGCCTTGGTGTGTCTGCAGCAGACAGTACAGCTGCTTCAGGTGGGTCACTATGTTGTCTTTGATATCTGGGATTGAAATTTGGAGGCGAACGCTGCCGCTGTCGAAGGAACGTGTGTTGTCTCCAGAAAACATCTCACTAATCATACGGGCAACGACAGGAATGACCTGAAGGATTAAGGACCAGTATGAGTCAAATAATCAGAGTATTAGGCCTCAAGTAAATCTGAAAGATTTGATCCTTTTTTTCTTTTCATTTTATCTTCAAGCTTTTCATAATTATTTTTAAACTAGTTCATTACAGAATATCTTCTTACCTGAACCATGATGAGTTTCCTCTCCCTTGGCTTCCCATCAGGCCACTCCTCTCCAAAACACAGGTTGATTTCAAAGTTAGGGGGGCTTGATGTTAGGCCGCGCTGGTGTGCTATTACCCCTGCACATCATATTATCACATTTTATCAGGATGTCTTTCAAAGAGAATTAAAAACCTAACAAAATGTGTCTATAAGTAAATATAGCCAGAGAGGTCAAGTTGCAGTCAGATTGAGGATTCTACTTACCACTGAGAAAAGACTCCAGACAGAAGAGTTTGACCTTCCTCTGGCGCTCGATGAGGTTTGGTGCAGCTGCGTTTGCAGCACAGGGGCCAGACCAGTACACCTTACACTGGCAGAGACGGATTGCATAGATATCGTGGCCGTTGACCTCCAGTATGAGACCTCTGTCCATCACATCCAGTAGGCGGCTGGTGAAGATCCTCTGTTTGTCATTTGTGATGTGCTCTGTGGTTGGGAAGCGCAGCTGCTCCAAGTTTACGGGTCCGAACAGCTCCTCCTGGTTCACCATGGGGCCAAGGTCTCCGTAGAAGAGCCTGCAGCCCTGGGGGTTACTTACAGTGGCTGTGGGACACATCTCCTTCCCTCTGTACTGGAACGTCACCTCCAGGTCTGTCACTGATGCAGAGATGGGTATACATGTTTTACACCCTGTTTGATCCAAGTTTAGTTCAAGTTTCATCAGAAAGACATTCCACTAAATTCTATTTGATCCATAACAACTGTATATCTTGTTCCTGAACCTTTTATTGGTGTCCTAGAAATCTAAAAAACACACCAATAAGCCTTTTTGTATCACCTTCAGACATGATCCATCACTATGATGAAGATGGACACTAGTTTTTCTACTACTCTCAATACTGATAAGAAAATCATATGCACAGCTGAGTAAAACACCTCACGTAGGAACTGCTTTTGACTAACATAATCCTGAATAACAGAAATAACACAAAATTAACATACACATACTTGTAAAGTCCGAATGTGATCAGACAAAGACCTTTATGTAGTTAGCTTTGAGCTTTTCTGATTGTTTCTTCAGGAAGAGAAAACTTAAGAGTATTTCTAACCTATCCTTTCTTTTTCTAAGCCTAAATGGTTGTGGTTGTTTGTGGTCTACAAATGCATCTGGTCTCCTAAGGACTTTGCCAAGAGTTTGCACACTGTGGGACCGATTCTTGATCTCTGTAAATAACAGTCCAGATAGAACAGCAAAGATAAGCTTTTGAGGGAAACTGTCATGAGATACTAAAATCTGTCGATTCCTTCCGCCATGTATGAGCATCAGTTCTACAAGACCAGAAGTGTATCTTACTCGGGAGAGAACTGATCCAGGTTTCAGGAGAGGCGAAAAGGGCATCAGGTAAAGATGGGGGCTGCATTGAGGGATCAGGCAGAGGAGCGGGTGGCATGTCACCCAGGGGTGTGGGGTGCATCTCCACATCGACAGGCTCCTCTTTAGGCCAGATTTTGCCAGGTTCTTCTTTGGGCCAGACCTCATTTGAAGGGGGACAGCTGGGGGGCTGCATGGAGTGCTCTGAGCCCATTGGAGACCACATGATGAGAGGGGAGGGACTTGTGCCTAAGTGAGGGAAACAAAAATATTAAGTGTACCATATCTTTGCAGCCCATGGTGAGATATTGAGCGTAATCTGTAGGGAGAAATTATTCACCATTGGATGGATATGGTGGGAGGGACTCTGGTGTATCTGGAACATCGTCTTCCCTGCCATCATCATCATTTGGGGTCCAAGAACCAGCATCTGAGGAGCCTGTGGGGTGTAATAAAACTTGTAGATATAACTTTGCAATGGCAAAACTGTGGGGAAAGGTGAATTAATTCAACCAGCTGTAATCACCTTGGTTACTTAGCGGCTGGGGAATGTCACAGACGTCATATATCTTCAGAGGATTCATGGGGACCTCTTTGGTGCCGTCATAGACCAGGTTGAATTCTCGGCTTTTGTTCAGGGCACAACGGAGCTGAGCTTTCCACTTAGCAGGATCAGGTTCATCAACACCCTCCTGGAACTTCCCAGTCTCCACGGCCCACGCCTGAAGGAACAATCACACAAAAAAATGCAGGTATCAACATCTACAGCCTGTCTTAGTGCTTTTATGACACTGAGGACTATTCACAGATTTGCACTGCTTTTTTTTTTCATTATGGAGGAGTATCTGTGCAAATAAATAGCCAAGACCATGGTGAATTTCCTTTTTGCCATCATGTAGATCACTGTGTTTCTGACAAGAACCTAAACCCTGAAATGGATTAAAAGCTGGGATGTTGCCATTGAAACACTTTCTCAAAAGTTTATTTTTATTCCTCATCTCCTGCAGCATGTGTACAAATCTACTTTATTTGAGGGTAATAAATGTTCAAATACTATTTTTGGGAACATTTCTCAGACTACCTCATGAAATGTACCTGTGTACCTGTCAGAGGCATAAGCGAACTAAGCACCTGCTTAGGGCCCCGCAGCCAATAGGGGGCCCCCAAGAGCAATCAAAAAATTTCAAAGAGTTTAAATATTTTTTATTTTTTGCATGAATGAGTGATGCGTTCTGTGTGATCAAATACATATTATTGTAAAAATAAAGTAAAAACATTTTAGTGCGGCTGCTGATGCAGGCCTATGATTCTTACAGCCGATATGTCAAAGCTCTGCTACCGTTATGTGCCCCCTGCTGTGCAATGTGCACTGAGCATCCAAAGCGCAGGTAGTTGTGGGGCAAAACAATGTCGCAAAAAAGGACATATCCTTCAGGAGCAGAAAAAAGAAAGAGGAAGAAAGGGGGAGAAGTGAAAAAAGGCCAAGATAAAAGTATGTTTGCATGTCATAGAATATATATCAAAGAGATTTGTGAAGGTGTGTGAATAATCAACAATCATAGACTGTATAAAGAATGGACAGAGTCTGCCTCCTCGCTGGGTGAAGCCACTCTGAGAACAGCACCCTCTGTTGATGGGCTGCAGTAAAGGTCATAAATCCCGCCTCTGCCAGCAAAGCTTATGGGACTGTGGACAAACTTTAGAAATCTATTACACAGAACATTAATTTTTCTCCCCCCTGCTTGTGATATTGCCATGTAGTTATTGTAAGACTAGTTTGTGCTCAAGTCCTCTTTGTTTCTGTGAAGCTCCATTTTTAAATGTTATTAGGGGGTTCATGTTTTCTATGATTGACACTTGATACAGCCTATTGGCGTTCAGGGATTGCCTAGCTCACCCGGGGGATACGCTGTTTGAGCCGAGCGTCATCACAGCGACTCTCGGCGACTCTCCAACCTACTGCACAGCGCTGGTTTCAGAAAATGAAGAAAAATCCTAGAAATACCGAGAGCTTTTTGGCTTCAAATCAGTATACAGGCGGGAGGCAGGACCATGTTGTCCATAGTATATACAGTCTATGTCAACAATCAATATTATTGGCAGAAATAGAGGCTTGGGCTCTGTTACCTGTCCTGGACCTCAAATAAAGCAAACTAAACCCCCCAAAGCTCATATAAACCTTCTGACATACTTCCCATATACTTGATATATCATAATCAGAATGCTTTATTTGTACTTGCAGAAATTTGGTCATTACACTTGGTCTTGAAAATACAAATATCAATAGAAAGAGAATAGAAGTAGGAATGAAATTTAATTGATTAATTTGACATAGATATATACTTTTTAAACCGATCTTCCTTAATGCCAGAAGCCAAAAGGGATTTTATGTAACTGTGTTGCAAAACCAGATGAGGCCCCATGCAAAGGTGTAACCTACAAACTTTGAAAGCCTGGTTCCCCACCTGTGCAGCAGAGCAAACATTTGCACTCAGACTAAACAAACAGTCAACATGCATTTCTGTTCAGTGTTGTGTCATGTGCTCTAACCTTAAATATTGTATCCTCGTCCTCGTGCTGAGGTGTGTGTCTGGTGGCGTGTTTCCATGGGATCCTGAAGCGCATGTTCTCGCGGTCAATCCACACTAGACCTGGGTATCTCCCGCTGTCCACCTGAGCCACCAGCCAGGGCTTCAGTCGGACCCGTCGAGGGGTGACCGACATCTCGACTGGCTAGAAGTTAAAACACAAACAATTGAGACTACAAACACTTTAGCTCTGAATCATCCATGCAAATGCAAGAAATCTCCAACAAACTCTGAGGCAAAAAGCTGCTGCACCGCTTAACCTAAATCCTGCATGTCCGGATTTTCCAAACTACCTCCACACCTTGACTTTGCCTTCAGCTTAAATGTTTGTCACACAGCCTAAAAAACGGGCCGTGTTTTGAAGGCCGACATATGAGCTATTCCAGTTTAGTTAATACGAGAGATTAGCGATAACTTAAAGTGACAAAAGTACCAGACAAGACACTGAACAAATAACGACACACATACCTGCGGAGAACCAGGAAGTAGGAGAGGTCTTTTCCTTGTCGACCCGTTGACCAACAGCTGGTAATAAAACTCGTCTGTTCCTCCCAGAACCTGAAAAAAACTCTCCTGCAGACTCACGAGACCAAAGTTCACCGAGTATCCCTCTCGCGACTGTTTGAGGACACAACAACAAGAGAAATGTTGATGTCGGACTGACCGTCTTTGGGGCCGATGTTGTTCCCTCTGTTGCTGGGCTCTTCCCCCTTTCCTCACCGAAACTCAGGTATGGGCTGACGTCACGCCGATGACACACCTTTTTCAGAGCAGCTCGAGGACAGGAGCACGTGGGCAGGTCACCTCATTTTTTCCTCCAGCTTCTTCTGAGCCGGTGTGTACCAAGTTATGAATCTGACACTGAAATATTTTCCAAACGATAAGTTATTTAAAACGTTAAAAAAAACCCTGACTTAAATTATTGGATTAGACACGGACAGAACCTCATGTAGGCCTGTAGAGCTTTTACAAAATTAAGATATACAGCTGCTTACCTCGCTAAACAGTGTCTTTAATAGGGGAGAGTGGGGTAAGATGAGCCATTTTTCATATTTCAGATCACTACATCAAGGCAATCATAGTTTAGTCTCTAACTAGTGTATCTGCATATATTTCAGGTTGTTGTGCATTCCTGCAAACCAACAGAATGAGAGTAAACACAACTGTCTTGATAATATAGCATGCCAAAATAAAGTGGTCTCCTATGGTCAACTTACCCTGTGTATGGGGTAAGTTGACCATAGGAGCGGGGTATGTTGAGCCGTATCCCTACTACCCCCCCACTCTCCACCCCAGCCCTACCTCACCTTCTCTCTCCCTAAATAACAGTCACTTCTTCACATTCATGTGTATTTTTATCTATTATACGCTATTCAACTGGTACAATAATACTTTTTATTATTATTGCATATAACTGCTAAAAAGCTGTTTTGTAAAAAGTCATTTTAACATGAGAATGTCTTTAAGTGATTCAGAACATTCACAGCTGTATTTTTGAAAAGAAAAAGTCAAACATTTCAACAATCTGAACTGAAACTCTGATCCTCTTATCAGACTCCTTTACTTTCTCAGTTACCCCTGAACTACTATTATGACTTTATTAGTCCTCTAAGCTAAAATGGTGGACTTTTATGCTCGGTTTTCGACTTCATGTTGTAGCTCATAGATACAACAATTGATGTGTAGAACAAATTTAAAATTATCTTTTTTTGGTCTGAACACAATTCTAATAAAACTTATGACAGACTAAATTCACTTTCAAGAGTAAAAAAACGTTTTTAAAAAAAATAAATGTCTAACCCCTTCACCCATGTGCTTCTAACCTTCACAGACTCCATGAATTGATGCCCATCTCCTAAATATTTGGTCACATGATCAATTTCTTTTACCATTTCCAAGCAACAGGGGGGTGGCTCAACTTACCCCTTGGCTCAACTTACCTGGGTCCCCCCAACTGCTCTGATATAATAGCTTATTGATATTAATAGAATTCACAGAATTTTAATGTATCGCCGCTGGGGTAAAAGCTTTATCCTTTAAAACATTGAAATGTGGGAAATCAATGAAATATTCACAATAAAGGAATAATTTATTGCTTTGTCACAGATTACAATATTACATAACAGCTTAAAAAAAAATAAAACACAACTTTTGTATTCTCCCTCATATATCTAACAGCCTAAAATGTTATTTTCCCTACACACTGCTTTCTTTATACCTGCAAATGAATGTGTTAGTTGTAAAACACATGCATTAGTCATACTGTAAAGGGGTTTTATTATTCCAGGCAGAATATCCCTAAATTGATCCACATCTGTAACATTTATTGTAGTAAACGTGTCTACATGCCAAGACAGAGCAGGTTGAAAGTTTCCATTGAATGAAAGAACAATAGATTCTTTTTAAGCACCTCAGGACAAGCACACTTATAGTGATGATTATCACTACTTTGATGATCTCTGCACTAATAGTCACCCAAACATGCGGGCAATAACAAACCACTCCCTGAAACCACTCCTGGCTGTGAGTGTGTGTGTGTCCGCTGTCAGCTGTGTATCTTTGTCTTGGCTTTTCCTGGTTTCAGTACAATATGCATAATAAGTTTGTGTGTGTGTGTGTGTGTGTGTGTGTGTGTGTGTGTGTGTGTGTGTGTGTGTGTGTGTGTGTGTGTGTGTGTGTGTGTGTCAGAGAGAAAGAGAAAGAGAGGGGTGCTAACTATGCCTTTTTCATTCAGCAGTTAGTTTGTATGGCTTTATAAGTTTGAAGTGGCGGTGGGTGTGTTGGATTGTTTTGGGTCTGAGTAGGTATTTCATGTGGCAGCGGTACAAAGGATTTAGGGATCAGGGGTTATAGGCTTAGGCAAAGGGGACTCTGGGTGTTATGGTGATCAAAGGTCTTCTAAATTCACTCACATTCATTCACAAAATTTCTAATGATTTTTCTGAAATGTGTATCCGTAGTTTTCCTCTGGTAGTCTCTCACTGTGCAATTTTATTTTATCTTGAATAGATACAAGTTTGAAAGGTTGGGAACTCAAAGTGACACGATTTTTTTTTAATGGCTGTCTGTTTTATTCTTCCTTTCCTGTAGTTCTCTTAGTTCATTAAGTTAACCGCAAGGAATTATCAAGTCAGCATATGTATGTCATGTGAGCATACATACTCACACACTGTTGTTTTCCCTTATCAAACTATGGACCACAACCACAGACTATCTAGTATCACAGTGCGGTAAAATCTATCTCTAATTGACTTAAATATTCCTCTAGCTTACAAGAAAAGACTTAGGTACTCCAAGGCACACTGTGCATCCTCTATCATGGCACTTTTAAGGAGTTATCACTATTTTCTCTTCCTCTTTTCTTTTGTAAAGCTACCAAGAGGAGCTCTTTGTGAGTAATAAAACAGACTGAACTTAACACAGATGTCTACACACAGATTGAAAGTTTCTTATAGTATCTTGAACTCTCTTGTTCAAAACAACAGATTTAAAAACGTCAACAGGGGACACACTCCATTCATTGAGTGGCTTCTACTGAAAGACAGAAATTCACAATGACAAAGCAAAGAGACAGCTTTCTTTTTCAGAAACTCCATTGAATTTATACAAAACTTTTAATGGCAATAACAAGCCAGTGTGAGGAGTTTTGAAATGGTTAAGAAATAGTCTTATAGTGACACTGATCCTTTTTTGTTGACATGATTAGAGAATTATTTCTCTGTTGTGATTTTTAATGCCTTAAACTGCTATGAGGTGATTGACAGCAGCAAATACTCACAGTGAGTGACATATTTCAGAGTTAATAGACAACAGGTTAAAGATTTTGTCTGAAAAAAATGACACCAACCAAAAGTTCCTGAGCTTTATCTGTAAAATGTCACACTTCACATGTGCTGGAATGACATGGTCAGAAAAGACATTTTGTTAAAACAAGTGTTGGAGTTTATTTTGAAGCATACATACTCTCCAGTAAAGCAACCTCATTGTTCACTTTTCTGTAATGAGTCAAAGTGAAAGAAAATGTTGGAGACTTTTTTGTACGATCACAAATTCTACTTTTACCTAAACACACAGTCTCGTATCAAACAGCATACAAATATTGGCACTTCATGCAGTGTGTCATGGATGAACACTGATGCTGTTTGTCTTTATGATGTAGACTTGTTCAAATTGTTTCAGCTGGATTTTTGTTACATTGAATTTTGGAAACTATAGGCCCTATGAGACCAACTAAATCTCTTCACTGTATACAACTTTGAATGGTTCAGAATCCATAAGGGTCAATTATTATGAGAGCCACACATTACTCCACATCCATCTGTCTTGATAGTAGTTTGTGGGCCATCCTGAACCCACCTCAAGTCATTCAGTTGTGGCACATTGAAAAAACATTACAAAATATATACATATGTCAAGGTCCATTCAACTAAGAATTGCAGGGGCGTGCACATTTCAAGTTGGACCCCAACGAGTTGTCATTTAGGGCACCCTTTCTCCGCAGCCTGACTTCCCTGCTGGAAAATTTCATTGATTTCCTCTGATCTCTCCTTGAATCTTATTGACGATGTGTGTAAGGTCCAAACTCTCTGTCAGAGTTTTCAGCAGCATTTCGTCCTTCTGAACCCCTTCCATGAACTCTTCATAAGAAAGTTCTCCTGGAAAACAAACACACATGCCGAACTTCAGTCTTGGAAATATTCAAGATTTCTTCACTTGATCCAAACCCAGTTTCTCTGATTGAACACTTACCATCTCCGTTGATGTCGATCCTGTCGAACACCATGTTGGCAAAGTCCTCTGCTGACATCTCATAAGGATAACCATTGATTGCACGGATGGACTAAGCATGACACACAATAAAGGGAATTTAAAAAGACATTCACCTCAGAGTTGTTGCTTTGCATTTACCCACCACTAGATGTCAGCTAAGTGTCAGCAGTTTGCCTCCTTGTGTCACCACAGGCCTTGAGCAAGCCCAACAAGGGATTGTCTGTCTGTTGTTTAGACCTTTGTGGTCTCACAGGGTTGTTCCGGGACAATGTTTGGATTTACCTTCGTCTGTCACAAATCTCTAAGTCAAGTTTAGCGTGGCTTGCTAAGCTCACCTTAATTATGAGAAGCAGCTCATCACGGTCAATGCACCCACTCCCATCTATGTCGTACAGTTTGAAGTACCAACGGAGCTTCTGCTGCACGCCTCCTTTCAGCACCAGGCTCAGGGCAGCTACATACTCCATGAAGTCAATGAAGCCATCCTGCACAAACAAAAATGATCATGTTAACGTGGTCATTCATTTGAGACATACTCCAGATCAAAAAACCAGAGAGCAGTGAAATAAAGACACGACTGCTGTAGCCCCCAGATAAACATAAAATTAGTATTTATAATAACTGGATTAAAATAATTTCTATAAATTCAGAAATTGTGTTGGACTGTCAGTAAATCAATGTGGTTCAGGTGGATCTTTTTCAAGGCTGTGGGTCAGTTGGGTAAGCAGAGTCTGAGGGATTAGCCCCCCTCACTAATAGAATAAGGTGCTCTCAAACAGATTTCTATTAGCAGAAATAACATGGACCACTTTCCTCTCAGGAAAACACAAAAATACACACAAGCAAAATACACATACAAACTCAAGAATATTAATGAAAATGAGCATCTGTTTCGCTTACACAGCTCATAAACATGACATGTTTGTAATTGGTTTTGAAAATAAGTAAAAACAAACAGCTCAACATGCATGTTTTCTTGGTTCACAAATGAGGGTCAGGATTATTATCTTATTTTTAATGATAGTAGAGTTATATCTATGGCTATACTGGTATATTGAAAATATATGACTCAATTTAATTAGACTAGCAGCATTTTAAAAACCATTGACCTGCATATACAATATATCTTTCATTGCAACACTGAATTACAAACCAACTTTTTTTTAAAAGACTACACTTCTTAAACACTTTGATTTCATTATACAAGAGCAAAGATAAACAGAGACCATTTACAGTCGGAAAAACAGTAGCGTTATAGAAACATTTTCACACTGGAAGAGAATAAATCATCTTACATCATTCATGTCAAACGTTGCGAACATAGTCTTCACATAGGCATCTGAAGTATCCGACAGATTCCTCAGGCCAAAAAATTGCTTGAACTCGTAAAATGTGAGAAGTCCTGATGGGCACTCTGACATGAACTTCCTGTACCACTGATGACTCTCACAAGCTTGAAGTTCCTCCACAGACGACCCACTGCTGTTTCCCATAACGGTTTCTCAAAACAAAAACATAAAAATTCCAGCACACACCATAAGCACAAGGTCCAGCTCCGGCGAGCGTCTAGGCATGGCCAGAGTGAAAGCAGTCTGTGAGCAGCAGGTTGTGTGTGGGCCAATCATCTCGCTGTGCGTCTGAGTTGAGGGCTCAGAGTTTGTAATCCACTTTGCTTGCCAGCAAAGACTTAACTAATTAAAGGAAACTAAGAGCAAAGATGTTTTGTGTGACACCAGCTGACAAAGATGAATATTTTAGAGCTGCTAGATGACCTGTTCGGATCAAATATCAAGTTTTTCTGCTTATGCACCTCACTGAACACAGTCAACAACCAAAACACAAGTTCAGATCAAAGACTTTGTCAACACTTCATGCTTTTATCACAGATTTATTCAATATATAATTTTCAACTACTTAATACTCTAGGATATCTCTGTGAAAGCAGGGAAATATAAAGCTCATGTAATCATAATTAAAATTCAACACTCCCCCTCCCCTCCATGCTACATGTTGGTCTTGTCACTTTTTAACCATAGTGGGTCAGTATATTAGCTTACTGACATTTTCTTATCAGTTTGAAGCATAAAGTTCAGTTGAAGAGGAAAAGTTAGGTGATTAAAGTAAACCACAAATAAGTGATTATGTGGCCACAATCTTGCAGCAAATCTTGCTAAATAGCTACAAAAAGCCAACCTCATTTTGGTGCAGCATAAAACGTTCACCAAATCTTTGGGTTCATCCTACAGTGACTGTAAATATCTGCACAAATACATTCATCATTGGAGTTATCAACTGTAATGAATTAAAGTGGAAATCAACAGACCAGCTGTTAAAATACTGCTAACTGCTAAAACTCGGACTAGTTTCACTTTTTATTTAGCTACTCAATCATCAGATGTCTTAAGATTTGGCCGTCTCCTGACCCTAAGCTAGCTTGTTGTCTTTTTCCCAGTGTGCTGCCTACCCAAAGATCAATCATGGACACAACTCAATGGTGGAGAATACCGTGCAGGTTAAGGTCAATCTTCTGATACAGCAAACACTGTCATGTACTCAGTCAAACAACAGCAGGGTCACTGACACCTGGGGAAAAGGAAAGGCGAACGCAGAGATACATACGAAGGAAGCAAACCATAAAATGCAGCATTTCCAGTTTATTTAAATATCTTACAAGGTTGTAAAGCAATCCATGAATTCAGTTAAAAGATAATGAATAAAGACACTTCAGTCTCAATTTAAAAAGAAACCCTCTAGTATCGCTGCTGCCTGCAGTAAAGATCACTTTTAAAATATGGAGTCATATTCATAAAGCGCCTTTGCTTAAGTCTTCTCACTGTAGTCCTCAGTGATCTCTCAGCTTACCCTAGTTTCACTGCAGGAATGGCCGTCACTGAGAGACTTTAGACCCTCTTAAAACGCCTCCATCTGCCAGCAAATTGACTGAAAGGGGGCTGCCACTAACCTGGCCAGTAAAAGATGGACTGTAAACCCCCACCATGACTAAATAAGCTGCTTTTCATGACGGCAAGAAAAATTATACACAATGTTTATCTTTATTACTGCAAATGTGAAAGCTTAATACAGGGCAGGTTATTTAGATTCCTGTTAACATTCTTTGAGTTGTATCTTGCTGTGCTTATTTAAGACTGAAGAGGTGAATGAAATTTTCGGTAACACTTTACTTGACGCCTATCTATATAAAGCATTATAAGTATATGTATAATGCATTATAATCACGTTAAAGCACTGTATAAGTACACTTATAAACACTCATAAATAATTATAATACTTTACAGCAACAATCATAACACATTATAAGGCACTTTATCATGACTTAGAAGGTCAGGTATTATAATGTGTTATAACTGTTAACAACTCACTGTCAATGCCCACATAGATAATGCACTATACATATGTTTATGATGATTTATTATTTGCTTGTAAACTTGTATAATTATCATTTTAAATGCTCATTCATTATCATAACAATAAGCATAACACATTATAATACCTGACCTTGTAAGTCATGATAAAATGCTTTATATTTATAATGCGTTATAGAGATGGGCATCAAATGAAGTGTTACCAAATTTTCTTTGTTTTGTTTTGTTTGTTCATTCTTGAGAAAATGGCATCTGGAACTCTTGGCTGTTGATGTAAAGTAAAAAAAAAAAAGTCCATAGTTTTCATAAACACAATGCTCCCTTATCTCTTACTAAAGCAGATAAACCAGATACAAGTAACCGTGGTACATTATGAATCAAAACCAACAAAAGGTACACAGGCTTTTACAAAAACCTCATTGTGATATGTCTCTGTTTGAACAGTTTTTTTTTTCTTTTTTACCATAGAAACATCACGAACAGAAAAAGGATGTGACTCATAATGACAGATTTATGATCCTGACATATACTGTAACTGTTTACATCATCTGACACACATTTTTCCATGTCATAAATCAGGCTCAAAATTCATCTGCAGTTTCATCTCCATCTCAAGTTATGACTGTTCAGATGTCACAATGGAATTTATGGTCTTTTTTTGGGTTTCTATTTCCTTCTGCTTCAGCATCATGAAACTTTTTGGTCACCTATGATTTTACTGAAGAACAAGCCTGAGCTTGTTTTCTTCGTATCTAAATTTACATGAAAACAAAGGAAAGAGTTTAGAAGATAGTTGTAACAGGTGCTGTACACTGGTATTTGTCTTCAGGCTGTGAGACACTGGGGCACTGGCATGTTTCATGAAAGCATAATATAACTTTAGAAACTTTAGAAGTTATTTATTTAGTCATAAGTAATTTGGTTTATAAATTAGCAATAAACACACAAACTGCCATCATTGTGTCTCTCTTCACTGAATTGTGATTAAAAACGAAGTAATTAGTAATTACACTAATGATGTAATGAACAGCGGACACAGTCGAGTTGTACTTCATTCAGCACTGTGAGGCAGGTAAAGGGTTAAAGGCCGCCACATTCTTCACATTACGGCAGCAACAGTCGTCAGAATGAATTCCTGCCTAGGACAGAGAGACTGGATGGACCAGTTGGGTTTGTCTGAAGGACAGCTGAGGTTTAGGTGTGACAGACGTATTTTGAAACAGACAGACTGTAGCCAAAAGGAAGGCAAAAACGATTGGCAGGTTTTTTGGACAGCATGATTAATCACTTACAGGGAAACAAACACTCTTATGTAATTATGTGAAAAGGACATTACAAAAATGTGCCTCTGAAAATGTGGGAAACTGTCAAACATTAAAGCCTAATGGTCCTTCATGGAGGATTCTTGTGGAGGGCAGACTAGCATAAACCATCATATTTAAATCATTGTAATGGCACTACAGGGTAAAAGGACACCTATTGAGCTAATATAATATTACATACTCTACAGGTGCATCTAAAAAAATTAGAATATTTTTCTTTCCTTAAATTTTCATGATTATGGCTCATCGTAATAACACATTTGGTTGGAGTTTTGGCACTGGGAGCAGGATCCAAGTCCTGCTGGGAAAGGGGATCAGCATTGGCATAAAGCTTGTCAGCAGATATAGGTATGAAGTGCTCTAAAATCTCCTGGCAGTCAGCTGCAGATGACATGATACCCCAAATCATCATGGACTGCAGAAACTGGTGCTGTGCCTCTCCACTCTTTCTCCAGACTCTAGGACCTTAATTTCTGAATGAAATACTAAAATGACTCTAGTCTGAAAAGAGGACTTTGTATCACTAAACAATAGTGCTGTTTCTCCTTAGCCCATGTGAGATACTTCTGATGTCTCGGATTAAGAGTGGCTTGGTATTAGGAATTCAGTAATTATAGTTTCTTTCATGACAGTGTCTTTGCATGGTGGCTCTCGATGCACTAAGACCAGTCTCTGTCCACTTCTCGTGAAGCTCTCATAAGGTCTTGAACGGACTTTTCTTGGGAATCCTCTCATTGCTACGGTCTTCTCTGCTGCTTGTGCACCTTTTCTTACAAGTCAGCTTTCCATTAGCTATAATACACAACTCTGTGAACAACCAGCCCTGTCAGCAACAAGCTTCTGTGGCTTGTCGGGGGATGTCAATTGTTGTCCTCTAGACAAAGCTGGCTCTGTGGTTGGATTCAAGTTGGACTCACTGGAGGATGTGGTGGTAAGATGTACACTGAGGAAGGAGGAGCCTATTCTAAAGAACATGGATCACCCACTTCACAACACCTTAATTGACTTAAGGGCCAGTGGTGGTGGACGGCTCCTCTCTCTTCACTGCAGGACAGAAAGTTTCAGAGGATCTTTTGTACCAACAGCCATCAGACAATTCTTTTATAAATAGAAAAAGACTTTTTAGACATGACAAATGAGACAACAGAAAATTGAATTTCCCTTCTGAGATAAATAAAGTTATTCTTAGTCTTATTTGTCAAGTCTGTAGTTTTCCCCATGGTTGGGATGGTTTACTGAGCTTGACTGAGAGGTAAAGTGTTTCTGTTTGAAAGATAATGCACTCATTAATATTTTTAGACATTTATTTTTAACTTTCTGTTTTTAGTTGTGGGCTATAAATATCCAAATAAAGTAGAAAGATAGTTGAAACATATTACTTTACAAACAGTAAGTATAGAATATTTGATGTTTCTCTTTCATAACTGACTGATGGAAAATGTGAGCTTTTTCATGATATTCTCATATTTTAGAGTTACCTGTATGATACTTTTTGATGATAAATGTATCTGAATCATTTTACAACAGTAAAACAGTTTCAATCCCCTAAAAATACTGTTTTGATTGAAAGACAAGTAAGAACTACTCCAGTATTGTTCTAACTATTGAGTAACTGTACCCTTTAACCCTCAGTGTGAATCAGGCCGTGGTCTGTAAATAAACCAACTGAGCAGTGAGGACGTGAGAAAACAAAGATCTCTTTTTAGCAGCCAGGCTCACTGTCTTGGCTCGGCCCACTTTGAGCTTTATAGGACCCATGATCCTCTTTAGCCGCAGCTCTCCCCACCATCACCTTTATGTTTATCCTCCTTACACAAGTCACATGATACCCCATCCTTTAGTAAATAATACCGTGGTGGTAGGTAATGCCTCAACCATGAAACAGACAAAAATATAAAAAAGGGATCATAACAAAGCCTTAATGTCTCAACCATAATTAATGAATAACTGAGCAAATACCCAGGAGGACAGCTGATAGCATGTTAAGAATCTTATGTGTGTTCACTCATATGAAAATTAAATCCTCCTTTGTTTGGCTTCGTTGTACTTTTTCCTGATTAGATGTTCAAGTACCATAGTCCACGTTCAGGTCAAAGGTCAGTCCTACTTTTCCTGTTTTACCTGCAGCACTGTGTAAACTCCCTCTCATTATCAAGTCAGCTTGATCTATTTTACACTGTTGAAAGCTGTAAAAGTCAGTCTTTAGGCCAAAATTTATTCAAACCACTTATACTCCCACTGATTTGTGTTGTTGTCTTTATTCTGTTTTATGTGTATATTTTGAAACTTCCTGAAGATCTCATTGTATTTTTGTGCACTCAATAATTGAACAGCCATACAAGTCCCATTTGGCTCAATTATCTTTCTTTAAAGGGACATCACAGAGTCAAAGAAAAAGCATGCTAAATTTGCCTCATTGTGGTGCAGCAGAAATAGCTCAAGATGGAGATACTGAACCTTTCTCCTGCTGGGGTTCAGACTAGGGCTGGGCGATATGGGGAAAAGTTTATCACGATATATTTTTTCACACCAGTCGATATCGATAAGTATCACGATTTAAAAGATGCAATTCAACAGTGCTTATTGGTAGCATGTCTTTTGCAATACAATAAGCTACTGCATCTGTGAGGTCTTTGTGTCTCTTCAGTGTTTTGTCGTGAGGCATAGTGTTAGAGAAAGAGGATTGAATGGTCAGCTGTTTCAGTTGCACAGGCGCCATGGGCTCCTTGCTCTGCTTGGGGTTTGTAACCTTTTGCTCTGCTGCGTAGCACTGCTTCAGGTGGTCAAAAAGATTTGAGGTATTCCCTGACTTTGCGAGAACATGTACTCGACATAATTTGCTGTACATATTACTCTGCTTCATGTCCGACCTAAAAAAAAACGAGATATCTCCACACCACTGATGTTTTAGTGCCAGTGTTGTCGACAATGTTATTATCTGTTGAGCCTTCATCTGTGTTTTTGCCGGGGGTAGCACTCATTTTCTTTTCTTCTCACCAACAGTGCTGTTGGCTTCACATGTTAAAGTGCTATAGTTGCATGTAGCTGCAGCCTGCTACTACGCAGTTGTTTGCTACTTGGTTCTAATTCAGCACATTATTAGTAATGTGAAGTGGACCCGGGGCAACTCCCCTTTTCACTGGCTATTCATATAGTCTACCAAAACATGGCAGAATGCCGACTATCGAAAAGCATATTGACCATGTTTTATATTGATATTGAGGGAAATTAATTTTCAATATATACTGTTATTATTTTATCGTCCAGCCCTAGTTCAGACCCAGAATATTTTGTGTAAAAACAGATAAGTCTATTTCTCTGGGGCAGCTGTGACTCAGTGATACAGTGGGTTGCCCCCTCAATTGAAAAATTGATGTGACCCCGTCTCATCACACGCTGAAGCATCCTTGGTGTGGATACTCAACTCGAAATTGTAAGAGGTGAATTAGGGTCACAATCAGCAGTGTGTATTGGCCTATGAATGGGATTAGATTATTCCTGTAATATAGCGTCCTCTGCCATCAGTGCATGAATATGATGTGAATGGATGAATGTGATAAACCATATTTAATCCCTATACAAGTAAAAGCTCATTCACATTTACCAGAAGGCTGCACAGACACTAAAGTTTAATTAACATATTTGTGCTGTTATATTTTTATACCAAAGGAGCAAAGGGCCAATTTATTTCCCATCAGCACCTCATTTCCTTCTTACAGAGATCACTATAAAACCAAAGTCCATGTTTTTATTTTGTTTCCTCAACGTGAAACTGTGTTCCTGCACCTGTTGATGGTGGATAATAAAAGGACACGCTGTTAGTGAGGTTGACCGCAATACTTTGAAGTATGAAACATGATAGCTGCGCAGTTCGAGTGAAGAGACCAACTTTTCATTAAAACCCTTTGTCTTAAAGCTCAGAGCAGCTGCTTTAGGTAAACGCAGGTGAGAATTGCGCAGGAATGTGTCAGGAAAGGAGAGCCGCGGCCTCACCTGATGGGAGTGTATTAAAGAAAAAAAGACAGACAGGCTCGGTGCTCAGTGAAAGGAGAGGAGGCGGGGTTTGCTCCATTTTCTCGCTCTGTTCACAAAAGTTTGCTCCAAATCAGTTCAGTCAGGTTTACCTGCTGCGCTCCGCTCCACCTGCCGCTTCACCTTGGATTTACCTGCCGATCAAAAATGCGTCAATAATCCAGCTCGGTCGTATCGTGACAATAACAGACTCTCCAATCATGAGGAAGGGACCTTTGCATTTTTTGGGTCGAAAGAACCAGTCTCTTTTCGACACCAATGTCAAAATGAAAGACATGGGTGAGTAAACTAATTTCACCTCAAACCTACTTGTAACATTCGAGAGAAAAAAAAAAGTTTCAGGTTAACGTTGACTGAAGGAAAATACGACCTTTGTAACCTTGGATTGACTCGTACTTCAGCTCTGACACCTGTTAGCTCGAAGCTCCCTTATTTATCCTGTATGAAAGTTTCTAGGTGGATGACAAAGAGTGGTTGATGGTATTTTTAATGACATGTCCTGATGGACAAGTATCAACAGGTGCCTTCAGGGAAATGCAATTCATCCATGAAAGACCTGTTCTCTAATGTTAATGCCACTTCATGGTAAATCTGGATGACTCTGCCTCATCTGTCAGTGTTTGTTGTCTTGATATTGCTTCAGGGATATACAGTAAAGAAAGTAGACAGGCAATTGTAGAAACTTAAAAGACATAATTATATGGGGTACATGTAAACTAATACTTTTAGCTGATATTTGCAGTTCAGACCTAACCATGGTGCTTATCTTATTTTGTGTGATTAGGAGTCATCTTACATCCAGATATATGACAGAACTATTTGAAGCGATGACTGTGGTACCAACTGTTGTTATTTCAGGCTTAATATTTTGACAAAATATAATGACAAAACTGGTGAAATTAGATGTCCAGGTTCTTGTTTAAATATCTAAACAGTGTTTTACAAATTTAAATTATGCATGAACACTAAGTTGATTTTATGACAGCACTGACACTCTGACATCTAAAATCATTATATCTACTTCAGACTATGAGGTGTTTAAAATTTTGAAAAGAAGCTAGGGAGGTGCATAGTGAGAAATTAACCTATTGTTATTCTTTCATTCACTGTTAAGTTAAAGTTACATAAACTGTAACCACTAGTTTGCTAAAGCCGTTGTGTAAGTGAAGGAAGAGAAAATTTCATTGTTTGCAGTACAACATTAGGTTATCACAAATTTGTGATATTTTATATCTTTCGCATGTTGATATCAGTTTACAGATAAACTGTGGCGTTAATGCCACATTAGTTCCATTTGATCAGAGAAGAAAATGAGAGTGAAAGCTATGCAAAGCCCCGACGAGAGAGAGAGAGAGAGGTCATTTGTTTATTCAAATGAAGCAGGTTCACGACAAGGAAACAAATGATTTGGACAGACTGGTTGAACACCCCAATCCATCTCTCTTAAACCATGTGAATCCCATAGCTGCATATACCATATTATAACATATATTGTATCATGGGTGTTTGATCTCAGTAGGTAAAAGAAAAATAAAACACTTTGATTTTCTTGTTTGTACTGTCAGTCATTTTGGATGGTCTTTGGTTGTTCTCCCTCAGCCTTGATGAAAAGTGTGGCTGTAGACGTCTGTCAGAAAGTGCAGACTAAGTGCCTCTCAGTGACAAGTTTCTCTCATCAGTCACTTATTAGACAAACAAGACGAAAGCAGAGGAATGTACGACTTTAAAATATCTCCTCACTAACCAACCGGTGACCTCTGATATAACCTATGGGATTAACAGAATGGTTTTGCGGCTGTCCTGATCTATGAATTTTCACACTCAAACATTAATTTTAATGTTTGAGTGGGCTTTGTGGAAGTGGTCTTCAGACTCGCCTTTCCTATAGGTCCATGTTTATAACAGCATTTGATTGAAACACAAATGTGAAATCAGGAAAATCAGACCAGTTTCTACTCAAACGGAATCATGCGCTTTTAGCTGAAATGTGATGCTAGCTCCTTCTGAGGGTGATGAACAATAAGTCTACCAAACAGGTATTTAACTTAAGTTATGTAATGTGATTATCTTCAATTTCTACCAAAACCAAGCTTTCACCTGAACACAATGGTGAAATATAAATAAGGATTAGTGTTCATCCGCCCAACTCCTCAGTTGTCAACAACAGAACTACCTGTGATAGCGACTGGGATCACACTGTCGATTATTAGACTGAGTGGCAAAGAAAGAGGCCTCTTTGGTGTATACAGTATCTCATTACCTCCACAATGACCCATGTGTAATGTACTAATCTGCACTTTGGGAAATCACAATGCACCACGGACCACAATGCAGATTTTAGGCGGTGAAATGTGTACACAATGCTTTAAATTGTGCAGAAACGCGTTCTACAAACAAAGGGCCAACAGGGTATTAAAACTTTCTGCTTTTTGTCCTCTCAGACAATGTAGAGCTGGTGCTGGGGTCCGCAGCAATACCCGAGTCAGGAACAGCCAGTGTGCGGGCCAGACCTACTGTCAAACATCATGCTGTGAGTATCTCAGTAAAGCTTTAAAAGGTTTAAACACTGCAGACATTTACATTTAGATTAATCCCTGCTTTACAGATCTTGGAGTTAAATTAGATGTGTGTCTCAACAGTCCACACCCTGTTGTTAGGCATTACTTCATCTTGAACTCTGTATCTGCAGAACTGCTTAGGTGCTAATTAACTGATAAAGAACAGTGTTTGACTGGAGGAGGGTGTTTGAATGTAGGTCAGCTCTTATAGGTACGGTGCAAAGACATTTACGACCCATCTTTGTTGTATATTTCTAGTTAGGTAGTTAAGTATTAACTGGTGCCAGTTAAGTTTGGATATATTTTTAGTGTGTTTTGAATAAAACACGCTTTCTATTGTAACTAAAACATACTCTTGTGAGAGTGATAATTATGAAAAGATGCTTTAACTCACTGTTTGAAGTTATCACCTCTAAAACAAAGATGGTATCACCTTCTCATTGCCATACACAGCACACTCAAAGACAACAGCTGAATTAACCTATTTTTAAAAATCAGAGGTGAACCATGTGCCTCATCATATTACACGAGTTAACGCCATCAAGAGAAGTTTTCATAATCCAATAGATTTTAAAACTTTTAAAACATTTTAAAAGGTGAAATTCCTGCAGATAATTACAAGTTACTGTGTGGAGATACAGTAAATACATCTGTGTTAGGGCAGCAATTGGTGCTTTTCAAATGGGCTATACAACTCTGACACAAGTTTATGCAGGGTATGATCAGTGATTTCTAAACCTTTTGGCTTGTGCTCCACCTGCAAAGCATGTTTATCCTCCCGGAAAAACATACATACACTGTAACTCTCACCGTGAGTCATCTGTAGCCTGATTTGCTTTTGATAATCTCAGCACTTTAACTAGTAATACTTAAACACTTTTACTGTTGTAGAAATTTGAGTTTTACTTGTGATGGTTTACACTGGCACTCTGTCTGTATTGTTAGTGTAACATTCCCATAAGTAATCCACCACCTTGCACGTATCCCAGTATAACACTATACTACAAACAGCTGGTATGGGAGTTTTCCTTATGTAGTAAATAGGGAGGACTATGACTAGAGTTCTGGTCAGTATGTCTATCAGGCCTCCCATTTTATTGTCATGGTACAGGTATAAATAAAGAGCTCATCAGGGCTCTGGTTCACACACCTCAGTGTTTGGGAGTGTTCTGTGAATGCGTCTGTGGCATGTGCTAACTGTGGCACACCCAGCTGCACATGGGGCAGGACAGCTCAGACGGCTGCGACAGATGAAAGTGAGTCATAAACCAGAGAACAAATACGTGAATCAAACTGGATCTGACGCCATTTTTACTGACACGCCCTCCCTCTGCGGTGAGGTGAACATACCTTTCCAAGAAGCTACATAAGAGTCTCATTATTTCTTGAAAAATCAGCACAGTCACTCAAGGTGTGATTTCAGGCTGGTGTCCCAAACATTTGAATCAAAACCTACCTGAAACTAAGATGTGTGACTTTGTTTTGATGCTGCCAGTGTGCATATGACACATATTGAAAAGCAGTGGCAATGAACACCTCTTCATTGCCACCCTAATTATTTCCCATAAAAACCTACTGCACAGTAACTTCACAGAGAACATTAAAATGTGTTTGTGTTGCTGATTTTTTAGCTCTTTGAGGAGTACATACCTTGTAACCTCTCACTTATGGACGTCTATTGTGTCAACACAGTCTGTGTTTATTTTTGTTGGCGTTTATGCCATGAAGGGAGCTCTCTCTCTCTCTCTCTTTTCTTACACATACACACAAAATCAAACACACATACAAACAAACACACTGTACCTGCGTAACAGCTTGTGATTTTCTCAACCAGTCCCACTCGCCACTAGTAACAATACAATGAATAATAGGTGTATCCTCTGATTCACTAAGAATGCTCATAAGCCAAGAATGCTGTAATGTCATACCCAAACACAATGTTTTAGGAAAATCCAACCAACCCAACAACAGACTAAGACTAAATAAACTCTATGGTAAGGACATAAGCTTGTTTCTTTTATTTTGTTATGAAATTGTAGGTCAACAGGTGCACAAGTTGGTGGTTTGCCAAGTGAATATTTACCCATATAAAAACATTTTATGACACCTTCAGGACAGGTAGTTTGGTCCATCGGATGTTTTTGAAATAATCTTGAATCAGATGGTTTCTTTTGGTGAACATGTTTGTAAAAGACGGCCTGATTTTTTTTTTTTAACAGTCCACAAATGACAGTTTCCAAGGGTTTGCTGTCCCAACACCCAAAGTCCCCCTCCTGCCCCCAACCAATGGTCCAAAGATCAACGGTTCAGGTAAGCTTCAACCTACCTCAAATATGTACTTAAGCGTGGCAAATTCCATTATTTGAACCTTAAAGGACCAAGACTATTGGTGCCTTCAGCCAGACCCACTTGATGGATTACAGCAATCTGTCACCATAAAGGGCTGAAAAATCGGGGCAGGTAAATGTTTGTCTAGCAGTTGCTCAATAACCTCCATAATCCCTCCAAAGAGCTATACCAAATGACAGAACTATTTGCAGAATGGGAGTGTTTGTATTAATAGAAAATGTAGATATCTCACATTTTCTTAATCCACAAATCAGTCTTTGAACTCTTGAATCCATTTGAGCATAACAACTGGTGACGTAATATCCAAGAACCAAGACTTAAGAAATCAATCAGGTTTACACTGATTAAAAAAAAGTTTAAATAAAACAGTTCTTACTTAGATGTTTGTACCTCCATTGTAACAAACGTAGAAACAACTAACTGTCACAAATTTGGAAATGTAGGGGTACACCTGTACTGAACTTTACCGTTATTCTGTGTTCTCTCTTTTTTTCCACAGTCGGTTGGAGTCATTTGTCCAATGGATCTGTTCCATCTGTGCTTGACCTTCCTGAGGAGGATCTATTTGTTCCCCCTCCACCAACTTCCGCACCTCCACCCCCACCAGGGACTTTGAATCCTCTTCAAGGGATGATTATCCCTCCGCCAGACTTCATGGGTGATCTAAGCACTCTAGACCTGTCCACCCTTCAGCCTCCATCCATGCCAGCTCCAAACCCCCCTTCACTGGCACCCTTAATGCAGGAAGAAGATTTAAACCTCTTAAAACCACCACCAATGGCTCCACCAAAGCCTCCTTCCACTTGCTCCAGTGGCTCTGTATCATCCATGCCCATTTCCAGACCACCATCTTCCTTGGTGCCTGACTATCCAAGATTTGCCCCACCACAGCCTCCAATGCAACACAAGAATGTTAAGACACCTCCTCCCAAACCTGTTAGACTGTCTTCAATCTCTAACCTTGATTCCCCCCCACAAACTCCTGTCCCAACTCCCCCCGTGCATACCCCAACATTGTCCACTTTCAATCCCCAGCACAAAGCAAAGCTTTACAATGTACCCACAACCTCAAATCTCAAAACCTATGAGGAACCTGACCCAAGGCCCAAGCAGAAATTACTCCTTGAAGATTCTTCGTCCGTCAAAAGTGCTCAAGGGATCCTTGAGGTTGATGGTAATGTCCCTAAAGTGGCAATACCATCCAAGCCAGATCCTAAAGATATACAGGAACTGAAGGATAGCCTACAAATCACTCAAACGCCCCTGCCTGAACCGAGCCAGGAAGCTAGAAAAGCAGTCGTTTCTACACCACCACTCAATAAACCTCTCCGGCATACTCGTCAGATTTCACCGTCACTCCCAGCATTAAACAGTACCTCTGTAAATCTAGACAAACCCGGAGTATCTCCAAGCCCAAGTCACACATTCAGTCCTTTGCTGGATCGTAAACTACGCAATCTAAAGAGCAGTGAAACCAGTGGGACAAAAGATGGACCTGCAGCCTCCCCCCTTGCTCTCTTAATGGCAGCTAAAAAGAGAGACAAGGACAGATCAACCCATTCTCTGTCCCGAGAAAACAGTGGCAAGAAAGATGAGCAGCCTAGTGCAAACATACACCCAAGCGACTCGGGTCCCAGTTCCTTCATTAGCACACCAAGGTCTAGTTCACCCTCCTCCATTGCATCCCATGAAAGAGTTCAGGAAAGTCCAAAGCCTGTTGGTCCCGGGAATCATATCTTTCATACTCCAGAAAAATTAACCAGCGCTGCACTGATAAAAGGTCCGAAGTCATTAAACAATCCAGGTCTTAGTGGAAGAGCAGGATCCCCAAGTTTGACCAACCTGATTGCACAGAAAGAAAATTCAGAAAAAAGCTCCTCAAAGTCTCCAACTTCCCACCACAAGGTGAATAAAGTAGACTTAAGTGTGCCAGTACTCCCTCCCCCACCAGAGTTCGATGATTTTGATGATATTGTGGGTCCCCCTCCTTCCATCACTCCACCTGACCCTCCCAGGAAAACCGCACCAGCACCGACTTTCATCCCTCCTCCCCCTCCTCCCCCGGCTCTAACTCCAGCACCATCTCCTCCTCCTCTTCCAAAACTCAAACCCCCACAAGCTCCCAAACTCCCGCCTTTTGACACAGATGTCAAACCAAAGCTACAAGCCCAGACCAAACCCAAGGTGGGCCCTAATCATATCCCATCCAATCTTTCCCCCAGTCAGGTCACGCTCTTGAGTATCCTACAGAAAAAGATGGCGGAAATGGATCACAAAATGACCCCCATGAGGGACAGCGAGTCCAACTTTGATGAATGGGGCTCTCCTTTGTCTGATGAGGACAACACGGTTCTCATCGTCCCAAAAGTAACACCACAGAGCAAGAGTAAATCTGTGATGAACAAAACAGAGGGCCTGGACATGCGTGAGCTGGAGGGCAAAGTGGTGCGAAAAAATAACACTATCTCTCCAGTGAAAAGTCCCACAAGGTAAGATTTCCAGTGCTCAATATTCAACTTTTCTTTTATTGACAGTGAGTGAAGCGTTTTGAAGTATTATCCACTCATCATCGTGATTTTTTTCTTTTCAGCAATGGCGTGCACTCTAAACACCAGTATGGAATGACCTTTACAGTCCGGCCTGGAACCAAAAATCCAATTACTCCCTACGTTAGAGGAGAATCTTAACGGAGTGTGTTCAGGAGATGGCTGTTTTCTGTTTGGTCTATGCTATGTGTAATTGGATATTGTAATTTAGTAGCAGGATGAATTGAACAAAGGGCAAGAAGCACTTCGAACAAATGAGTTATGCTGATTTGGTTGGTAAAATGTTACAGATGTCTCAGAACAATGTTTGTCTCTAAATTATGTAGCCTCCTCTGAATGTATTTATAAATCTTTTGAGATCCTACTCATCACTGTCAAGTTTTCTTTTTTCGTATTTTAAGTTAACCAGTTCAAAAGATTTCTATTGCTGCTCATGTTTATTCAGCGAAGATGTGCCTGATCAACCAAACTTTGTAATCAGTGCTACAGGGTAATATTCATAGAATCTATTGATTAATAAACTTTATGGTTATTCATAGCTAGAAATGTATTTTGATTAAAACCCTATCTGCACTATTGATAACATGTAAGATGTTAAATTGGTCAGCATATCTCTAATGTTGATGATATCAAAGTTCTGATGTTTGATTTTTCGTGGTTCATGGTGTAATCACATCCTGTAACTGAACTGTTACGTGTTTATTATGTGGGTCCACTGGATCAGAGCAAACCAGAGAGACATTGTTTCTCGGCTCAGTGGGATTGTTCCTCATATTTATTGATCTTGATTGACCATCTGTATATTACTTCATATTCATATTCAGTAAACATGTAAGTCATTGAAACTATACTTTTTGCTTTCTGTATTTATGTTTGTAAGAGCTTAAAATGGAATTGACATATTGTAAAATCTAGTTTTATGTACATGTTAAAAGTTTGCACATTCACAATATTTTAAATATTGGCAACAGAGTCTATAAAGAAAGCATATTTTGATGCCAAGTGTTGTCAAACAACTCTCTGTGTGGAAAATAAAACCAAGAATTAATTGCACTTGTAGTGATGGCTCTTATGAATGTTCTGAACAAAACTGAGTGTCTACGTTAGAATTAGGCAAGATAATTTACCAGCATGTCATCAAGCATTGAGGATTAAATATGAAAGAAGGGTGAAAAATGGTGTGACAGCTGAGCTGGAGTTATTGTCACCAATTTGGGGGTCAGTGTGGAAGCAGCAGCAGGAAGTGCTTAGCCAGCAAAATTTTGATCAACTTTTCTTCGGTATAACTTTCCTGTTTTTGGCTTACTTAAGGAGAATTGTAGATCCTAATATCAAAGCTCTGCCAACAAATGGGATTAGCTGATTCTGATGGACACTAGCACCCTCTGCTATGAGTGTATGAATAGATGAATATAATGTATAGTATGGAACATCGTGTAAAAGCACTTTGAGGGCTCAGAAAGACCAGAAAAACACGATGCATGAACAGTCCAATCATTCATTTATTGTGGCTTGAAAAGCACTCCAAGAAGCAATCTTGATGGTGGTTCAAAATCTAATGGTTATTTTACATACCCAGCAGGAAGATCTGTGTTCTGGACAATGTTTCAGTTTCTACATTTTATAGAGGGGATATTGTCTTAAATGACAGCAAAAAATCAAGTTATTTTGATCCCTAAAATCTTGTGTGGAAAAAGGCCATTATAATCCTTACTAGTCGTGTTCAACTGGCTCATAGTTTTGTTTAAAACTTCAAAAAATGTTGCTGATGAATCAACTTTATTTTGAAAAGGTATAATGTAGGTTAAATTAGATGCTGCTAAAGGGCTTGTTTTCGTTGGCTATCTTATTGCCTGGTGTTGTAAATTATCCTGATAAATGCTGTCCTACTTACTAGCATTACTACAATGATAATGTTTATTAGATTGTGCTGGTATCACGTGAAACTGATTTACAGTGCGTCAAGTCCAGTCCACCGCATCAGACTGCAGATTAGCCACAACACCAAAGCTGCCACTGACAGTGTAAATAACACATGTAATCTTGTTAACGTCTGAGTAGACTGCCAACACTTGACACATAGGGAAGGCTAACACACTACCCTGTTTATCAGGAATGGGTTAATGGGGTCAGAATCAGTCACACAGTGGATGCCAACTTTTTTTTGGTACACTGTATTCAAATATACCCATTGGAACATCATCCCCTGTACTTTCAGCTACACTTTCCTTCCATAATTTGACGGTTGTCTGCATAAAATAGAAATCGAAGACCACAAACATCAAATCGTCTCTTGCTATCACAACATTAAGTTAACCTTTAATGTAAAATAATGAAATACAAATGGGTGCCTTGAGTTTAATTACACAGCAAAATGCCACATGGTATTAGAACAGCAGAGAGACTGTTCTGGAGTTGAGGAGTAAGCATCAAAGCTGAGATGGGGGCGGGGGGGTCGTCAAATATCATAAACAGATCTAGCTTGAATAACATATTGAACACAGAACCCCTCAAAAACAGGGGGCACAGAAGTTATTCAACACTGAGCTCTTCCCGTGTATGATCACCTGTGGGGTCTAAGAGGAGTTGAGCACTCCTGCAGCTGGACCCACTGTGTGATGAAGCACAAGGTGATCCCAGCCAATGGTTGTGAGAGAATTAGAACCACCCTGGAGCCAGCACACACCTTTGACAAAGTCCTGGTGTCGTCGATCTCTAAGTCTATGAGAAAATATAAACACCTGATCAATTATTTTTTACTGGTACAAAAGACTGCCAAGGTTTACAAGTGCAAATACTTACATTTCACGCAGATCTGAGTTCAAAACAGCGAGGGAACAGTCGTCACTGATCGAGGCCAGTAAGGAAGAACTGGGAATTAAAAGAAATAATCCAAGATTTGTAGAGGTAACATGTATTGAAATAGCTATGTGTATATCAGCATTTCATTTTGTTTACCTGTGAGTAGAGAAAGCAAGTCCACTGACTCTGCGGTTGTGGACCTTCTCCACCCTGACTGGCTCTGTTCCCAGGAAATCCTTCACAGTCACTCTGCCCATCTCATCACCTGAGGCACAATAACCATGATCATACATAAAGGGACCGCCAGTTTCTGTCAGTCAGTAACCTGCTGCTGGGACTTACCAAAAGCGATGGTGCTTCTTTGGTGGGGATGCCAAGCTGCGGTGGTGGGGGAGCAACTGGGAGACTCTACGTTTGAACACAAATTATATCAATGTTAGGACAGAATTTGCATAACCACCAATGACTTTGTCTTGACAAGATGAATATCATTAAGTCACCCAGCCAGGCTTTTACATTCTGATAGCATTAGTCACAAGATCAGGCTTGTTAAATCAGCCAAACGGCGACTAGGTGGCCCTTAGTATGACCACATAACTGTCAACATTTATGTCAAACTGATTTGTCTTAATGATTTCTGATGAGTTGTGATCAAGCATCAGATTGATATACAGTTTCATTTATTTGCAATGGACATATTCTAACCTGCTCAGCATGACAGTGAACAGGCGAATTCACTATTCTTTCCAAGTCTTGCACTCTTGGATTCAATTCGCAGTTGCAGAAATCACAAGAGACAAAAAAATATTCATACTGGCTTTAAGCTATTAAATCTGCTTGCTGTGTTTTTGAAAGAGGTGTGACATAAGTCTCCACTGTTGCAAATGTAATTCCAGCACCATCAACAACCTGGCAAAACCTGTTACTCACCTACTCTCGTGGCGGGTTTGTTCGGCTTCCTCCTGTCCCACATCAGCACACGGCCATCCTGACAGACAGACAGACGGAAGAAAAATAGGTTACGTTTGAAGAGAGGTAATGAAGACTGACAGCTCTCTGCGAAGTCCTTTGCAGTCTAATGATCTGTATAACTGCCAGAAGTTTATTGGGTTATAAGATTTAAGGTATGCCCTACATCCACTACAAACCACTGTGCTTCCTGTGTGAGGTTTGATACTACGTGAACAGTGATTCAGCAAATGCATCACTTAATGCATCCTTTTCTCGAACTAGTAGATCCTTAGTGACATGCATTTTATTATATGTAGCAACGTGTCTCCCTGTCTATCTCCATTGATTTTCATCAGTGTTTTGTGTGCAAAGTGTTGATTGGTTACTTACTTGACCACAGGAGATGAAGAGAGACTCGTCTGTAGGACTGCAGGTGACACAGTTGACTGGCTGCGTGTGGACTAATGGGGGGGAAAAAAAAAACATATTTGGTTGTGGCATCTAGGTAAATACTTTTTTTAGTCCAAGCTTTGGATTATTTTAGAATTTTAGTTGCGCTTCTAAACATGGGGCATGTTTGCAAATAAAAAGATGTTATAATTTACAAAGAGAATAGTTATCTTACTCGAATACATAAGACTGGTATTTTTTGGGGAAAAAATAAAGTCTATAGAACTTAACTCCAATTCTTTTAGCACTATCTAGATTTTCCAACAGCAAATATAAGATGACTCCTTACCATTATAGGTAGTAACAACTGTTTCCTGACCAAGGTCCCAGACTTTAATTCTGTAGGAAATGAGGCGAAATTAGGCTAAAAGGGGTAAAATCCTCATGTTCTAGATAAAAGCATAGAAAATCAATATTTTTCTGTTCTGCACTGATATACAAGAGTCCAAAAAGTTCTAACCTGCAGTCCATGCTACCAGTGACAGCACTGTTTGCTCCTGTGACTGGGCTCACTGTGGTGACAATATGGTCGTGCTCATGTTTGGTGAAGCGATTTACCAGCAGGCGCTCATCTTCTGCCAGTTCCCAGAGCTCCAGTGCACCTGCCCAGAGACCAGTAAAGTGATATTCACTTTAACGATCCAGTCTAAAACTCAAGGCTACATTTGTAATAATTGTTAAAGGGATATTCCGGCATAAAATTTATTTAGGGTCAAACACACCCTAACACTGAGTTAGACACCCCCTTGAGAGATGAATGTTGCTGACCACTTGTTTCTCTAATTTTACCAACTTTTGTAATGACTGCATGATAGCAATACACTGCAGTCTGAGGAGCCACACACAAACCTCAACCAAAACACCACTCTATAGCCACAAATAATGCTCAGAACAGCACCTAACTTCATCAACAGTACATATAGGGTCCCAGCCATAGTACTAGCCACCAAACATCTTTTTAACTTTCCCTAATTTCTTTAGCAAAGAGACTAAACACAACTCACCTACGCTCTTTCAGCAGCTGCTTGTTTGTAGTGAGCCCTTAGGCCAGTCCATTACGGAATGGACTGGCCTCGTGCTGCGGGGTGACGCAGCACGAGAAAGAACATTTATGATAATTTTTTCATAGAAATGCAATCAGACCGAGACACTGAGGCAGAAGAACTACCGCGTCTGCAGTGCAAAATGATTAATATGATAATTATTACTCAAAGAAAATGAGAAAGTAATGATCATAAATGTTCTTCCTTGAGCTGCGTCACCCCGCTGCCGTCTGTAATGGACTGGCCTGAGGTCTCGCTACAAACAAGCGGCTGCTGGAAGAGAGTAGGTGAGTTGTGTTTAGTCTGCTAAAGAAATTAGTCAAAGTTAAAAAGTGAATTCATTTTGTTTCACCATTACATGAGCTGTTGTTGTGGTTGTCCCCTGTCTCTTTCTCACCCTCATTCTCTACTCTCTCTCCCTCCCCCTCCCTACTCATTCTCTCTCTCCTTCCCCTTATCTTGTTCTCTCTTTCTCCCCCTATCTCTCTACATTCCTCCCCAACCCAGCAGCGGCATGGTGGCTGTCTGGCATGAGTCGGGTCCTGCTCAAGGTTTCTGCCTGTTAAAAGGAAGTTTCTTCTTGCCACTGCTACTCATGTTAGACGAAATGGGCCAAAACCCATCTTAGGTTGGTTCTTGATCATCAAACAATGAGCGTGGTCTAGACCTGCTCTTGTTCTTTAAAAAAGCGTCTTGGGATGACGACTGTTGTGAACTGGCGCTATATAAATAAAATTTGATTGATTGATTGATTGAAAAAGATGTTTGGTGGCTAGTACTATGGCTGGGACCCTATATGTTCTGCTGATGAAGTTTATTTGTGGCTATAGAGTGGCGTTTGGGTTGAGATTTGTTTATGGCTCCTCAGACCGCTGTGTACTGCTATCCTGCGGTCTTTACTAAAGTTGGTATAACTAGAGAAGCAAGTAATCTGCAACATTCATCTCTCGAGGGGGTGTCTAACTCAGTGTTACGGTGTGCTTGACCCTAAATTAATTTATGCTGGAAAATTCCTTTAATGTGCCTTACCTGAGTCAGATGCCACAACAACCCCCTTCTCTGTTACCCATTTGACATCTGTAACTCCAGCCTCAGTTTGCACACCAGCTTTGCACTGCTCCTCATTGGGGGCCTGCATAGGGTCACTGTAGATCCAAACTGATCCCTGCCAGCTCCTGCCAGTAAGGCTCGAGGCACCGAGCAGCAAGGTGCCATCTGAGAAGAGAGTCATTCACAAATGAAGAAAAAGAGCGATTTAAAATTTCAACATCACTCTACATCTATGAGCTAAAATAATTGTACTCAAAAGTCACTCAAAGTCAAGAAGCGTCCCATCGATGGACTAAACCACAGTCAAGAGTTAAAGACCTGCTAGACATACTGTATGTGCCATCGATCCACCTGCAAGCGTGCACACTTTAGCATGAATAGAAACAACCTGGCATCTCAAATCCAGTAAACAACCCGTGGACATCTACAGAAAAGTGAATAAACACAAACTTCTGCACGTTTTGACTCTCCTCACCACCAGCTAGCTCGTCTTGTTGTTACTCACCTGCTCTGTATTGCGCCGAGCACAGATGTTTCTCCATGCACGCTGGAGCATTAGGAGGTATGTGCCACCGGTTTTCCTTGATCATGCTCGTATCTACAGCACTTTTCATTAAGATTATGCTTTTGATCGTCTTCGTACTCGCAGCAAAGACTCTCAAATCAACTCGAACGCAGTATCCCAGTAAGCTAGCTCACGTCTTAGTTCTTGCACACTTTACAGACACCGTCACAGGGAGAAAACCACAATAATTTACGTGATTATTAAGAACGTTTAACATTCAGCATGACCAGAATTGCCGTTCCAAGAATGAATGAACGAGTTAATAGCGCCACATGGACCCACAAAAGACTTACTTCCGGGTCTCTTCTTCGTCGAATCAAAACCAGCTCATTTACTGCAGTGGAGGTCCGTGATGGAGAGACACTGCCATTAAATATTAATGTACTTATTCTTATAAATATATAAAATGTTTTAATGACTGACAGTTTTTTTGGTTATTTTCTAAGATTAATTCGTAAAAAAAAAAAAAGTTACCTAACATATTTATGAAATATATATATATACTGTATTATGTTTGTTTGAAATCTTTATTCACTTTAACATGCATTTGTAATCTACTTTAAAACACGTGTGTATGTGTGCCCCGGTCATGCATCCCCTTTTACTTCAGATACAAAATAAATCCGCCACAATACAGAAATATGCCATTTTCATGTCATTTAGAGTTAGTTTGACGAATTATGGTATCTCTAAATGTATGGCAACTTGGCATAAACACCTTAAGATAATATTTAAAGAGTTCAAGTAGACTGAAATTTATCCTAAATGTACAAAAGTAGTGCATTCATTACTGTTTTTCCCCCATAAGACATTATATACAAAAGTAGTCTGAATTATCAAGTAGCCAGAAGGAATATGTGGCCAGTGTAATCTTTTCCATCGTCAGTTAACGGTTAACTGACACCGTGACGAAGCTCATATTGTGTATTTAGGTAGTTAAAGAGTGTTATGTTGGCTAAAATAAGGAGATGTAATGATAACTTTCACGTGTTAAGTTTTATTCAGTTAACAGGAAGTGTACAGAGATTCATTCGCGCTTAGGAGTTTTTGACGTTTTCTCTCTCTTAAATCACATTTGTCAAAACAACTGTAATCACATTCGAAATACAAAGTTACTAAATTAACGACTTTTTTTTTTTTTTTTTTTTTTACAGAAAATAAGAACTATCCCGGTAACGAGGATGGCATTTACTAAATTGTCAACATATTACAAGCCTTCATTTTGAAGGTGCATAAGCGGAAGTGGCGGTTACGATTAGCGAACTCGACACTTGTGTCCCTCTGTCTAAAATCGATAAGTGATTGGTTTTCTTGATGGTTAAGATTTTGTGGGTCTAGTAACGTGCTCACAGAAGGTAAGCACCGAAGTGTGTCAGGAGAATTTGAGTACAAACTCCAGTATTTTCCATCATGTGTCGTCATTTTTTCCTTTTTACGATAGCTCTGTAACGTTGGAGGTTTTTTTTTACAGGGATGTCTTTGTCTCGGCTGTAAAAAAAACTCGGTGATGTTGAAGGCCAGCCGTTGACTATAGCTAACCTTAACTGATCTGTGGTCTGTACCTGTGCACGCTGACTGACATGTACGTGGACAGCTGCTGCTGCTGCCCTCAAAGCTAGCTTACTGCTGCTGCTGATGTGTGCGCAGCCAAATGACATGAGAGGGAGCGGTTTACATTTCCAGTGGATCAAACCTCCAGACATGCCTGCATCATTAGTGTCTGTTCAGAGACATGCCATACCAGCTGATGAATGTCTGCCGGTGTGGATGTCATAGTCATAATCTTACAGTGAACATTTTTACAATGGAGGGCGGTAGAAAAAAAGGGACTAAAATTCCCAAATGGAATTATAATACCAACATTTAACCAAACTGCACCATATTAAAGATTTTTATTCGGGTTCAAAGTTCAGTTGAGGTCTCTTGAGTCATGATTTGAGGACACTTAAAATCCCTAAGTTTTGGTTGACAGATTACACCAACTAATAATGGTGTAAAATGGAATAGAGGTGGGAACCAGTCTGATTCCACATGATAACAGTAATGTGAGGATAGGGCTGGGTGCTATGGAAAAAAGTTTATCACGATATATTTTTCATTTCAGACAATATCAATATATATCACAATATAAAAAATGAAATTTAACAGTGCTTATTGATAGAATGTCTTTTGCAATACAATAAGCTACTGCATCTGTGAGGTCTTTGTGTCTCTTCAACGCTTTGTCATTGCGCTACAGACATAGATTGTATATAGAATGGACAGCGTCTGCCTCTTCGCTGGGTGAAGCCACTCTGAGAACAGCACCCTCTGGTGACGGGCTGCAGTATAAGTTCTATATCCTGCCTCCACCAGCAAAGCTTATGGAGCTGTGGACAAACTTTAGAAATTTATTACACAGAACATTAATTTTTTCCCTGCTGCTTGCAATGTTGACATGTAGTAATTGTGAAACTGGTTTGTGCTCAAGTCCTCTTTTTTTCTGTACAGCTCCGTTTTTAAAAGTTATTAGGGGCTCATGTTTTCTATGATTGACACTTGATACAGCCTATGGGCGTACGAAGGTTGCATAGCTCACCCGAGGGATACGCTGTTTGAGCCGAGCGTCATCACAGCGACTCTCCCACCGAATGTGTACAATGCTACTGCGCAATGTCGCATTCAGGAAATTAAGAAAAAACGCAGAATTAACGCAGAGTTAACGCAGAGTTTTGGCTGCACAGGCGCCATGGGCTCCTTGCTCCGCTTGGGATTTGTAACTTGCGTGCTCTGCTCTCTTGTGTGGCACTGCTTCAGGTTGTGAAAAAGATTTGAGTTATTCTCGATTTTGCGAGAACATGTACTCGACATAATTTGTAGTGCGCTTAATTCTGCTTCATGTCCGACCTAAAAAAAAACCCCAAAACACCTCCACACCACCAACGTTTTAGTGCCAGTGTTGTCGACAATGTCGCCATCTGTTGAGCCTTCATCTACATTTCTGCCGGGGGTAGCACTCATTTTCTTTAGTGCTATATATGCATGTTGCTGCAGCTGCAGCCTACGACTACACAGTTGTTTGCTACTTGGTTCTAATTCAGCACGTGATTGGTTCAGCACGAAGTGGACCCAGAGCAACTCCTTTTTTCATTGGCTATTCATATAGTCTACCAAAACATGGCAGAATGCCGACTATCAAAAAGAATATTGACCATGTTTGATATTTAAAGCACATTGATCATGTTTTATATTGATATTGAGGGAAATTAATTTTCGATATATATCATTATCGTTTTATCACCCACCCCTTTGTCAGGATAACAGTAATTTTTGTGATAACTGATAGAATGCCAGGTAATCATATTGTACATCATGACCGAATAAAGAGGAATAAAACAATGCCCCTGAAAAGTAAAGTGCAGGATTGATGTCAACACCGCCATTAGGAGTAGTCATCTAATAAGGAGTTGGTTGGTTATACAGGAGGGAAAAGTCTTCTTCGATCCTGGTAATATTTTAATCAAAAAGTGGTTATTTGGCTTCAGTGATATAATTGCAGTGCACAAGCTGAGACAACAATTTTACTAACATACGAAACTGGTTAGAGCAATCCCTGATCCCTCCATCTTTATCTTCCCCCAAATCATGAAAATGAAAAGTTTTATTCTGCATGTTGGGTCACTTTGTAGAGGATCTTTAAGCTTTTTTCAGACTGAAACTACCTAACCATATTGCACCCTCCCCCCATCTGCTGCCTCTTAAGATCTCTGCCAGCATCCCCTATTGAAACTATCCTCTCTATTCATTTTCTCCTTCTCTCAGGGGTTCGTCATGGCACTGAAAAGAAGGAGGGCAACATCCCCCTCTAGCAGTGTGAGTGGAGGAGATTTTGACGATAGCCAGACTTCATCGTTAGTCTCTTCAATTGGGAGAAAGAGGAGAAGGACCTCAAACATTCCAACTGTGGATCCTGTAATTTTACAAATTTCAGTCATTGTTGTGCTTTAAAGATAACAGCAGAATTGTTGTTCTTGTGCAGATTAAGTAGTGGACAACAGAGAGGATGTAGATTTTTTTTTCAGGGTTGAATCCTTGCCTTGCAGATTGCTGTATGTCATGAACTTTACAACACAATCAGAGATTACAAGGATGACCAGGGCAGGATGCTGTGTGAGCTTTTCATCAGGGCTCCCAAACGAAGGTGAGGAAAGGAAGGCGAAGTCTGTAAATGCATGGGTATATTTACGACCTGAAATTTCCACAAATACAAGTCTCTGCTTCTTTCTCAGAAATCAACCAGATTATTACCATGTGGTGTCTCAGCCGATCGACATGATGAAGATCCAGCAGAAGCTGAAGATGGAGGAGTATGATGATGTTGAACAACTGACAAGTGACTTTCAATTGTTATTCAACAACGCAAAGACATATTACAAGGTAAAATATACAACTACGAGGTAAAAAGTTGACATTTATCCGTGGACAGAAAGTAGAAACAATGTCAGTGCACCTGCATAGAAATGTGTGACTTGTGTCTATCTAGTCTGACAGTCCTGAGTACAGGGCAGCCTGTAAACTGTGGGACCTTTACCTGCGAACCAAGAATGAATTTGTTCAGAGAGGGGAATATGAAGACGACGATGAAGATGGCTATGAAGCACATGACAATCCTGGAGGATCGACTGAAGATGAGGTAAAATTCATGATGGCTGCTGTTCATCTTACCAAAAAGCCAACTCATTTAACAGCTCTGAATGAGTGCTACTAAAATACTCTGATATTTTTAATATTTGTAAGAATGAGATGGAACCAGGAATGGGGGGGGTTTGAGGATGGAGTGTAAGTTTCTGTTTTATTTTGAAAGTAAAGGATGTCAAGCTACTTCAGTTAACTAGCGAGCTTTACAGATTTAAAAGAGACTGTCATTATTTTGGGTTTATTATAACAGAGTTGTTCTTCAGAATGCTCACAGTATTTCCTCAGCTAAAAAGGGGACCTTTTGTATGTGACAGTGTGCGCCCACCTGCCTGAAAGAGATCCTTGAGCAACTACTCGATGCTGTGGTGTCTTACATGGAGCCCACTGGCCGTCTGGTCAGCGAGCTCTTCCAGAAGCTTCCCTCCAAAATGGTACAAGCTCCTTTTTTAATATTTATTTATTCTGAGCAAGAAAAAAAGAGAGGCAAAAAAATGATCATACAATTGCAGATAGACCTAAGTGCCTGTTATTCCGCCAGAGTCTCCGGTATTTAGTTCGTTTTCTTGCTTGTATTGGCAGTCGTGGAGCAGCGTCTGCCTCACAACCAATCAGGATGGGGGAGGCGGGGAATGGCTCTGTTTACAGTCAGAAAGAGCAGGCTGCTAAAAATTTTTTGAATGCAGCGATATCATTATATTACCAAATGTCATCAATAACTAATAGCTATTGACTGATGTTAAAAGCTTTTTTGTATATAAACCACAAAAAAAGATGCTTCTTTAATGGATTCTTGCCTACCCTACCTTTAACCTGAGAAATAAATCTATTACAAAAATATTTATTTCAATCCAAATATAAAATCAAAAATATAAAACTTCATCAAAAACTTTTAAATTGATCTCTTTATATATCTTGGTAATCAAGTATCTTTGGATCAAGTTTGGAGATTTGATGAACCTTTATTTCAAATCAAATCAAATCAAATTGTATTTATGTTGCACCAATTCACAACAGTCGTCATCCCAAGATGCTTTCCAAAGAAAAAGATCAGGTCTTGACCACGCTTATTGTATTTAAACCATACCACAGTTTTACTCCACACTGAAGCATTCCCATGTTGATACAGATTTTTCAAATCAAAATGTACCTTCCATTATTTTTTGCTTTTGGTACGATTTGTGCTTCTTGACATTACACAAGATCTTTAAATTTGAGTGATTTTGAGAGAAGGAATAGTTATATATCATTCCAGCTGATTGAGTCGTCTGTCGTCAGCCTGAGAAACGTGATTAATTTATCCATCCTGTCTTTCTGAATCTGTATTTGTTGATTAAATCCATAGTTTCCAAAATGCATCATTTTTGTTTTATTAAAGTTTAAAATAACTTGTTCCTGTCAAACCTTATTTTCAATTCACTCAGTTATGTACTGATCTCTTGAAGTAACTGTTTCAAATCACTTGCAAAAAGTAGTGTAAGGGTAGCAAATAACATCATCTTCAATATTTTTGAACCATAGCATGTTCCATTAATATGAAGAATTGACAATTTAGGGCTCAACACTGACCTTCTATTTGGCTAATGCAAAAAAATGTCCTGAATCTCAAGTGTATTTTCCCTCTCTTCTTTTAGCAATATCCAGATTATTATGCCATCATTAAAGAACCAATAGATCTGAAAATCATCGCCCAAAAGATTCAGGTAAACTGTTGCACCTTCTACATCAGGTTTACAATGTCTCTTTTAAAGGTGGGTTTTAAATGTCCAGTGCTTAAATATGTTCTTGCAGTTGGGTCACTACAGGAGTGTTGGTGCTATGGCAAAAGATATCGATTTGCTGGTCAAGAATGCCAAAACTTACAATGAGCCAGGATCACAAGTGTTCAAGGTAAATGTGTTCTTTGCAAAATAATTAAAACCAGATGTCGTAAGCAAATATACATGACTTTGACTCTCTTATATGTTACAGGATGCAAACACAATCAAAAAGATTTTTGCACAAAAGAGGTCTGATATGGAACATGGAGAACCAATCAAGTCCAGCATGCGTATCAGGTAAAACTAGGAGATGGTGCTGGGATAAATACAGCACTGTTACCTATTGATTTTAACTGTGGGCCTCCTCTTTTTCTGTCTGTCTCTGTCAGGAATAGAAGGTCTGCACAGGGAGACCGCCTCTCAGCTATCACCATGGCTCTTCAATACGAAAGTGATGAGGAAGGAATTCTGTCCGGTACATCTTCGGCTTATTTTCTGCATCTCATCAAACAGACTGTGCATCGTTAAAAGTGCTGCAGATTGTGAGTAGATATATTTCATATTTGTGCCATTATTTGTGTACGTCCTCTTCTTTTATCAGGTTCTGTGCACTATGATGAGGGCGAATCTGAGGCAGAGAGTCTGACTTCTAACATGGAAATGAGTAACCCCATCTTTCAGCTGTACGAGGCCGTGCGAGGCGCCAGGAACAGTCAGGGTCAGCTTATTTCTGAGCCTTTCTTGCAGCTACCTTCCAGAAAGGACTACCCAGACTACTACCACCAGATCAGCCAACCCATCTGCCTCCACCAGATCAAGTATGACAGAATTATTGATCTAACCCTGTGTGTGTTTTTGTGGAACAGTTTGAAACCATTTCCAGCTCGGTGTTTTTCAGTGCTAATTTGTTTCTTTACTACCAGACAGCAAATTATCACACTTAAAGAGCCCTGTGACCATATTCACAAAACTTCCTATAACAAAGAGTTGCTCTTAGTCATCAAATGCTGTGAAAATTCTTAGAATCATGAAGTTTTCTGAGAGAGACTAGATCCTGGAAAAATTAACAGGGTATCCGAGGTGTCTTAAAAAGTCTTAAAGCGTCCGATAATTTGAATTTAAGACCTTAAAATATCTCAAATTCTCTTAAAATCTCATAAAATGTCTTAAATATGACTTTAAAAGGTTCAAAAATGTATTAACTCTACTAACAAAATAAATAACTTGCCGGAGGAATAAAAATGATTTAAAGTAAAGTGATATGTTCCAAATTCCCTTCATGTCTTCTGTACTTAAATGGGTCTTAAATTGTATTCATTACGGTCTTGTAAAAGTCTTGAAAAGTCTTAAATTTGACTTGTTGAAACCTGCAGAGACCCTAAATCAAGAGTTATTCACTGGGTATCTTGTCTAAGGAGAAAACTGTTGGGAGCAGAAAGGAGGACATTATGGAAGCTCAAGAGTTTCTCAAGCAGAGGAGAAAATGTTGGAAAATATTTAACAGAATTTTAAAGTTTGGCTTACAATTTCTTCAGCGGAGATATTTGATAGATAAAATACTGATGAAGCACTATCTAATCAGATTCTCTGAATAGGCTGAAATATTTCACTGTCCTTCTATCCCTGTTGTATAAAACATCATAGCCGAGCTCTTTTTTCTTTTTGTGGATCAGCCAATCACAGCTGGTTACAAAACTGACTGAAATGAAGAGTCTCTGTATGACCTAAAAGAGCAAAAGAGACTATCAAAAATCAAGAGTGATTATTTGTATTTGTGTCACTCTGTCACAGGGTAGATGTCAGAAGAAGCAAATAACACCAAGCTGCCAGAACGACTTTAAAAAAACATTTCTATGTCTAACATTTTATTTAAATCATTCAATATTACTAAGGATTTCATATTGATTCAAGATTTCTTTATTTTATTATCCATTAAAAAAAAAAAATTCATTATTATAACATGGCATTTTCAGTTTGCTTGTGATTTCTGGACTAAGTCTTTTTATAGTACTTCTAAAAGGGAGAATACCAGGAATTTTCAGGATTCTATGAGTAAATATCAAGAAAGTATTGTTTGTTACTGATATTGAAATTGAGATTTTATCCAACTTTTGTGGGTGGAAATTGATCAGGCTTTATAGAACACCATTCTGCTTCTTCTTCATTTCTCTAACTATTCATATTGTCATCATTGACTTCTCTTATTTTATTTCACCAACATTTTCCCTTTTGTTTTGTTTTTTATTTCTTACCCCTGCGGCATCACCGCACTCACTGTACAGTACAGTATTTCTGTGCCCTCCTTCCCAAATGTGAGAGCCCCTGATTCCCCACAGGAACAAGATGAAGAACAATGAGTATGAAAGTGTTGAGCACGTTGACTCTGATTTGATGCTGATGTTCGAGAATGCCAAACGCTACAATGTTCCTCACTCCTCAATCTACAAGCGAGCTCTGAAACTCCAGCAGATTCAGCAGGTCAGTACCCCTGCATGCTTTTCTCAGTGTTCTATGCTTTTTGAACTGTTGTCGATAATACTTGTTCATTTTCAGATGAAAAGGAAGGAGCTTTTACAGAGAGATGATGATGATGGAGACAGCATGCTCTCCTCTGCTACATCTGACACCAGCAGCACAAAGAGAAAAAGGTTCAGATTTAGGCACATTTAAGTCTTTAAACACAATAAAATTATTTTTTCTTTGAAGAAGGATTGACATGTGACTTACATGATGTTTCCAGCCACAAAAAGAACACTAAGAAGAACAGAATGAAAGCTCTCCTGATTTCTGTGACCGAGGCACGAGAAGCTGGCACAGGCCGCAGACTGTGTGACCTCTTCATGGTGAAACCCTCCAAGAAAGACTATCCGGACTACTACAAGGTCATCCTGGAACCAATGGACCTCAGGACTATAGAGTACAACATCCGCTCAGACAAATACATGACAGAAGATGCAATGGTGGAGGATATGAAGCTGATGTTCCGTAATGCTCGACACTACAATGAAGAAGGCTCACAGGTACGCTCTGGTTGGCATTTTTTATCCAACTTAGTGCTTTTTTTGAAGTATTCATATTTAAGAGAATTTTCAAAGTTTGAAAAGCACTTTTAGCTTATTAATGGACAAAGAAGTTTCAGGCTACAGAAACATAAGTTGTAAAGAAACATATTCTCAGAGAAACTGAAGTATAGCAGCTGTTTCATATAAATTTCTGTTTTCTTCAAGGTCTACAATGATGCTGATGTCCTGGAAAAGATTATGAAAGACAGACGCAGAGATCTTGGGCCTGCAACAGATGATGATGACATGATGTCACCAAAGTTGAAAATAAGTGAGTTGGCCTTTTATTTTATATTTTTGCTTCACTTGGATTAATTAAATCACTGCAGACATCCCAGTTTGCCACCTGTGATTTTTCAACCGGTGTAAAAAGAAGGACAACGTAGCAGCTCACTCTAAAGTGAAGCCAAAACAGACAGAGCCCACCCTTGTAACTGACATAAAGCTGCCAGCCTCCTCCATGCTCACAGATGGCTCACTTTTCCAAAGGGTTTAAATTTGTCAACTGATGCTATGAAAAAGTGGGTATGATGCCATGATTGACAGCTTTGTTAACAGCTGTGGTGACACCAGATGATCTAATAGAGAGGACCAATGATAGAAGATATGACAAACACTCAAATCAGAGCCATTAAACTTTCTATAACCGCAAGTGTCGGCTTCAAACTGACAAGAGAACATGTTCTGCCGTGGAGTGTACTGGCTATCAGAGATCTTTGCAGTTTTATTGGTAAGTTACAGGGATATCCCGGCGTAAAATTAAGTTAGGGTCAAACACACCTTAACACAGAGTTAGACACCCTGTCGAGAGATGAATGTTGCCGACCACTTTCTTCTCTAGTTATACCAACTTTAGTAACGTCCGCATGATAGCAATACACAGAGGTCTCAAGAGCCACGCACTCAACCAAAAAGCCACTCTATAGCCACAAATAATGCTCAGAAATAAATGTTCAAATAATGTTCTTCCTTGAGATGCGTCATCCCACTGCAGTCAGTTTGGACTAACCCAAGGTCTCAGTACAAACAAGCGGCTGCTGGAAGAGAGTTGGTGAGTTGTGTTTAGTCTCTTTGTTAAAGAAATCAGTCAAAGTTAAAAAGATGTTTGGTGGCTAATACTATGGCTGGGACCCTATATGTACTGTTGATGAAGTTAGGTGCTGTTCTGAGCATTATTTGTGGCTATAGAGTGGCTATTTGGTTGAGGTTTGTTAATGGCTCCTTAGACCGCTGTGTATTGCTATCATGCAGTCGTTACTAAAGTTGGTATAACTAGAGAAGCAAGCGGTCGGAATGCCAACATTAGACGGGGTGTCTAACTCGGTGTGACGGTGTGTTTGACTCTAACTTAATTATACACCAGAATATCCCTATAAATGCTGTTTGGCTGGTGAAACTGCTGCTCCACCAGCTTATCCCTATTTTGGCTGCAAATAAGGCCACAAAGGTCAAACAAGGTCATAGGAGCAGTAAATCATTTGTCAATGTGTGAAGTTTAAGCATCACTTTTGTTCAACATGGGATAGTTGAACCTTTTATACAATCAATGTTAGTTTCATCAGTATGATTAATGTGATTGCAGGAAAGAACAGCATCACGCTGAAGAAGTCCAAATACCTGACCCCCCTACAGCAGAAGCTGAATGAGCTCTATGAGGCTGTGAAGAACTACACAGACAAGCGAGGCCGCCGCCTCAGCACCATCTTTCTCCGGCTGCCGTCTCGTGCTGAGCTGCCTGATTACTACATCGCCATTAAAAAGCCTGTGGACATGGAGAAAATCAAAAGCCATATGATGTCCAACAAGTACCAGGATGTAGACGCTTTGGTGGAGGACTTTGTGCTCATGTTCAACAACGCCTGCACCTATAATGAGCCAGAGTCTCTGATTTACCGTGATGCTCTGGTGTTGCACAGGGTGCTACTGGAGACGCGGCGGGACCTTGAAGGAGGAGATGACGCCCATGTGCCTGATGTGCCGCGTCTCATCCAGGAACTCATCCGTAGTCTCTTTGTCTCTGTGTTAGGCCACCAAGATGATGAAGGCCGTTGCTACAGTGATTCTCTTGCAGAGATTCCTGCTGTAGATCCAGCAAATCCTGAGAAGCCAGGACTCAATTTTGAGATCATCAGAACTAATGTAGATCGGGGGCGTTATAAGAGGCTGGATGTATTTCAGGACCACATGTTTGAAGTGCTGGAAAAGGCCAGACGATTGAACAGGTGAGGTACTGTTCACCATCCTGTCCCAGAATCAAATGATCTGTTCATCCGTTTCTTTTTGCCCGGATGATGTCAAATTGTTATAGTGAAACAAAAAGTTATCCTAGACTGCATCCTCTTTACAGGACTGATTCAGAGATCTTTGAAGATGCTGTGGAGCTGCAGCAGTTCTTTATCCGCATCAGAGATGAGCTGTGCAAGAACGGAGAGATCCTGATGTCCCCGGCTCTCAGCTACACGTCCAAACATCTGCACAGCGATGTGGAAAAAGAAAAGAAGGAGAAGCTTCCAAAGGAGTTTGAAGAGGACAAAATCAAGAGGGAGGAGGAAAAAAGGGGTATTATGTATAATTGTTATTTAATATCACAACACATAAAAGTTCCCTCTCTTGTTTTCCCAGCAAATACTGCGACACTGTTCAAGTGAGTTATTTTGATTTTCCAGAAGCTGAAAAGAGAGAGGACTCTGCTGGAGGATCCTGGCAGTCTACCCTGCAGCGCACATACAGTCAGGACTGCAGTTTCAAAGACAGCATGTACCACGTTGGGGACTGTGTGTATGTGGAGCCTGCAGAGCCCAACCTGCAGCCCCATATCATCTGCATTGAACGCCTTTGGCAGGATGACACTGGTCAGTTTTACCCATCAAAAAAGGGATTGTGGTATTATATGCTAGAACGTGTTATTTTTCAGCTTCACTGACAGTGCTTCTTAAATAGTGTAAATTGCATGCAGTTGCAGAGGGGCATGCTTCGTTTTTAAGCAACAACTGAACATGAAGAACAACCTGACTTAAGCATTTATGCTATCTGCTGTTTCTCGCTGAGAGACATACAAACTTTGGTATGGTGTCATGTGAACAGGAAATATGATTTATGTTAAGGTAGTAGTCTGTGCGCTTTAGCTGAGATAAAAATGTTGTTCTTGTAAAACTTAAACTCAGAAATCTGCAACCTCATATCTAACTGATGTGATGTTTCAGATTTAAGTTGCAGGTGTGTAAATTTCTCAAGTAAAAATGCCAAATAACATCACCCCACTGATCATTTTTTGGTCTAAAAGGGGTCTAAATGTAGCCTAGATGACTGGATAAAGTCAGTCTACCACAGGTCTAAAAGTTTTTAGATGTCTAAATTTGGACCAAGTTTAGACCAAGTCTAAGTCTAGACTATATCTATACTACACTGTATATTGCTCAACAGCTATCATAATTATTTTGGTTAAGTACTTGGAGATCAGTTATACAACTCACAGTTGCTTTTTGAAATAAATAGTTATTGAATAATGGGTTAAAGTGCAACATCTAAATTCCGTGTAAAAATATACAGAATCTAGACGTTTGAAAGTAGGTTTAAAAAAAACTAGATGTCTAATAGCCGTCTATTGCTCATGTACAGATTAGGCAAGAATCAAGAAACAGGGAGTCACAAATAAGAGACTAGATAGATACCTGTTGTTAACCATAGTTCCTTTTTTATTAATCCCTCTTTTGCCTTAAAATAACAGGTGAGAAGTGGCTGTACGGCTGCTGGTTTTACAGGCCAAATGAAACATTTCATCTCGCCACGAGGAAGTTCTTGGAAAAGGAAGTTTTTAAGAGTGATTATTACAACAAAGCACCTGTCAGCAAGATTCTGGGCAAATGTGTGGTCATGTTTGTAAAGGTAAAAGCTCTCTTTTTCTGTATGTTTTACTTGTCTTAATTGAATTTACTTTTTGTTGTCTTTTGTGTTTTGACCACATGTTTCTGATGTGTCAAATTCAAGGAGTACTTCAAACTTCACCCAGAAGGCTTTAGAGCAGAGGACGTCTATGTCTGCGAGTCACGCTACTCTGCCAAATCTAAGTCCTTCAAGAAGATTAAAATGTGGACAATGCCTTTGAGCTCAGTCCGCTTTGTTCCCAGAGAAGTCCCCCTGCCTGTTGTCCGTGTGGCGTCCATGTTTGCCCTCAAACAGGAGGAAAAACCAGTGGAGATGACCGATGAATGCAAAATGGCAGATGTTGTTGTGGACAAGGTGAATGCATTGTGTTTTTTTTCTTAAACAATGACCAGAATACAGATGAAATAACAAAGACTATTTTCAGGACAAAAATCTGTGTCTACAGGAGAGGGAGGATGTCCCAATGGAAATGACCAATGGGGAGCCAGGATGTCAATATTATGAGCAGCTTTGCCACAACAACATGTGGCTGAAAGCAGGAGACTTTGTTTACATTGGCTCACATGGGCTAGTGCGCCATCGAGTGGGCAGGTAGAGTAAATGCTCTGATTCCCATTGACACAGTTAAACCCTGACATGGTTGATAATGCTTGTTTGTGGACAAAGTCATTAATTTTACTTTTACTAAAATGTTAACTTTTTGTGATACGAAAATTGTCTTTGTTTGTTTATTATATTTCACAGGATTGAGAAAATGTGGATGCGAGATGGAGTGGGCTACTTCTTTGGTCCGATCTTTATCCATCCAGAGGAAACTGAGCATGAGCCCACCAAGATGTTCTACAAGAAAGAAGTGTTCCTGAGCAACCTGGAGGAGACTTGTCCGATGACCTGCGTCATAGGTGCCATCTCTATTGGTTGAATTAAATGTCAGAAGTTTGGTTCAGGAATATGTTGCTCTGTTTTATGCCTGTGTGGTTGAACATCAAATTCACGCACTGAGTGAGTTTTCTTGTTCCACAGGAAAGTGTGTGGTATCATCGTACAAAGACTACCTGTCCTGTCGGCCAACTGAAGTGCCTGAAGATGACGTTCTGCTCTGTGAGAGCCGCTACATTGAGAGCGAGAAGCAAATGAAGAAGTTTAAAGGTCTGAAGCGCTTTTCCCTCTCTGGAAAAGTGGTTGAGGATGAAATTTACTATTTCAGGTGAAAGAAAATTAAACTAATAATGCAAACTACAAATTAAATACACTGATTAATTCCTACTTGTTGTTCAGACAAGAATATCTGTTGTGAAACGTGCTGTATTTCTGTGGCTGTTCTAATTTAAGCCACTTCTTCCTAATTGAGGAATTCACTTCAGAAAGGTGATTATACTGTAAAGCACAAAACCTGTTTGTAATTGTGTTGTGCAGGAAACTCATCGTCCCCCAGAAGGAGCCGTCCCCTCTTCTTGATAAGAAAATCGAAGAACTGGAAGCCAAATTTGCTGAAATGACAGATGAGGAGTTGGAGGACCTTGGTGACGATGATGGCGAGCTCGGGGACCAGTCTCTTCCTCAGATGCAGTCTGCCATGTCCAGTGACATGGACATCATGCCTTATACTCCTCCGCAGGTCAGTGTGAAAGTTAAACATGGACTGTCGACTGTATTTCAGTCTACTCAGGGGATTTCTTTTAATGTTTGTCTTGTGTTTTGGTTGCAGTCAACACCAAAATCCATAAAGGGACTTTCAAAGAAGGAGGGCTCGAAGCGTAAGATCAACATGAGTGGCTACATCCTGTTCAGCAGTGAGATGCGAGCTGTCATCAAAGCCCAGCACCCAGACTTTTCCTTTGGGGAGCTGAGTCGCCTTGTCGGCACGGAGTGGAGAAACCTGGAGGGCTCCAAGAAAGCCGAATACGAAGGCAATCAAACATTTTTAAGACACTGTTCATCTAGCCTCTCCTGGGAAAGTTATGCCCCCAGAACTGTGAACCATACAAAGTTGTCACCCATCACTTGTCTTTATTATCCTTCAGAGCGAGCAGCCAAAGTGGCGGAGCAGCAGGAGCGAGAGAGGGCCCATCATCAGACGTCCCCAAGAGCAGGTACCCCTGTAGAGGCACTGATGGGGGTGGTACCTCCCCCAACCCCAATGGGGATGCTTAATCCCAGCATGACGCCTGTGTCAGGTAACCCCTCATGGATGCAGATGGATCCCCAGTGTACACTAGAAGGCTGGAATAAGGAGCTGAACTGCTAGATATGTTAACACTCTTGGCTTTTTAATCCCACCTGTGTTGTAGCATGTTTGTGAATGTGTTGCATCTAACGTCATTTATTAAGCCCACCCCTTGAATGTTGTACAGCACTCTGTGTTCTGTATTTGACTGCAGAACACAGAGTGGAAAGTTACCGTTCACCCAGAAAGTAAAAGAACTTAAAAATGCGCTTTTAGTGCTTGAGAGTAGTGCATGTGCATCATTGTTTTTATTGTGCATTTGTCAATTTTCTGCCATTTATATTTCCATTCATATTCATCACAATAACCTGTTTAATATATTAACGCATATATCAGGCCTATTTTTTGATGAGCCAAATTTTGCAATAAGTGAAGAGCAAATGTGCTGTGCATTTAAATTTCCTCTGTCAAACCTGTAAAGCCAGGGGTTTAAGTGATAATCGGTTTATTACGTTTATTTACCAATCACAATGTGGCATTTTTATCTTTTTTATACAACCCAACACTATTTCTCTGTTGAAATAGCCTGGTTAGGATTTCAACATTCATAAACCTCTCTCACATTCATATAAACGATTACTAGGCTGAGCAGAGATCTTTGGCCGAAGGTTCGGTTTCGGCCTGTAGACCATAACTTTAATAGGTCTGATATATATATGACCATATTTCTGCATGTTCTGTGGTGAAGTAGTGATGCATGACTAAAGCATGTCACTGTCTTTTGTTACTACCTCCCTTCCTAACAAGGTATGATAGAAGGACATAGGTCAGCTATGATGTTCCCCTCGTGGGGCCACACTGACAGCATGGTTAGTATGACTGGTATCCCGCGTCACTTCATGGGGGTGCCTGTCCCCATTCTCTCCTGCACTATGCCTGGGTTCCCTGGAATGCCGTACTTTGGTAAGAGTGCTGTCATAGCCACCCCACCTGCCATGCAGTTGCTTCCTGTCTGCTAGTCTGACTTGCTGGAGGGGCTACCTGTACCAATAGGCTGAGGTTACTGAGTTGATGAGCCACAGGTTGAGTGCATAAAGCCTCAACTTGGGCTTACTATCTTCTGTGCTCATTACCGATAAGCTTGAGAATTAACTTTTGTTTAAATGAAACTTCTAAATTTCACATTTTTGACTTTGTGTGATTCTATTAATGTAAATCAACGACAAGTGGCCTGTCGCATTTTTGTCTGTCTTCATTATGGTTGTTTTGTTACAGGTATCTCTGGTATGGCAGGCGGAGCTGGAAACATGCATGGATCCCAGGTAAGCCACAATGCAAACCATCTCTAACATCAGTGTTCACATATATTTTACTGCATTTGGTGCTCTTAAAATGTATGCAGAAAAACCGTCTGCAGCCCATCCCATCATTTTGAGCTGTCGTTCTCATCTGCTATCTTAAAGTCTGGTTCAACTCCAAGATTATGATATCCATAATAAAGTCCTACTGCAAAGATCATGACAAGTTAAAAGACCAAATTAACAGTCCAAAAATAGCATATGTGATTCAATAATAATGATAATAATAACACAGTTTTTTAATGTTTCCATTAGATGGGTCATCTGGGCTCAGGGCAGCAGGCTCCACCACCCTACCCTGGACAAAGCCACATTGGGCAGCCTGCTCTCCAGCAGCCTTCCACTCCAGTGTTTGTATCCCCACCAGCCAAGACACAGCGGCTGCTCCACTCTGAGGCTTACCTCAGATACATAGAGGGCCTCACTGCGGAGTCTTCTACTATTAGCAAGTGGGACCAAGCTCTCTCAGGTCATTACTGTTTCTTTTCAGTGATTAAATAAAAAAGTCAACCATGCTAGATCATAAAACTTAGGAGAAATATTTTTGGGTTTTGTTTAACTTTTAATGACTTTTGACATGATTACTTAGCTATATAGGAGGTTTCCTAAGTTCCCTGTCTATGATACAAAAAGCCCTCATGTGGTCCAGAACATATACCCTAAAATAAATGCTTTATATTCTAACTTAAACCATTAAAAGAGTATTAATATCACATTTGATACTTCTCAAAACATTTTATTAAACAAAACTCTCAGATTTCTGCTTTTAATACCTTTTTTGTGCACTTTTAGTCAAAAAACAAGATGTGCGTCTGACAAAGGAGCAAGAGAGCAGACTACCATCCCACTGGCTGAAGAGTAAAGGGGCCCATAAGACCATGGCAGATGCACTTTGGCGACTTCGTGACCTGATGCTGCGAGACACCTTAAATATCCGTCAGACGTACAATCTGTAGCATGCTCGTATTCTGAGCCTCTTATCTACATACCTGTGAGACAGGAAAAGGATTAAGCTCACTAAAAGTGTTTACTTTGTGTTACTGTTTGAAGACATGTGTTTGTAATCATTTCAGCTGCTTTTTGTGTTTACGCAGATTTTTGTTTAACATTTAAGATCAACTATTCTAAGTGCATTATTGTTCAAGACTGTCAGTCTGTGGCGATTGCCTTCATGCTTTCATGATTAAATATGAAGACATCAGTTATGCTGTGTTTGTTAAAGGTTTGGGACCGTTTGAAACACACTTTCACTTGTTGTGAATTAGCCTGTTGTTTTTTTTTTTGCTTTAATTTGAACATCTCGAGGTCATACGTGAAAATATAAAAGACGTTTCTGCAGTAGTCATAGCCATCATTAAATAACATAATCCTTTCTGAAAGACAAGGAGGTCCACTGAAACAGATAAAAAAGACATACTTCAGACGGAGACAAGATAAAAATAAAACAACTGCCAAACCAGACATCTCCAGTATTACACAACTGTACCAGTGTCTCCACAAGGATGACTGAAATCGCACACAGCTCTCGGCTTGGTCAGCAGCATAATAACAAACTCTTGAGAATCCTTAAATCTGCCCATAAATTTATCCATCAGATCATTCATGATAACCTGTAAAGTGCAAACTCCTGCAGTTCAAGTCCTCATAGCATTGTTGTAGATAACGTGCTTAGAAGGCTTGCCTTTGCATACTTACCCAACAAGGTGTTAGTATGAAGAGGGTTCATTAAAGCCTTAAAAAAGGGCACAAAGAAAGACCAATCTTAACGTTAGAATCTGTTGGTATTAGAATAGCTGCCCAGTGCATATAATTACAGTGGCCAAGAACCGCCATTGCAGCAAAGAAAAAACGATTGCAAAAAAAAAAGTCATAACGAAAGGTACTGATGCAAAAAAAAAAAAAAAAAAAAAAAAGAAACCAAAGCCTGCTGCAAATAAAAAAAGAAACAGTGCAGATTAAAAAAAAAAGCTACAATGGAAGTTAACGACGCAAAAAAAAAGTGTCGATGGGGAAAAAAAAAAGGTACTTACTGCGAAAAAATAAAAGGATGCAAATAAAAAAAGCCACAATGGAAGTGAGCTGCCGGGGACCAATAATGGTGATGCACTGGTGTTTTACAATCTAGGCACAGAAGATGACGGCGAGAAGACGAGCAAAGAAGTAAGTGGAAAGGTTATTGTTTAATTTCGCTTCGTGTGCTTTTAATGTGGTTAGGCCATGTTGCGCCTGAGTCGATGTGAAGTTGAACTGGAGGATGTGGGTGTAGTTTTAGCTTCAGTTTAGCTCATATTGACTCAGGCACTAAATTGCCTAACCACATTGAAAAGTACACGAAGCGAAATTAAACAATAACGTTTACACGCTTCCGCTGTGGCTTTTTTTTAATCTGCACCGTTTCGTTTTTTTTTTTATTAACAGCAGGCTTCCGTTTCTTTTTTTGTCAACTTATGTTGTGGTTTCTTTTTTTTGCATTATTTTTTAACTTGCAGCAGTGGTGTTCCTTTTTTTTGTTGTTTTTAATTTTTTTTTATTATTATTTTTTTTTATTTGCAGCAGTGGTCGTTCTCAGCCACTGTACATAATAGCATTATGGCACTGTCCACACAGATCATTCCACATTTTGTAGGTGGCAAAGCTCTCTAGGCTCGAAGGGAAAACGGTCAAGAAATCAGCAAGACGATTAGTTATTGTGCTATATAAAATTAGAAAAATGATTATGTGACCCTTATGTAAGATAATTCGAACATTTATAAACAGCTGTCTTGCACATTCAAAGTTTTTTTTTTCCAAACCTTTATTTCAATTCTTCAGCAATGACAATTACATATTATTGAACATGGGGTAGCTACATTCATTTGAGAGGAATCAAGACTTTGCAGAAAAAAAACAAAAACGAAGAGAACAGAAAAATTTAAAAATCATATTCCAGCTCACAAAGATACATGAGTTATAATATAAACTAGAAAAATTGCATTTCCTTGCAGAAAATGCGTGGAAATGCTGAGTGCTGAAAGCTGAAAAAGCAATGCTAAACTGCTAATAAAACATGGAGAAAGGTATAAATGTTAAAGCTGTTGAAGGGGTGAGAAAGAAATGTAAGTTGGATAATTGATTAATTGGTTGAAGGACAAATAGTATGAATATAATCTATAAAAAGAAATTTTATTCATGCTGAAAGAGGCTAGAAAAATGTCTAAAATTGCACAAAGTTTGACTGAAGAAGGAAATTTCCTTAAAAGGCAGGAAGGTGAGAAGTGGCATAAGTTTAAGTTGTAGTACTAGAAGTAGTATAAGAGGTCAAGTCGTGATACTAGTAGTCATGTCAGCAGTAGAAGTAGTTTGAGAATAAAAGAAGTATAAGTCACAGTAGTAGAGAAAGTAGAAATAGGAGCAATAACAGCAATAGAGAAAGTAGAAAAAGGAGCAATAGCAGTTGAAGTAGAGGGGAAAGTACTAGTTCATTTGACATTAGCAGTAGTGGTCGTACTTGAGGTAGGATTTTGTTTGAAGGATGGAGTAATGCATAAATATTAAAACTTATTTAAAACAGGGAAAATTTAAATAATCAAAAATCCTCAAGTATCAGAAATTTTTAAAGTATTAGAAAGGTTTGAATCAGTTTGAATGAGTTTAAATTAGTTTGAAAAATTAAATGATAAATCATCACTGAGTGACTTTAAAATGTGAAAAATTTAAATGAATCCTGAATACACCCCATAATGTCCTCAATGAGTTTAAATTTTAAAGCCCTGAATGGTTTCTGTAGGTCAAAGGTCAGGTGAGGAGATAGGAGCTGAAGTTTTTTCAAGCGCTCTAGAAAAGGGTTTTAAGTGTCATCCCCAGTGCTATGTGTACTGAGCCTGGCTTCATGTGTCTCATATGGCCATTAAAAGCAGCTTTCTAGTCAGCTGTGTGTCTCCAGGTGCACAAATTGGTTGCCATGGGGACCATGGATGCATAACTATAGCAGGAGAAAGAAGGCTTGAAGCTAAAGAAACAGGACTCCAAGTAGGCCCTGACGCTCACCCTCTGTATATATTCATAAGGAGCTTGTGAGAACACAAGACTCTGCTGAACACATTAATACAATTAATTATCACAATCCTCAAAACACCCCATAATATCTTCAATGAGCTGAATTTTTGAAGCCCAGAATGGTTTCTGTAGCTCAAAGTTTGTGGGTGGAGATAGGTGGTGAAGCAGACACATATTAACTGTGTGTACAAGCAGCTGAACTGCAAGGTGGACCTCAAAAAGCAACAAGTACAAGAATGTGTGTGCGTGTGTGTGTGTGTGTCTCGTTAATGACTGCATCCTAAAAAGCTGTGAGATCAAAGGCAAATCACTAACCTACTGTTTGACTGAGAGGTGCTGAACTGCAGTGAATTTCAGCCTGTGAACTTCTTCACATAGCGTGTTTTCCTTAAGTCACAGAATGAAAATAAGAACATCGTACGAATCCTCCGTCCTTCATGAACACAATGATGTGTTTTTCATGTCTGTACTTCGAAAAATGAGGCCACAACAGCGAGTTAAAAAAGTCTGAGCCTGAGCGATGATCCGGATTTTCTTGGAGAAAAATAACATTATGGTCAATGGGAGAGATTTCCGCCTTCCTTGGACAGTTGGTCACCTGCTGGCCAAGGGGTACGATTTCATGATTTGAAACCTCTTTTGTGAGAAGCAGGACACATATACCTCCATTTTGATGTATTATTTGTGTCAGTGGAGTGAGATTTGTGGGCGTGGGAGCGATATATTCGAGCGAGGTTCTGTCGATCAGAGACGAGGTCTGCACTCTAGCTGATGACATCATCACTCTAAACTCTCCAATACACACCCATTATAAAGCCTGAAAATTTGCTGAAAACCACAAGTTGCTTAAAGCTAAATTGTGGAAAAACTGTACAAGATATCAAAAAACTGAGTACAACTTTAATAGTCGACAAGTGAATGAACATTTTAAAGCAAAAATGAGGTCTCTAGGTGAAAGTATGCTGAAGTTATAAGGTCTAGAAGGTGGAAGAATAAAAGGAAGAAGTGGAAGATTTCCCCATTGACTTCAATGTTAAAATTTTTGCACAAAAAGTAAAAAAAAACAAAAAGTATAAAAGGTAGAAAGGAAAAAAATACAAGCACACATGTCCTGAAGGAGTGGAATAGTTTAAAGTTTGAATGGTTGAAATCGGACAAAGTTTGAAGGAGGAGAAGCGTGACAAAAAACGGCGGAAGAATAATAATAAGATTAAAGAAACAGGAGAATAACAATAAGTGGAAATGCTTAATCAGCATTTCCACTTAATGATGACATGGGGATCATACATTCAGTTCAGATCATAGAACTGAATGTATGTTCTACATTCAGTTTATTCCTCCTCGCTGGGTGAAGCCACTCTGAGAACAGCACCCTCTGGTGACGGGCTGCAGTATAGGTCATAAATCCCGCCTCCGCCAGCAAAGCTTATGTGCTGCGTCCGAATTGCCAAGTAGTAGTCGCAGTAGTAGTCGGAGTAGTATGTAGCATGTCCGAATTGGCCACCGGAGCGAGTAGCATGCTACTTCAGATACTACTTCAGATACTAGACACGCCCACATTGTAGTATGGTCGCGGTGCATACCTACGGACATGCTACTGACCCAAAATGCACCGCCGGCATCTTCTTCGTCCTCTTAAAAGTTGTAGAAGCGCATGTGATGCTAGTGCCACCAGCTGCTGCCTATTTAGATGCGTCGCGAACGCCGGCTGGCCACAGCAGCGCGCACCATGGCGGAGCAGCGGCAGCAGCAGCAGCAGGAGGCAGGACCGCAGCAGTACAGATGTAAGTTTCATGTAACTTCACACACTGTCCTAAAAAATGTGCGGTTGTATCTCTTTGTCATGTCATGGTGTCATATTTGCCCAAGTAATAATTTTATGAGCAAATATGTGGCGACATCATGGAGGAAAAGCTCACTTATTCCATCATTAAACTGCACAGCTGCAGTAATCAGGCAGATCTCATTGAACAAACGATCACCACGTGAGTGAATGAAGGCTAAAAGTAATGGAAAAGCTACTTTGTGAATTTTTAAAGCAGTGCAGGAATATAATACAGCAGCATCCATCGCTTGCACAATTACCATTCAAAGAGTCTAAAACTGTCTGCACGGGCGCAGTACCTCCTCTCTGCCTGCGGGGGTCGTCTTTCCCCACCGCTCGTCTAGTGTGTCTGAATTGGGCCAACGTGTTTAGTATGTAGGAGTAGGATCTAGCAGTAGTATGTAGTATGCGAGCGCGCAATTCGGACGCAGCAATGGAGTTGTGGACAAACTTTAGAAATTTATTACACAGAACATACATTCTTCTCCCCCCTGCTTGCGGTGTTGAGATGTAGTTACTGTAAGACTGGTTTGTGTTCAAGTCCTCTTTTTTCTGTGCAGCTCAGTTTTTAAAAGTTATTAGGGGCTGCATGTTTTCTATGATTGACACTTGATACAGCCTATGGGCATTCAGGGATTGTGTAGCTCACCCAGGGGATACCCTGTTTGAGCCGAGCGTCATCACAGCAACTCTCCCGCCGAATGCGCACAACGCTACTGCGCAATGCTGGTTTCAGGAAATGAAGAAAAATCGCGGAAATACCGAGAGCTTTTTGGCTTCAAATCAGCATACAGGCAGGAAAGTCATGGTTCGAATTGCTTTCTTATTCGTTAGTCCAGTTAGTGTCTTAGAATATATCTTCATTTCATTTTTAAACTGGTGGATATTTGGCTTCTTTGTAGACAATTTACATTTATGTATATAAAATCTTCCATAAAAAGTAAAAAGGTTTAACAAAAAATACGACTTCCATGCTCATGTTCTTTTTTTCAAAATAAAAAAAAATCTCTCCTTCGCAGGTTTATCTTACATCCAAACAACGACTCAAATATATACTATATACAGTCTATGGTCATGGCACATTCAAAGCTGCCGGCTAAAAAGGGGGTGTGTCTTACAGAGTTTGCCTGACATGTACGCATGCGCAATAGACTGACCGCGCAGTTCCTTTTGCTCCAGACATTTGAAAGCTGCGTCTGAGCGGTCCACAGTGACTCTCCATCCCATCCGGACTGAAATAAACCGTGACGGTAGGACGCCCAACTGCTTTATTGATAATTTATTGAAAGTGTTAGATCCAAACTTGTATATTGTACCTCACATCAGTATCTGCCGCTTAATTTACAATGTTCGGTATTACGCTAACTTTATGGTTAGCACCAAACACATTAGCAGGCTAAGGCTAACATAGCAGGAATGCTGGCAAGGAGACCGGTAGCAGGATCGGTCTATTCGCTGGAGTTGAGATTCTGCTTGTCAGATAGTTTACTTGCTATGATGTTATTTTAAGACAGTTGACTTAAAGTATATTAATGTGACGTATATTTTGATCTAAAAAGGTGTTTCCGATCACCATGTGCTTACATTTAATCTTGCTGAAGACCAGACAGCCCTTGGACTGTCAGCAAACACACATTAGACTGCAAAACCGATCTGCAGTCCGCTAAAGGCAGAAACAGGCGATGTAGCCGCTGAAGCTAAGCTACCAGCTAGCAAGCTAACGTCAGAGGCAGACTGGATCCATGTGTGAACTAGCAGGAGAGCCGTGGACTTAGTTTGGACCCAGAGACAGAAAAACGAAACGTGATCATTAAAACAACACGTGGATCGTTTGTACAGCATTCTCAGCACACATCAGGTCACATATAAAAACCAATGTAATCCTTGAGAGAGCAGATCACACGTTGGTTTGCTGAAATGTGTGTACATGATTAATCAGCTCTCAGTCATCGAGTCCATCCACATACAGTCAGTGAAGAGGCAGCAGGTATCTATAAATCACAGCCAAATACAGTGTCCTTCATATCTGTGCTCTTGTGTCTTTTCTCCTTTAGTAACTACTAGCATGGAACTGAATGATGCTAACCTACAAAGCCTTACTGAGTTCCTCAGGAAAACACTGGACCCAGATCCAACTGTCAGACGTCCAGGTAACGCACCTTATGTCACAGTCAGCTCTGATCAATATTCAAACACATGGTAGACTAGGGCTGGGCGATATGTGAAAAAGTTTATCACAACATATTTTTTTCATATCAGTCGAAATCAATATAGGGCCCTATAAAATCTGTTTTATTTTTTTCCAAATTCAGTTTCATTTTTTCCCATTTTTGTGTTATTTTTTTTCTGTTTTAATCTTTTGAGAATTCAGCAGGGCGCAGACCCGGGGCAACTCCCCTTTTCATTGGCTGTTCGTATAGTCTACCAAAACATGGCAGAATGCCGACGCTTGAAAAGGGTATTGACCATGTTTTATATTGATATTGACGGAAATTAATTTTCGATATATCGTAGAGCTGCTGCTATCGAATAGTTTAGTAATTGAGTATTCTACTGAATATTTTATCAATTACTGGAGTAATTGGACCCAAATGGCAGACTCACATAAAGTTAGATTTCCTGTAGCCCCACAATGAAGGCCAGACTCAGAGAAATAGAGGACAATCATGGAAAATGTATTAGTGGATTGCAATGCTTGTAAGAAAGCTAATTATGATATTAACTTACATCATGCCTCTAAAGACATTAGTGTCCGAGAGCTAAATCGCTCCAATGTTACCTGCTTCTGCTACTAAACCAGCAATGTTAGGCTACAAGCTAACGTGAAGAGAAGTGTCCAGAACAGCACTGTCTCCGCCCACAACTCAGAGGCTAAGTGCTAATGAGCTACTGAAGCTCTGCACAAGAAAACAGTGTTGCCAACTCCTCAGTAAGGAAAGTCGCTAGTGGCTGCCGTAAAAGTCGCTAAAGTCGCTAGGTTGGCAACACTGCAAGAAAAGTCCCTCTCATCATTTTTTTTTCGCTCCACAAAACCTGAACAGCGCTTACTCCTTCTGCTGAGGTGACAGAAGCATATTGTGTAACCTTCAAAAGAATCCTTGCAAAACAGTGACGATTTGAGCTTATAAACGAATACTCGAGGCAGAGAAAATTCCTCAATCATTATTTGTAATTGAGGTGCTCAAGGTCTTTGAGGAATCGTTTCAGCCCTAATATATTGTTATCGTTTTATCGCCCAGCCCTATGGTACAGCTATTTCTTCTACATATTCAACAGATTGGATTGCCACTGACTTTTAACATTTTCCCTTTTTTTTTCCTCTCTCAGCTGAAAAGTTTCTTGAGTCTGTAGAGGGAAACCAGAACTACCCATTATTACTTCTTACCTTATTGGAAAAATCTCAAGACAACGTCATTCGTGTTTGTGCTGCTGTCACATTTAAAAACTACATCAAAAGAAACTGGCGCATTGTGAGTCTTGCAATGCTTGTATTTTTTTTTCTTTATTGGACAAATTGTACTGCGTGAACACTCAAGTTTTATTTCTTTATCTGCTTTGATTAGATGATCTTAACTGTGTTGGTGTTTTCTCCAAGGTTGAAGATGAACCAAACAAAGTCTCTGATCCAGACCGGACAGCGATAAAAGCAAACATTATAAATTTGATGCTGAGCAGCCCCGAACAGATTCAGAAACAGGTACATGCTGAAATGTCACAGTGGCCAAATGCCATTTTTTAGGTACCAATAAAAGATGTTTAAGTAAGCCTGTTTCTGTCCTGTGATTCTCCACAGCTGAGTGACGCTATAAGTATAATAGGACGGGAAGATTTCCCTCAAAAATGGCCGGACCTGCTTACTGAGATGGTGACACGCTTCAGAAGTGGAGATTTCCACATCATTAACGGTGTGCTTCGTACAGCACATTCCCTCTTCAAGAGGTAGAGTTCTCAGTGAAATTACAGGAAAAGTTTTATCACAACATTCAAGCAGATATTTGAAAATCTTTTCCTCCCTCTATGCTTTTATTTAAAGGTACCGCCATGAATTCAAGTCAAATGAGCTTTGGTCAGAGATCAAACTAGTACTGGACACATTTGCCCTACCTCTGACAGAACTGTTCAAGGTTTGTAACAACTGTCTCTTCTGTAACCACTTAATTTTGAAAGAAACCCTTTGTCATATAATACCTTACCAAAATATGGGTGTTTATATTCTCTGATATTCACTCCAGGCAACTATCGAGTTGTGTCAGACTCATGCTACAGATGTTAATGCCTTGAAGGTCCTCTTCTCTTCACTCACACTCATCTCCAAGCTGTTCTACAGTCTCAACTTCCAGGTCAGTTCAGTTTGCTACATTCTGTAAGACTTTGGTAGTTTTGCAATTCATGGCAATCACAGATGATGTATTTTTTCTTGAACAACAATAGTCTGCTGACAATCCATTCCTTTTTTATGCTATTTTAGTGATAAATTTCCGTGGCATGTATTGATTTGGACATCTGTAAGGTTGCAAAATAATATTCAAAATAACAGGATTAAAAAGCTGTTTGTGTTGTTCTTGGAGAACCATACAAAATATCATTGAGTGAGCTGTCATCAGCCCTAAACAAACAACGCTTCACCCTTAACAAAAACTGTTAAATCTGGTTCATAAAATGCATTTACAGTACCTTCTTTGTAATTTTAAAAAGTGACGCCTGTATTTAACAGCTGATCAAAGAAGCACATAACTGTGTGGCTTTGCTAAATATGTTCATTTCATTGTGTTGTGAAAGATAGTTAAAACCTTTTCTGAAAGATCTACTTAATACACTGTCTTTTATACACGTGTGACATACACTACAGGCCAAAAGTTTGGAAGCAAGGCCATTACAGGCCAAACAGTTGGTAGTAACTTCAAGTTTTTGTTCACAATGCTTTTTTAAAATCCAGCATGAGTTTTATGTATTTTGGGATGTATTTACTCCATAATCAGATGTTGCTTTCATGAAAATGCACCATTTTACTCCATTTACCTTTAGATATACATTGATGTTAACAGACCATTGCTAAATATATGTCAGCAAAAGATAATAAGGGCTTAGTTTTAGGGTTGAAAACATTAGCAAGAGTCACAACTTCAGTGCAAAAGCTAAAAAACAAATCACAGTTGGATTATTCACTTCAATTTTTTGCCTTTTGAGAGCCTGCATACCAAAATCCTAATAAATCTCAACTGCATTCAAACTACCGCAAAAATGGCTAGAAAGAAGCAACTGAGTAAAGAAACAAAAGTAAAGATTTGTACATTGAGGAAAAAAGGAAACACAAAAAGAGAAAATTGCAAAACGCCTAAAGGTGTTTAACAAAGGAGTCCACTACACTCTGAAGAGACTAGAGGAACCTGGAAGTTATGATGATAGAAAAAGGCCTAGACGAAAGAGAGTTACTGCAAAAGCAGAGGATAAACATATTATTGTCACCAGTAAGAGAGATCGGCAAAAGACAGCACCAAAAGTAAGGGAGGAAATCAACATGACAAGGTCAAAACCCATATCTCTGACAACCGTGAGATGACGTTTGAGGAAGGCTGGTCTGAAGGGTTGTGTATCTGCAAAAAAACACTACTTCGTCCACAGAACAAGAAAAAGAGATACGAGTGGGAAAGAGCTCTCAAAAATTGGACTTATGATGACTAGAAACAAGTTTGCACTGTTTGGTTCAAAACGCAGAGTCTATGTCCGCAGACAAACTGGTGAACGTCTGAAAGCACCATGTGTTACACCCACAATTCAGCATGGAGGTGGTAGTTCCATGGTATGGGGATGTTTTGCAGGTGATGGAGTAGCAGATTTGTTTGAAGTAAAGAGTATCATGAAGAAGGAACAGTACCACTCCATCCTCCAGCACCATGCTGTTCCATCTGGACTCAGACTCGTGGCTCATAAGTTTGTTTTGCAGCAAGACAATGACCCTAAGCACTCTACCAAGCTCTGTCAGGGTTACCAAGACAAAAAAGAAGAGGAAGGTGTTCTTCAAAAGATGGTTTGGCCCCCTCAGTCTCCAGACCTTTCTCCAATTGAGCTTGTGTGGGATGAATTGGATCGATCGGTCAGAAAAATGCGTCCCACGAATCAGCAGTCTCTTTTTAATGAACTTAAGAAAGCTTGGAATGCAATCCCTGGAACATACCTTAAAAAACTTGTGGAACGAATGCCTGGTATATGCCAAGCTGTTGTTAAAGCCAGAAGAGGTTACTTGAAAGAAAGCAAAGTCTAAGCAACAATAACTCAAATACCTAATAATTATAGTCAAAATGTCTTCTGATAAGTTCCTCTTTACCTAATGTTTGTTGTCATGTTTATTGTGTTGCAAAGTATATTTATGAAACTATGATCTTTTTTTGTACAAATCTGATCCTGCTTCCAAACCTTTGGCCTGTAGTGTATATTGTGGATTTGTAATTAAACTTTTTTTTTTTTTTTTTTTTGCCAGGATACTAAAATTAAATTGTTTTATCGAGTATTTTGATCTAAGAATCATAACAGTAAAATGTTTTGTATCACCACATTGTCAGAACGTTATAGTTAATGCAAAGCAATCAGTCAAAACCCACCTGTTCAGAATAGCTTTTTGAAATTACCCATTTTATACTGTGTTTTTGCTTTCATTTTATTGTGCTATAGTACTGTTTTTATCTGTAAAGTGACCTTGAGTTTTGAGAGAGGCACAAAAAATAAATAAAATAAAGATGTATATATATATTTTTTAATGATGAATCATCATAAAACCCGTAAAAAAATACTCTTACTCTGAGGATGTAAACAAAAATCAGGAGTGAAAATTTCCTCTGTGTTTAAATACAGGACCTCCCAGAGTTTTTTGAAGACAACATGGAAACGTGGATGACCAATTTCCACGGTCTGCTGACTTTGGATAATAAACTCTTACAAACGGATGTGAGTTTTCCAAATTTTGCTCATGCGGTACCCCCTGTTGTGCCACATATACTTGTCAACATTTGTTTGTTTTCTCACACCCTCATAGGACGAAGAGGAGGCAGGTCTCTTGGAGCTGCTCAAGTCTCAGATCTGTGACAACGCTGCTCTTTACGCTCAGAAGTATGACGAAGAATTTCAGCCATACCTGCCACGCTTTGTCACAGCCATCTGGAACCTCTTGGTCTCTACTGGCCAGGAAGTCAAATATGACCTGGTGAGAGTGCGCCTTTTTCCTGACTGTGTTTCTATGTTGTGTCTGAAAGTCAGCTCCTAGTACTAACAATACACTTTGTCTCTGTTTCAGCTGGTTAGCAACGCTATCCAGTTCTTGGCATCTGTCTGTGAAAGGCCACACTACAAGCATCTGTTTGAGGATCAGAATACACTCACTAGCATTTGTGAGAAGGTCATTGTGCCCAACATGGAGTTCAGAAGTAAGTCTGTGCTTCAGTCTCTGTCATTTGATACCACAAAGAAGTCTCATCAGCGACTGGCTGATTCCTTGCTTACTTGTGCTTGTACACTGTGTAGTACTAACTGTATTGTCTTTGACGGTTGATAAGGTGCTGATGAAGAGGCCTTTGAAGATAACTCTGAAGAATACATCAGAAGGGACCTGGAAGGATCTGGTAAAGAATTCGATTATTGATTACCAATACCGTATTTTTCGCACTATAAGGCGCACTTAAAATCCTTTTAATTTTCTCAAAAATCCTCAGTGCGCCTGATAATCAGGTGCGCCTTATGTATGAATTCTGGTTGTGCTTACTGACCTCGAACCGATTTTATGTGGTACACAGCGCTCAAAAATCTGCCAAAATGTTTTATTACGACTTTGGTGAGCTACAAAGCTGCACAGCCTGATGGCTTGTTGGAGCACTGCAGCTACCATAGCCTTGTGGAGTTATTGAATGAGTTAAATAAAGTTCGACTAATCTGACTGTTTTGTTTGGCGTAATGCGCTTTATAGTCCGGTGCGCCTTATGTATGAAAATAGACACGAATAGACGCGTTCATTGATGGTGCGCCTTATAATCAGGTGTGCCTTATAGTGCGAAAAATACGGTAATGTTTATATGAGTGATATTCAACTCCATAAACATACTTACTTACACAGTTTTTCTGTTGGTTTTAATACTAAAAACAAGAAGTGATTTTTTACAAACGTATGCTCATGATGGCCATGTTCTTGTTTTACCCCTTCATCCTCCTAGATATCGACACTCGTCGCAGGGCGGCCTGTGACTTGGTCAGAGGCCTTTGCAAGTTCTTCGAAGGTCCAGTCACTGCCATCTTCTCTGGCTATGTGAACTCCATGTTGACAGAATATGCCAAGAATCCTGGAGAGAACTGGAAACATAAAGATGCTGCCATCTATCTGGTCACATCACTAGCCTCTAAAGCACAGACGCAAAAGGTATTGTTGACTGTCACTAAAGATGCGTGTCTGCCCTGAACCGAATTGTTGAAGTCCTTAATTTGTGTTTTTTTTTCATCAGCATGGAATAACACAAGCGAATGAGCTGGTGAATCTGAACGAATTCTTTGTGAACCACATTCTCACAGACTTGAAGTCGCCCAATGGTAAGAAGATTTTTACAGATTTTGTTGGCATCAGATTCAAAAAGAGAATTCAGTTATACAAACCATGAAAAGCTTTTAACAGCCTTTCCACTTGTTCCTCCCATTGCAAAAGATTAAGCCACTTTGAAAGCAAAGTTTACATGCAAATAAACAAAAATTGACATTAAGCAATTTTTGATATTGCAGTAAATGAATTCCCAGTGCTGAAGGCAGATGCCATTAAGTATGTCATGATCTTCAGAAGCCAGGTAAAAAAAACAATCTCAGTTTTCTCTCAACTTGAAAATTTCTAAACTCAAACTGAAAGCATGCCGACGTTTGATTCTGCTCTTTTACATTTTAGCTTCCTAAGGAGCAGCTGCTGCAGGCGGTTCCTCTGCTGATAAGTCATCTGCAGGCAGAGAGTACAGTGGAGCACACATACGCTGCCCACGCTTTGGAGAGGCTGTTCACAATGAGAGGCCCAAACAACACCACACTGTAAATATGAAAAAACAGTTTAAAGTATTTCTCAAAAGCCCTTTTACCCAGGAATTACCTGCTGTTCAAAAAATTTAAGTGACTATATAAACAAGTAGGAGTTAATTGTTTTGATCCAGAAAATTCAATTCTGTCACCTCTTTGGCCAGAACTGGTTTAGAGAACGGCAAATCTAACAACATTGTAGTTTTCATAATTAAATGTGTATGTGGAACGTTGAGCCTTTTTTAGACAGAGCTCGACAAGCCTCCATTAACAACCCTCCACACAGGGTTTCTGCTGGGTCTTAAAAAGTCTTAAAATGTCTAAAATCCAATAATTTGAATTTAAGGCCTTAAAATGTCTAAAATCCTCTTAAACCCTCATAAAATGTTGCAAATAGAAACTTGAAAGGTCTTCAAAATGAATTGATGTTAATATCAAATAAAAATTGATTTGAAGTTAGTTTAAAATGTTTAGATTTTCCTTCATGTCTTTTGTACTTTTTTGCCAGTATGGAAGTAAAATGGATGTTAAATTTCTATTCATCATGGTCTTTTAGAAAGGTCTTAAATATGACTTGTTGAAACCTGCAGAAACCTTGTCCACATATTATGATTTTTTTCTCATTTATCTCCTGTCTTGGATAATCGGCTTCATTTTAAGTGTACAGCATTCCTGTAGTAGCAGCTTTATTGATTTAAAGAATGACTTACGGACAGCTGTGATTCAAAACTGAAGTCTAAAATTTGTATTCATCTGTAGAGCTGCTGACTGTTAATTCGGCCAATGTTCCTCTCTGTGTTTATTCCAGTATTACTGCTGCAGAGATGGCCCCCTTTACTGAACAGCTGCTCAACAACTTGTTCAAAGCTCTGGCGTTCCCCGGTTCTGCAGAAAACGAATACATCATGAAAGGTAAACCTAACTCTCCTCAAGCGCGCAAAATCACAGCAAAAGTAGGGCTGGGCGATATGGCCTCAAATCAATATCACGATATATTGAGCAATTCACCTCGATAACGATAAATGTACAATAACTACTCCACAAGCTGCTCACCCCCTCCCACATTAACTTTGTCTACTTCAGCCGCTACAACTTTTGAACCGTCCTCCATCTACTCACCTGTCTTTTCCTCTTTGTTACGGACTGGATGAGGTGGAGTCACATCTCTAATGTAGGACAGCATCTTAAAGGGACATGAGACCATAGCCTACCTACACACATCCAAAAACAACTTGTATTTATTTATTTATTTTTGACACCGAATATACCGATATGGGCAAAATGATGTCATTTTTTGTCGTAAATTTCGTTATCTGTAAATTTTCGGTTTATCGCCCAGCCCTAAGCAAAAGTTCCACAGCTAGCATCAGACCAACTCCGTTACTCAAAGCCTCATCATGTCTACATTTTTTTCTTTCTTTTTCTTTAAAGCCATCATGCGCAGCTTCTCCCTGCTGCAGGAGACCATCGTTCCCTACATTCCCACACTGATCGGTCAACTCACTCATAAGCTTCTCTTAGTCAGCAAGGTAATCCGCAGACTGCATCACTGTATATATCAACCCACATGATATAGTAGTTGCTTACTTCTCAAGGGGATAAAAGGGTTGAATAATCATACATGTTGTCATCCATTTACAGAATCCCAGCAAGCCTCACTTCAACCACTATTTGTTTGAGTCGCTGTGCCTTTCTGTGCGGATCACCTGCAAAGCCAACCCTACCACCGTGAGCAGCTTTGAGGAGGCGCTCTTCCCCGTCTTCACCGAGATCCTGCAGAATGATGTCCAGGGTGTGTATCAAAAGTAGGGTTGGGTATCATTTGATTTTGATCGATTTCGATTCCTCGTTTCGATTCCGATTCCTATCAATTCTCTATTTCGATTCTTTTAAAAGGCAGGATATTAAAAAAATGCATGGTTTAAATGAGGGCGCTAACCAGAGCTCTTCTTTTTAGATGAAATTTCTGAACTTCCCCTTGAATTTTTAAATCATATTAACTTTTTAAGAACTTTAATACAAATTTCTCACAGGGCTATTTTCAACCAGTATATAAATATCAATTTTTGTTGTCAGGTCGTTTGTCTATGAAAAAGTACAAGGGCTAACATTAGTTGGATATTTAAGTTTACTCACCGTACACAGTACAATTTGTTTACCGCTTTAAAGTTAGCAGAGGACAGAAGTCATTTATTGTTTCATTTATCTGATTCTGACTGGTTAGTGGAAGACCGGTGTTGTGCTGTAGAATGCACCCCTGCCGTAGAATGCCTCGCCTCCACTCATTAGCTTCTTAAAGTGGAAGACAATGATCTCATATTTTAAAAAACACGGGTATTAGATCATGACAACATGTCAAATGGAGCAGTAAACTTTCGTTTTGTTTTTATGGGTCTCAAAAATGCACACATAGAGGTGTACTTGGGTATATAAACTGTACAGTAAGCTGTCAAGGTAGAGAACATTATATTTTCGGGACAGCAAATATTCAGAATCAGAGGTCTATTGTTTTTGGCTTATCTGAATAGCCTGAATGAAATCATTAAAGGAACACGCTTTAGATTCCGTTCAACGGTAAGGAAAACTTGGATTGTTTTGCCTTGTTGTGTACTTTCAACCGCATTCTACGGCAGGGGTGCATTCTATAGCACAACACCGGCGAAGCGCGTCAAAGACGAGCACTCGGGTATTTCTCCTCCATGAATCCTGAGGTGTTTAATCATGTTGGTCGTTTGCCCTCCTTTGCATGTTGTAACTGTATTGCTAATGTTGCATTGAGATAAGAGTTCATTCTTCCTGCTAAAGTTTGCCAAACTTTTGATCAACGAAGAAGACGCCGCGTAACACCAACGAGGACGGAGCGTATGAGACGAAGCCACACAGAGAGAGTGAAGAGAGACAGAGAGGGAGAGTGCATTGTAACCCACAGTGGCTACATTGCTGTGGGTTACAATGCACTTTCTCTCTCTCTCTGTCTCTCTTCACTCTCTCTGTGTGGCTTCGTCTTATATGCTCTGTCCTCGTTGGTGTTACGCGGCATCTTCTTCGTTGGTGTTCAGCGGTTATTTCCTCCGGTCGGCGGACTCCGGCATCGGAACTTGGAATCAAAATTTTAAAATTTGAACGATACTGGGAGAATCGAAATGTTAGTCCCGGTCCCCATCGATACTCGATTCTCGATACCCAACCCTAATCAAAAGAGGCTGTGAGGTGGTTTTCGTTGTACTAAATGACTCCCCTCATCTCACGTTTGTCCTGTTTGCAGAGTTTCTTCCATACGTGTTCCAGGTGATGTCTCTCCTCCTCGAGATCCACTCCAACTCTATCCCCTCAACCTACATGGCTTTATTCCCTCACCTGCTGCTGCCAGTGCTGTGGGAGCGGACAGGAAACATCCCCCCTCTGGTGCGCCTCCTTCAGGCTTACCTCGAGAAGGGAGGGGCTACTATTGCTGGGTCTGCTGCAGACAAAATTGTAAGTTGTCACAGTGTCTTCTGTGGTGTACAGATAACAGTGTGACTGTGTTTGTGTTGGTTTAAATCTGATTGTTTCTGTCACCAGTGTTTTGACATTTCCTCACTTCTCCCTCTCAGCCTGGCTTGCTCGGAGTTTTCCAAAAGCTTATTGCGTCTAAGGCCAATGACCACCAAGGATTTTACCTTCTCAACAGCATCATCGAGCACATGCCCCCGTAAGTCAACTACAGCTTTTATCTCAGTGTATAAATCATCTTGAATTGTCTCAACCTGATCGGTTATGTCTTTCTTTTTCCAGAGAGTCAATCACTCAGTACAGGAAACAGATCTTTATTTTGCTCTTCCAGAGGCTACAAAGTTCCAAAACCACCAAGTTCATCAAAAGTTAGTATAATAGCTGTCTGTTACTTTCTTTTGACATCTTTGTCTGCAGAGCATCGAGAGTAAGCAAAGCCGGCCTCAGCGCACTCTGAATTATTAGTAAGATTAATTATAAATGTTTCCATATGTAGAGTTGTGAGTTAGTTTGATCAGTGTTGTGTTTTTCTCTAAGGTTTCTTGGTGTTTATCAACTTGTACTGCGTCAAATATGGAGCTATTGCACTTCAGGAGATTTTTGACAGCATCCAGCCAAAGTAAGTGTATTTTTTTCAATGCTTCTCTTTTAAAGTCAGTGGACAGAGAGGATATTGAGATGTCTGCTGTTGTTATTTAGTGGGTTCATCCATCAGGGTTTTTTTTAGGCAGCAGGAGGCACAAAAAATTATAAGGTCTCTGTTTTTGAATTTGTTGGTGGTCTACAACAACATAAATCTGTCCTACTCCCTGCACAGAGACATCGGGCTTTAGAAATTGTGCATTTTTAGAGGAACGCCTGAGCCAGAACTATACTTGGACTTTTAGGCCAAAAGGGGAATCTTAAGAAACAATGAAAGCTGTAGTCAGCTTTGATTCACAGATATTGTAAACTATTTTAAAGGTGACCTGGTTAAATGGTGAAAAAGACAGGGTAACACTTAATTTGACGCCTATCCCTGTAACGCATTTTGAATATATGTATAATGCGTTATAATCACATTATAGAACTATACAACTATATTTATAAACACTCATAAATGATCATAATGCTTTATAGCAATAATCATAACACATTATAAAGCATTTTATCATGACTTACAAGGTCAGGTATTATAATGTGTTATAACTGTTAACAACTCACTGACAATGCCCACATAGATTATGCATTGTACATATATTTATGTGTTGTAAGTTGCTTATAAACTTGTGTAACTATCATTATAAACACTCATTAATAATCATAAGGCTTTATAACAATAAGCGTAACACACTATAATATCGGACCTTGTAGGTAATGATAAAATGCTTTATAACTGTAGTTACTCAGTGCTATATTATAACCCATTATACATATTTATCATGTGTTTTAGAGAGAGGCATCAAGTAAAGTGTTACCAAAGACAGTTTCTAATATGTTTCTTTCATACTGATACACTTGTGATGGTGCATAATCTCCTATCCCACAGACATAGTTTAGCGGATTTGTATGAAATCTGTGTAAACTCATAAAGGGTTGCATCTTGATTACACAGAAAGGCAAGGTGAGACGTATTGGTAATGAACTTAGTTCCAGAGCACACTTGACTGTTAGACAGCACATTTACATGCAGGGGCATACAAATGTCTGCTTATTTGAAATGCAGTGCAGACTTCTTGTTTTTTTTCTGTGGTATAGTAAATATTTCCAGTCATATATTTTCATTTCAGTTTCTTTTTTGTCTTAAATATCAGTGGAGAAGATCACTGACTTATGACAGAGTATTAGGGCCACATTAAGAAAAAAAATTAAGACTTCAAGATTTAAGTCGTTAATTTACGAGAATTAAGTCATTATTAATGAGAATAAAGTCATTACTTACGAGAATAAAGTCATAATAAAATCATTATGATACTCATGATAATGTGGTGCTGATGTGCCGAAAGATGAAGTGTCTCCTTGTTTGAGAAACTTATATTGAAGTACATTTTCACGAAATGCTCCATGCCTCTCATTTCAACAACTGTCATCTTAAACAGGTTAGAATATAAGGACTTTATTACGAATTTATTCTCGTAAGTAGCGATTTTGTTCTGACTTTATTCTCATAAGTAATGGTTTTATTACAACTTTATTCTCGTAAGCAATGGTGAGTTAATGACTTTAATCTGGAAGTCTTAATTTTTTTTTCTTTCCTTAATGTGGCCCTAATACTCCATCGTACTGACTAAACATTCACTTTCATTTTCTTTGAAACTTTTTCTCTTGTAGAATGTTTGGCATGGTGTTGGAGAAAATAATAATCCCTGAAGTCCAGAAGGTGTCTGGGGCAGTAGAAAAGAAGATCTGTGCTGTGGGCATCATAAAGATCCTTACTGAATGTCCTGCAATGATGGACACAGAGTACACTAAACTCTGGTGAGCAATCAGTTTGAAGAAAATTGAATACATGTCTTTAAATTTTTGCTTGTCAAAAAAAAAGACAATTTGTTGATGTAAGTTAAACCTGAGTCTTTTTTTATTTTTATCTTTAACATCTCCCTCTGTTAGGACCCCTCTGCTGCAGGCCCTCATCGGACTGTTCGAGTTGCCGGAAGATGACAGCATCCCAGATGACGAGCACTTCATCGACATTGAAGACACACCGGGCTATCAGACCGCGTTCTCACAGCTTGCCTTTGCAGGAAAAAAAGAGCACGACCCCATTGGAGATGCTGTCGGCAATCCCAAAATCCTCCTGGCCCAATCACTCCACAAACTCTCTACAGCTTGTCCAGGAAGGGTACGTGTATGCATAAATTTATAGCTTTAAGCCCAAGTTATTTTATTTATGATTATCTGTGTTAACAGAAAAGCTCAGAAGGATTAGGACTGTGCTTTTCTACAGTTACAGTAATGGAGAGTCAAATCAGTGATTCTTGTTTGTTTATTTTTGATGCAGGTGCCATCGATGCTTAGCACCAGCCTGAATGCAGAAGCTCTCCAGTATCTGCAGGGGTATTTACAAGCAGCCACTGTACAGTTAGTCTGAAACTGTTGCAATGGTGTTCACTTGTTAAGGAGACCACAATACAGTGCAGGAGGCCACAGTGACTTCTGGGTCACATGACAGACCTGCTTCAGCTGAACTTGAGTCCTCACAGTTTCGGTTTGACTTGATAGCTTTTGACAGATTGACCAGAGAAGTGGTGATTTTTGCCTGAGTTGAGGATGTGTTCTCTGACGGAGGTTCTTTTATAAAAGGTTTTTAACGACATGACCAAAAGTTGAAACAAAACTGAATTGCTGTTTGTGCTTGGCTTTTTTTGTTTGCTGTGTGGCAAAGCAAACAAACATGGATATCAACGTATGATACAATCAGTTTATTTCAATAACAGCAGCAGCAGAGGTACATCTCAGCAGTATTGCAGAACATTGGGATCGAACAGGGAGGGATTTCTTTAGCGCTTTTTTTGTATGTTTGAATTCCTTTTTATGATAAATGAGTTTAAAATCTGTGGCTCAAACATGATGCTAGATGTTTTTTTTTCTGTTGCATGTTTCCTGTAGATTTGTTCCTGTCTAGTCTTTGTTTCTGCACTGTAATGTGAATAAAAAGAGGCACTTGTATAGATCTGCTATCATCCCACTCTTTGCTCTCTGAATGTGAACCTGACTGTTTTTTTTTTTTTTGGGGCCTCTAGTGCATAGATCAGAAAAGGAAGTACTTTCTCTCGTATTAAGCTTTGTGCTTTTTTAAATCACTACACCACACAATAACACCATGCTTGGAGTTCAGCATGGCTGTGAATTCAGCTACCAGTCAGCCCAGTGTCAAAAGTCACGCCAAGATTTGGGGCTTTCCCTTCAGATGACAAAAAAAGTGATATAAATATTCAACACAAGCCTTTGGTTTCTGCATTGGTCCAAGAATGAAACAAAAGATAAAGAGGGATTTCTCAGTTGGACTTGATGAGGCCGTTTGACGTCTTCAGTTCAACGTTCTTTATGAAGGGGAGCATGCATTTGTCACCTCCCATGAAGCGGTATGTTGCAAGATTTGCATCCCAAGGTAGCAGTCTAGAGGGAAAACAAGTTTCAAATCAGGTTTTTTGATTTAGTTTACACTGTGTGGAAATAACCAGATCAGTACTTACGCTCTTGTCAGGAAGGGGATGTACATCAGGCGAGGAATGCATATCATTTGCTGTTCTGCTAAAATGGCTTTCATGGATTGTTGAACGGTGTAGAGGGGTTCAAGAGGTGGAATCAAACTCCGCAGCTCTTTCCTTTAGGAGAGAAAAACATCACTTATGTTTTTTCCTGCCAGCGTTTACAATGTTAGATTAAACTGTGGTAGCTCACCTGATTTCACAGCCTGCAAACATCCCTGTGTCGACAATATAAGGGCAGACCAAAGTGGTTTTGATGCCATCCAGGTCTTCTGCTAGCAACTCATGTGTCAGTGACTCATGAAAACCAACAGCTCCAAATTTACTGGCGCAGTAATCCTGGAGGGAGAGAGTGTAAACACTAGCAGAGTGATCTTTGTTTTATTTTTTTGGCTTTATTTGTCTGTGAGTGACTCTATAGAGATGGATCCTACCTCAACACATGCAGTGCTGAAGAGCCCGAGAGCACTGGCAATGGTCACAATGTGACCACAGTTTCTTGCTTTCATCTGAGGCAGGAAGGCTTTTGTCATCTGTTGGATCGGTTCAGATTAGAGTTAGGCTTTTAGCACCTCTTATTGGAAACATGGAAAAACTGATTCTGTATGACCCTGAAGCAACCCTAGTCTCTGTCTGCTATCTGAAACCAGTAATTCCAACAAATTTTGGAGGCTTTGTATGCTGATAAAACTGGTGGTTGTCACATCATTTAAAAAAATGATTTAACAATGGTGCAAAGATAAAAAAACAAAAAAACAAAACATGTTTGACATGGAACATGTTAAAATTACTAACTGCTAGTTTAAAATTTGATGCCTGCAACATATTAAAAATATGTATTATGTAATATGTAAATATGTAAATATTAAAAATATGTTGCAGGCTAAAGGCTAAAGCAGGGAAAACAATAACTACAAAAAAGTTACTAAAATAAAAAACAAAACAAAACTGGAGTAGCATCCCCCATCTAATAAGATCGAATTTAAAAAAAATATAAAAAAAGAAGTGACTGCAATACCACATGGCTTCCAAATCACTGCCAAAAATCCTTTTACCAGGTTGGTTAACATGCACGGTGCAATTAAATACATAGATATAAATTTGATCCAAACTCACCAGCAACTTTTCTAAACCTGAGCCCATTGAAGGTGGACTGGGGCAAAGTGGAAAACCATGAGGTCTGGTGAATCATAATATTTGTCATTCTTTTAGAAAGTCATGTATGTGCCCATGGTGTTTGGTTACATCCCAGGGAAGTCACCATTACTGCATAAGGATGAATTGAATAGATTTAAGAGCAGCATATGCATTTCCAGGGAAGACCTTAAAATACAGCAAGAAAGTGTAAAACTACATTTTGTACTAGTACTACAACAGCATGTCTATGTCTATGTCCGTGTGCTAGACCCTGCCATGCATCCCATGGAGCACAATGACATAATAGTGAGCGTGCTCCTCTGAGTTTTGTTGTTGGCCTTCAATTTAAGATGAGCATATATTTCAACATTTGATAGGCTGTCTTCAGTGAAATGGATTTTAATGTTTTTTTAATGTTTTAATGTTTATAATAAATAATGCTCAGAACAGCACCTAACTTCATCAACAGTACATAGAGGGTCCTAGTCACCAAACATCTTTCTAACTCTGCCTAATTTCTTTAGCAAAGACACTAAATGCAACTTACCTACTCTCTTCCAGCAGCTGCTTGTTTGTAGCGAGATCTCAGGCCAGTCCATTACGGACTGCAGTAGGGTGACGCAGCTTAAGGAAGAACATTTATGATCTTTTTTTTCTTCCTTGAAGTAACTATCACCATATTAATCATTTTGCACTGCAGATGCAGTAGTTCTTCTGTCTTAGCATCTCAGTCTGATTGCATTTCCATGAAGAAATGATCATAAATTTTCTTCCTTGAGCTGCGTCACCCCGCTGTATGGGGTGCCGTTTGTAAAGCAGCCCATTGGGCAAGATTTGGTCACATTTAGCAAAACAACAGCAAGATTTAGTCACATTTAGCTTCAAACAGCATTTAAAAAAGTGATGTGAATTTTCGGCAGTCATTTTTTTGCGCATTTACAACAACATTTAAATACTAAAACTAAATGTTAAATATAAATCTAAATGTTAAATCTAAATCTAAATGTTAAATCTAAATCTAAATGTTAAATATAGTCCGCGCCATACGGAGAAGCGACACTGAAAACTCGAGTCTTTCTAATAAAGTTTTTGTTGTTGCTGTCGCTATTGTAGGTAGTTATTAACACGAAACGTCACCCCAAGTATTTGTTCCCCCCTTAAATTGGTTTTAATTCGTTTTCTTCGACACAAGAATCATCAATATGACCTTCTGGAGCTTTTATTTTGGCACTTCCGGTGTCCAACCGTGAATTAGCATATTAGCTAAATATTTAGTTTCGCCCAACACATTTAGATTTAACATTTAGATTTAGATTTAACATTTAGATTTAGATTTAACATTTAGATTAAGATTTAACATTTAGATTTAGATTTAACATTTAGATTTAACATTTAACATTTAGTTTTAGTATTTAAATGTTGTTGTAAATGCGCAAAAAAATGACTGCCGAAAATTCACATCACTTTTTTAAATGCTGTTTGAAGCTAAATGTGACTAAATCTTGCTGTTGTTTTGCTAAATGTGACCAAATCTTGCTGTTGTTTTTATAATGGGCTGCTTTACAAACGGCACCCCATACCGCTGTAGTCTGTGTTGAGACCTCAGGTCAGTCTGTTACAAACAAGTGGCTGCTTGAAGAGAGACGGTGAGTTGTATTTAGTCTCTGCAAAAGAAATCATGCAAAGTTAAAGAGATGTTTGGTGGCTAGTACTATGGCTGGGACCCTATATGTACTGTTGATGAAGTTAGGTGCTGTTCTGAGCATTATTTGTGGCTATAGAGTGGCGTTTTGGTTGAGGTTTGTCTATGGCTCCTCAGACCGCTGTGTATTGCTATCATGCGGTCGTTACTGAAGTTGGTATAACTAGAGAAGCAAGCAGTCGGCAACATGCATCTCTCGACGGGGTGTCTAGCTCGGTGTTACGTTGTGTTTGACCCCAACTTCATAGACTGTATGTAAGATGGACAGGGTCTTTACTGTTATAAAAGTACCACCAGTCCAGTATACGGTATATTTACAGCTGATCTCCTTGATGCTTTGTACTCTTAGTTGTATCATGAGCCTTGGACTGAGACTGTAAGAGGATCAAAGGCAGAATCACGTGCTGTTTTAGCTGGTGGGCTTGCGTGGGCTGCGATTATTCTGTGGCTGAGTGGATGGCACCTGCTAACTGGTCGGCAACATTAAACAGAGACTCAGGGACAGACTGCAGAGTGGTGGTGCACCAGCTCCCATCTGATCCCTTCACACGTCAGTGCACAAATACTAAACAGAGCCGGTGGGGGGAAACGGAGTGAATACAAGTTATGTAATTCATGTTAGGCTGGTGGATGTGGCTGTGTGAATCTTGCAAACGTGGAGTTTGTTTTTAGTGTTCCAGCTGTTTGTGGAAGTGTGTCTCACCCAAAAGAGCGCGTGGCAGTTGACAAGCAGAGTCCTCTCCAGAAGCTCGTCCGGACAGTCCAGCAGCCTTCGCCCGGCCACCACACCCGCGTTGTTCACCAGTATTGACACCTCCCCGACCTCCGCCCTCACCCTGTCCGCCGCTTGGTAGATGCTCTGACGCTTCGACAGGTCCACCGTGTACGCGTGCACTTTCACTCCAAGCTCGCGCGCCAGCGTGGCGGTCTGCTCGTTGGCATCAGTGTTGCAGTCCCACAGCACCAAGTGCGCACCTTCCTTGGCGAACTCCAGGGCGAAGAGGCGCCCTAGCGCGCCCCCGGCCCCTGTTATCAGACACAGCTCCCCGTCTATGCACTTAAGCCGCGGCCGCAGGAAAGTCTGGATGATAGCTGACACTATAGAGTAAATCAGGTCTATCAGCATCAGCAGCAGGTCTACTATCACTATCATGATTGCCTAGGTTGGTCTTCTGCAGGAGAAACAAGTGAGCCACACACGCAGACCGCCAAGCTTTGGAGTTGCTGTTTCTCTGAGTGGCGTGGGATCGGATGGCCGTTTTATGTAACTTGTGTGTGCCGGATTAGGACGCAGAGAGATGCTGGCCACCAATAGAGTGGCTTTTTTGTTAATGACTGAGGCGCAGACAGACTGTAAGCCATGTACATTCATAACTGGCTCCAAAACAGAAGCTTAGTGCGACTGAAGGAGGGTCTATAGCCAAAGCTTTCTTTCATTTTGTTACATTAAGAGGATGTATAAACACCAGAAAAGGGTATAGTGTAGGGTGCACAGTGCCAACTCAAATATTATAACACTAGAGTCAAAAAAGCATTGTCACAGTGGATTCATATTAGGGCTGGACAATAAAATGATAACATATATTTCGAAAATTTATTTCCCATGATATCCATATAAAACATGGTCAATATGCTTTTCGATATTCAGCATGTTTTGGTAGACTACACAAATGGCCAGTGTAAAGGGGAGTTGCTCCAGGTCCCCTTTGCGCTGGAACAATCATATGCTGAATTAGAACCAAGTAGCAAACAACTGCGTAGTAGCAGGCTGCAGCTACACGCAAACATAGCACTTAAACACGTGAAGCCGACATCACTGTCAGTGAGAAACAAAGAAAATGAGTGCTGCCCCCGGCAGAAATGCAAATGAAGGCTCAACAGATGACGACATCTTCGACGACACTGGCACGAAGAAGTTGGTGGTGTGGAGGTATTTTGTTTTTTGAGGTCGGACATGGCGCAGAGTAATGTGGACTGTAAATTATGTCGAGTACATGTTCTCGCAAAGTCAGGGAATACCTCAAATCTTTTTCACTACCTGAAGCAGTGCCACACGGCAGAACATGCGCAACACAAAAGGTTACAAACCCCAAGCAGAGCAAGGAGCCCACGGCGCCTGTGCAGCTGAAACATCCGACCATTCAGTCTGCCTTCTCTAGTGCAAAGCCTTACGACAAAATGTAAAAGAGACACAAAGACCTCACAGATGCAGGAGCTTATTGTATTGCAAAAGACATGCTACCAATAAGCACTGTTAAATTTAATTTTTTATATCCTGATATACAGTACAGGCCAAAAGTTTGGAAGCAAGGCCATTACAGGCCGAACAGTTGGGAGTAACTTCAAGTTTTTGTTAATGTTTTTTTTTTAAATCTAGCATGAGTTTTATGTATTTTGGGATGTATTTACTCCATGATCAGATGTTGCTATCATGGAAATGCACAATTTTACTCCATTTACCTTTAGATATACATTGATGTTAACAGACCATTGCTAAATATACATGTCCGCAAAAGATAATAAGGGCTTAGTTTTTGGGTTGAAAACATTTGCAAGAGTCACAACTTCAGTGCAAAAGCAAAAAAACAAAAACATAAAAACAAATCACAGTTGGATTATTTACTTCAACTTTTTGGATTTTGAGAGTCTGCATACAAAAATCCTAAAAAATCTCAGCTGCGTTCAAACTACCGCAAAAATGGCTAGAAAGAAACAACTGAGTAAAGAAACAAAGGTACAGATTTGTACATTGAGGAAAGAAGGATACGCAGAAAGAGAAATTGCAGAACGCCTAAAGGTGTCTAACAAAGGAGTCCACTACACTCTGAAGAGACTAGAGGAACCAGGAAGTTATGATGATAGAAAAAGACCTGGACGAAAGAGAGTTACTACAAAAGCAGAGGATAAACGTAGCATTGTCACCAGTAAGAGAGATCGGCAAAAGACAGCACCAAAAATAAGGGAGGAAATCAACATGACAAGGTCAAAACCCATATCTCTGACAACCGTGAAATGACGTTTGAGAAAGGCTGGTCTGAAGGGTTGTGTATCTGCAAAAAAAACACTACTTCGTCCACAGAACAAGGAAAAGAGATATGAGTGGGCAAAAGCTCACAAAAATTGGACTTATGATGACTAGAAACAAGTTTGCACTGTTTGGTTCCAAACGCAGAGTCTATGTCCGCAGACAAACTGGTGAACGTCTGAAAGCACTTTGTGTTACACCCACAATTCAGCATGGAGGTGGTAGTTCCATGGTATGGGGATGTTTTGCAGGTGATAGAGTAGGAGATTTGTTTGAAGTAAAGAGTATCATGAAGAAGGAACAGTACCACTCCATCCTCCAGCACCATGCTGTTCCATCTGGACTCAGACTTGTGGCTCATAAGTTTGTTTTGCAGCAAGACAATGACCCTAAGCATTCTGCCAAGCTCTGTCAGGGTTACCTAGACTAAAAAGAAGAAGAAAGTGTTCTTCAAAAGATGGTTTGGCCCCCTCAGTCTCCAGACCTTTCTCCAATTGAGCTTGTGCGGGATGAATTGGAGCGATCGGTCAGAAAAACGCATCCCACGAATCAGCGGTATCTTTTTAATGAACTTAAGAAAGCTTGGAATGCAATCCCTGGAACATACCTTAAAAAACTTGTGGAACGAATGCCTGGTATATGCCAAGCTGTTATTAAAGTCAGAGGAGGCTTTAAAGAAAGCAAAGTCTAAGCAGCAATAAGTCAAATACCTAATAATTATAGTCAAAATGTCTTCTGATAAGTTACTCTTTACACAATAGTCATGTTTATTGTGTTGCAAAGTATATTAATGAAAATATGTTCTTTTTTCTTCTTTTTTATCGACTGACATTAAAAAATATATCATGATAAACTTTTTCCCATATCGCCCAGCCCTAATTCATATGAACAAATTCTCATGATTGAGATCTTCTTGGTCCTAGTTTTAAGTGAACCGTTACTTTGGAAAACACAACCTTAAATTGAACCATACTGAGTCCCCATATTAGTTAAATCCAAATTTCAGAATCGTCATCATCCTCATCATCATCAGTGGATGTCAACACATTTACTGCCCCTGATATTTTTGCCAAAATGTGCATGTCCCTTTGTAAAAAAGTAGATTATAACTTTCACTTGAGGATTTGTCAGACTTACATGCAAGATTTTCACCTCAGCCACAGTTCACAGTAAATGCCTTTTGCACATGTGTATTTTCACGTCTGCATTCCTCTCATCTGTTCAAGTTTTCCCTGATCCATGATGTGAGGGGGATTATCCAAGTCTGAGTAAAATGTTAAGGTGATAAACCTGAGGCACGTGTGCACAAATCCCTGCCATACATTCTCCTTAAATTCTTTGTTTTTATTTTTGGGTAAGTGCTCTTTTCACTTCCTTTAATCACACGTTACATCTATTTGATAATAACTATAATGTGTTTTTGTACTTTTAAACCCTACTTCAGTGGTTTTATGGTAGAGATGTTGTGTTATATTTAGTTTTTTGCCACATCAGCAGAGGTTGTTCCTGCAGAAAGTTAAGTCTGTTTGTATCTTGTGAAAAGCTTAAAGTGGTGACTGGCTTTGACCGTGATGTAATCCTCCTCAAAACTCGAGTCATGATGTAGGTATGACGTAATGAAACATAACAAATAGGAATGTTTGCATGTGTCAAAGGAGACTTCCACCATCATGAACAGTTTCAGCAGCAGATTACAAGCGTACTGGGGACCCAAAATAGAAACCATCTGATCAGATTATATCCAAAGCAAAGAAAGGCAGGGTGTTTTGAAAAAGGATAGGGTTAGAGGTCAAACCTGTGACTTACACAGTTTTGTACATTTTGTCAGATGCCTAATCTTGAACCAGAAAAAGTCCTTGTACAGCTCAAATCCTAAAATCTGAAATATATCCGATAAATTTCAAATTCCACCTGCAAGGTTTATTTGTCATCAGAGGTCAAAAGATGTTTGAAGAAATCACCTTATGCTGCTGAGAATAATCATGCATTGTCTTTTGTTGCTGAACTTTTTAAGACCTTAAAAATGATGACTGGACACTCTTTGACGACAGTTTTTTAACTTCTAAAACTGCATTTTTCAACTTTGAACCACATATAAAAACTGACAATCTACCTTTACAGTGTCAGTTTCCTTCATAACTGCTCTCACATTAAATATTATAAGAAGTCAGGGTGATAAAATTCAGTTTTTAATCTATGAGCTTAACCGTGTAACACTAGAGGGCGCTGTTGTATTAGATATGCAGCTTTCATTCATGAACAACAGGCCAAATTCTCAGGCCTTCACATGTATTTGAGCGTGTTTGTAAAGACACATGTACATTTGAAAAAGTAAGGCACACAGCACCAACTCTGGATTATTGTCTTTTATTAAGCATCAGTCAGTAAAAGGAGAGAACTGCTGATTCTCTGATCAGAGACTTTGCCCTAAAGCTTCTTACAGTTGATAGTATTTACAAGCAGTGTGTGACAAAGTTTAGTAGCGCTACATGCGTTAAATAACAAGAAACCACAAAGATTATATTCAACAAAGTGGACTGGTACAAAGTATGAAATTTTACAAAACAGACATTTCCCCGGACTCAGTGCGGGCAGTGTAAAGACAAGTGTGAGCTGGATGGAGGTGATGACTCCCTGAACAAAAGGGAAGGGTTCAGAAAATTAAATGATGTGTCTGTATTGGCTTGAACCTCTGTTGTGCTTTAGGATATTGTATTAAGAGTTCTTGTCAGAACTTCCTGTTTGTGCAGGTTTTGGTGCCCTTTTTTGGGCAATATGATACATCTCATCTTTTTGCTAATAATCTCCTTTATATTTGAAGATTATCTGACAAAAATCTCTCCCTGTGCTTTTTTACAAAGATGTTTTAGAAAAGTAAATCATCTCACCTGACCTGCTCCCTCACAGCAGTAATTATTAAATTAAAAGAAAGTATTTTTGCTAGTGGTCTGGTTTGCTCTTGTAGGTTATAAAGAGACATCATTATTAATTTCTGTCTGTTTCATAACCAGTTAAGACCTTCTCACAGGAGCTTTAAATTAATATGTATCCCATTTTATTTTTATGGCCAATAAAGTGCAGTTCGGAAAGCATAAAAATTGAAGAATGTCTCCTCCAGTGCAGAGAAAAGTAGTAACCATTTTAATATGGCTTGTTTGAGAGTTAAGTCCGCCGTGAGGAGAGGCTTAATTCCACAGATTTGTCAGTATTTACTGCATGTCTGACTGCTATGTGATGAATGTTAATGAATCCTTACCGTTAAACACATCCTCCCCTTGTATCTTTCTCGCCTTCTCCTCTGTTTCTAATGCACTGAGTGGTGAAACTCATATCAACCATTTGTCAGTTTGACATTTGTTATCCCATTACCATGCAGTGTTCAGGACAGGGGCTACAGCAAATCCCACTCACCAGTGACTGCCTTCCCTCTTTTCCACATTCTTTGGTTACAAAGTTTGCTCCTCAGAACTCCATGTGACACCATCTTAGCTGTAACTGAGCCTTTTTCCTACTGGCCCAGACTCTGCCTTTGCATGCCCAGGATGATATTTATAGAATCCCAGAAATGAACACATCCTCAAAAGGATGCCGAAATTCAAAGTGACATTTTGCACTGTCATTCTGCACAAGTCTCAAGCACAAGTCTATAATGGAAAAGCTCATTCGAGTCCTGTGTGTATAATATGATGGCGAATTTTCCTGCCTGAGGGGACGCTTCACACTCAGTATTTCAAAGCGACAAAGAAAGCTCAACAATAATATTTTGAGTGATCGCCTTGTCCATGTCAAAGAGGTCTACAGGTTTGAGAGCAGAGTGCTGCAGCCGTCATCCTGAATGTCAGGTGGAATCAGGCTGACACTTCTCACCTGTCACACACCTCTTGTTCCTATTCCATTCACATTTCACACTCTCTCCGTACACAGGAGCAGGGAGCTGAAGTGACCACACACACACATCACATCACAGCAGCAGCACCTTTAGGTTCAGGGTGTAAATTGCTGTAGTCATGCTCAGCTTTGCTCAGACAGAGAGAGAGAGAGAGAGAGATAAAGGGATTATGTGATGGCTAGAAAGGTCCACCATCCAGTTTCTTTGATAATTCTTGCTTGAAAACAGTTAAGCCACAGCTGAGGTGGTGAAAAAAAAAGACAAGGAATTATCCTATGACTGCATGAGAAAAGAAATGTAAACACTGAACATTTCCAACATCTTATTTGAGTTTTAAAGGATTTTCTTTCTATAAACCAGACTACTTGTTTGCATAAAATGTAAGCTACCCAGTCATCTCAACCATCACCATGGAAACAGTTGTCGTGGACGCTGCTAAGTGACTCTCCACCCATGTTTGTTTGTGGATTGGGGCCTTTCTTATGCAAATATACAGCACATTTAAATATAAGTGCTGAGGAGATACATGAGAAGGAAAGGTGTGGATATGTATCATCACAGTCTCGCAGCTTGATGACCCACTTCCTTTTTGTTTCGTGATGTGCAGAAGTTAAATTGTCATCAGACGGGACACGACGACAGATTCAGTGTGCTTGGCAGGCGTCTGTTTAAAGCAAAGGCACAGAAATATCTAACTTATTGAAGGTCTAATGATAGAAAACAAGAATACAGAGTAAATACTCTCGCTTTTTTAAGAGTCACTACTAAAAATAGATGTTTTGTAGCATGCTTGCATGATATGTGCTATATTGAAGTAATAAAAAACCATGCTCGCTTAAGTAATGAGAGCACCAGATGGAAAACACCCAGAGTGGTCATATGTTTGGATTTAGGTGCAGGATACAGAGTATAGTGGTCTACAGACACATAAGGTACCTCCATGCTGTTATGTGCCTGAGTGGCGAGCTGTACATTGCTGCGAGGTGGCTTTTATGTCGCTGGAGACATCATGTGGACCCATATGAGCATAATGTTTTGGATGTCTGGAAGCAAAACCACTTGCCAAGATCCACAGTGTGTAAATAATCAAATTAGCCATCCAAAATGAATGTTGAATAAAGTGCGGCTGTGTTGTCTCTTCATTTTCCCTGTTTCCTCATCCATGTAATCAGCTTTTTTCTTCCTCTTTCTTTAGCCAGTCCTGGCATCCTGTGCAATAACTCAGCTTACATGTTTACACCAAATGAGCAAGTATATGGCTCCCTGAAATATGTCAGATTCTGCTGTTAAGAAAAGGAATGCTTTCATTTCTAACATTTTGAGATAAAACAGTAAAATGTACCATCATCAGAAAGAACAATTCTTTGGTTCTTCACATTGCACAAAGGATAGAGGGACAGACATTTACAAGAAGACAGTAGCAAACAATACAAATTTATCTACTATAGTATATCATCTAACAAATGCAATTCCATCAAAATTATGCAGTACTTAATATTGAAATGTAAAACTATGAGAATAGCACAATATATTATTCTATAGGTCCATTCTTTTAGAAAATATCTTAAAAATATAAATTATTTGGATTCTTTACCTTGTACAATACATGTGTTAATGTTGTTATATTCTACAGTTGTAGTTATACGCACATGTACAATATTCACACTCCTACAAAACTGAAGGGTCAGCACAGAAAAGCTCTGTGGTTTTCAGTGCTGTCTTTCCAGCTATTATGGTGCAATGTGACTGAATACAAAGTTCAGATTTTCAGCTACAGAATGAATCATCTCAGGAACACCTTCGACAAAGTCTTGAATATGTACGAGACTTTTCTTTTTGATTTCCTCCAGATTCAGACTGAGGGACAAACACTTGAAAAGAACCAGTGACTAAAGCAACAAAAGAAGTCTTTTTTTTCAACATCTGTGTTTAAGATGAAAAATATTAACCGTGTTAAGTTGCTCCCTCTTGACAGCAATCGGACACAACAGGAGCAAGAAGAAAATCGATGAATGATGCCTCACAGAGTCTCTCTGTGTTGCCTTGGTGTTTTTGTGCAGTAAAAAAATATCAACACTAAACTGACTAAGAATGCTACATAACAATACATAAACTAGATATGAAACGGACATACTGTACTGTCTGTGGATCTCTCTTTCCTTGTCATATAAACACGATCAAAAAGAAAACTAAGGCCAGTTTTGAGGAAGAGAGTTAAAGGGACCAAACCATACATTTCCCTGACACACTGTTGCTTTTTAATGCTATAAATTTACATAAAACATAAGAAGAATGTATATTGCCTCTTCACTTTACAACATAGTTTTTTTTTTGTTTTGTTTTCTTTTGTTGAACGACTGCCCCAGTTTGCAGTGCTGTTACAATGTCTTCTGTGGTTTGCTACTGATCTGTTAGTTTCGGCTCTAGTGGCTTTAAAATCATATTGAAGGATGTCAGAAAAATTTGTTTTGTTTTGTTTTTCATATAAAAATGATGTTATGTACCCTTAAAACTTGGCTGTTATTACTGAGAGAAGATCTGGGCTAAACAAATGTATAAATAGTCAAACTAACACAACAGGAGCTCTTTGCCGTTTTAGAACATCAGAGTCCTGCTGAATTCATTAGTTCAGAAGTCCTTGGTAGGAGAGCTAAAACAGCAGTCCTTCACAACGTCAACAATGATTGTTCTTTCATTGGATTAGTACATTTTTTTCTGTGTCTTTCATATTTTTGAGGAAGTTCAGTTTTGCTGAGTTCACTGTGCTTCTTGTTTCCCTCTGTTTCCTGCTTCCTACTCTCCTGGTTGTTGCTTAACAGTCTTTCTAAGTTTAATAGTGACTCTTCTCTCCCTGAAGTGGCAGTAGTTCCTGAGCCACATGGTTCTCCTGCCCTTGTGTTGGCAGTGTGCTGTTCCCCAGCTTCCTTTGCAGGCCCTCCATGTGGTTGGACCCTTGCTGGAAGCCTGAGTGATGGCCAAACTTGGGGCTGGCTTTTTCCAAGAGTTTTTGAGACGGGTTGGTGCCTGAGCCATCATGCAGATGCTCCTCTTCATCTGTATCAGCGTCAATGAATTTATTGATGGACGAATCATGGAACGTGAAGATGCTCAGTGGTAAATTCTCTGGGCTTTTGCTTGGCGTCCTACTGCTGGCAGTTGTGTAGATGGATGCCTCGGGGCTCTGGAGTGACGAGCTGTCTGAAAGCACCCCTGTCCCTGAGTCCTCCCTTGCTCTGAAGTTGACTTTGAGTGAGTGGCTTTTGTGCGGGTTTTTAAAGCGCATGCCCCTGGGGCTGTCAGGGTACAGGCTGGATTTGTTGCTGTGTCCTGTCAGAGGTGTACTGTTGCCTTGGGATCCTTCGTGGTCATTCTCCAAAGTAGGTTCCAGGCTGGGGTTGGTGCTTACCTTTCCGGGTATGTTGCTGACTGGGCTAAAGGAGAAGCGAGAGCTCTCAGGAAAGTCTGTGGCACAGCTGATGAAGCTGTCAATGCTAGACATGCTTCTCATGTCTGAAACGACCTCTGATGGGCTTGAAACAGCCTCAGGCGGGATGCTTCCCATCTCAATTTCAGTTCTCTGCCTTGCTGCTTTAGACTGCAACCCTTTTTCCTTGCTGAGGTTGGGTTGTGACTGGGCCTTGGCCATCTTGTTGTAAGTCTCCTCCAGTTTCTGGGCACTGAGATGCTGTGGGCTGCTCGAGGGCTTGACTTGCTCTTGGTTGATTGGTTCAAGGGTCTTGGTCGGACTACTTGGGTTCATATGGGATTTGAGTCTGGATGATCCTTTAGGCTGAGTGGGAGACACATGATTATCATGTACCTTATCTGTCTTTTCATTGGTACCTTGCACCATTACATCCATGAGCTCGATGTTGCGACCAAACGCATCTTTCATGTTCATGGAGACAATGCTACCATCTCTTTTAGCCCTCTCCAGAGCCTCTCTTCTCTTGATGGCTTTCTCCTGCCTCTTTTGTTCTTTATAGAACTCTGAGAAGTTATTCACAATAATGGGAATAGGCAGGGCTATGACTAGTACTCCAGCAATGCAACACAAACCCCCGACTATCTTTCCCAGAAGAGTTTTTGGGTAGATATCTCCATAACCTACTGTAGTCATAGTAATAGTAGCCCACCAAAAGGACGCTGGGATGCTTTTGAACTTGGTGTCCTCCTCATCTTTCTCTGCAAAGAACACAAGACTGGAGAAAATCATGATCCCCATGGCCAAGAAAAGAATCAGAAGCCCTAGTTCATTGTAACTCCTCCTAAGAGTAAATCCTAGAGACTGAAGACCTGTGGAGTGGCGGGCCAGCTTCAAAATGCGCAGGATTCGCATGATCCGGAAAATTTGGACCACTCTCCTCACATTCTGAAATTGAAGCACACTCTTGTTTGATTCTGTCAAGAAGATAGTGACATAATAGGGCAGGATGGCCAGCAGGTCAATTATGTTTAGAGGACCCTTAAAGAACTTCCACTTGTTGGGGGAGGATAGGAAGCGTAGCAGGTACTCCATGGTAAACCAAGCAATGCAGACAGCTTCAACGTGGGCCAGTTGTGGGTTGTCCGTGGTTTGGCCAAACTCATCTGTGTCCTGCAGCTCTGGAAGGGTGTTGAGAGACAAGGCGATGGTTGACAACACGATGAAAAGAATGGAAATGATGGCCAGGATCTGAAAAACACAGAAGAAAACACTTGTGAGGATACCAAAGAATACCAACTGATAAATAAACCTTGCTGATGATGACCAGTCTTGTCCTACTTTCTCAGGATGCAGAGTTGGTCAGTCCAAAACTACAATAGATTCAAAGTAAAATTTCATTCAATGTCCTCACATTTGTAGTTTTAAGTTTGAGGACTCCACATCTGTTGGCTGGCTGCCACGCACTCAACCAAAAAGCCACTCTATAGCCACAAATAATGCTCAGAACAGCACCTAACTTCATCAGCAGTACATATAGGGTCCCAGCCATAGCACTAGCCACCAAACATCTTTTTAACTTTAACTCATTTCTTTAGCAAGGACACTAAACACAACTCACCTACTCTCTTCCAGCAGCCGCTTGTTTCTAGTGAGACCTCAGGCAAGTCCACCAACCGCAGCAGGGTGACGCAGCTCAAGGAAGAACATTTATGGTCATTTCTTCATGGAAATGCAATCAGACCTCTCGGTCTTTCTTCTGCTAATGATGGTAAATGTTCTTCCTTGAGCTGCGTCCCCCCGCTGCAGTAATGTACTCGCCTACTTTCCATGTTTTTAAGCTATTTATAGGTTCCGTTCTGTACCTGTTAAACATTACTTCTGTGTGCATGTTGCTGGTAGCTTTAAACTAGCTTCTCTATAGACCATTAGCCACTTTTGGAAATCTGTAGTTTATAAATATCTCTTGAAAAAGAGCCCCCTTTCTTAAGTTTGATGGTGCATGGAATAGATGACCAAATTTGATCCGTAGTTCTTTTAGGATATACGTACCAGAATAATGAACCTGCCTGAAGACAGATTCTCTGTTTAAACCTGCCTTTTAATCTTGGCGAACGTAGAAGAAAACATTTGATCATCAGAACATCACAGACAATTAGACTAAAAGATTAAAAGACTCCTCTCAATATGCAAAACTGCAGCCATCTGTTCTCTTTTTTTGTGCAGGGGTTCTTCTTATTACCCCCAACCTGTTGTTTACATCACATTGCAGGCTCTCATTTTTGAAAATGAGCATATTTATACTCACAACATACAAGGAAAACTTGATTCAAGCACTTTTACAGTGTGTATAAAAAGTATACATTTCAAGAGTGATAGTCCTTCATGAATGGATGAAAGTGAACTTGGACTGTCAGTGGTGCTAAAGTTAGAAGTCTGCTGCCCCTGAACTACATGCTCTGAATTAAAACACTTCCAAAGTGAAAAAGGACTTTACTGATGCCAGAGGAAAAGGGTCAAAGCCATTAGAATCTCAACAACATGTCAGACTGCTGCGGCTCCACTTGTGACACAAAACTGGGTTTGAGATATCTCAACTAGCAAAGGCAATTTCTGATGATATTAGCTCACAGCCCATTTCACTTTTTGAATACTTCCTCCAAAGAATTCATGAAATGTCATGTCAGCGTTTCAAAGAAATAGGGTCACAGCTAATGTGATCTCTTGGGTGGAGGTTTTTTTTTCTTCCTCCCTTCAAGTCTTGATCTGCAGAAAGAGACAGTGAAGCAGAGAGCTTGAGATTGTATTGATACATTTTTAAAACCCCTGCCACTCTTGTGCTTCAGCATCTGCCTCTCCATTTCCTCTTCACTTTAATCCTTAATGCCCAGGGCTGCAGGTTATAAAAATGTAGCTGTGGTTTTACAAAGGACACAATGCATGGTCATTGAGACTCCCTGATAGACTGCTGAGGACCTCTGGAACAATGAGCTATCTACTTATGATGTTAATCTCCCACTACAGTGTGGTTTGGTAACAGTATGAGGGATTAACAAGGCCGCACAGTTGAAGGTGTGGATGCGCCACACCTATTCCCAGAGTCAGTGTGAAATCCAACACAAGGTCACTGTGGAGGCCGTGTCCCAGGCCATTGGTGAGCAGGATTATTCTGTGGTACCAGTCAGTGTCCATAAGCTTTAATTAATCTGGACAGGTAAATGTTTGTACATCTCCTGTGGCCTTTTGAGAGAGAGGGACCGACAGCAGACAGGCAAAGAAGTCTAGACAGAGGCTGCTCCCTTTGAGAATAAATTAAAAGGTGGACAAAACATTAAACTTTTGGTAAAGCTTTTCCTAAAATAGCCTCAAGAATCCCAGGAGACCCAAGAAAGATAGAAACTCTGATAATGACCCAGAAGCAGAATTCTCATGAACGATACTCAAGAGAATAAAGCGACTACTTTAACATGCATGTACGTTTATCATTGACAGAACAAGAGTCTCCATCTCTGACCTTTTTCTGGGGAAATGACAAGATAAGATAAGGAAGAAAAACCAAATGAAAGAGAGGTTTCAAGGAAATTGTGCCCTACTTGCACTGATTTAACAGCAACCTTTCTAACAAAGACACATGTAGTGAGGCATCGGCTCTAAGCCTCTGCTCTAAAATGAACTGTCCAGGGGAAACTGCACTCTCAGATAGAGTTTAATCTAGTGTGACGCTCTGACGAAGCTGGAGTCTTGCTGATGATTCATGCTAAATTCAAAGACGAGGTTGAGACTGAACCAAGGTGGGAAGTGCATGAAGAACAACCCCAACATATCCAGCTCCATTTTTCACATGAAATTCGCCCTCTTGCTCACCTCTTCCCCACCCACCCAGACCAGCAGTGCGCCAACTGGAGTCAACTGGAAAGAAGCTGATATCTCAGCACAGAAACACAGACAGTGTCCACACTGAACAGAGTGACAAAGCTGTGACACAATGGGACTAAACCAAACCCACCCTGTGAGTTTCCTTGGTTAGGCAATAACAGTTTCACAAATGAGGAAATCATACACTAATATCTTAATGTAGTGGCCAGACAGAGCAAGCAAAAATGAAAAACAGACAAAAAGACGACACAGACCGTCCCTACGGTGCAAACTACAGCTTTAATTGCATTCGGATGAGTATATCTTTTATGGTGCGGCAGAGTCATTCAGGCTCAAAGGCGCTGTTAAAAAGCACTGTGGTAAAAGTGTGTTGCCTCATTAGCTGATATAGGCAGACACTGAGGTCATCGGGACAGCCTACTCCCTGCCTGTTTGCACGAATGCAAGATGTTCCTCATCAAGAAAGCTACTTTTTCCACTCACTTCTGACCCACCCCTCTACAACAAACACAACAAACACCTAACAGCATGCATAATATAAACACAAACATACACACTAAGACACTCCCAGCTTAGTAATTAGCCCCAGGACTCCCTTTCCTACAAGCCAGGAAGCAGGAGACTGAATATTTAATAAAGTTATCCTACAGAAGAGAAAAGTATCCTGTCCTGGAAAAAGGTGTGTGTGAGTGAGTGCTCGCTAGGCCATGACCAACCACAGAGCCATAAAGCTAGCCTACTTCTCATCCTGCTTTCACCACACAGCGTTAGTCCTGCTTCATGCTGAATCAAAGGCGAGATAGATGGGGAGGGAAAGCTTCAATAAACCTGTAGCAGGAGGCTCCTCAGAGGAGGGGCTTCTTATTGAGATCAAGGGTTTGTCAGTTATCTGTTGTTTAGCCAGGTAGCACAAGCATCGAGGAATGAAAATCAGATTTTTATTTCTCTTTTAAGACTTCTTATTTTGAGGGTGATCGGGGCATATTTACCTTTATAGGACAGCTGAAGAGGGACCAGGAATGTGGGGAGAAAAAAGAGGGTGATGATGCAGCAAGGGGTCATGCTATCAGATGGCTATCACTTAAAAATGTATGCTTTAAAGGGAGTTGAGTGGGTACAGTACTTAGGTACATTTTCATGATAAAGATAAAAGCGTTATTGAATGGTATGAAGAAAATCACCCACCAGGGGCTCCCCTGAAGTCAGCTTATATTGATAAATCAAGAGGGTATACATAGTGAAGGATATTCATGGAAACATGTTGAGCAGCCTTGCATCATTTTCTTCTTATTGGATATTTCTGTTTGCTGTATATGATGCAATATGGTCAAGAGTGCACCGTCAAGCTAGCAGCTATGACATCAACACTAAGCCCAACAACCTTTTGAGATGAACACCATGGGGGATATGCTTGCATGCTTACAATAACTATGCTCCTATGCTATATGACAACCATACTAGGCATCAAGTATTTTGGCTTCCTCTAATGTTTGCAGGTATGTAGGTACTGTATGTAATCCAACATACCAAACATTTAATACGGTAACACAGTGGCACACATTGGAAAATTAGTGTATCTCCAGTGTCATCACAGTAATCCACAAGACATATTTGACTAAAGCCACAAGTGTCAGTCTGTTGGGTGTACAAGAGAAAAGCTTGTGAATCCCCACTGTTGAAAGGATTCATCCTCTGGGCTAATGTGCCTAAGTTTTTGAGCTTTTCAGGTCTGTAATTCCAAAGAGAAGTATGGACTGGTAATATTGGCCAAATTTCCATTAAATTACCATCAAAATACAATTAAATAATTTTTTGCATTTTCCCTTCAGCAATGATCCCTATTAGCCAAGGCCTTTTAAGTGAATAGGTTTGTCATGTGATGTACTGCCAACATAACTGATCTGAAGTGCAAAAATACAGCCAAGTAGTTTTGGTGCCAAGATAACTGAGTGTTCGTACACTCTGAAATTGGATCTAATATCTTGAGCCTGAGCGCATAAATGTGACAGATCTCTGATTTTTGGTGAATCACAGAAATGAAGTAATTAGTGACAGAGAAGTCTGACAGCGGGGGACAGCTGCCAGAGTAAGAAATTGACTGGAGGCATGTTAGGAGTACATTAAATCAGAAATACAAGGCATACTACAGACATTCACAGGCAGCACAATGTAAAAAAGTGGCATTACAGTCATCAGAAGAAATGTATCCATCACATATTAAGGGCTTTCCCTTGCGTCAAGCTGTGTGAATCGCTGATTCATTTTTGGTCTGTACTCATCGTAACTGGATTTGCCCTTTTCACCACATGAGCTGAATCAATGGGGGGATTATGTCACACTGTGAATCACTCTTTATTTTCTGTGGGCTTGTTGAGTGCAAGGTGGCATCTCTAATCCTCTTATTGTACTACTTCTCCTGTGATTTGCCAATAAATATTTTCTGGCCTGTGTGTGCTGACAGCTGACCTCCTCCCACGGAGTCTGCTGTAGTTCCCTCTGTGGGATGCTCTGTCAGTATTTCTGTTCTTAATAGAGCTCAATAGAAGATGGACGGAATTACGCTGGCAGGAGACAAAGTGGGGAATCTTTTTTCCTCAATGGAGAGCATGGTAGAAGCCCTTCTAACACTTTAAACCTCCCTTGGGTTACAATTAGACGGAAAGTTCCATATGGGGACCAACCTATACGGGTATAGGCGAGACTGCTTTTTTTATGACGCCCCTGTAGCTCTTGGAACATGTTGAAGCACATCCTTAGACTGGACGAGCTCCCTTCACTCACAGAGTTTAGGACCTTGGCCATGGATAGTTGTGTTTCTAATTGTTTTGGAAGACTGTCTTTCTTCTTTCTTGTTAAATGTATACTGTCATGTAATCACTTTCAAATGATTGAAACCACTGTCAACATATGAATGGCTTGTTAACTCAACGACATTGAAAATGAGGGTAACCTCATTAGCCATGTTTACATGTGCAAAATTTCTTGATCTGATTAAAATTTGAGGGCTCAAATAATCTGAATTCACTGTTTAAATGGGTGCAAAATCAAATAATCCGATCATGATGCGCGTATACATGCACCAAGCTTTATTCTGATAAGAAGTATTTGGACATGCGCGGAGTTGCCTGATTTCGCTAAAACAACTGCAAAGAGAAGAGTTGTATTGTTGTATTCATGCCTGTGCAGTCAACAAACCAACAAACGCGGTAGTGGCTCACTCCATCCCATTCAGGAGTTTCCCCCTGTCAAATGTTGTCACTAGATGGCGCCCTTGCGTACTTTTTTTACTGTTCTGTCAAAGGTTGCTCTGTGCGTGCAGATGTGACATCATTACGCTGTATCTATGCCTTGTCATGTTACCGGAGGAGCAGACACGACATCTGCGGTTGTGTTTTATGCCAGAGTGTTAATAGTGAAACCTCCTGTACTGGCCTCAATAAATAAGCCAAAGGCTAAAGAGTGAAGACCGAGTCGGGTTAGAGATTCACGATCGGAATAAGTGTTTACAGGGACGTGTTTCGGAATAACGATTGGCATAAACCACCCCTCTCAATCGGAATACCATTTCTTTTCGATTGACTCGAATTGAATCAGAATCTTGCGATTTATATGTTTACATGACACATTTTTATTCTGATCGGGCATTTATTCTGATTATTTGTGCCCATGTAAATGCAACTACTGTCTCTCGAGAATAAAGGTAATAATAATAATTTAAAAAAATAACAAATAAATAAATAATAATAATAAGTAACACCATTCCCACCTGCTGCCTCCTTCTAAAATAAGACTTTGCCATTATATAGACAATTTCCCCTTTTGTTATCCCACCATCCTTTTAAAATAAATGAACGTTTTGAAGTTAAGCTATTTTGAGAGGCCAATGAACTTTCCAGAACACATTTATGAACCAGTTTAAAGCAGTGTACAAATCATTGTGAACTATTTTCAGTAGAGTATTTGATGCACCTCTGAGATTTTAGAGTCACCAAAATGCACAAGATAAGGAACATGCTACCTAAAGCATACACAGCATTGTGTTTGCACTGTTTTCTGGACACTTGATGATACAGAAATAGGGTTACAGATGATAGAAGCCAGTCACTATCTGAAGTGTGTTGATATTACGGAAATATAAAATATGACCAGACTTGTCCTATAAATTTTAGACAGACATTATTATGTATTCTGTTTTGGTTTGTTCCAACTCCTCATTTCAGAAAGCCACATAATCCAGTTTTTCATGGCTACACTTTTTTCAAATGGAAATATTCAAATATCCCAGAGGTCAGCCTTACAGACTGAGTATATTTGCAAAGTTTGAATCTCAACCTGGATTTAAAATGAAGTTTTTGGTTTTGATTAATGCTTGGCTGCACAGCATCACAGTAGTTTGTATTGAGTTTTCCACCAGCAGGTCTGTGCCTGTTGAGGGATTTTAAATAACAAGCGACAACCCTCACAGTTAAATAAAAAAAAAAAAAAAAACAAGTAGATGGCATAAAAGAACAAACAGATTTGAATCACGAGTTTCTGCAGGGCATTGGGAGGGCAAAGACTCAGATCATTCAGATGCCAGCTCTCAGTCTATGACACATTCTTCATTTATTTTTCCTAACAACTGATCCTTTCTAATTCAATTTATTTAGTGATTGCATTAAGTAATAAATGCTTATTATCATTTTTAGTCAGTTTATTTATAGAGTATATTTCTAAGACACATTCTTTCAGATGTTTAGCCCAAAATTAACAAGCTTGGAAATTAAAAAGCTGAAAAAAAGATTCTGTTGCTACAAAATTATGACAACCATTCAAGAAAAATTGGAATTATTGTGACATCCAGTATTATAATCATTATTACACTGCATTCAGAGTCTAGCACTGAACACTTTCTAATTACATAACTGCCTCCGGTCCATTTTCCCCATCTGTCTCCACACCAGATATGGAACGACATAAAGCGTCTCCTAAAAAGACAAGACCCCTATTGTGCTGCACAGATGTTCTCACTCTCTCATTTGCCTCGTTTCACCTTGCCAGGATAACTTTTTCTGTCCTACCGTTGGGCCTGTAGCAGAGGACCTGTTTCTATCCCGTGCTGTGTGCTGAGGTGGAGACAGAGAGATGGATTACTTCGCTGGGGGCTACGCTGGACATGTCCTTTTAGAAGTGTGAAGGTGGTGCTAAAAAGATCAGGGGCACAGACGCAGGGAACATTGAGTGCACCCATGTCTATGTTAAGACTGAGGAAATAAATAGATAAATAAATCAAGGTTTACATGTAACTCAAATGTACAAATTTTGCAACAACATTCAGCCTTTTGGAAGGCCTCTGTGTGTTTTGAAGCAAATGTCAGAAAAAAAAGCACAAGATCAAATGAAGGAAAAAATGTGTGAGAAATGAAGACAAAATAAGAAAGTGACAGGGTAAAAAAGAGAAATGAGTGATTGCTCCCCTGCGGCTGTGGAGCACAGCTACTGTCAGACCACCTGATAAAAATATCTGAGCTTTTGCCACTGGTCTCTCACCTGGGACCCTGATAATCTGGGGCATCTCTATCATCAAATTAACAGTGAGGAACAGAGATAGATTAAACAGATCTATAATGTAGATTCATGAAAAATGTAAAATAACGATCTCACGTCTGCTCTATTGGGCTGCTAATCCTAGAGTGGTTTCACAAAGCATACAAATCAGTTTCAACATGAATGCTTAAAAAGAAAAGTAGGTCTATAGATCCATGTAACCCTGATGGTGTATGACTATGGGTTTCAAACTATTCCCTGATCTCTGGAAATCACCCAGCACCTTGCTGCTTACTTTTTTTCTATGCAGAAAGGTTTTATTTGTAATATTGATGCTGTATACCATCAGCGGGTTGAGAGTAACTTTTGTCCTATCTTAGCATTCTCTTTTAAGATATTTTATTTATTTTCTCTGTAGTACAGGACAATGTAAGGTGTGCAGAAATTTCGTATTGCTCAAATCATGGTCACAAAAAAATGTTACTTTCCCATAGGCTGTATCAAACATGGACACTGTCTCAGTGGTGCCACTGCTCTCCGAAAGGTGTTATGAAGCAACATAACGTTTGGTCAAACTGGACATGGTCAAAGAGGTGGAGCTGAGCATGCCTTTAGTCTCTGGGTAAACACTAATAGTGTTAAAGAAGTCAGGGCCATATATTTCTGAATTTTAATCTGACCCTACATGCAGTGTGTGTGTAAAGAAATGATCTTTCTATACTTGTATGCTGAAGTCTATTTTACAAGATAGTAAATATGTTTCGCTGTAAAAAAGAGGTTTTCTAAGGAATTTGGGAGCTTTCAGTGCCAGCCTCAAGCGGTCACTATTAAAACAACAATATTTTCCACAATCCCTTTGGTTATATTTTTAAAAATCTAAAGTTGTTACCTGAAATTGCCACAAAAAGGATGAACATAATGTAAGATATTTTGATCTATTAGTGATTAAATCTAAAAAATAATTACCAATATTATTGTTTTTTTTTTTTAAACTTTGTGTCAAAGATGCTGAATCTGAAGATGAGATCATACAGAATTACAGCAGCTTATGTCAATGGTGGCTCATATTAACCAGGTAAAGTTATGAAAAATATTGCTATTTAACCCAGAATTCAAAAGATGAAGATGCTATAAACCATACCTTTATATGGCATTATGCTCACTGCTTTTAACACTTTATAAACGTTGCCAAACGTTTGCAACTTTGCTGTTATTAAAGGACTTTAAGGGCTGTTATAAAGCCTCATCGATGCATTAATAAGGCTTAATACATGTACTTTTAAGGCATTATAAGAGTGGGTTAATTTAACATTTTTTTTAACCTTTTTTAACACTCAACTATTTACAGTTTGATTCTAAACAGATGATTTTTTTGTCAGATGAAATAACTAATATATATAGAGGACAAGATCAGAAAAGACATCAGAAGTCTAACTTTTTCCACAGGAGGATAAAAAACAGAAATTTCTCATTGTTTAGGAGACAAAAGCTTGAATCACAGTTTGCTTCTGTATTTTCCTCAAGTGTTTTAAACTGTACAAGAAAACATCGTCAGATTAGGTGAATTCAGCTGAACTTGTGATGAACTGTCTTCTTCTGACCTCTCTGCTGAGTCTGAGAGACAGCAGGTTTTCCTCACAGCTTGTGCCTGACTGTCTGAGTGTCCACCTGCTATCAAACACTTATCTGTGGGCTGGGGTGGTCATTCCTCACTCAGGGGCAAAAAAAAAAAGAGCACATACAGCCAACATGGCTGAGCAGAAATAGTGTTAGGATGGAAACCGTGTTCCTGAGATGTACCATCCTGATAAACAGTGGGTGTTTCTGTGTGGGCCTGATATATAGCTCGGGAAGACTCATGGCTCACAGCATGATCACATCACATCTCCACACAGTGAAGACACATCACACTAAGCTGAAAATGACAAGAACTCAAAATCTGTCTTTGTTCTCCAAACTGTTTTTTGCAGGCTGGAGCTCCAGCTGCTTCTTGTTGCTATGGTCTTCGCTCACTCTAAAACTGGTGGCACTGTTGGCAGGCTAATAACATGAAAAGAACAGAAAATATCACACTGAATCACCACCATCTCTGTGAAAATTGACCATTTGGCAGCATTGTGCAAAACAGAATTATTGTCGTTTTTCTCTCTCTTTGTCACAGGGTGATGTTGTGTTCATGACATCACAGGATAAGTGCGAGAAGAGGAAGGTTTTAGCCGTGTAGTCATCTCATCAATCAGTGTAGCCATCTCAGGTTTAATTGCAATTAGAGGAAGTAATCATGATCAGGAGACAGACAGGCAGCTTAAAGAGAATACGTAACTATAAGACACTACAGCTTTAATGAAGATTACCAGCAGGATGCAAACAGAGGGTCAGAAGATTACATCAGACAATGAAGTTCATGACCTCTGTCAATGTCTGAGGAAAAATGAAAGAGTTGTCACTGTTGAGGATATCTAAATCTAACCAGACTAGACCCTGAAGAGAGGTAAAGCTCCTCAAGAATTACAAGTCACAATTCTTATCGCATGATTGGATATAAATCCACAGCCTGATCTGAGCAGAAACAGAAGCCTGATAAGATCCCTGTACTGATCTGGTGTCCGCTGACATCTAAGTAACATCAACTAATTTCCTCGTCTCCGGTGACAGGCCTGTGTGGTCCGGTGGCCTTACTCGATGCTGACCATAAAGAGTAGATGTCACCGGGCTCCTGTGACACATCAGGGTGTCGTCAGTGAGTGGAGAGAGTTACCTAGGCCGTTCAATGTGAACAGCACCTGAAAAAGGAGAGGCCTGATGGCATCTCTTGTATGACGCCATATCAGCTGTAGACTCCAGTTTCAGCACAGGACATCAGATGACATATAAGACAGGCAGTCTAAGGTACATTTCTGATCACATAAGAAGGAAATGGAGTATTATACATTTTTTTAGACGATATTTCCTTTCTGATACCTTTTTATAGCTTAATGCGGTTTTCGGATAAAAAAAATCTCAAATTTCTCGAAGTGGCGTATTAAAATATCATTATTTCAGCCTCCATCTGAAATGCGTCATTTTAGCTGCTCTCAAGATAAGGAAAAGTTGAAACTGTAGGACACACAAATGCGAAACAAAATGATTGAGGGATCCAGTTTAGCTTTGCTCCGCATAAGATGCTAATGGGGTTTCATCTTGCTCACGGGCAAATGTTTACATTTCTTGCGGAAGCACCAAGTTGGCAGGTTACCAGCTTATGTTTGCTTACGTTTACAAAGTTTATTTTTTACATTTACGGGGTGAACTCGCTGTTCTTTATTATTGTATTGCAGTGCAGGGGCAAATAAATACATCAAGCTCACAGTTTGCAAGCTACCAATCCAATCACAGCTTTAAGAACAAGATTTTGCAATTGCACGCACTTAATATGCACGTGCATCATGCTCCTCTGTGTGTTCAAGGTCAAAAACTGTTCACACATTATCGCCACCTACTGGCCTGATGTGCTTATATGTTTTTAACTGTTTCTGAATTGTCCGTTGTCATGCACATGTTTTATGTGCCCATGTGTGGACTAGGTCTACTTAGCTACAGCTAATGGGCATTAAACACCGTTCAGCACCCAGATGGAGAACAAGAGAAGCTCTGCTCTGTCCATTGTAACACGAAAAACATATTTTAGTTTGGAAAAGGCCAAGCTAGTGCAACGGCTTTAGCTGCATATTTTTGAAACATAAAAACACAAACCCAATCCACATCTTCTCTGTAAACTCTGTTTGTGAAATGTCAAATTATTCCTTCAACATGACGTCTGACAGCTATGCCACATGTCTTCTGATCAATTCTCATGTGAGCGCTGAACTATAGAAGATTTCTCCACCTACACTTCAGCAGCAATTTTTCTCTGGATCTCTTGAGCTTATCTGTCAAAACCATCACAAAGAGGCGAATCTCACCTGTCTATCAGCACCTGTGAATTTCCTAATGCATCAAAACTTAACTCATCTTAACTGGTCCCAATGTGCCAGAGCCACCAGTTAGTGTAACCACGGCAACAAATTCAGCAGACAGCAGTTATTATCAGTGCTGCACCACTCGCTGCCCGACAAAGCCTCCCGATCTACCGCTAGCTTTGGTTCCATTTTACTTCAAGTTTTGTTTTATTGCCTATGTCGGCTGTATCCCTCTCTGTCTGATCTGGAGGAGGTTCTTGTTTAAGTGATGGATGATACAGCACAAGGTTAGTTGTGCCGTGATCTATTAAACTCGGTCAGTTTCATATAGAAAGCTATGATAGGAAACAGAATGCATAGAGACAAAACACGCCCTGGATTTTGTTTTCAGAGCATGTGTGCCTCAGCATCTCCCATGAAAAATTTAGCATCCAGCTGACACAGCACAAAATATCCATACTGGGTGTAACAGCGGGGCCCACCCTCTTCTTGAATATCTGTTGCTGCTGGTGAGGTATTTTTGTTGGAGGGAACTGTCAGTGTTGAAAACTCAGACTTGACACAAAAATCTAATCTAAGAGGATGCTCCTCTTACACACATACAGTAACAGGGATGTTAAGTGTAACACAAAACCATCCATTTTTCATTTCAAGTCAAACACCTGCTGTGCTCCAGTCTCCTCTTGAATTTTTCAGTAGGGGTGGAAGAAAGAGTGCTGACCACTGACGACCACAGCTCTGGTGTGTGTGTGTGTGTCTGCACAGCACGTCCCTTTCATCAATGACAGACCACTAAATGTCTCCCAGCTCTTCTCATTTCTGTCCGACTGCCTCACTCCGGAGACCACAGCACTCTGAGGCACCTGCTCCTCCTCTGATAAAGCGAGGTCAGAGATACATAATGTAACAAGAGACCAAGAGAAAAGCCATGTTAAAAAAAAAAGGCAGTACATGGTGTATAATGTATGCAGGTAAGATGTGCAGGCACTGAAGGGCCTTGAGGCAACAGGCAGGGAGAAACTTTAAGATGCAACCTACATTTAGCAACTCAAAGAAATGTTTGAATGAGGTTGTGTAATCTTATGGTGAGTTCGACTAACCTCGGAAATCACAAAAATGACGTCACACCCAAGTTCCAAGCATTTCAGATAACAAGTCGGATAAAAGCAAAATTGGAGGCCTGAAACAAGATGGCTACATCTACGAAAGCTATTTTAGCACTTGCCTTACATTCGAACAAGGCAAGCACTAAAATAACTTTTGTAGATGTAGCCATCTTGTTGCCATCTCCGATTTTGCTTTTTTCCGACTTGGTAGCTGAAACGCTGGTAACTCGGGTTTGACTTCATTTTCAGCTTGGACTTCAGACTTCTGAGGTAACTCGAACGCAGCAATAGATCAACCTTTTGCTCTTAAGTACTTCATCTGATTGGACGAGAGACATTCTATGAGTGTGATATCAAGTGGTAAAGAACTTTATGTACCACTCAAATGCGGTGCTCCAGTTGCCTCGGAAGTCAGGATTTCCGAGTTTTACACTGACATCATGCTGTTACATTGAATATCAGCCTGGTTGTAGCTTTATGTCTATGACCAAATCACATCCATGCTGATATTCGAGATAACATCACTCCTAACTGAGATTACCAGAAGACTGAAAGTCTAAAGTAGAGAAGAAAACTCTTTTTCTTCCCAGAAGGAGATACAGGAACAGGGGGTCTGACATTTACAACAACAACAACAACAAAGGGAGATCTAACCTTTAAAAGATGAGCATTCATTCTGAGCTTAGAGGCCTGCAGAAATAAAACATTCATTACAGTTTTCTATGAGATTGAACCTACCAATACAGAGTCAAAAAAGAACCAGACCACATCGTACACTCAGATCTAAATGTGAGAACGGGAGGTTCACAGTATAAGTCAGAAAAGCTGAGTTCTCAGTAAAGCTGTAACACGAGTGGACAGAGGTTGTTATGAGGGAGAAAAGTGTGCCCAGCTGTCTGTCACAGCATATGGCCAGTGTAAACAATGACAGGCAGCAGCATGTGGCCTGTGTGAATGACCGGAGCAGGATTTGCACACTGATGATCATGACAAGGCCGACCCCATCAATGCTGCAAGCAGAGGGAGATAGGGGAGGGGGGAAAAAAACAGCTTTCTCTCTTTTCCTCTTTCACACATTCTCCTCCTTCTCCCCTCTTTCTCACACATATACATTAGCACTTGCACGCACACTCACGCACAGGCAGACAGCAGCACAGAGTGTACGCAGATCATGACTGCAGTACCTCAGCATACAGCTCAGCTGATAGTTTCCATGGTGACATGAGGCTTGTTAGCATTTGCATAACAGATGCAGCAAGACATTCACAAAAACAGGGCACGGAAAATAGAGGCCGATGTAACACAGTAAAAAAAGATGCCCTTAATGTCGATCTGTGTTGACCGCTCAGCTTAGTGGTTCTTACAAAATAGTGCATGGCTGCCAACCCAGTTAATGCCAGATAACCAAAGTTTATGCCGCTTTTGTTTTTGAGCTCTCACTCGGTAAACAATATAGAATAATAATTTTTAAAGAACTATTTGATTTCTGATGCTATGCTACAATGCTAAGAGTCATGATTGTGTTTTGTTAAGTTTCATTTTTTACGATTGGTTGAGGAAAGATTACAAACAATATCAGGGTGAAGTTTTGGACCTTTCTTTGCACTATCCCACTGCTTCCTTTTTTTACGGTTTCAGTTCAACTAAAGGGGGAAACAGTAAAAGGAGCAGTCAAAAGTATCACACTGATCTTTGTTAAATTTGGCCCAGACATTTTTACAACTATTTCTAACAGAAATTATAATAATGAATTAATCGAAGAGTGATAGTAGGATTCCCAGCATGGTTTTAGCAGGGGTCAAGAACTGGAGTACATCGGTCCAGTCTTAGATAATTGTTTACAGTGTCAAAGGGTTCTGCAGTGCCCATGTTATGTAAGAAGTAAGGGATAAAAACCCTCACATCAAGCTCAGCTCCATCATTACAGGACAGAAAACTAAGACAAAACCTCTTTGAAAAACAAAAAAAAAAACAGATGCCATTTCCGATCCAATATTTACATGCTTTCCCCTCAGTCTGTGTGTACATTCCTAAAAGAACTGACTATTTGCAGAATGTGTTTCAGAGATGCCACATGGTTTTAATCCAAAAACATGGCTCTGTTTTGGAGAGGAGATCGATGGCCAAAATTATACAAATGATTTAATTATCCATCTAATGTAGGTCATTTGTTTTTACATGGTTTTGTAGTTGTAAAAGTGTTATTGGCTCCCTGTGTCCAGCCTTAATACTGTCATCATAACACTGCTGAGAATTATATCCACAGATCGTTAGCTGCTGGCACAAGATCAACTGCGGCAGACTCCTGATTTCCCGTCTGCTGTGTCCTGCGTCCCAGCTGTGTTAAGTAGCAAAGGCATGACGATGATTTGCAAATGGAACAAAACCCTAAATTATAGAGGGAGCTGAGACATCGACGCAGAAAGACACAAGTCTCTGCTCAGCTGAGCAGGTGCAAATCAGTTGTGCCAGACCAAACATGATTGAAAAGTGGCCTTTGTTCCATAATTATTGGCTATCACTCTAGTTTTCCCAGACCTGAAGCTCAAGTAGAGAACTGGCTGCAAGGCTAAACATATGCCAGACCAGTGCGTGATGCTCCACACACTGCCTATATCCATCCAGGCTGCTGTAAACTGGCTGACAGTCAAGCATGCTTCCCCAGCCAATCTCTGCCATACATGGTGATGCTGACCTCAGATTAAAACACTTCACCATTCTGCTTCTGCTTCTTCCGCCCGTCTCCGGGCTCTCCTCAAGACTATTTTTCAAAATTCTTTTTTCACATCCTTTATTACCCATTAAAGATCTTCAGTTTATGTAACCTGATCTCTTATTGAGTAAGCAGCACTTGACTGCCTGCATGATAGACCATCACATTTCTCTTTCTGGACAAAAGAAATTAATCAGAGCACTGTTTTACTTGGCTGCTGTTATCCTCCCCACTACTAATCTGCCTCCTCTGCTGTATTGCAGCTGGTGACCTGCCCATCATGCAGCCACTCTGACTGTTAATGCATGAGAGAGAGGAGGCTCAGTGTGGTTACAGCAAAACAAAACAGCTTGTCAGAAGAATTTCTGTAAGAATAATTTCATCCTTTAGTATTTTTACAGGAGAGGACAGGGATCAATAAAGTGCACATTTAGGGTCCTGGCAAAAAAAAAAATTAAATAAAAAATTTCTTTTATAAAGGCTTTATTTTGCAGTTTTCTATTAACAGAAATACAGCTTTAAAACGCAAACCCCCTCCCCCAAGGCTCTTGAACAAAAAAGAAATTAAACGGAAAAATATGAAAACAAAAATAGTCAGGAAATTGATGTTTTGAGCATGTTTTAAAATGATTGTAATTGTTCAATACAACTCAAGATGTATCACTGAAATGGAAAACCTTCAACAAATTCTACAAAGGGACTCCAGGTAAGGGTGAAGTTTCTACAGGCTTTACATATTTTGTATCTCAGTTTCTCTAAAGGTAGAAATGAAAGAACATCCCTCAACCACTGTAGAAATGAAGGGGCTGAGTTTGCTTTCCAATTAAAGAGCATGAGTCTGCGTGCAAGCAGGGAAGCAAATGCCAGAGCATTTGCCTGCAAACTTGAAACTTTGCAGCCTGGAGGTATTACACCGAGAATGGCTGAGTGATAGTCAGGTGTAATAGCCTGACCACAAATTTTGAAAATACATTGAATATCTGTCTCCAATAGTCATTGAGGGATGTGCATGACCAAAACATATGTCCTATTGTGGCAGGTACATAGCTGCATCTCGGACAACCAGGATCTGCAGTGGAAATTTTTTTTTACAATTTATCTCTTGAATAGTTCAGGCGATGGAGCACTTTAAATTGGATTAAACCATGTCGTATACACAATGATGAGGTATGAATACGTTTTAGACTATGTTGCCACATATCTTCATAAAGCTCAACCCCCAAATCTTTTTCCCATGCCATTTTAGTTTTATCCCATGATACTGGTTTCAAGTCTCTTATCATATTGTAAATCACGTTTCTTCTCATAAGGATCTAGCCCTAGGATCGCATCTAAAAGATTCTTAGGTGTAAAATAAAAATTTTCTTAATGGACACATCCGCCTGAGTAGCTCCATGCACGTATGTACAGGCGTCACCTTTGTCATCTTACCTATAGCAAATTATCTGCACCATCTGTTAGGGTCCAAAAACAAACTATTCTCATTTGTAATGTGGTTCAGATAAATCAATCTCTCGTACTGAGGACAGACTCTTCTATTTGAATTATGCAGTCATTCATCTTGATAATATTCTCATCCACTCTGTCATTGTAATCACATGTTTCCTATTATAGTAATCTTTTTAAAACCTTTAAAAATATAAGATGTATGTTAGGATTATACTGTTAAATACTATGCAAACCAAAGGTTCCCCTCAGCAACAAGTTAACAGATTTCCCCCTGTTGTTTGTTTACAGGTTTCACAACAAGGATTGCAGTCTGTTGTCACTTTTTTGGCGCTACACTCTGAGTGGGAGATCACACTAAGATTAGAAAGCAAATCCTTGGAGATTTGGCAACACTGTGGTTGGTATCATCCACAGAGCCAAGGTTTCCATGGGAAAGCCCGTGGGATTTTAGACTAATACTGATTTTGATCTGAACAGAGGGCTGATGAGGGGACTCTAATGAGCAGCCTTCTTATCTTATCGCATAAAGTTCTGCCTGTTACACTGTGCTGACCATAGCTCAAGGTATTACGTAAAAGCCTGATAAAATAAAGCAAATGACTTGGACCTGCTGTCTTCATTATCAATCAGCAGAGGATGTTATCAGTCAATACGCAGGTTCTCTGTATATTAGAGTCTGGATATTATATATAACAAAAGACCTCTTTTCATCAAAACCAGCAACATTTTAACACACCTTGGATAAAAATGATTGAGTCAACCCAATACTTAATTAGCTGGATTACAATTTCGAGCATTAAAGATGCAAATGTGTTTATTGTTATTTACAAACGTACTATTTGGGAAGTAAAGCGTAACACTTTGCTGAAACAAAGAGTCAATAACAAATCAACTACTTATCACTGTCGATATAATAGAAGACTGTTGCCTCACAAACTTTCTTACTTGGTACTCTTACACTTTGTGACTTGCCAAAATGTCCCTGTTGAGTCTGTGTTTTTGTCCCCGGAGAGATTGGAGAGATGTACCTGTATCTGTTAATGTAACGACAGGGGAGTCGTGTTTCCCTCAGATCACTAACCCTTTCAATTTACATCACGCTGCTCAGTTTACACAGGACCCATTGACTCTCCGCTTTGGCTCTCATGGGAGAAGAAGCTGCCTGAGGTGGTTTGAGTGATCGACGTCATACTGACCATGCAGAGGATAGACAATATATTTCCAGTACTTACGAGCTTAAACTAGCTGCTTCAGGTAAGTATCAGGTGACTGCTATTTTTCCAGTAGCGTTCATTACCATATAAAATAACCTAAAGTGGAAAAATGTCATTCAGTGGGTTTTGCAACTAAATGACAGAGACAACATTTGAGACGAGGACTGCAGAGTTTTTCTTGTGTACTTTTAAAGCCATTTAAGGAATCTTATTTAGTCCATATGACCCGTTTTTTTCATCCTAACCTTTCATCTATGACCCAGATCCTCACCTCCCATGCTTGGCCCAGATGAAACCATCATAACTTTCTATCCCTGTGGCCTCTGTCTCACACCAGACAGAGGTTAGGTGATGTGTTCGCAGCTGCTGTGAGGTAGGCGGAGAAAAGAGCAAGAGAAATTGGAGCATCGAGTAGGCTGAAGCTCTAGCAGCAGACTGGGGAGAATAGTACCTCCTGGGACCGCTGCCTGGAGATTAGTGGGATTGTGATTGAAACTCACACAATCCACCCACTCTGCTCTGCCAGACTAGCAGCCTCACTGGTTTCATTGTAGCGCAGTGCAGTATTTAATGAAATGTGTGGGACCTTTTAGGGAAGCCTTTTAATTAGAAACACCTGTATATGTTAGTTATTTGATGTGGTGAGTGGTCACAGGGTCTCAGGTGAGCTACCTGAGGAGGTGTACTGCTTTCAACTGCCCCTGAGGGATTTCCTCCTCAGTGTCATAGATGCAAACAGAGTCATGTACCACTGAAGTGACCTCCTGGGTCTCGTGTAGCCGTGTACATTCTACTCGCCCACTCCAATATACTCAATAATTACCATCAATACCAATGTACCGATACCTTAAAGATGTAGCCTCTGATCCTCCTCTTTAATAAAAGTTTACTCATAACTTTATATATAAATACATATTTATATATATGCTGTATGTATATATATATGTGTGTGTGTAAAATCCTCAAACTTACTCACCATTTACATTTCTCTGTCTGCATATAATGACCAATATTCTAACCTGATATAATACACAACACAGCTGATTGTGTGCCCAACTCAGACATACTCTTCAAAAACTCCACAACAAAAACTCAGACTGATGTCCTTTGATTCAGCCTTAAATAGAATCTAAATCTGAAAATCTTTGCTGTTTTGACCCAGAAAAAGCTTTTCTTTTTCACACTTGTCTCTTTCTTTCTGTCTCTCTCTTACTCTCACTTGCTCTCTCTCTCTCTCTCTTTCGCATGCATCACTTTGAGAGGCACGATAAATACACACACACCCACATACAGCACGCACTACTGTAAATACAGTTCAAGCAAACACTCATGTAGCCCAGTCAGTCATGTCGACAATTATTAGAATCTGTCTGGATCTTTCTGTCTTAAGCATGACGTTTTCAGCTAATTACTGAGTGAAGGATTTTTTAAAAGTACTTTTGAGTGGGCCTGTTTTTGATGTTACTTGAAACTGTAGTCATTGAGAGCACAGCTCCACTGCCTCTGTTGGTGTATAACCTCCTCTCACAGTCTCCACAATGGTACTTGTGTGGGTTTACTGTGGAAAATTGTTTTTTGGGTTTCTGAGATCCTTCAGGGGTCTATTTGTTCTGTGCCATCAAGTGCAAATGAAACACCCATTAGGTACCAATTACAACAGTCATTAGGTAACAAGTACAAACAAGTGCCGGTATATAGGGATAAAGTGCAAACAGGACAATATTTGCCAATCCTTATTGAAAGACATAGTTTCATATTTTAAAGAAACAATGCTGTTTTTTTGCAAAACAGACTAGTGCAAAAGATGTCTTCCAAACACACTGAATGACAAGTTTTTTTTTTTCCCTTGACCCTCCTCTGCTTTTCTATCCTCTATCTGTCTGTGACTTAAACACGAAATCACCATGCCCATTAGAGTCCCTAATACACAGGCTTTTTTAGAAGTCCCTGAGCTCTCTCATTCCGCAGGCTCCTCTGGATCGCTGCTGCAGATGTTTTGCTGCTGTGGACTATTTATCGTGGAGCACAGAGGGGAAAGGTTTGTGTGTGGGGGGTGGGACGCTTTTTTCAAATATGCCTCAACGCCTCAGTTTTTTCAACTGCTTCTCAGATCGTCAACCATGCCTTGAACAAGTGTTCAAAAATTACCTTTGTAATACAAATTTATATATACATTAATTTTAGAAAATAATAAATTCTAAAGGACTTCGTCCGACTTACCTAAGGGCACTGAGTTCATTGTGTAACACAATGTTCTGACCAGTCCCTGCCATCGCTGACACTGTGCTATCAAACCAATCACACTCTGTCTCACTTACTCCATCACACTTCCTCCATCTCTTTCTGCGTGAGAGAACACCTTCGCTGTACTCTTTGATGATTTGGAAAAGAAACATACTGATGAAACGGACCATCTGCTGTCAAGAAATTAGATCACTGCCAAACATTTTGGTGTCGTGAGAAGAATAAAAATGAATAAGATTTAGTCTGTCACAGTTTCCTAAATCACAACATCAGTGTTTCTATTTAAGGACATATGTGTATGTGGGGGTGTTTGAATACGTGGAGAAATAACAGCATCGAAAAAAAGTGTTTAAATAAGTGTCACAGAAAGCTCGAAGCGTGTTCGTGTTAGTGCAAGTGCACACACGTGTGATTGTCTGTGTATATGTATCAGAGAGTATTTATTTATAGAAGCCCCTCGGGAGAGGAGTGCCATTACTGTGCGAAGGTACAAAATCTGGCGGGGCTGCACTAGATGTCACACCGAGGTGGCTTCATCACTCATACCAGGCTGTTTGTCATTAGAATAAATACCGCCCTCTGTTTAATTAATAACCACATGACTACATGCATTGTCCATCTTAATTACTTTGTGCATAAAAACAATGTGAGCACACTGAGGATAGATGTTAAATCAACTGCAATGTCCCTCTTTAGTGTGTGATGAAAATCCATGCTTGAGTTGTAGTTTTTTGCACACAAAATCTTCAAGTAGTAAAAAGAAACGTACTCTGTCTTTGGGTTTTTCATGCTCTCTGTCATTATTGATCGTCTTGGCTTGAATGAGTTATTCTGTTCAATAGGAATGAAAGAGAGTAGGCGGACACATTGATTGAGAAATCGAACTGAACTCCCTGTGACAGTTTCTCTCTCACTCGACTCGAACACTACTTTAGTTCCAGACTAGTAACACACGCTGGACTCTCATGCAAGTGCTGCTCTTTTTGGGGTCCCAACAGGTGAGCTGGAAGGTGAGAAGATTGCATCAAAAATGAAGATATTATCATCCCTGTGTGGACTTAATTTGTAATCATGAGAGTTAGGGACACCAGAAATCTCCCCCTCGACAAAAAAGCTGCCTAATCACTTCAAACCACAGCAGGAATCAGCTCAGACAGTAAAGCATTACAACCTCCTCTTTGGGTTTATATGGACTCAACCAGTAAAGCTTTTTGAAATGTGCACCAGTCACACAACTGGATCTGCAGCTTTCTTATGTAATGCTTTTCTTTGCATGCAAGCTGTAGCACACAAACTTGATGACAGGATTTATCTATAGGCTCTGTGTTTACATTTTGTCTCTTCTCTATTTGCTGAAGAGCTGGAACTACTGAGAGAGACCTGCCTGCAGAACAATGGGTATCTCTCTCACCCATCTGCCTCTACCCCTGTTGATGATTTTCTTCACTCACTTCACGTGTACAGTGTCTGCTTTACCCCACTCATGTCTCATTAGGCCATGTAGAGACTGTATCCCTAACAGGCAGATTAATTAAAACGTCATCTTTGTTTACTACACTGTTGAACCTGAACATGTCACCAGCATCTATTAAAACGATGCAAGGAGATCCGCTCGCCACAACGGTAACCTGACGCTTTGTTTAATCCAGCCTGTCTAGCATCGTAGACACGATGCCACATGGTTAGAGACTGCAAGCGATCTTGTGTTAATTGAACCCTGTTGTTGACTGTTCGCCCATGGAGTTTTCAGGTGTTGGGTTCTGTATCAGGTTCAGGTAATTACTGTTCCTCAGTCTGGCAGTTACCCAGATCATTTTTATTCACTGTGGTCTAAAATTCCACTTTTTTCCTGTATTGCTTGGCTTGAAATTGGAGGAAACTTTGGGTTATTTTGTGTTCTTGTAAAAGCATTCAGATACCAATGGACCAAAGAAATCCTGTTTTATTTTTACTTTTGGACAAATCTGCACAAAGGGCCCAAACAGTTACCGAAAAGCATCAAGATAGAGTATAATTTGAATTAGAGGTGGTCCATTTTTACTGCTGAGGTTTGTGAACCAGATGGTACTCAGTATCTCCTACATTTCTGGTAATAATAATATTAATAAAAATAATAATAATGACTGCTGAAATTTTAATAACTTTGACTTACGTTACACTTCCTGCTAGTATGTCAATCTTGTTGGTGGTAACCTTTTCTTATATTATCAAATCACTGCGTCACTTTTCATACTCAGTTATCAGATGACATATGGTGGGCAGTATTAGACGCTGACATTTGCGATGACATCATTATCAGTATATCGGATAATGCCGGGCTTACAACATCATGAGAATATGTACACTGAACCATATCTGTCCCTGTGTATCATGAGACTAATCCCATATTGAATAGGTTATGCATTTGATTAAAGACAGCTCAAAGATACCCTCTACTCATTGTCGGGGCTTGACGGTGGAATAGTTCACAGTGTTGTAATTTCTTTTACTAAGAATTAGCCATGTTTAGTTGTTCAAAAAAGATTTTAATACGAAAAATTGCCAGCAAGTGAGCAGTATTTAGTGGAAATGACGTAACGGCTTGTCCCAAAGTCAAGCCCATGCTCTCAACCTGTTACTTGGGATGTTAAACCGAATAATGATTCAACATGTCACCCTTGCTAGTCAGAAGGATTATTAGTCTGTTAAACAAATCTTTAATTCTTATTATTTTAGGCCACAAATGCTGACCTAAAATAAAAAGGCAATAGTTTTGGTTAACAGCCACTGCGACTAATGCTTTTCAACCAAAATACAAACAAACACACACACATAAAGGACTGTGCAGTTTATCACTATTTTGATGTGTCACGGGGGACAAAAGTTTGGGGTACTAGCCCTGCTTAGGTAAGCCACTATTTACAAATTAATTTAGCACATTTAATCGAAATCATTTAACTTGTGAATAAATTTTCTTGTAACAAGGGGTAGACAATTTAAGTTTGCTTCTTTCTGCCCCCTTTTATTCAAGAGTTACAGTATTGTCTTTTTTTTGTTTAATTTTTGTTTTCATGCTCGATAAACGTATGAAATAAATAAACTAAACTAAACTAATCTGCAGACTCTATGGTGCGGTGTTTTGCCCATAGACTGTATATACTATGGACAACTTGGTTCCGCCTTCCGCCTGTATACCGATTTGAAGCCAAATATCTCTCAGTATTTCCGGGATTTTTCTTCATTTCCTGAAACCAGCGCTGCGCGGTAGCGATGCGCGCATTCGGCCGCGCAGTCGCCAAGAGTCACTGTGATGACGCTCAGCTCAAACAGCGTATCCCCTGGGAGAGACACGCAATCCCTGAACGCCCATAGGCTGAATCAAGTGTCAATCCACAGTCCCATAAGCTTTGCTGGCGGAGGCGGGATTTATGACCTATACTGCAGCCCATCAACAGAGGGTGCTGTTCTCGGAGTGGCTTCACCCAGCGAGGAGGCAGACGGCATCCATTTTATATACAGTCCATGGTTTAGCCATGCTAAATTAATTGTACCCAATGTTGACAGTTTTCTGAGTATTTTCTGACCTTTAGACCAAAATTGGACTTAAAGTCTATTTAAACAGCCAGTAGTTGCTTTGAAACATCCAGAGGATCCATATTATTTTATTCTATATTCTATAGCTCAACTTAAAGCTATTTAAAATTTCTCTCTGCACCCTTCACTTTGATTAAGAATAAACTTTGTTCTTTTTCCACCTTGAGTGATATTGTGGTGAAGGAGCAATTTTTAAGAGGGGAAACATGCAAAATCAGTTGTGCTCCAGTCCTGCAGCGAAACAAAAACACAAAGCCCTAGACCTCCTCGACCTCAGTGTCATCCCACTGTGTGCTTAACAGCCAAGTGACCCAGGATGAGGTGTACGCAATGACGAAAGTAGCTGGTTAAAAAATGCATGAGCCATCTTTTTGTTCAGCTGTCACCAGTTGATGACCAGCGGGGAGAGGCACATGTCCTACTTGATCTGAGGAGTCAATAAAGGACAACTTTAGAATGTAAACTCAGAGGTGGATCACAGGCCACACAGAACATTCATCTAATGTCAGGACATTTTATTATATTATCTATAGAATTTCATTACATTATTCAGTCATGTCTGTTGTCTCTGTATGGGTGGCTATAGTGTCTGACCTTTTCAGTCCCAGCCTGCAGAATGAGCGATGAAAACCTCGATATTGTTAGAAACTGTAGCTCCTGCTATAGCTCTGGCACGCTAAGTCTTTGGTTTCTAATATTTGACTCTCTGGAAACTTCTGTTTTAGTCTGCAGGTGACCACTCATCCCTACATGACTCTACAGCTACTTGAGTGATGTTCTCAAGCTGACAGGTGTGACTGAATAATGAATGAAGGTCTGCAGAAGAGTAGTTGAGTCTCTGTCCACTCACCATTGACCTCTCACCTTTTTAAATGTCAGCTGCGCTGGTGCAGACTTTTGCCGGCACCGACTCAGCCGCACATGTGTGTATGAGGAAAGTCAGATAAGGTATTGTACCAAAAATAAAGCATGGATTTAGTATTTCTGTCAAACAGAGATACTACGCAGCACGAGTCTGTGTGTGTGTGTTTGTGGAGCATACACTGTTGCCTCAGCTGGCATGCATGATAAGCTAATGTGGCGTGCTAGATCACCTCTCTCCATGGAAACTGCAGGGCAATGGAGGGGCAACAGTTGAGAAACCTCCTCCTAAAACTGAATGACTACAATAGCTGAAATAAGAGGTGTCCATCCATGCTCTGAATAAATAGACTGATACATTTATCGTGTTTTATGTGTTTATTACAAAAACCTCATTCTTTTCCCCTCACATTTATCACCCACTGTGCACATTTGCTGTAGAAAATGTTTAGAAAAAAGCATAGGATTCATAGCATCCATGCTATCACAATTGGCCTTCAATTGGGAGGCCTTGTTTTTAACTGAGCTTTTGTTTTTTATTTGTTTGCTTTACGACTGTTTATCAAAGCACTTTGTAAACTTCTGTTTTTAAAAGTGCTGTAAAAACAAAGTTATTATTATTATTATTATTATTGCTACTGTTACAGACTTCAAAGATTACAGGACCAAATGACAATCATTTGGACTGTGTCATTACCAGTTAAAAACTCCTGACAGGGAACCAATTTTTTATTTAGATGCACTTAATAAACTTGGATTTCCTACAAATGCGAAAAAAACAGGGCAAAAAAAATGCTTATGCTCTTTTTTAAAAATTGTGATTCAGTCTTCACTCCTCACTGTTTAAAAGAAGCAAAGCGCTGCACGATGCGCACCAGTTGGCTTTTCATTGGTCATCTGGTGTTTGGTGCTGGATAAGTAGAGTACTTAAGCTAATTTTAGACAGAAGCTGCCTGATTTGGACCAAAACAACACTGGGAAAATGTAAAGTGGACTTGAACAGTTAAAGCTCCTGTGAGAAATCTTTGTTTTGTGCCAGTTTTCATGCCCCCTTCCGAAAGAGAGGTACCTTTATCTCTTGACTCTGTCCTGGATGTTTTCATATGTCATCAGTGTTAATTTAAGCCTGTTTCATTCCTAATTCAAAAATTCCTTACAGGAGCTTTAAGTCATACAAGAAAACCAAAACAATGAGCTCAAAGGTGCTAAAATGCTTTGCTTAACTGAGGAAGATTACTTTGTTTGATAAAAACCTTTATAGAAAACATTTATGTTCCCAAAGTCAACTGAGCCATTGTTTTTAAAATGTACCGAATTGTAATTAAACAGTTTAAATTTCAGACTCTTAATTTGAAATATTAACCTTTGAAAAACATTAAATAAACAAAGCTATTTCCATTTACACTCATAGAAAACCATAAAACTGACAATTCTGCATTCCCAGTGTACCAACTTCATGCTCCTACACAGCATTTAATCCTACATGACCCCCCCACCCCCATGCATAGTCGAGGCGGTTAAGGATACAGCACATGAACAAATGCACAGTCACACAGGGGAAATTGAATAATGTAAAGCCAGCCTGTGCATTTGTCCGATATTAAGAGAAGCCAGTACAAGTTACATAGCACCCATATCCATAAAGAGAAATAATTTATGAATCAGGAGGAGAATCCTGTTCCATGGAATGACTTGTGTAATTACTGAGAAAATGGCAGAGAACTGCTGTTTGCTAAGTGAACTTCTATCTATCTAAAGTACATTTCCTTAAGATTGTGATACACTGGACAGCAAAACAGACTTTCAGTGGGAACTTACTGGTGAAGGAAAAAGCTTCTAAATGCACAGTCATGAAAAAACAACATGAATACTATGACAGCAACAAAACCCTTTCAAGTCTATTATGGCTTAGCAAACAAAGCATATGGAACAAACTCCATCCACTACTCAACCCAATCCTTGTCTCTGAAGTTCACAGATGAGCAGATTTTCTGTATCGATCTGCAGCCTCTCTGATGGGACATGTTGCCTCCTTAGGTGAAATACATGCGGTTCCTCTCAATGATCAAACAGCATCAAAGGGGTGTTATAAATCAATGGAGCTAGTGCATCCCTCTGTTTAGAGCAGGGCATCACTAAAGTGTGCACAAGAAAACCTCTACATGCAGCCTGAATATGAAGATTAGGCTGTAAAGATAGTTATATCATGTGGAAAAATGAGTGGGAAAGAAAGAGGGAGAGTATATGGGTGTTTTGCTACTCACAGTTGACTCTTTCATGATAAACATCTTGACAAACTTAATTTAGCCGTTTACAGTTTGGAGCCAACATTGAGGCAGTGAGCAAGCACTGGACACAAGTACAGCAGTGTATGATGGTTAAATAAACTGTACGACTGCTAAAGATCAAGGTTGCTACCCAAACAAACTGACTTCAAAAATTGTAAACAACTTCCAGGTCAACATCAGTCTTAAGAACCCGTATCCTGTCAATACAAGTGTTCACATCAGCAATGTTTTCCCGTCCTGCGATTTTGCGGCATTTATTTTTTCGTATCATGTTCGAATTTTCTAAAGTTTCGCATACTGTGTGTCCAGCTAACCTGTTCAGATACAACATACCATATGTATTTTCACTGTCTCAAACTCAATCACAGCGTTGCAGTCACAGCAGCATTAGGTCTCGGTTGTTTACCGTGAATTCAATCTCGTGAGATCAGACCCACCTCCACATGAGTGTAACACTTTTGCAAGTTGCAGTGGAGAGGAACAACTTCCTTAAACTTTGAGCAGAACCAGACTCATGTTAGACAGTCATCTGCTGCTACTGCATTGGGTTTAGAGAGGGGGGTGGGGTGGGGGAGAGGGAGAAGTGGATAAAACTCTGTAAATATAGAGTCCAGACTTTGGAGAGGTGATCAATTCTGACAATGAACAATGCAAAAACCAAACGTTTTGATGCCGTTCACTGTTTAATTTACAGAATGAAGTTTAGATGGACAGTGCAAAACTCTGCCTCTGTTATCTGAATTCACACCCATAATTTTGATGATGTAGGATGTAGGCAGATCCATTACAATAATGGAGAGAATATGAGTAGCTATACAAATCAACCTTTGTGTAAATAAAAAAGTCAATAATTGAGTGGTTTGTAGATTTAACCTATAAATAAATTATATCTACTTTCTACACTATGGCCTCCAAATATTCTGTATCCATCAATGAGCGCGGGGAAGCTATAAAAAGCTCGGGTCATATGGTAAATGAGCATAGCCATAATCTTGACACATTTAAATGAGAAAAGCAAATATATTCATTGAGTTTTCTTTATCCTTAATTGGAGTTGGTATAAAAATAAGTGCTTACAAGCTGATTAAGTTACTGGGACTTGAATAATGAGAGGAGGGAGTACAACAGAAGGAAAACAGAATCAGGGAGATGGGATGATAAGCGATCACGGAGGAGAGAGAGAGAGAGAGGAGACTTTAGATTCCCTCTCTGAAAGTGCCAAACAGTCCTCGTGATTCTGTGATATACACTGCTGCATTCAGTCTGACAGGTGGGAAACTGTGAGCCATTGATTTGTGGCTATTCAAGGCTCACCTAAACACAACGGTAGAGTTGCTGTCACCCAGCAACAGTGCATGAAAACGACTCAGAAAATATAGTGCGCTATAGCCCCGTGCCTGGATATTAGCATACAAACACACACAAATCCAATGAGAGGAAAAAGAACAGGGGAAAGAAATGGCAGCACAAAGAGACAGAGGACAATCTCAGCTCCATTACTCTGAGCTACGGCTGAAAATAACAACAGAGACCATAAAATCATAGTGGCTGTGCTGCTACATGTCCTCTGGTCCCTCTCTGCACTCTGCGCTGACACAGTGATGGAGGTCCAAATAAGTGACTGCACTCCCTCATGCAGAGCTATCAGAAGGCAGCAGTCCATGGGAAGTCACACGCCCAAATAGCTGGTTGGGGTGTGTCCTGAACAACTCAGCTTGCTCCACATCTTAATGCGTCTGCGATCGATTTGCTCCCTTTTCTTGTAAAAAGCCATGCAGGGGCATTGTGGGGAAAAAACGTGCAGTAGGTAACAGAACACAGAGGACGCCACCGCCATGTCTTTCACAGAGCAATCTCCCAGATTCACAAACAACAAAGTGCTTACAGTGAAGTCAGTTGGGCATGTCTGATGTGTGGTGAGAAGTGCAGTTAAAGGCCTCCAGTCATGGCTCTCTCTCCGGCTCACTGAGAGGAGAAGTTTCCATGCAATTAGTTCAAACTGTCTCTGCCTGGGCAAAACAACTAAGTGTCATTTTTATAGCCCGGTATCCATTTCTTGTGGACCAAAAGAGAGCGCTTCAAGGCTTTTAAGAGACACAAACTCTAATTCCCAGAGTGCAGAGGTGTCAAAAGTGAAACCTGTGTGTGTCAATGCCGCTTTTCAGACTGAAGAACTTAATAGAACTTTCACAATCAGAAAATGCTTCTTTTTAGTCTGTTAAGCTTCAATTATGTTCAATCAACTCCTTAGTAAGCTGGACTGTAGCTGACAATGTCCTCTCTATCGTGCACTTTGTAAATAGCTGCATAACATGAATTATACAGAGCAGCAATTTGTGGTTTCAGTCTTTCATGATTTCCTCCATCTACTCCCATGCCTGGAATGGATTAACAATCCAATTATGTTTGCCTGCATTTGTGCTTTTGTGTGCTTTTGTGTGTGTGTGTGTGTGTGTGTGTGTGTGTGCGTGTGTGTTTGTGTGTGTGTGTGTCTGTGTGTAATTTTAATTGCTGCATCTCTCTGATATGTTTCATCTCTTTGTTGTTTATTTTCCACACATTTGTTTTCTCATCTCTCTGAGTCATGAGACATTAAACACATCAGTGTAAAAATGAAACCAATCAAAAGACTAATAATTAAATTCTAACTTCTTTATGCTGAAGAAATATTAGTTTGACCAAAACTTGCATGAGTTATGTGTGGATACTTCAAATCATAATACTGAAAATAATCCGGTTGTTATTTCTCCTATTTTGGATTTGACTCTTAGCTTCTTTATACTTCATTGTGTAAAGGAGCCTTGTGAGCCGGCTCACACCAGCCATCCCTGATGGTATTACATTTCATATCGTAAATTAAACCGAAGCTCCTGTGAGGTTTTTACAGTTTTTTATTTGGCTGTGGTTAATACTTGATTCTGACTTGCCAAACCTCATTACAACAGTGATTAATTCTCAACAACAGTGACACCAGGGACAGCTTGATCACACATATCATACCCAATTAATCTGTGGAAAGGATTCCACCTTATTTTATCTTTGCTCATTGAGACTCGCAAAATCTTATCTTCTGTCAGCATTTTAAATTGGGAAACATTGAGACAAACATGTAGATTTCTATCTCAGGCTGGTCTTGGGTGTTAGTGTCACCCCCAGTTTCCACCACATCCGGAATGGCTATGAAAAGGCCGTATCCACTGGTCGCAGCCGATCATAACCATTCAAGTTAATGTGCCAATTTCCACCGGCTTCTTTTCATACCGCTGCGGATCGCCGGACTCCACAGCTGATTGCACAAGTTCTATTTTTTCTAGACACCGGAGCATGCCGGATAAATTCAGCACAGATTAACCCGTGCTGGAAAGGAAGTCGGGCACGGACACAAAATAAAACATCCGGCTTCTTTTCTAAATAAAACATTCCATGTTTCGAGCAGATCATATTTCACAACATGCAAATGGCAGGGACGAACAAGTGAAAGGTTTTTAGACAGCATTTTACCCCATGACACAATGGATCGGGGATGCTGATTTTAGAAGTCTAGAAGTAGATTTCTTCTTCTGGAAAGACATAAACTACTGCTTGTATGGTTAGCCTATGTGGCTAGAGACAACTTGTTATCGGGCGAATGCATGTGAATCTGCAGGTTCTTGTGAGTTCTCACGATTACTACTGTCCGTAATCCGCAATGAAATTTGCCTCACCAACGGATCCGGTAGGAATTGACGGACAGTGTAAATCGCCGCCATTACGGATTGGAGCCGTTCTGGATGCGGTGAAAATTGGGGGTCAGTGGGCAGCCTTAGGAGCAACTCTCTAATAGGGACAAGTGGAGCAAGATCCTGTCCTGCAATCCAGGCAACAACAACAGAGCTGGTGAGTGCTTTTCCAAGTTGCCAATCCCTTTAAAGTAACTAAAACCTTAAGTGGTCAGAGTAATAGTAACAAGATGGAACATTCGCCTCATCTCAGTTTTGAGTTGAGTCAGTTACAAAGCTGAATGAGAAATCAGGAAAGACCCTTCTGCTTCACATCAGGGTTGTATTTACCCTGGCATAATTCTGATTTGGATAACCACCAGCCTTTAGTCTGAAATCAACGATAACACATTTTTTATGACATGCAAATACTAAAAAGTACAGCAGCGAAAGTAACTGACTATCTAGTAAATGTAATCGTTTTTAAGGCATGTTACCACTGCATAGAGGTCAGTGTCAGACAACCCTTTGTAAAAAAAATTCTTACCGTGTGGAGAACACGGGCACAATCACACTGACATCATCCACTGATTTCTGAAGAGGAGTTTTGAAACCCAGTGATAGCAGTCACCGTCTTAGAAATCCTGACTCAGCCTGATTTCTGGTTGACTAAGCAAGAGGCAAAGAGCTAATAAGCCTTTAGGAAAAGTACTATAAGGTTTTTACTTTTCAGATGAGTCAATCACAACCTGGATCATTTTGCAGAGCTCCAAACCTCAATGTCTTCAAAACCTATAACATGAAAAAAAAATTCACACCTAGGGCTCTATTTTCGTGCCTCGCCAGAGACATGCCGCAGGCGTGGTGTAAGTCAGGTCCGCCGTTCCGACAAGGCGTTCCCAAGCACAACTTGGTATTTTGGTGAGCGGCGCAGCCCGGCGTAAGTATCCCCCCTCCCTCACTCAGCTTCTTCCAGCGGCTTAAGTAGTCAAAGAGATCAAGAGATGTCTGAAGACAGCAATGCCACATGATGGCGACAGAAGGCAGCTCCTCAACAAGTGTCACTGTAAGCGCTGCAGAGGGCGTCCTTGACACTGTCTCATATAAGCACAGATGGATTTGGTGGGTGTAATGTTGGACCCACTGGTAAGACAAACACCCTTTTCCACAAATAAAGACACTCACATAAAGTTGCATATATTCAAACCTCACGTGACAAAGGTGGGTTGAGCGCACAGATCACAACATAAATTCCAAAAATCAAAACCGTCTGTGCGTAAATGACGCATCGCGCTCCGTGGCCTGGCTCTTTCTTTCATGGATGTTGGCATATAAAATAAATTTGGCTCACAAAACTGAATATTATAATATTCGTATGTAGGCTTAAAGTAAATAACTCATCTGATCACTGAAACAAATCTTCTGTTCAGCCGCCGCAGCTGCAGCAGGACGGAGAGAGGACACGGAGACATGTCCAGGTCGAGCTGCGCGCGAAATAAAAGGAAGAGGAAGAAAGAAAAGGAGGGAGACAAATTAAATATTTTGTTAACTTCATCATGTGTGTCTATTTACTAGATATTCAATTTAATTTAATGCAGTTTCAGCTGTGTTGATTCGGTCAGGTTGTGTGTCCAAACGCGTGCCAAACACACTCATCGGATCAGATATACAGTAGATCAGAATATATCTGTATAGATCTGACTCAGATTATTAGTTGTTGATGATTATTTATTGCACTGAAATGTGCCTGACACTGTGGAAACCTGCTGGTGAGGCATCGGTGACGTATGCCAATACGCCGCCGGTCTACCAAAATACCTCTAGACCAGCTGCAACCAGGTTCGAATCGGCGAGCTTTCAGCGCACTTTATACGCCACCGTATAGCACTAAAAAGTCACTGCGCCAGCTGATTCTGTCGACACCTCCCCCTGCTGCACCACCACGCCCAGCTTGGCGGACCTCGTCACCAGCGGACACGAAAATAGAGCCCTCAATCTTAGAAAAAGACATTGGCTGTTCAGACCAGTATTGTTTTTTTTAATGTGTCAGGCTGCAAACATGTTTTTACCATGAAGATGGTTATTTTAACATGGGTGTTAATAGAGTCTCTTTGGCTTTTGGTGGACACTTAAGGAACTGCAGTTTTGCCACATTTCCACATTGGCTTTTTAACATAGGAGGTTCCTGCTTGTTTCTACAGCAAATTATCACACTGTGTGATACATTTGATAGTTTAAAGGAAGCTGGTTTTTAGTTATAAGAGCTTAACAAAGAGATACAGAGCACCAGTTTGTCCACAGGGGATGCCAACATTGTCACAAACATAAAGTTCCTTTTAGGAGCTTCAGCTAAATAAGCGCCAATTTACATTTTATGCCAAGACATGACCTAATCTTCTGACCTCATAGATGCAATCATGTGATGCAGATTTAGGTAAATCTTGACTGGGTCATGATAGTGCATGACATCATTGTTTCCCAACCAGACTCTGTTGTTTTCACAGCAGTCAGAAAGAGCAGACAAACTCAGTCAGTCATATAAAAATGAAGAAAACACGTTGCTGGTTTAGGAAACAGCCTTCAGGGTTTGCAGCAATGCCTTGCTCTATTGCCAAACTCCTGAGAGTGTGATGCCATCCCTCTGAGACTGAACTACACCTTGAAAAGAAATGAGCCACAGAGGCATGCTGGGACATGTAGCATTACATAGGTTGGTTTCATTCACAACCAGCTCAACCCTTTCCTCCCCCTGGTATAAAAGTGACGACATATACAGTCAGCATACACTATTCGGTATCAACAACAACTGATCTTTTATTGATGAAATGATTACCAGCAAGATTTTTCTCTGGGTTTCCAGGAGGCCATATTGTTGCCGTAAATAATTCAGTGGGAATACTCGTGGAAGAAATGCAGACTCAAGTGGATCTCAAACTGTTCAGTAACACCTCAACACACCCAAGGAGAAAGACAGACTGCCTGCTCACGCAGCATCCTTCACTGCCGCTTTGATGTGAAAAATAGCCCATCAGAGAGGTAGAGCCGGTGTCTGTATATTTTTGGGAAGGTTATTACTCTAAAAGTTCCAGGATGACATGACAAGACATGTAGAGTTATGGATATTCTGGATCACACCTTATCTCTCCAACATTAAGTCAAGCGTTATTAATGTGCAATTAAAATTTCATCAGCACTGAAAAATAAATGAGGCAGAAGATGTGTTTGGGAACAAGCCATTTCACCGATTCAACTCTTCAATTAAGCCTCAGATACAAGACTGCATTTAATGGCTGCTATTTAACCTCAATTTGACATTTTTACTGTGCTCTGTCTAATATGGAAAACTAACCCATGAGGAAATGGCCCCATTAGTCAAACAACATCAGCTTCTCTACCCTGTCTTCCATTCAGAAGTTCCTCTGTAATTGTGTACGCTGTTTGGCATGTACTTGTGTGTGAAGTTGAGGATAAGAGCTTGCATGCAGGCGTAACCAAGGGAGGAGGACAAAAGTTGTGTCCCTAATTCTGCATTTGAATGGCTAAAGTAATTCAAGCTGAATGTCAGAGCCGCAGTGATGGGAAGTCAGAGCTAAAATGAATAATGATTTATTCAAGAACCAGAAGGCGTTTCATGAAGTGGAAATTCTGTGAATTTTAAAACCCTGATTTTTATTTGTTTGTAAAATATTGCATCAACGCCATATTGAGTTGACTTTTCATGACATAGTGCCGTGAACTGTGTTTGAAGCCAGTTTTGAGTTTGCAATGTCAACACGACAACATAAAGAAATACACAATCACCTGGCCCCGCTCCTAACCTTTATTTTGTAATTACAAGCGATGTGAACTCAGTGAACTCAGGGCTGAGTAAATACTCAATATTAAAACATGTTTGCACATTTACTCTCACTGCAATCAGGTCTGTGTTTACAAGAAACCAGAGGATGGCAAAGTCAAACACAGATGACAACATCAGCCTTTAGGAACATCAACATATGACTCTGTGAATCAGTCACGGTATATAATCGTACATTATCATCTCGAAAAACTGGAGCCATTAATCTTTGTGGTTAATCTTTGGCGCATGATACTGAGAAAAGTTCCCACAAATATGCTCTCTCTTTTTCTCTCTGTTAACTGGTTAATAGCAGCATAACAGCTTTCAAAGGCAAGGGGAAAATATAAGTTATTGTCATAGTTTAATAATTTTTGAATTTTTTTCAAATGTCGTAGAGGCTAAGGGACACAAATCTTGAAATCTATACAAAAAGAATGGGTATGTCTGAATGCATTTTCATTTTATTTCTGATCAACCATTAATCTAAGGGTCATTTTAAACTCTGACCTTTCCTGTGGCACCAGGTGATGTAGTTCTGCTTTGCCCAGCTAAGACAGTTAACTAAAATCAGGTCTTTCTTTTTTTCTTGTCACAAAGCAAATGCCATCCATGTCTTCAATTATCCAGACTTAGCTATTGTTAAGCACATTGACAAACACAACATCCAAAGATTACACTACATTCAAAAGCTGCTGTCTAGCTTTCAACTGTGTAGAGATACAATCACTTTTCTACACTGTTTACTCCCCTGTACCAGCTACCTGCGAGTTTAAGAATCGGTTTTAGTATTTCACTGCTTGTCTTCAAAGCCTTAGATAGTCAGACTCCAGCCTGTATCTGTGAACTGCTGACTCCCCATGAACCTGGCTGCTGCCTGAGATCCTCCTCGGGGCCTTGCTAGTGGTTTCTACATCTCAACAGTGCACAAAGGATGTCTGCACTATAGCAGTGACTCAAACTCAATGTCCTCCTTTTAAACCTCTTTTCAGACTCACTTATTTCATCTGACCATTTCTTAACTGTGGACGTAGTTGCCCTTCTTTGTTATTACACAATGTATTATGGATGCACTGGATCTTATTTGTCTTCTTATAAGTCATGCATTGTCTCAATAGTTAAGCACTGAGTTACCAGTTTTTGAGGAGTGCTGTATAAGTTTAGTCTTTCTCCTCCTCTAATTTTGAGAGTTAGTTTATCACTTTTAGATGTTTGGATAGCAAAAGAAGAAGAAGGGAAGAAAAGTATGTGTTTTAGTTAGAGAAATGGGAAATATGTGAAGAACTTGACACATCATCTACTTAAAAAAGATTTTTCTATCTGTATTTTTTTTTACAAATGTCATTGATGCAGACTTCTAGAGCGCCTCCTGGTGTTTTGGCTGCAGTATAGCAGTAAAGCCTGACTCCTTTACTGATACTCATGGGACAGACTAGATACCCCAAATGTTTTTTCCTCTAACATACCTCCTACTCTTGCTCTTATCATGCTAATTTTGATACTTAGGTCTAGCAAGTTCTGAAAAGATGATTGATTGATTGATTGACAGCTCTGTTGACAGAAAACTTATGAACAATAACACAAAAGTCACAGGACTTTTTATGCTTTGAAGCAACACAAAAATTAGATATTTTGTGGACCATTCTGACTTGTATTTTTGTCGTTTTAGAAGTAAGTTTCAGTGTGTTTTTAGTTAAGAGGGTGTAAATGGAGTCAGTCCTGTTGGCTCTATCTGCACAGTATGTCAGCATCCATTGAGGTGGCACTTTGGCTACATGTCTCAGATTAGGAATTATACAGTCAATGGTTATAAATGTGATGTTGCATGAATGAAATGTATGAAAGATGTATCACCAACAAAATTTGACTTCTCCCATCCTTGAAAGTTTACTAGTCAGTGTGTAATTAACGACTTTAGGAAGTTACAGAGGAAACTCGGGGGTTACAGAGTACTTTAAATTGAGCATATCCTCAAGCAATGTGATTGAATAATGGAGAAAAATAATTAAAGGCTCAAGTAATTCAAGGTCAGAGATTGGGCAGGTTCTCTCAGTAAATGAGCAGAATAAATAATGCAGGAGGGTCTGTTCAAAGAGGTGTTTGAAAATTTCAGACTAATGATTCCTCTCTGATATCTTTTGTGGTTGGAACAGCAGACACTCTGTGTGGTCTCATGATTCTGAGCCCCCCAAAAAGTGAAACCTTCAGGCATTTTAAACAAAACATAGTGGAAACAGTTTAATAGCATCTGAAAATAACACACTTTCTTTAATTGTAGCGCTGTATTTCTGAGACTTTGGATGATAACACACCAGTGGATAAATATTTATCATTTTAATTGAATATTGACCCAGACACATCTTTTGCAAAGCCTCTTAAAAATGTTGTTAACATGAATACAACCATTGATTCAGTAAGTTGTAGCTATTACTATTGTTCCCGGAGAAAGAGCCACGAGCTTGCTAATGAGCTGGATGATTGAATACAGAACTGGAAATGGGGCAGGGGCAGCTAATGAAGCTAAGAAGAGATGACTATGCATTGTTTTATGGTCTAAAAATACAGAATACATTTCATATATTTTATCTAAAAGAGTCTCTTAAGATGTAACTCTAACAATATGTGTCACTCATTCAAAAGCACCCAATAATTACCCCGAGAGACTCTCTCCTGGATTATCTGGCTGGAGAACAAGTATCTGACTAAAGCCGATAAAAGCAGACAATGACAGCTTGATGTGTTTTCATTAAAAACCCTTCAACAAAAATGGGGTTTGAATTGACTAACCAGAAAAAACAGCACCCAGGCCGTTTCTTCTCAAGAATACGCTTTGTTAGGTGCATTGATTTAAGCACGGTAACAAAATTACTTGTTCCAAAGTCTTGATGTTCAATACTGACTGAGGAATGAGCAAAAGTTTGACATTCACCACTAAGTACAACAACAACATCCTCCTTTCTGCCTGTCTCGCTCTCTCTCTCCTGTGCTCAAGCAACTGAAAGTGACAGATTAAAAGCAGGAGTTTGGGTTCAAAGAAAGTCAGACATCAGATCAGGCTAGCCTCAAAGAGAGATTTCTGTTTGCCTCTGGATGTTAATCTAAATTTAAACCCCCTTCATTAGGCCCAAACTCTGCTTCTTAAGGGATAGATCTTCATAACACCTTTATGACACCCTTTCTTACACTTCTTTCACTTGATTTGCCCCGGCTGTGCAGAAATAAGAAAAAATGAACCCTACCTTAGCAGCAAACGAGGAGCTTGGCTTTTCCAGGAGGTCCCACAATTTCCTCCTCTTCTCGGAACAACACGTAGTGGTAAACTCCTCTCCCTCCCTCTCCCTCATGTTCTCAGCCTCTCTTTTCAGCTCCTCGTTCATTTGCTCCTTCTTTTGGTGGTACCTGGCCTGGCAGCAGGACTCTAGGTAGATCTCATCGATGCCCCAGAAGTCCAGCTCTTGGCTGAAGGACAGGGCGCACATCTCCTCCATCATGTGCAGCTTCCCGGTGCGGTAGAAGTTGAGGATGGATGTGAAGGCGCCGGGGTGTCTGTCGAAGAAGTACTCGTTGCTGTCCAGGCTGTAGTCATCGCAGATCTCCATGATGGACTCGTGGGTGTTGCAGTCTCTCAGCTTGCCCAGTCTGGTGCGGGGCAGCCGGTCTAGTGTCCTCCACAGGACCTCATGAAGAAGGCCGCCAACATTGAGTCTCACCCGGCGGGTGTGCGTCTTGCTGCGGATGATGTCCATGGTTTGTGGCGGCTGCGAGGAAGCCGAGTGAGATCCAGAGTTGATCATCTTCACCTTCAAGTCACTCAGTCACCTGAAAAGACTGGGAGATACAGTCTGGTGGATTAAGAAGACATGGTCTCAGAGTAAGCCACATCAGGGTTTCTTTTTGTTTCCTCCTGAGAAGAAAAGAAAAACAAGGAAGTCACAGTGTGCAGCGGAGTGGCAGTGTGACTGTGTCCTACAGCGTGAATGTCAGGTGGTTTATCCACTCATCAGACAACTGAATAGATATTTTAATCAGCTTTAAGAGGCACAGCAGCTTCTCTTACTGACAAAGGTGGGGGTGGGGTGGAGGGTGTAGGCCTCACTGGAGTATGGAAGTAAATCTGTGCCATCTGATTTTGAATTTGAATTCCTAAAGCTGAATTTTTTTTGCATCAAAATCAGATTTTGAATTTCAAAACCATTGAATTTCAAGTATGCATTTTTATTTCTGACACTTATTTTTTCACGATGATGAAATAATTCATGTAAAAAAAATCAGTCTCTCAAAAGATTTGTTTAGTAAAAATTCTACTTAAAAAAAAAAAATTCAGTGTCAAAAAATTGAGTATATAACAGACCGACTCAACATCCAGGTAATCAGGGAGAAGCAATAGATTCCTGGCTCAATCATCCATCGTCCAGCCAATCAAATAATCCTAGATGGCACCGACCCCAGTGGAAGATAGAGGAATCTATTGCTTGAGTCAGTCTGTTTTACACTAAATTTTTTTCCACTGAAATTTTTATGTTGAATCTTTTTTTTTTTTTACAGTTTTTTAATTTTTATTGCTATGACACAAATATTTTAAGAGACTGATTTTTTACACTGAATTTTTTTCATCGTGAAAAAAAAAAAAGTGAAGGTCCTTACACACCAGGAGTAACCCGTATCCTGTCAATACAAGTATTCCCATCAGCAACATTTTCCCCTCCTGTGATATTGGGCATTTATTTTTTCTTTCATGGTTGATTTTTCTAAAGTTTCACATACTGTTTACTTAGTAACTGTGGCATATGGTAGCTCTTATTATTTTTAAAAGGAGCACAAATTTGCCATCACTTGAAGCTGAAGTAGACTCTATTTTTGTCTTCTCGCTTCCACCCCGGACACATCTTTTTCCCCCCCAGAAAGCCGCAAAATCGCATCGCGCTTGATGTGTTTAGTCAGGCACGTCAAAATTCGCCTCTGAATATTTCGTAATTTCGCGTTGCATATTTGCATCGTTCCCGGTGTGTACGGACCTTAAGAATTAAAAATGTGTGCTTAAAATTCAAAGTCTGATTTTGATGAAAAAAAATAAAATAAAAAAAAATCTGCTTTAGAGATTAAGATTTAAATTAAGTGGCACAGATTGACTTCCATACTGGAGCCAATGATAGACTGGAGTCAACTTTGTCAGCGCTGTCTGGTGCTGAACTGCCTGTCTGTCGCTGTCCACGGACTGTGGTGCTAAAGCGTGCCAGCCCGGGTGGGACAGTAATGATTATCTCGATTCAAAGAGAGGGTGTTTATTTTAGGATTGTGGATGTCAATAAGGCTGTTGGGCGGTCAGAGTAAGGCGAACATGGCGATGAACTCTGAGTAAAAGCCTAAAACACACTAGAAGTGACTTTTAATGTAATCTGCTTGAGTACTTTTAAAAGGAATGCAATTATACAATGAAAGCTATTGATTTGCATCATTATATAAATGTGCCTTCATTATAGTTGTCCAGTCTCGTGAATACAATGAGAAAATCTCCACCAGACAGGACAGAAATATCAAAGTGAAATCATGTGGGCTGAAAATATTTCCAAACTCTCTGTAATTCAGAAGGATACATACGTGTCTCCCGTTTATCCGCGTTCATCCCATGAACGATCAGCAACATCTCTGGACTAATGTCGGCTTCAAACTTGGATTCTCCGTCCAGATCTCTACAGGGACCTGATGGAGGTATGAGCCACGTAGGGACATGCCGGAAATACACGAGTTTCACGCAGACACCACCATGTCCAAGTCTGATCTGACTGCTCTCGTGTGAGGTAAATATCAACAAGTCGACACCGGGGAGCGAGCGAGGATACTCTCGGTTCCTCTCCTCTATCTCCTGCCCTCAGAGGGAGTGTGAGTGTGCTGCTGGCTGCTGGCCGGCGCCTGTGACTGTGATGGGATCCTGCAGGGGCTGACTTCACTCTTCTCCTCCAGCGGCTGCAGCCTGTGAGAGATTAACCCTCGCAGAGCCGGACAGCTGCAGTTCAGCGCATCTACACTGTGTTTCTGCTTTGAGAAACAGAGCACTATAGGCAGCCAAACTGTGTGTCAAGACTTACAGTGTAAGATACAAAGTGAGGTCACCTTTGGATCCCATTAGCAGTGGTGATAAAGGTGCCTTATAGAAATGCAAAGTTTCCTATGCATTTTAGGTTAAAGGGATATTCCGGTGTAAAATTAAGTTTGGGTCAAACCATAGACTGTATATACTATGGACAAGTTAGTTGCGCCTTCCGCCAGGATGCGGATTTGAAGCCAAACAGCTCTCTGTAATTGCGCGTTTTTTCTCCATTTCCTGAAACCAACATTGCGCAGTAGAGTTGTGCACACCCCACCACTTGCGCTGTTGCATTGTACGCATTCGGCGGGAGAGTCGGCGTGATGACGCTCGGCTCAAACAGCGTATCCCTCGGGTGAGCTACACAATCTTCTTACGCCCATAGGCTGAATCAAGTGTCAATCATAGAAAACTTGAACCCCCTAATAACTTTTAAAAAGTGAGCTGTACAGAAAAAAAGAGGACTTGAGCAAAAACCAGTCTTACAATAACTACATGTCAACATCGCAAGCAGCGGGGAAAAAAAATGTACGTTCTGCGGAATAAATTTCTTAAGTTTGTCCACAGCTCCATGCGCTTTGCTGGCGGAGGTGGGATTTATAACCTATACTGCAGCCCGTCACCAGAGGGTGCTGTTCTCAGAGTGGCTTCACCCAGAGAGGAGGCAGACACTGTCCATTTTAAATACAGTCTATGGGTCAAACACACTGTAACACCGAGTTAGACACCCAGTCGAGAGATGAATGTTGCTGACCGCTTGCTTGTCTAGTTATACCAACTTTAGTACAGAGAGCCATGCGCTCAACCAAAACACCACTACGTAGCCACAAATAATGCTCAGAACAGCACCTAACTTGATCAACAGTACATAGAGGGTCCCAGCCATAGTACTAGCCACCATCTTTTTAGCTTTGCCTGATTTCTTTAGCAAAGAGACAAAACACAACTCCCCTTCTCTCTTCCAGCAGCCACTGTGTGAGTCCATCAACTGCGGGGGGGGGGGGGGGTGCAGCTCAAGGAAAAACATCTATGATCATCTCTTCATGGAAATGCAATCAGACCAAGACGCTAAGGCAGAAGAACCGGCAGCAGTGCGTAATGGACTGGCCCGAGGTCTTCGTACAAACAAGCAGCTGCTGGAAGAGAGTAGGTGAGTTGTGTTTAGTCTCTTTACTAATTGGTGGCTAGTGCTATGGCTGGGACTCTATATGTACTGTTGATGAAGTTAAGTGCTGTTCTGAGCATTATTTGTGGCTATAGAGTGGCGTTTTGGTTGAGCACATGGCTCTCTCTATTGCTATTGTGCAATTGTTACTAAGCACTCATCCCTCGAGGGGGTGTCTAACTCTAACTCTAAAACTGAAACATGGCCAAAAATACAAATGTGGTACAATTTGTTTTGGCACCAAAAACATGCCAAATCAAACTTAAGTTCCATAATCCACAAAAATGTCCTCTCTCTGAACTACTTAGGCATATCTCAGCTGAAAGTTCGAGGTGATAGCATATGCCGTGTTGTTCATTCACAGATCCACTCTGTTCCTCACACTCTGTGGCCCAGAGCGGATCTGCTTCTGCTACCAAGTAATCAGTTGCTTTCCAAAACGACATCTAAATCTAAACTTTCCACTCAGCCTACCTCTGCAAACAGCGGGCATGTGTGAGTGTGACAGATGTGTGGCTGGCTCTGTTTACAGAACAGGCAGTCCCCTCATTTTACTCATGCTTTGTAATCAACACAAAGAACCACACTTCCAACAGCTGCTAATGTAACACCTTGTGAATTTTAAGTAAAATCTATAAATCCTGTTCTTTTGTTTTATATGCAAAAATTTGGTTTACAGCACTAACATGAAGGATGTCAATGGACTTCAATAACTTAAGCCAAAACTCAACAACATTTGACTTCATGTGATCAGACACAAGGTCTGACTTACATTTATTGATAAATAACATGATAAATATAAAAATATAAAAAAATATATATCACAGAAAATAGAATACAAAAGTACAAAGGGCATATTTACACAATAAACAATGTGCATATGCAAAATATTTGTTTTGCTTCTTTAAAAGTCCTGGTGTGCATTTCTAGGTTTATATCTGACAGGCAAGTCCCGCTCCGGTTGTAGCATCCCAAATCCATAACGACTGGCGTTTACCTCCGGCATCTGAGCATTTGGGTCACACAGCTCCAAATCATAGTTAGTCAGCAGCATGTAAACAAACCTGTCGAGTAAACACAGATGGGACATTGAATTAGGAACATTCGAGCAGATATCACTAAAAGGTAAAATAAGTCTGTGAATGTGACACATTTGACATCTGAACATTGATTATAAATGTTGAACTCATTCTAGGACACTCACTGTCTGATGGTATTGATGGCAAAACGCTTTCCGACACAGCCATTGGCTCCTGCGCCCCATGGCATGGTGTAATATTTCAGTCGCCTCCCCGCCTTATAAAAATCTTTCTTCACTGATCCATCAGCATTCAGGAAGCGATCATATTTAAATATCTGGAAAGGAAACACATTTATTAGCAGGGAACAACAGATGCAAGCTCCGTGAGAGGACAGCTTTACCAGGTATAAGCTTGATCATATAGTGAATTGTATGTGGAGTAAGCAGAGTTTTTTTTTTTTCTCCACTAAAATCCCAACTCCACTATGTCCTTCCCACATCTATTAGCTTTGTTCCTGTTCCCATACTCTGATAATCCCTGACTGGTCCACAGCTCTGGGTTTGACCTCTCACTGAAACCACAGGGTCAGCTTTGTGTAGGCGGCGAGTCCACCTTATGTAAGCAACCACACTAATCACACTTTGGTCTCCATACTGCTAGTGCCAAAAACAATCAATACAACCCAGCACAGAAAGATCTTAATAAAGCAATAGAGATGGGGGACTTGAGAGATATTACTTCAGCAGAACAGAGCAACAAACCTGTGGTTCGTGGTGGATCTCAGGGTCCATTTGAGGGCTACTGTAGGGAAACAAACACACCCTGTCTCCTTTCCTCAGCAGATACTCCTGACCATTAGCCATCTGAAGAGTCTTCTCCTGCACTACCTCTCTGGTGATGAAGGGGGCAGCAGTGAGTCTGAGTGTCTCTTCCAAGGCGCTGTCTGGTAAGGGACAAAAAAAAAGATGTAAAGGACAGAAAGGAAAGATTTTGTCTTCCATAATACGTTTTTGTTTTTGCTATACTACACACATAAAATGTTAATCACTGCAAAATTCAGCCTTAAGAGTATACATTATTGCTCCATCTTAAAAAAAAGGCATCCCAGGCATCTGTTTCAACTTTATCTTCTTGCCAATAGAACAGCCTCCATCTCAAAATATCTCTCTGTTTACACAAGCTGGGATTGAGCTCTTACCAAATACAGGGGTGTCCACAGGTGTGTCCAGCAGAGAGGTGTCTGAAATCTCCATCTCTGTCTTCACAGCTGTCAGAGCTTCAGGGTTTGTCAACAAGTAGCCCAACAGCCAAAAAGCAGCAGGACCAACATTACCCTGGAAACAAACAAAGACTTGGATTAAGGCAAAGATAAGACTGTGTCTCCTGCTCTGGAACTGCATAGTGACAACAACACAGATGGTTATTTGGTAAGTAAGACCATCACATGTCATGTTTACTTCTCATGTGGAGCCTTTGTTTGGCTAGCAACAAAACATGAATTACAGGGATGTTTGATTAATAAAAAACAGGCCTAATGACTCTGACTCTGCAGACCAGATTAAAAAGAACGGCTTCTTTTCATGTGTCTGAGATGAGAAGAGTCAGGCTCTGGATTGTCTCACTACTGGCAAAGCGCAGCTCGCTAATGGTTTACTTAAAAAGGAAAGCCATTGGAAACCTGAGGTCCCCAGCCATCTGCCTGCTACCAAGGGCAGGACAAAAACCTGAGAGCTGTCTGCCAGGAAAACACATACAATAGAGAACACTGAATAAATAACCTACAAATGTGCCCTTTTGTGGCTGCAGATACACAACAAAACAGTGTTTACTCCACAATATATAAACTGTGGTGCTGATAAGGACAAGTACACTCATAAAACTTGTCAAAATAAGATGACAGTCTCCACACTTTTGGCAGGTGTAGAAAAGATTCTGGTGTAGACAACAGTTATACTTTGCTGAATGATTTTAATAACACAGCACTTACAATAATTTTAATCCTGTTTGTCATTATTGCATTATGTTTTACTAATCCTTCACTCTGCTAGCACATCCTGCAAATGTATTCTCATTTCAGTTACTTGAGAAATGTAAAAATGTGACTCAGACACAACCGAAAAGTTATGACTCAAACTTGAAAACAAATATAAATAAACCATGGTGACAAATACAAAAAGGGATGAATAAGCAGCGTGTGGAGTAAGACGAACGCTGACGTAAGCATCTGATTAAGTCATTTGGTGCAACCCTTCCTCCAGCAGCACTGCATGACTAAATACTGTCTAGTGACAACTATGGAAGAAAGCAGGACCAGGAAAAATCCAGTGAGTGAAAAACACACATTTGTGTTTTTTATTGAGCTGTAGCGTTTTTTTTTTAACATGAGAAGATGATGTTGCTACAATACTCCTTATCCTCAGAAAATATTTCAACTCGAAAGGGAACGAATGTATTTGATTAGAGAATCTTCAGGTTTCTTCAAACAGCTTGAACTCCTAAATCTCAGTAAAGCTGCTGTTTCTCTTATTTTGAAGAGAGGGGTTTACATGTCATCATTCAACATTTAAAAGCCTTTATATGTTTCTGAAGTGATTTCAAGGCTTTCCCTCTAAAATGTTAAATATCAGCCATGAAAGGAGTGGTGAACAGCACCCTCATGTGCCCAATATGAGTACTGTTCTGTATCCACATCTTCATCTGACTGAATTTAAGTCTTTTAGAGACATAGGGGACAAAAACAACCGGTCGCTGACACAGCTGCATCGAATTCATCATCTGACGATTATCTGACTCACCTGTGTGGCCCACACTTGCATCAGTACAGCCCTCCTCTGCGTCTCCTCATCAGCCCCCTCCTCCTGCAGGAGTTTCCTGTAAGATCGAAGCCAGGGACTCAACCCTGAGTCCTCAGTCAGACCTGCTGTAGCCAAGAGTTCCCACAGTTTGTGCCGGACATTCTGGGCTGTCCTCTTCTCCTCTGTCACACAGGAAAAACACCACAGAGTATGTGAGTAAGCATAAAGAGCCGAGTTTCATCTGTATGAAACACTAAAAAGATGAACTAAAGGGGTGGGGGAAGGGGCAATTATTCATGTATGACAGGAGCTACGCAATAGTGTTGTAATTAGCCTCCTTTTCAGTTTATTGCTAGCGAAACAGATGGATTCATAAGTCAGTGATGCAACGCAATGAATGATGAGGCCTGAGGAGATGAAGCAGTGAGCTACATGCGCAAGTCAGATCATGGTCTGCAGAGGACTATGACGATGAATGTGAACTGTCAAGGTCTACCAAAACACTAAGACACTGCCAGACGCTATGTAAGCACCTGAGTAATTAAACCTCACCAAGGCAACCAAATAACAATTGTGAAAAAGATGTCAGAGCTTGTTTCCCCAAGACACACTGACAAATGTAAACAGTGAGGACACATGTTGCACTTTGTCCTGTTGAATGACTTGTAATGTAACACACAGTTAAATAAAAGTAACCTTGTGTAATGTATTAAACAAATCTGCGACAAATTGTATCAGTCATCAGGAGTTTTTGCTAGCTAAGAATAGGAATAAATATAGGTGCCTTTTTTTACGAGTTATAGAAGGAAACAAGTGACAAAACAGCTTATTCTTTTGTCATTTTTGTTGCTTTTAGCCGGTGCTGAGGGGAAGTCTTTACCTGGCTTCAGCGTGCCTCTTGCTATCTTGGTTAATAAGCTGTCAAACTTCTTATACTCGTTGTAGACATATGAGGGATCTATGCTGTTGTTATTTTTCTCTCCTCCAAACAGCGTCAAGTACCCCGCCCTGCAGAGAACACAGAGATAAAAAAAGACGTCAGAACGTGCAGGGAACACTCTGGTTCATGAACAGGTAAAAAGCATTTTTGTTCCGATGTCAGGATAAGCAGCCCACAGTTTTCCTTCACACATGAACAACCCCATTTGACCTGGTATGTTTCCACGAGCAAACTGAAAAGAATCTGACAAGTCCAAACCCTTTGTCAATGTTGAAATTGCATACCATCAAGGGAGAAAACAACAGCAAGATTTATATCTGTCCCGCCAAAATTCTTACGGAAACATGATCTTGAAGGTTTATGTCGAAAAAGGTGCAGTGATTCTCACTGTGTTTACTAACAGAGGACCTCAGGACTGACCGGTGTGTAAACTGTTTAGCTGATGACTTTTGACATGAAAACACTCTTCAGTTGACACAAATAGCTTGGAGTGTGTGTGTGTGTGTGTGTGTGTGTGTGTGTATGTGGGGGGGGTTCTTACTTGAAGAGTAAGCTGTAAGAAAAGTTGAACAGTCCCTCCTCTTTCCAGTCTTTCTGGTTCTGAGGCATCTCAGCTTTCAACAGGACCTGCAGGTGTCTGTTCATGGTGCTGTTTAGGGCGGACAAATTCATCCCCGAGAAGTGCCTGCGGACACCAAGGGAAAAGGTTAACTGCTGTTCTACACAGAGAAGTCCTGTAATTCACGTCGCACTGATTGATGATGTTATGAAAACAGCGCAGCTACTCTGTAACTCTCCCTCAAAGGAGCCCGATGACTACGTTTCCCACCTATTATTTCCTTTAAGTATTATAACTTTGGTAAAAGAGTTTAAAATTATGCTAGAATAGTAAAAATATCAGTAAACAAAGGAGAACAAAATACAACTGATATGACTCATGCAACCTCTGAAATGTGGTGTACCCAAATGTTTGACATATAAACACACAAACAGTTTTGTGGCTTTCCTATCCGTTCTCATTTTTTCTCAGTTTGACGCTTGAAAACAATCAGCTTTGTTTGTCTTTAGTATGGCTCTGTTAAATAACTGGTGAATGACGACTGAGCAATAATAAAACAAGGAAGCCTAAAAATAGATAACTGAAAATAGGAGTGGTGCTCTACAGAAATAAACCGAGCACGAGACTTCGGCCGGTGAATTCCACTAACAAATTCCCCGTCTCTACTTTGACATGAATTGAAAATGAAAATATCAGAATATACTTTTGGTTTTTGGTCTAAATTTGGGGTACATACTTTTTCATCATTGCTTTTTCTTTTGACGGCTGGTGGTGTGGGAGTCGCAGGTTGAAGATTCTCTCCATGAGAACCTGAGCATACCGGCCGAAGTCCAGGGAGTCTGTGTCATTGATGACTGTGTCGTATGAATGAGGATCCAGCAGAACTGTCACATAACGTCCAGCTGCACGTACCTGGAGATCATTGGTGAAAATGCTTGAAATACATACTGACGCAACACAGAAGATCATTTGCCACTGATGTTCTTGTTTTACTCATCTGATATTCTAACTACTAAAGAGTTTCTAGGCAAAAAAGTAGAAAGTGTAGTTTTACTTGAATATTATATAAATGTTGAATAAAACTCAAGATCAGTCCTCTGGAAATATATTTTGGTATGGATCCAAAATACGACATATTGATTCAGCAAAATCCTCAATAATTATTATGCATGAGATTTCATATAGCGTAGGAGAATCTACACAAAAACAAGTAGAAACTCGAGAAGCTAACATTGTAATCTGTAGCTTTTACTGGACTGCTCTTGTAAATAAGTTTTCATGGTCTATCAAGTTGCTTTTCATGAGCTTACTAACAAACCCAATTATTTTAAGAAGTTTAATATATGGTTGAATTACTTTTTCATGTATTTGAATTAACATTAAAGTGACAGAAATTAGATGGCTGCCTAAAATGTTCATCTTCTTCCAGACTGTTCTACTCACTGTGAAAATGTCGCCGTGTTTCAGCTTCATCCGGTTCAAGAACTTGGCAGCGTCCTTTCCAAACTCAAGTGCATGGCCTAACCATGGGATCACCCCTTTGTCAAGAGGGGGCTCACTCTTCAGTCTAAAATAAAAATATTTTTAAAAATGACAAGTGAATTTTATGATACAGTGTATGCTGAAATTTTTTTAGACACATGTATTAATATTTTTAGTTCACTATTGTTTTAAAGATAGAGACGCTACTTAACCTACAGGAAAATGATAACAGTAATCAAGCCCGGTGCTATCTGTGTTTGTACGACTAACCTATTTTCATGAGATAACAATCACAAAAGCTATGGTCAGGAAAATAGTGACAGAGATTTGATAAGAAATGATCAGGTGCATCACATGATCACAACAGTGGTAATAGAAAACAAAAGTGAATTTAAACACCTTTAAAAGGTTATCCAGTTTCAACTCTGTTGTAGTTTTACCACATTCTTGGAGTGGGGAAAACCAGTTAAACTCACAAAATCTGGCGGTGAGGTATTTGCAGTGTTTACAAAGTTGTTCATATAATTGATCAAGAAGTAAAGCGTCGGGTTTTAATTGTACTAAGCATAAATCTGCAACAAAAACAGCTGCAGAAACGCCCGTGAAATTATTGAATAAAATTCCTTTAATTCTAGTGTTTCAGGTTTTCCCTTTTTCAGCACAAATATCGTTGTTTACAATTCACCAAAAGTCAAGTATGTAAGAAAAGTTACGTACCTCGATCTGTGTGTGAGAACAACATACAGCAGCACAGCTTGGAAAAGCAGGAAAATGGTCCAAATCATGTCGCGTTCACTTGTTTGCTCTTCAGTCTCTTTAGTCCCACAAACCCTCACGTGTCCTTTTATTAAAACTTCCCTCACCTCCAGCTACGTCACCTCTCGCCATTTCATTCATAAATCTACAGGAGTCACCGCCGACGCGCTGACGTCATGCGTAACACACCACCCACTGACTGATCAACACAAGGAAACAAATGACTGGAGTGTTGTGTTAATTCGGATTTAGGCCTTTTTAGCTTTTTCCAGGACCTTCTGTAATATAGTAAAGGTCGGCGGCGACGATATACGTAAAATACGGTGGTGCTCGCTGTTTACCCGTAACAATCAAACTTAAACACCCTCAGCTAGAACTGTAGTTAGATAGAAACAACAACCACAACAATGTATTTATATGACTTTACATCTTTCTTGCGATCTACTCACTATGTAAAATGTTTTAAATTCACTGCAGATCTTGCTCAGTACGTTATTTCCAATAAAATTATGAGGAAAGCAGTTATAAATAATTTGGTTGTATTTTTCCTGTTGGAAATGCCTAAAAGGTGTAAGTAGATTACTGTATTTAGAGGGAAGTACATGGCTCCATGCAACTGTTCACGCACACCGCAGAGATCCTCGTCATGAACTCTGAGTCACTCAGACGCGCGCTTACTTGGATACTTCCTTCTTGACTTTTCATCAGCTGATCCTCACTCAAAGCGTCTCCACCTGTTTTGTGCTCGGATCAGCACGTTCACCTCGGAGAAGAAACAGTTCAAAAGATTAAATGGATATAAAAGAAATATTAAGAATATTGGAAAAAAAATGCAGCAAAAGTTTCTTAACTTGTCCTTTACTGTAAATGTGAAACTGACCAAAAACTTCTCTGGATACTGGGTGAAAGTAACATGACTTATCAACATCAACAGTTTGAATATTTATTGACAAGAACAAAGAGTGATGACTGATAACAGCAAAGTGAACACAATAGGTCTGATAGGTGCGTGTGGGGCGCCAAATATAAAAATTCAGTCACAGATTAATAGGCGACATTTTGTGAAGATTTAGCTCACTTTTCTCATATGTAGCTCGTTTATCTTTCATTTGAGACCGAATTTCGTGCAAAACAGCATATTTGATTTATTTTTTTAAAATGTGTAAATGTTCAATCTAAATGCTACATCTAAATGTGAAATCTAAGTCTTGCTTATAAATTTAAATCCTAAATCTAAATCTAAATCCTAAATCCAAATCTAAATGTTAAATCTAAATGCTACATCTAAATGTGAACTCTAAATCTAAATCTTGCTCATAAATTTAAATCCTAAATCTAAATCTAATCCTAAATCTAAATCTAAATGTTAAATCTAAATCCTTAATATAAATCTAAATGTTAAATCTAAAAATAAATGTTAAATATAGCATACAGATTTAGATTTAACATTTAGATGTATTTTTCATGTGTACACATTTTTAACAAATAAAAAGAAAATGCTTTTTTACATGAATTTCGGTCTCAAATGAAGGAAAAACGGGCTAAATGTGAGATGATTGAGCTAAATCTTCAAAAAATGTCACCAATAAACAGTGACTGAATTTTAACATTTGGTGCCCCACAGATGCGATCAGCAAACTTTCAGGAGGTTGTCAAACACTCAGGTGTCTGAGTGTTTGAGGGACATTAAATAGCCACTTTTTATGTCATAGGCTTGTCCTCCCAAGATACCAGCTTATCAAGATGAACTAAATGTGAAATACAAAAATTAAACCCTTTGGCACATGTGACCGAGGAAGCAATTTTAAAGTGTTAAATCTGTAAAAATACACATAATGTAAACTAAACATTTCTCAAACACAAATTCCAAGCTTCGCTACAGGATGTAAGTTAAGAGAGCTCCTTGTCATCCTTCTCGTCTGCCTGCGTGTTAGTCAATCCTCGTGATTCATAGATGTCTTCCGGTGTTTCACCAAACACGGCCCCCGTCCTCTTGAGGAGGTAGACTCCGGCGTGTAAACCTCCGACGTTGACCCAAACAGTGTGCAGCTTTCTCCACAGCCCTCCCATCCTCGAAATAGCCTAGAGGTAGCATAAATCTCGTAAGGGCAAACTAACAAATGAGACACTTGTTTTGGGTTAAACATGGTCTTTGCTTGGACAAATACAGCTGTTTAGAATCCTCTCCAATGAGGTAAGTAGAGTTGATGTTACATGACTCCAACTATTTAAGGTTATTCAGAGACCTTATTCTGCACACAAACCTTTGAGTTTTTTTATGATGATGTGGAAGAGCACACGTAACCAACAAAGGTGTCTTTCACCATTTCACAATCAACTTTTTGTTATTTATTACTTGAGTTTGTTCATACTGGGAAAACCCTAAAATTGATAAAGGGAAATTGTCAAAAGGTGTAACACTCTTTCATGACTCACAATCCTTTCCTTCCAAAGAGGGATCTGCTAAAATACAAGGGAGTGTGTGTGTAGAAAATTGTCTAGAAAATTGTGAGTCTGTAATTGTAATTACTCCATCATTTTTTTCAAACATCAACTTCCCTCCTTTCCTTCATTTGATTTCATGTCAGACATCATCATGTCCTCACTGGCGTTACTTTTGCTGGTCAGAATCAGCTGGTTGGTAAGTCAAGACAGGCGTGTTATCACAGCATACCTTTAACAAAGACCAACTGAATACTTAATTGGTACTTTGCCAGCACTACAAAGACATAGGTGATAAGCACAACATTGATATTTTTCTAACGAGATGTAAATACAAACTCACGCTACATCAGGTGACTGTAAAACACATTTTTGTAGCTCTTCTTTCCTTCCTCAGCCATCATCATGCAATATCCCACAGTCACCATCAAATTGAAGCTAATTAACCTAAATTTGTTTTACAGATTGCTGACCAAATAATTTAAAAGCCCAGCCTGTGGATCCTAGGCTCAAACAGGTCAAATGTTCAAATCTTGCTGATGATCCTAAGTGCAAGGTAGTGTCTGGTTTTCTGCTTCCTGCCGATGCTCATATCATGACAATAAACTGTGATTGACTATGCCACTTTCATGCATGAGTTAGTTTGATCTCAACACACCTCCATCTCAGCCTTCCTAAGACACAGCCATTGATTACAAAGGGGCGGAGAGCACAACCAAAACAAGTATTGGGTGGAATATAGAACATAGTGTTTACTACGTAATGTCCTTCAAGGAATTTGCGCAAACTCCATGCCTGTGGCGGTAGTAGTCTCGTAGGTTGGAGCGGAACCATGAACGCCATTAGCCATTAATTATACTTGCATAACTTATTGTGCGGTTTTGCCTGTACACACCCCAGTGGAAAATAACAACAATATTTATCATATTAATTTGGCATATATGCTAAGGTTGCATTGATCTTTACATCACTCAGCATCAACAATGTGTGGAGACAAGCGTGCAAAAACTTTCCACTAAAACTATTTGAGGAATATCATGTTTGTACAAATAATGTAGCTTTGCTACGTGTCATGACCTGTCAGCAGGTTTCACAACTTAAGGAACGAAATTCGTTTTAATAGCTGTGTAATTATCAGCGTGAAAAATCAGAGCATCAGCAGAAGGCATTTAACAAGTGTTGCTTCTGTGTTTGATAACACACCATTTTCTATGAGTGATTTGTTTTTGTTGGCTGGTGTCTGAAGTGTATTTGGTGTCATGTGCTACTTCATGTGAAATTAGGCTTCTGAAGAAGACTGGTGTGATATTCCCAACAGGAAATTCCCAAAAGTTGGCAGCAGACCCATGTCCAGTTCACATTTCAAGTAAGTGAATAGATAACATTATTCTCACTAATGTTACAGCGTCTTCTTTTACTGGAAAATGTTGAAATTCATGGGATCTGTGTGGGTATTAAGTTTACCTTGGAGAAACATTTCTTGTCTTGTGTCAACAACACAGCCTTTCCTGATCCTGGTCTGCACACACGGGCCATTTCTCTCAAACAGGAGGGATAGAGGTCCCAGTTCTTCTTCCGGGAGCCCATTCTTTAAGACAAAAGGGACTGCATCATATTTTCTAAGTAAACAATGACTACAAAAACTGAAAATCTCATCAAATATTATGGTCTTTCTTTTTCACTGCTGCTTCGGTACCTCTTCCCAAAGGGCATGTCAGTGATGATAATGTCAACAGAGCTGGTCCTCATGGGTAAGTTGCACAGGTCCCAACGCACTGTGTCAATGGGCAATCCAGACGCACTGTTTGACAGCATCAGAAGAGGACTTTAGTTTGCAATTCAACTCAAGATGACTACACAAGCTTTTCCTCTGTCCCTCTCACCCGCCCTTTTCTGCCCTCCGTTTCTGGATATGGCATATGTTATTAACTGTGCGGTTCACTGCCATGTCATAGTTGTCTCCAGCGATGTAGAATGAAGAGTTGAATTCAATGGCCCCCTGAGAAAGAAAAAAAATATATCATGGGAATCAGTCGCGTCTGTGGTTTTCTTCTCTGGTCTTAGGACCCCCCCCCCTCTCTTGCTCCTTCAAAGCACTCAGTAAACCACTCTGATGATGTCCAGCTGGCCACATGTTGAGGCAGTAAATGTGTTTATTTTGAGATTGTGGAAGGAAGCAGCCTGATATGAACAAATATTTAATCCAAGCTAAACAGGCCTGACCAAAGAGACAAGGGTAAATAACTTTAAAAGTTTTCTGTTAAGTAAAAAGATAGGTGCAGGTCTGTGAAAATCACTGTAATAATGAAAAATACATTTACAGGAACTTTCAGGTAATTTGATATTATTTTCTGTACACCTTATACTCTCTTCCAAAACCACACATTTAAATGATGCCACCATATTTAGGAAGTTATGTCTCACCTCCAGTGGAATAGCTCCAGTCCCACACATTGGGTCAAGGATTATATCAGATACTTGAGGTTTGCACAGCCTGTAAAAAGACGAAAAGAATAAATAAAGCACAGATGTACCGTGGTGTGTAAATAAATACAAGAGAAAGGGATGTTGTTCAAACTCATAGCACCTTTATCATGATGAGCACATGGTTGTCATAACCACATAACACAGATTTCTACTGTGGAGAGTCAAACGGTGTGATTTTTGATAGTGAATTTAGAAATGGATCAGCAATCTCCAAACCACTGCACTTTAAGAAAACACTGAACACAAACTGACCAAACACCATGTGTTTCTCATAAACACAAACAGGTAAATAACCCAATAACATAGCCCTTCTGTCTTTTATGTTACACCTAGCTACACCTTTTTTCTCAGGACACCCTAACCATTATCTCCACTACTATTTTGACTATAACTAGATTGCTTATCAAGTTTTCTTTTATTACAGTACATACTGCATCTGCCTTTATAAGATACTAGCTTTGCATGAAGTGCAATTACATTTGTTAGTTGATGTTGTGAATCTTGGGACTTTTTGGCTCACTGCTTTTTATAAACACAAATTGGAGCAAACTAAATTTCTCCTAGGCATGGTTACAAGAATGGACGTATGGGTACTGGAAAACAGCAAGTGTTTATGTATTGTTTATTGTTTATTAGGATCCCCATTAACTTTTGTCAAGACAAAGCTAGTCTTCCTGGGGTCAAACACAGAAAATAAAACATGACGTAAACATTCATTCATAATTATACAATCACTCATTTACCAAACAATCAAATAAAAATGGGAAAAAGGATGTTTCTGTAAATATTTTTTTTCTATTTTAATTTTTATTTTGTTTTATCTATTCTTATTTTTATTATTTTTATTCTAATTTTTATTGTTTTTTTTCTGTTTTAATTTTTATTGATTTATTTATTTACTTACTTGCTGGTAGTTAAAAAGCCAACAGAAAAACTTTGATCTTTTAACACTGAAAATCTGAGGTTTACATGAAGGCTAATTAGAATCCGTTGCCATGTATGTACTTGGTTTCTGGGTAATAAATAAGACTGTGTATATCTTATATAATTTCTAGGCTAAGGTTATCTCTCAAAAAAGTGTTTTATATATTATATCAATAACCCGATTTACCTAACTTTACCCCCGGACGAGAAGCTGTCAGTCCTTCTGGATGAAGGACCAACGGCTCCATTAGCAGCTCAGTATGTTTCTATCTGTCTGTCTGCAACAACCTGAGGGCCTCACCCACTCAGTGAGAGCCCAAACACAGAGGAGCAGTTTAACCCTCACTCTGTCATCATCAAACTGTAAGAAAACTACATGTAGATTTAATACATTGAATTGTTTGTTTGTTTTTTTTAAGTATAAAAAGTTTAATCTTTGAAGAAATGTAAGATAACCATACTATCATGGGATGTGAATTTGTGACATAAATGTGATTTGTTTTGTGAACGTCTTTGCTGAAAGCAACACTGATTGTTCACACTAATAAAGCAATTTAAACTTCACACTAAAAGTTATGTTTTTGAATCATATCGAGAAAATGCATCATTTGAATATGAAGTAGGTGAAACCCTGTGTGAGAAGCCTCCTATCTCCTGGAGAGAATGATCAGACCAACTCAAACCATCGAGCGAGCAGCATCATCTCTGTGTATTGGAAGATTATTATCAGCATTTAACAACAACTTTAACAACGATCCTTTCTGTACCACTATGTACGGGAGATTTCCTGCAGGATACCTGGTAAGACTTTCTCACTGAACTCTCTGTAAATAACCACACTTGTTATGTATCCATGTCTACAATGTTCTGTATTTTTTTAAATGAACCTCATGTCATTTGCTCTCTCTCAGCCCCGTGTGCCAGTCACATATGTGGCAGCTGTTCACACTCTGAACACCCCAAATGCCGTTCAGCTGCAGAGACCCCGTCCCCAGCTCAGTGATGCTCAGATTGCCCAGAATCTGAGAGAAACTCTCTGCTCCACCATCGCTGAGCTGAAGACTCTGAAAGAGCAAAACCAAGTATTGAAAGTCTCCATCAGCCAGCATGAAAGCAAACACGCTGAACTGAAAAAAAAACATGAGGACATAAGCCAGGCCCACCAGAAGACCCTGGACCTGCTCACCCAGAGAGAGAGAGACAGCTGACAAAGCTGCAAGAGGAGCTCACAAAAAAAGATGACCACCTCATTAGAATGAAGAAAAAGGAGCAGGACAGAGAAAAGCAAAGCAAGGCCAAATTTGCTGAACTGCAAGAGCAGCTCAAAATCAAAACTGACCTCCTGGAAACCGCAGGTAAAATGGAGAAGTGCATGATCGAGGCCCATGGAGAGCACCTTGCTGATAAAGAAAGAGATATTCAGAAACTCCAAGAGGAGCTGAATCTCAAAGACAACCTGCGGAGAAAAGCCCAGCTGAAGGTGCAGAACACAAAATGGGCCCATCAAAATACCATTGGCCTCCTGGCTCAGACAGATTCTACGTTGATCCACGTCAAAGAGCAACTGAGGCTCAAAGATGAGCAGGTGAAAAGGGCTGCTGAAAAGGAGCAGAACTTACACAAGGCCTATGAAGAAAAACTGGCAAACAAAAACTCTGAAGTCTGCAGGCTGACAGAAGAGCTCAAGGTGATGGGAGAGGCTCTGCGTAGGGCTGTAAAAAAAAGGCGTGAGCGCACCAGAGCCCACATAGACACCCTGGATCTTCTCAACAGAAAGGACCTGCAGCTTCAGAGAAATGAGGAGAACTGGAGGACAAAATACAATGATCTGCAAAAGTGTCTCCATACCCAAATAGACAATCTGCAGGTACTTCAGAGCTCAGATATATTACACTATCAAAATAATCACTTCTTTGATTCTCTAGAGAATATTTAAAGGTTTCTACTGAATCAACTAACACACCATTTCTTTCTCAGACCCTCCAAAACTCTGTGCAACAGCAGCTGAAGCTGGGTGCATCGCAAGAACAAGAGGAGGAGAAGAACGAAGAGGAGGAGGTAGAAAAACATGATGAGATGAAGGAAGAGGATGAGAAAAAGAAAATACTCCAGGAAGAGGGGACCTCAAAACAAGATGAGGAGAAGACAAATGACAAGGACAAAGGGACTGAGACTGAAAAACAGTCAGACCTGGCTGAGGTCAAAAAATCCCCAGCCTAACCTCATCCTCCCTCCAAACCCCCCCTTTCCTATCTCCCTTCCCAACTTCCCTCCTAACCTTAACCCCCCCTTTCCTAACTCCCTTCCCAACTTCCCTCCTAACCTCCTTCCTAACCCTAAACCCCCTTTCCTAACTCCCTTCCCAACTTCCCTCCTAACCTCCTTCCTAACCCTAAACCCCCCCTTTCCTAACTCCCTTCCCAACTTCCCTCCTAACCTCCTTCCTAACCCTAAACCCCCCTTTCCTAACTTCCTTTCCTTCCCTTATTCCCATACCATATGTAAATATGCCTGTAAATATGTAAATATGAAACCTGTAAAGATGTACATTTGAAAGCATCAATACAGTTCTGTTGAGCTGAGCCGCTTTTCATTGTGTCTTTGTCTTTTTCTTGTTGACTTGATTTGGTTTTGAAACTGTTTTTACACATGGGGTAACAAGTCTCAAAATCTTTGCAAAGTTATTCAAAAGGTTCACAGCTTTAGATATTTATAGCACACACTTTAAATAATTTCTCATTGTGGAACACTTGAAATGCATCCAGTTCCTTTTTTGTGATGCTGCAAGCGTTGTGTTACACCTGTGTTTGTATCACACAGCTCTCATTGTGTACATTTTGAATGGGCAGAAATGTTTTTGTTCCACTAAGTGACCGTGCACTTTCCAGATAAGAAACGTGACACGTGATTCTGAGTTTTACTACAACCCAAAGAAGAACCTTCTTGTCTAAACAAACAAAAACTGTTTTTGGAAAACTTTGACCTGGTTATTATTACCCTGGATTTCCTTACAACAGAGATGACGTTCTTTACTTAGGATGGATAATACTGCAATTGCGTACAGCATTCTAAATGGATAATTAAAGTAATCTAGATTAATTGCCCTTGTTATAAAACAATGGCACATTGTCCTTGCTCCATGCCTAAAATTACAGCAGGCTGTCAAATTAACAAATGGCATCTATGCGCTACTGTTGTCACGTCAGCCTTAGTGCCGTTTTTAACTTATAAACCATCAGAGGTCTGAGCTGAGGTCAACAAACATCCACTATTAACTGAACCAAAAACTAGTGACACTTAATTTCATACCTAGCAAAACTAGTTTCACCTTTGAAACAAACTTCAACTTTCAACTCTTCTTAAGCAGAAACATTGGAGCAGATCCAGCTGGAAAAGTCGGGGAGAACATCACCTCTTTGTGAAAAGCTAGTTGAAGCATATAGCAGTATGGGTGAATTCCGATGGGGACGTCAAAAGTGCTTTTTGTGTGTAGCATGTTTTTGACGTACGTACGTGCTTACCTTGATGGAAAATTTTACTTGAGGGAGTGTTTTAGAGCTATTGTGTTACTGCTTGATATAAACCCTGAGCTGTCACTGAAATGATTATCTAAATGGAGATCAGTTTTTCTTGGCAACCCCTATGATCACACCAGTCTTGATATGCAAAAATTCAGTCATGCCTACTTCACTCTATATTTAATCCCCCGCCCTGCCAATGTGTTTTGGAAATATCTGTTTCGCAAAGGATCAAGTTAACTCTTTATTCTTCTTCATTTGACCAATTTTAAATAAGACACAGCTCAGTTAAAGGTTATTTGTGGTTAACTGGTGGAACACCGCTCAGCTTCCTGCTGGTGAAAATTCAGTGTTTGTCTATTGTCTTCATCTATTTGACTCTCTCTCTCTCTAACAACTTTGAGTTAGAAATACATTTTTAAAAATCAAATCTACTATCTACTGGTATGTTTGAGTCTTTTGCTGCAGCTAGGCAGGGTTTTTGTCAAGTAGTCGACCACAATCCTCTGTCTAATTTGCAACTGCCAAGGAGCACACACCTATCATTAGATGTGTCATTGTTATTGTTATGCAAAAAAGATCAAACTTGTTTTATCAAAACCATTGAGTCAAATGGCAGAGTGGTGGATAAGGCTTGATACATGTCCATTTTAGTCTGACGATAAAAATAAAAATGTGTAAAAAATAAGTGTTGCTTCTGTCATAATCTTTAGTATTTTTCCAGGTATACATTTCTCTGTTTCTTGAATACATTCAAAAATCCAGTTAACGCGGTACTGGCTCCAAAATCCATGTCCTATACATTAAGTGTACTGATTGGAATAACGGTGTTATGATGATCGTTGTATTTTTTAATATGATGTTGCCATTATGTACAGCTGTCAATGAACTTGCTCTCTGTCATTCCCCAGAAGGTAAGAGAGCTTTACACAAATTAGGCTCGTATTAGAGGCAAGCCAATCATATAACGCTCTCTCTGTTTGAGAAGTTTATACAGTACAGGCCAAAAGTTTGGACACACCTTCTCATTCAATGTCTTTTCTTTATTTTTTATATGACTATTTACATTGTAGATTATGACTGAAGGCATAGAAACTGTGAATGAACACATGTAGAATTTTTTACTTATAAAAAAAGTGTGAAATAACTGAAAAGATGTTTTATACTCTAGTTTCTTTAAAATAGCCACCCTTTGCTCTTGATGACAGAAGTACTAACCCTGACAAGGCACACCTGTGAAGTAAAAAACATTTCAGGTGACTACCTCATGAAGCTCATTGAGAGAACAGCAAAAGTTTGCAGCGCTATCAAAAAAGCAAAGGGTGGCTACTTTGAGGAATCTAAAATATAAAACATGTTTTCAGTTATTTCACACTTTTTTCTCAAGCACATGATTCCACATGTGTTAATTCATAGTTTTGATGCCCTCAGTGAGAATCTACAATTTAAATAGTAATGAGAATAAAGAAAATGCACTGAATGAGAAGGTGTGTCTTAACTTTTGGCCTGTACTGTACGTTTATACGTTAGTACAAAATGTAGGCCTGTTACACTTGGATATATCAGACAAAAACAAAAAAGATACCAAACAAGATCAAAGTCATAACACACGTGTAACAAGTTAAATGCTCCACAAACTGCAATGCTGAGCAGACAGCATCTCTGTGCACCAATGCAGTGCACAGATACTAAGTTGCAGAAATGTGGACTAGAAAATGCCCATTTCCATCTCTGGGGCTGAATCAGTCTGGTGCTTTCTATGTCTCAACTCCTGCACAAACAGGCGGTGCCATTACTCATGCTAGAGGTTTTGTCTGATTTTATTCTTTGTTTTTTTAAGTCTGAACAAGCTTTATGGCCTCATAAAAAGGAGGTATTGAGTGTCATCTGAACCTTACATTGTAAGGTCGGCTGCCTCACAGGGTGTGAACATGCTGCCAACAGTGCTATCGAATTACCTGAGCATGCCATAGCACAAGGTAGAGCGCAGAGTTGTAGGCCCAAAGTGACTGATGTTCCTCCTGTGAAGGCTCTCTTCTGTAAGTGCGATGCCGATCACCACCTCTTCATTGTGTATGTTAAGTAATACCTACAGTACAGGAACATACAGAAACAAATGATCAATTAAACTGTGCATATGCTTTTATATTGCACTGTATAGAGCTGAAGCTGTTTTCAGAGTTCGTTGCTCGCTGTTTTGATTTGCATTACAGTGTCTGTGATTTTGAAACATTGGTGCCATAACACTTATTCCTCAGACATGATATTTATTTATGTATTTTGGCCTAAGCAGATTGGATACACCACCTTTGGTTCCAAAAAGTTGTGATGGCAGCTCAATACTGTCTGGAAAATGTTACTCAACTCTTCTCAATTTTCCTTTTGCTGATGTTTATACTAAATACAAGGTTATGTCATGCAAAGTTATCTAAACGGGCAACGTTTTTTTTGGCTTGTTCGATGGTATTTGCTGTGCGTCAGTCAAGTCCAAACAAGAAAACCTACCTCTATGTCAAACTTTGTCATGTCTGCTTTCCACTGGAAGAATTCTTGCACAGCCCCACCAAAGTCTCTGGCTGCCTCGTTAGAAGAAAAGCTGTGCTTGTCACCGGCCCTGTTGCACGTCACACGAAACTTGATGACTTTGGCCTCAGGTGCCGTGTCCCCTGACTCCTGCATGCTGCTCTCCATGTCAGGTGTGCTTTCTGAATTTGTCTGGCCTCCAGGAGCAGGTGCTTCCGGTAACTCTTGTTGTTCAGTATTAGGCACAGGTGAATCAGTAGCCACATTTTCAAGTTTTGATTTGGAGCCATTCCCTCCTTTTCGATGGCCTTTCTTCTTTTTCAGTGAGCGATTTAGTTTCCAAACTTCCAAAGCTTTAGTCCAAGGGAGTTTGGAGGCCAGCTCATGCAGCTCCATCAAAGTCTCCTCCTGTACAGAACACATTTGCCAACTTGATGATGATGCTTTTCACATTATTTAGAGTAGAATAAAATTGGTTGCAGCTTACCTTTGACTCTTTGAACTGGTAATGATCATATTCCTCAACCACAACAAACAGGTTGTCCACAGACCTCAAGAGGTGGGCCTACAGAGGGAAATTCAATAATCACCCAGACAGACTGAGTATTAGAAAACTTACATGTGCATATTTTCGAATGAAAGTTAAAGGGATATTCCAGCGTAAAATTAAGTTAGGGTCAAACACACTGTAACACAGAGTTAGACACCCCATCAAGAGATGAATGCTGCCAATCGCTTACTTCTCTAGTTATACCAACTTTAACGACCACAGGATAGCAATAAACAGCAGTCTAAGGAGCCATAAAGAAACCTCAACCAAAACCCCACTCTATAGCCACAAATAATGCTCAGAACAGCATCTTACTTCATCAACAGTACATATAGGGTCCTAGCCACAGCACTAGCCGCCAAACACCTTTTTACTTTTGCCTAATTTCTTTAGCAAAGAGACAAAACACAACTCACCCACTCTCTTCCAGCAGCCGCTTGTTTGTAGCAGGACCTCCGGGCGAGTCCATCAACTGCAGTGAGGTGACGCAGCTCAAGGAAGAACATTTATGACCATTTCTTTATTATTTCCTTGAAGTAATAATCATCATATTAATCATTTTGCACTGTAGACGCGGTAGTTCTTCTGCCTTAGTGTCTCGGTCTGATTACATTTCCATGAAGAAATGATCATAAAGGTTCTTCCTTGAGCTGTGTCACCCCACTGCAGTCGGTGATGGACTCGCCCGGAGGTCCCGCTACAAACAAGCAGCTGCTGGAAGAGAGTGGGTGAGTTGTGTTTAGTATCTTTGCTAAAGAAATCAGGCACAGCTAAAAAGATACTGCTATGGCTGGGACCTTATCTGTGCAGTTGATGAAGTTAGGTGCTGTTCTGAGTATTATTTGTGGCTATAGAATGGCGTTTTGGTTGCATGCGTGGCTCTCTGTATTGCTATCATGCGGTTGTTACCAAAGTTGGTATAACTAGAGAAGCAAGCGGTCGACAACATTCATCTCTTGATGGGGTGTCTAACTTGGTGTTGCGTTGTGTTTGACCCAAAATTAATTTTATGCCGGAATATCCCTTTAAGGGGGTCAAATCTTGATTGGGGCTACATTCAAAGAGCTCAAATTCTATTCAAGAAAGTTTGTAGTTTGACAACCTCTGAGGAAAAATAAAGCAAGCACTTAATCACAATGTCATACCTGGTAAAGCTTGTCAGTTGTTATGGGAAAGTATATGCGGCCACGGTCTTTGCTGATTCGTGTTTCGACACCAATTTTTTCCTTGACCTCTTCTGCAGCAGTGTGCTCAAACCCTGTGGGGACAGTGGCTCCAATGGTGACGGTGATGATGTCTCCTGAGGTGGTAGCACCATTGTCAGTGGATGAAGAGCTAGATGGTCCCTCTGTGTTTGAACCCTGCTCTGCAGCCTCTTCTGCCTGCGAGGACATCCTAGACACCGAGGTGTATCCGTCGATGTATCTGTCGTAGCTGGTACCAAGATATGTAAATCACAGCTATATAATGAGCCTAATGAGGAAGAGAGACAAAGAGAGAGACACAGATGCACTGTCATCACTTAAACTCGGGGAGGACGACTTTATAAGACTTATTGGGATGAACCGTATTATCAACCAGCTAGTATAACCTTGTTTAATATAAAACAATATATAAACATGTAATGTGGTTGCAGGAATAGCAATGACACCGGTTAACTTAGCTAACTATGACATTAGCTTAAAGAAGCTACAAAGTTAGAGCATAAACAGGAGATTAATGATACAAGCTTTATACTAAACACATCAGGCTACCCGGTCAGGGTGTGTGTTTGTATGATGAAAGCAGATAGAGTCATATACCGTGGCTTGTAAAGTGAATGAAACTTGCTACTTGAAGTCAGACCGGCCTGTCAAACATGCGGAGAGAACATGCTGTTTCCGTATCGCTGACACACATAACCAGAGACATTATATACGTAGACGCCTCGTTACGTGCTGGAGGGTAATTCAGCGTCACCGCCATATTGGATAGGTCTCCCCACTCCATTCTCGCTCAAGAGCCAAACGGTCACTGGAGAACGAGCTACTATGCCCGTTTTATTTGCACTCCATGGTTGAAAAACCCGACGCAGTATTGAAACCAGATCACGTACGATTACATTTCAAAAAGGATTGAAAAATGATTTGTTTTATTTTTAATATGTGGCATTGTCCTGTATTATTGCTGCATCCCTGCCGTTGTAACATACCAAACAGTGTGAAAATCGGGCAAAGATTCGGAGAGTTATTATCAATATGGTTGGGCGTTCCTACTTACCTTAATGCACTGGAGGCGCGCGGGGGATCCATCCAAGATGGCGGCCGAGCTGATACGATAGCTCCAATAGGCAGCGTCAGGCTTTGAGGCGTCCACGTATATTATGTCTATGCACACAACAGCGACACTTCCGGTTGGAAACTTCATCTTCGGCTTCTTTATGTTTAATAGCGGGCCTAACTTTAAGGTGTATACCGCCACCTGCTGTAGCGGAGTGATAGAAGAGATCCAGTTTTTTAATTTAGTGAAAAAAGAGAGAGAAAACCAAAAACAAACAAACAAACAGAAAAAACCTCATGCAGATCTGGTTGTATCTCCTTACAGAGAAATATGCATATCAATATCCACAAACACTTTTTTATTAATGAGTGCTTTTACAGTAAGCACACCCTGTCCCCATTGATTTCCAGTGTTGCCTCTCTCACCTTTAGTCGCAATCCTTTACTGACATCTTTGTATTTTACACAATGCATAAATACATGTATATTATTTTCTCCTGTACTGCAACAATCTCAGATTTCTGAACTAATAGGTCATGTCATGTAATGGAACCCTCTTGTGGTCTCCAGGTACAGCTCTACATTAATCTACCAGAAGGAGACGCCATAGGCTCATTTTCATGAGCTGGCTGGAAGACTTTTTATGAATCATTCACCTGACATGAAACAATAAAGCGGCTGGATCAATGAGGTTTCCAACATTTGATAATATCTTTTTACATCTGTTTTCTTTTTCAGAGTTTTTCCTCTTTTACAAATAGTTATTGTTAAATGTGCTGATGTTGGTTTGTCAGAAACAACAGTCTTCTATTAGTTAAGCACAGCAAAAATGTCTTTAGGTGCAGTCCCATTATTGTTAAATTGTTAATTGTCACCGGTTGAACTAAAATCTCTGTCACATTTACATATCATGACAAGATACCAGAAACTTTTTGTTGACTGAAAAAATTCGTGACAGTTGTTTCTTCTCCCTGAACACTAAATGCAGTATGTTTATTAGAACTCTTGCTATTTTTGTTTAAAGTTTTTGCCAACACTCTTTCCAACAGATTAGTAAGTGTGAAGGTTGAGAAACATGTAGGCGTGGGTTGATGTCAACGAACAAAAAATCCTCCTCAACAGATGGCCGATGTTTTACAGAGAACAGCCAGACACTTTTTTTTTTCTAAATCCATGCATAACTCACTTCTGCAAAGAGACTAGGAAACAATTAACTGAGGAGGGGAGAGAGGCTTTGGGTGGAAGAAACTAGAGCAGCTTCAGGTTTTAATTTGACAGGAGATCAAACAATCACAAATCTGCTCTACCTGTTTGTGATTTAGGTTCATCCATGCAGGTAGAGCTGCTGACATACTTCCATCCACACATGTATCTCTGCCGCAGTTGCAACAACATGCAATGCAGAGAAAGGAAAAGCACAGGGGAAAGCTCTCAAAGCAGTAGGATATAATAAAACCTGTGGGATTTTCTCCCACTGTTGGGGAGACCCAGATGAGGATTATGTTTCAGATTCTTCTCTCGGAGTGTATTACTTGTTTGAATCAAAGGCGGGCATAAGCCAACGTCTTAGAGAAGAAATGTTCAGCATATCAAAGAGATATCGCTCACTCGGCTCAACTCCCAGATGATTGATTGATGGCTGTGTAAATCAACATCAATTATTATCGGGATCTGAATACAGAAATCTAGACCTGGAGCATGTACCTGGTCTGTAAGCCTGTCAATGCAGCCACAGCTCTTCTGTGTACTATAGATATATAGTAGATATATGTAATATATGAGAGCCTCTCTATATAAGGGCCCTGATTAATCCTGCATCCCTGAGAGTGTTTGAAAAATGAAGCGGGAGGTTTGAATATGATTGATATTTGTTGCTTTGTTAGTTTAAGCTTGTTGCCACTCAGTCTAGCTTGTAACAACTAAAGAAAAAAAACAAACAACAACATCAACACAATGTAAAATTACTCACTGAGACACCAAACAGAAACAAAAAGAAACATTTGTATGGCTGGTATAAGCAATAATAATAATTATACATTTTATATATATTATGTTATAGATCTGAGAAAACAGACCTCAAAGTGCCCACAGTAAAAAGCAATAGTAAAAACAGTAAATAAAAATAACAACAGTCAAAATATCAAATCAGCCCGGAAAAGCTTTTCTAAAAAGGAAGGTCTTTTTGTTAGTTTTTGAAATATACAGTGGAAAAACAGTTCTGTTTCTGTGTAATATCTGAAAATGGGATCAAATGTATTCATAAATCTAACTTCATTTTCTGAAAGATGTTTCATGGTTTATGTGTATTTTTCCATCACACAGGGTAAGTATTCGCCAAGTTTTGATTTATACAGAAAACCGTGTGGCTGTCTGACTCATCACAAATTTGCCAAAGATATAAGGATATAAGAGGCCATGCAGGTTAAAATAGAATACTCAACTTGGACACAGTGGCCTCTTGGTATTTTCACGTGGCTGCATACTGTCATGCATATTAGCATAGCTGAATATGCATTGCACTGTCAGCTCCTCGTAGGGGAATTGAGTAGTCCGTGAAAGTATATGTGACATTTTGCATGCACTAAAGTTCTCCACTCTGCATCATTTACTGCAGATTATTTGCTCGAGAATCAAAGTCACATGCCTGGAAGTTGTGAGGATTTGAAACAAGGTAATCCGTTACATCACTTAACCCACCTTGCTCCCAGTGTGTGTGTCCTCCACTGGTGTATGACTGTGAGTGTTGTGTGGTGGTGGTCGGAGAGGCCGTAGGCGCAGAATGGCAGCCACGTCTCCCCCACCACCACCAAAGTGTGACTGTGTGAGCGAATGAATGATGTATCCAATGTAAAGCGCTTTGAGGGTCTCTGATAAAGCGCTATATGAAATCTGATGCATTATTATTATTATTATCAAATACTCAATTTGAACTGTACATATAGAGTCCTGCTTGGCAAGGATGTGGTATATTTCAAGGAGAAGAAAACATAGAAACAAGAAATCATTAGGATTTGTTTGCTGTCCTTCCTAAAGAGTTTTAACCATCCAATCAAAATAGTCAAACATCTTCACATTGAGTCAAGTCATAGTGATGTATTTCTTCTTTGACTTACTGTGCAACCCTTGTAGGGCTCCCTTAGAAGTCATCCCCGTGTTTCTACGGTAAAATACTGTAGTTCTCACTCTTGCTCAACAGAAAGGAACAGCAACATGATCTCACAGTGGATCTTTGTCGCCTGAAACTGTGAAGTTTCAGTTTCCCAGTCTTTCTTCCCTGAGTAGCCTGGTGAGAGAGGTAACGGTGAGAAACAAATGAAAACAGGAAGGATGCAGGGACCACAGAACCCTCTTATGTAAACACACAAAAAAAGCTGAATCAATCCTGCTGACGCTCTGGCCCTCAAGCAGGTCTCTCTCTCTGTCACAACTGGTGTGTCAGTAATGAAGTGTCTGCTTTGTCATGGCTTCACTCTTCAGCTGAGTTGATACGCAAGAACTGGCAGGCATCATAGACGAACAACAGAACCTGCAAAGACATAATAGGGAGTTTATAGCAGTAAGACACATAAGACAGTAAATAAAAAAGTTGTTATTTTTGGTCGTTTCTATATTAAGCCTAACCAGTGACATACATAGCCATCACACCTCTCCAGGGCCTTTTCCTCCAGTGTAAAGGTCTGTCAACACTGATTTGAAGTGTCAGAAAATGTTTTATGGACTTCTGAAGCGGGAAAAGAATTTAAACCTAATTTTCAAGTGGGATGGCAACTAGGAGGCAGCCACCACCAACATTTTGTGGACACCATTTCTTGGGGTGAGCAGTCATTGAAGCTGTTGTGCAGCAGATGGAGCTCAAACGCAGAGGGTATTTACAGAGTGAGAGTTTGAAGTTTGAGTCATCTCTTTCTGCATCAACAGGCCGGTTCCCTCTCAAACTGAGAAAAATGAAGGTGACAGACAACAGACTGTTAGAAACATAGAAATGAGCAGATGATAGTCTTTATCAGAAAAAACATGCTCACCCCCCCTCATCTCAGTGCTTTTAGAGCAGCTTGTCTTTTACATTATAAATTGAAATGTTCTGATGTCCACATAAGTAACACACAAATCCTACAATAAAGGCACAGATAACACAATACTGTAACAAGGTTTGAGCACAAGGCTTTGTGTGACTGTCCTACAATATGTTTAGCACACAAATGATCATGTTTATTATGGGATGTGTTATTAGTTCTGCTCTGCTGCTATTTGACCTTCTATATTAAAGTTACTAGAGAGGTTTTGTAGCCTGCTTCAGGAACGTTCATAACTTTTAGTTGATCTGTTCTCACCCCTGAGGGAATTCCTTTACTTTTTATCGTTTCCTTTAAAATTGATGTCTTTGTCTGGGAAGTTCTGGCTGTCAGAGTATCTTACTCAAAGAAACCAGGGGCGTTCTCAGACTTATTATCTATAGGTGGCCAAACTGTGTACTGACCTTTTGCAAAGGTGTGTACCCTTTCTGACCCTAATGATCATATTTACTGATACAGGAACTGATACTGATGCCTCTTTATGAACTTCATAAGCAAACAAGACCATCATCTATGAGGCTGATAATTTCTTTGTGATAATTTCTCATTCCTGAAACCACTGTGAGAGGGTTTGTTTGTCAAACCAGATGATTGAAAGCAGACTGAACAAACAGCATTTTTAATCAAATAAAGACATCAAGATAAGAGTTGTCTGAAACCCTATTTTAACTGGTACAGAACAAGAGATTTGAGGCATCACTACGATCACAGGGGCACTAAAATCAAATCAAACCAAAACTTCCTCACAGCAGCTTCAAGTACCAATATTCAAGCATTGTAAGCATGTTTTCTCTCTGTGTATATTCTGAATTATGCTAGCATGGTTGTAGTTGGAGTATTCACTAATGCATATATTGGGGTCATTCATGTCCAAAGGTTGAAAGATTCTCGTTTCAGGCAATTGATGTTTTACTGTTCATATTCCTCAGCATCCAGGTGTATGCATTCTTGGAAATATGATGGACAATTTAAAGTCGGAGCAAGAGGATGTATTGTTGCTTTAGCTTTCTGTCTGTAAAAAAACTGTTCTTATGAACTGGATAATTCACAAACAGGACTGCTATAGCATTCTCAACTGGCTTATGGATTGTTTGGATTTGCTGAGGGCGTGGCCTCAACTTTTAGTGACCAAAGCAGATCCCTCATGGACTATCATCCAATAATTATTGGACCCCAGTTCTGGAGGCATAACCTTGCATGTAAAATGATTGTAACAAAATGATCATATGAACCACTGTTGGCATAACCTTGACTGGTTCTTTTCTGGCCAATCAGATTTCAAAGGGGGCTCATGCCAACCCTCTTGATACACCCCTGGCTTTGACTGGATGCAACATTAGGCTTCAGGGTTTGGAAGCTTTAACAGCTGCACAGAAAAAGAAAAGAAAAACCCTTTGCATGTAGACACTTGATATTCACTCATTAAAACATTAGTGGTGTGTTTGATGTGTCATGCTTGAACCTGACCTGTCACTCACGAATCCTCTTGCCTGCATGCTGACAGTGTTCCCTCACAACCTCTGCAGAAATGTGCCAGATCTGTGCAGGACGTGAACGTAACACGGAGGAAAGGAAAAGGTGTGATGTTTCCATGGAAATAGTGTACAAAGATGGGAACGTGTTTTTGCTTTGTTTGTACCCCTGGAAAAATAAATGATGTTGACTGCAATGTGAAAAGCAGCATGAATACATGCAGTGACATGATTGACACAGTTTTTCCTGTGTGTGGTCAGATGTAGGGGAGAGTGGGGTAAGATGAGACATTTTTCATATTTCAGATTGTAGTTGTAGCTCATACATACCACAATTGATGTGGTATCTATCTATAAAACAAATTCAAAATGATCTTTTTTGGTCTGAACACAATTCTGATAAAACTTATGACAGACTAAATTCAATTATAAGAGTGAAAAATGTTTTTTTTAATAAATAAATGTCTAACCCCTTCACACATGTGCTTCTAACCTTCACAGACTCCATGAATTGATGTCCATCTCCTAAATATTTGATCACATGATCAATTTCTTTTACCATTTCCAAGCAACAGGGGGTGGCTCAACTTACCCCACTCTTCCACTATATGTGCAGGCATATAGTTGTAAATGGAGAAATGGAGGCAATCGTGTTTTTAAATTCTGTGTGTGTGTATGTGTGTGTGAGAGAGAAAAAGAGAGAGAGAGAGGGCGGAGGTGGAGAAGGGGGAGGACGTGTGGCTGACAATATGAGGAGGCTCACGTGACAGTCTTTTAAATTCCTGTTTCCCTGCAGCGCAATTTGTCAGAATACGAGCGGTGTGTATTTGTCTACCTCCTCGCATGTACGCATGTCTGCTCATCTGCGGGCACAGAAGGTACGAGGACCTGCCTTTTTGAAAACCTTCACGCGCCTCTCCTCATCATGTTTGGTGGCATAGTTTTGAGCTCGTGAGCGTCTTTGTTGTTTCCCGCTGAAGCCTTAGTTGACCGGTGTCAGGAGGAGAAGGAGGAGAGAAAAAACTCACAGTAATTGACAAGAATGCAACACTGGACTGCTGCTCGTGTTGAATTTCTACCCCGTTCTCTTCTTGAATAAGCCAAGCGCTTTAAAGCAGTCGGGCTGAAGGAGTACGACACATTCAAGCCAATTCTTCTCAATGTACGAGCGCTAGAGAGGAAAGACGAAAACCGGAGGAACGATACAAGTCGAGGACCATCACCTCCTCAGACCCGATAGAGTCCTCGACCTACGGGGTCTCACCCCAAAACCAGAGGGAAAATGTCATCCACTAAATTCAAGAAGGATAAGGAGATCATAGCGGATTATGAGACCCAAGTGAAAGGTGCGGTGTGTGTGTGTGTGTGTGTGTGTCCGCCTCTATTTGCATTGTTTCTGCACAGCCTGCCTGTCGCCTCAGCCTGACCAAGACCCTATATTAGCCTGCTTTTCTTTCCTTATACCTCCATTGGTCTTTTCAGGGATCTGTGACAGTCAATCCAACGATAAGAGCATAAAAACTGATTTTTTCCCCCCACATCTTTCTCGGGTGAGAGGTTCCTTTCATGACAGATTTGTAATTATTTGGCATAATAATGTGGTAAAGCTGCTGGGGGATATTGATCCCTGTGATGAAACCGAGGCAGGTTGATGCTCCTACTGTTGTCAGCTTTTTAACAAATATTTTTATATTGATTTGGTGCACCTCATAGAATACAGATAGTGTTTTTACACATATATGCTCATTATAGTTGGGGGTAGCTTCATCTTTTATCCACAGTCCTCCCTAAGATCAGGCTCTGCTCACGGTTTTCTTTTTGCCTTTGATTCATTGTCAGTGATTGGCTGTTTCCTCACCTGGCAACATGGGTAAAGCAGTGTGGTGAATGGTAGTCACCATACTTCAAGGTCTCTAAATCTGTAACATGACTTTACTCAATGAGCTGTTAAACTATCTAGTGTCGGTATGATTAAGGTAAGGAAATGACTGTTTGGGAGGAGGCAAATTCAGGAAACAGGATTGAGTGTCTTGTGGGATGTATGTGGTTTTCAGGTCAGCATCATGTCATGTGTGTTCAATCAGACTTGACCATTTAATCCTGTGTCATCCAATTATATTTGTACTTCTCTACATTAGATAAACTATACAAGGCTACTGATTATGGAAACCATACAAGCACCAGCAGAAGACAAGTGAGACACAGTGGCCCATGCAAGCTCTGAATAGGGATGCACCGATCCAACATCTGGATCGGATATGGCTCCGATAAGAACAAATTAACTGGATCGGATATTGAACGAATGACGTCTACCCAGCATTCCGATCCAGTCTGTTTTTTCTTTTAATTAATTTTTCTTTTAATGCATGAAGTCTTACTTCTTTTTGCTGTGTGCTAATGTGCAATTTGTTATTTGTTGATAAATAATATGAGGTAAATTTATATTCGGTTAATTTGTTACCTTTTTTTAACAAGGCTAATGTCAAGCCTGATGCTTTCACTCACAGGGCAAAGTATACAGTTCATTCATTCAACAGTAGTATTGGATCGGTATCGGATATCGGCCGATTTGCTCAGCCCAGGTATCGGTATCAGATGGGATAGGAAAAAAATGGTTCGGTGCATCTTTAGCTCTGAATAGGAACCATACAACCAGTCCTGCTGTAAAGTGACGGCTATTTGTGCTTTGTGGTGTAGATATGAAAGATCACATACTGGGATTAAGACATATCTCTAAGTGTGGCCATGGTTCAGATTCAAGGCCCCCAGACCCATTACAGCACTCTGCCTCTCAGTGGGTTCACAAATGTTACGCCTCAGGGGTCTCAGCTGGTTTCTCCCATGTACCAGTCCAGACCTTTAGATGCTTGGCATGTGAGTGGATTTGTAGAATTGATCTGATCTTCTTTGTGCAGACAGGGTGTCAGTTGGCAATCCGATGGATTCTCACTCACTGCTGCTGGAGTAACTGCGGTTCTGTTTTGTGGCACGTGCCGGTCATTTGAAAAATGTCTCCTTGCACCAGCCCATTTTTTTGAAATACTGCATCATTAATTAAACTCAGATCTACGTGTGTCATGGAAAGTTGCTCTTGTTTCAAAGGGCCAGGCCCTGTCTGCTCCAGTGTGCATTAGACAAACAGGACCCTTGAACTGTGCGAGGACGATGGATGGTAATTTATGGAGAATGCTGCTTGTTTCTCATTCACAGCTGGCATGTTGCTTTGCCTGCAGACACAGAGGGCTCTCTTTCTGACATCCACCACCTCACAACAATGGCCATCAGTGGAGCGTAATGAAATTCAGATTGGGAAATTGCACCTGTCTTTTTCTGAGTTATTGCTGTATGGTTAATGTGTACATGGCAGAGGGAGCAAATCATCAGTGGGTCATTGACTAGGTCATAACAAGATCAGAGAGTTGCTCTATTATGTATGAGCGCTGATAAAAAAAAAAAAAATCACTGGGTTTCAGAAATCGTTTGACAATAAAAAAGTGAATGGTTCTTAGTAATTAGGTTTGCTTGAATGCATAGGTTTCAGGTTTGAAAGACCATCATAATGTAGAGTTTAATTCCTTCCTGTTACAGTGTAACAAACTGCTGGGCTAATATCTTAACCCAGGGCCATTCATGAATTCTTGACAACCCCCCAAGGCCGGGTGCAAAGCTGAGCTCTGAAGGACCTTGGTAGATGGTGTTCACTTAATTCAAGCTGTTCAGCTGGCAGATCTTGCATTAGCATGTCAATAGAATTGGTTTGTCTACATAACACAGAGAGACTGACGGACTGAGAAGCTGGGACCGCATTGCCTCTTTTTATGTAAAAACTTACATTTTCCAGCAAATTCAGGACATGGTGTCCTGAAATATTTTTAAAATTAGTCTTTGCACTTGAGCAACACAGTGGAGGGTTTGTCAGTGTTTAAATGCTCTCAACTTAAAATAGACGGTTTGGTTTTGGTTGGTAGACACCTGGGTAGGGAATTTATTTAGGTGAGGGAGGAGTGTTATTGTTTATGCTACTACAGCAAGTATTAAGCATGTTAAAGGTGGGGTAGGCAGGATCTGGGGAAGTTCCAGTTTGGGGGAAAAATCTTGAATGTAAACTCTACCCCTCCCAACCAGTTTTCCCCTCAGCTCCTCCTCTACCCTCTGTCTCTGCTACAGCAAGCCCCGCCCACAAACAGACGCTCCTGCTCGCTCGTATCGTTCCAATTAAATTCAGATATAATGCAGATAAAAACTCCAGATAATTACAAATGGAGCCCAGTCAACTTGATAGTAAACAGCATTGGTGCTACACAGTTTAGCGGCACTACAACACACAGCAGGTCCCGTTTGACAAGAAACACTTCTGTTATACTTGGCTTACTTTGTTAAAGCGGTTTACCTGTCCAGCAGAAAGGATACAGGGTCCGTAAGATCCCGAAGCGTCCTCCATCATTGTTGAGCCGGTTTCTTAGCTCTTGTCTGGTCTACCTCCATTTTAGGCGCCCGTTATTCCGCTAGAGTCTCTGGTATTTACTACATTGTCTTGCTTGTGTTGGTGGTCGTGGCTAAAGGAGGATTCAGACAATTTTCTGTACTTTCTGGTTGGTTTCTACTGTCTGATATTGTAGCACGCTAACTTAGTTTGGGCTCATGAAAGACACGGGGGAGCAGCATCTGTCTCACAACCAATCAGGATGGAGGAGGCGGGAATGGCTCTGTTTACAGTCAGAAAGCGTGGAGCGCTCAAAAAAATTAAAATGTTGACTACACAGACATAACAAAACGCAGCGATATTGTTATATTACCAAATATCATCAATGACTAATATCTGTTGACTGATATTAAAAGCTTTTTGTATATACACCACAAAAAAAGATGCTTCTTTAATGGATTCCTGCCTGCCCCACCTTTAACGCAACACAAACTCAACAGTAGAAAACAAAGTACAGACAACTGAGGTCACTACTATGCTTTATAGCAGAGAAACTGGACTAAATAATCGAATTAGCCCGCCCACTTTGCTACAAGTTTTGGGGGCTAATTTTACTGAGGAGCTAATAAAAAAAATTTGCATATGCTATTTGTAACATTTATAAAACTGTCTTAAACTTAGTGTAGTTTTTAGGGTGGGCTTCATGCAAGGCGAACAGTTGGAATTTTTACCGAATTTACTCCTACTTTTTCTGCAATTCTGCAACATTTCAGGGTAATCTGATGTAAGAACATTGCAAGGGGAAATTTAGTACAAATGGGCAGGAAGGCAGATATGACAGTGCTGATATATCTTGCGACAAGTGCAAACCATGAGTTTCATGCAAAGGAATGACGAAAATGTAAAAAAAAGATGGAAAAACAGTCATCATAGCATAGGTCTCTCTCTGTTGCCTCATCTGTAGTTAACATCTGCTCAATACTCATCTCCTACCACCAACAACCCTGTTTGTTCAACAGGGAAGATTTCATTCATGCAGTGAGGGACACGTGTGGATAATTAACTTTCAGGAGGCAGAGTTCCTAAAAAAAAATTCTGCATATAAGAGAGAACCCGACCACCACCATCACCTGCTGGACTGAAGCCCAATCATCTCACATGAAGCATTTTTATGGGCATCTTGTGGTGTGCTGCCTTCAAGCTCAACCATCAGCAGTTTACAACCAAGGTTGCAACACTAAAATGTTAAGCCTGTATATTTTATACTTCAATATATGGACAGCAAGAATGAATGGAGTCTTATGTAATAAATGTAGCTCTTTTAAAGGTCCACTGATCAATAGTGAATTAATTGGTTTAAGAGCTGGTGTTAATAGATCATCAACAGGAGAAAGCTTTGAAACCTTAGATGACGCCAGTGAAAGTCAAGGCATAAGTGCACCCAGGCCAGACTCTCCTGTCTTCATACCTCCGTTTTATTAAAGCCCTTTGTTTACATTTCATAGCCGTACTGTTTGAACCAAAAGATCGCAGTTTACCTCTTCTGTTGGCTGTGATCCTTGAATACTGCTTTAGGGCTGCACAATTTCTGTCTACTTTCATTTTCAAGCGTGCTGGACCTTTAGTGTTTTTGCTCAAGTATTCCCAGATAAATGTGTTATCACACTTACATTAGTGTGATAACTTACACTCACCGGCCACTTTATAAGGTACACCCTGCTAGAATCAGGTTGGACCTCTTTTTGCCTTAATTCTTCGTTGCATACTTTCAATGAGATGTTGGGAAACCCCCCTCAGAGAGTTTTGTCCGTATGAACATGACAGCATCACGCAGGTGCTGAAGATTTGTCGATTGCACACCCATGATGAGAATCTCCCATTACACCACATCCCAAATGTACTCTATTAGATTGAGATCTGGTGGCTGTGGAGGCCACTTGAGTACAGTGAACTCACTGTCATGGTTAAGAAACCAGTGTGAGATGATTTGAGCTTTGTGACATGGAGCATTATCCTGCTGGAAGTAGCCACTGTGTCCATGAAGGGATGGACATGGTCAGCAACAATACCTAGGTAGGCTGTGGTGTTTAAACAGTGCTCAGCTGGTACTAAGGGGCATAAAGAGTGCCAAAAAAATATCCGCCACACCATTACACCAGCAGCAGCAGCCTGAACCGTTGATACAAGTCAGGATGGATCCATGCTTTTATGTTGTTTACACCAAATTCTGATCCTATCAGAAATTTGGTGTAGCTGAAATCCAGACTCACCAGCCCAGTTTATCCAATCTTCTGTAGTCCAGTTTTGCTGAGCCTGTGTGAACTGTAGCCTCAGTTTCCTGTTCTTAGCTGACAGGAGTGATACCCAGTGCAGTCTTCGGCTGCCGTAGTCCACCTGCTTCAAGGTTAGACATGTTGTGTGTTCAGAGATGATATTCTGCAAACCTTGGTCGTAATAAGTGGTTATTTAACTCACTGTTGCCTTTATATCATCTCTAACCAGTCTGCTCATTCTCCTCTCTGTAAACCCTAGAGATGGTTGTTTGTGAAAATCCCAGTCGATCAGCTGGTCTGAAATACTCAGACCAGTCCATCTGGCACCAAAACCATGCCACATTCAACTTCACTAAAATCCCCTTTCTTCTCCATTCTAATACTTGGTTTGAGCATTAGCAAGTTGTCTTGACTATGTCTACTTGCCTAAATGTATTGAATTGACGCCATGTGATTGGCTGATTAGCTTCTTGTGACAGGTGTACCTATCAAGTGGTTGATGAATGTATGCGGCTTCATCGGTTTCTGTGTCAACCATTTTGCTGACTGTCTTGAACACAGAGTTCATGACCTGCAACAGTAGTCATTTCCGAGATGTAACCGTAGGTTGACTCAGTCCCAGCCACACCAGTCATTAACAGGACTGATACTGACACACACCCACACACACAAAAACAGACATGCATGTAAATTAAGTGTGCTCTTTGATTTGATTTTAAACCCTCATCTTTATACAGTTTCTCTGATTGTAGCCATAATGGAAGACAGCTGCTTATGAGAGTGTTTCTAGGCGCTATAAATGTTCATTGTTATTTCCCCTCATGCCACCCACTTACATATAAAACATAGTCAATGTGAAACACAAAACTGACACATATTTTTTACACCTCTGGGTTTGGGTTTCTCATTTTTCTACTTGCTAATCTCTGTGTGTTCCTTCCTGTGAGATCAAGGAGATGCAGCAACCATCTGAAGGCATTTCTCATAAGACAACATTTTACTCTTACCTTTACCTTTTAGTAAAACAAGTTTTGACTAAATATCACACGATCACACCCTTTTAAAGTAAAGACATGAACTGTTTCTGTAGTTATGTGTGCCATATTGTGTGTCACATCTTTGTTTTCATCTTTGTCACAGTTAACATCAGTCTGAGCTGAATAAGGCAGAGTAAGGTCACACACCTCACTTCTAATTGCGTGAATAAAAAAATGGTGTACTTTGTAATTTAATGACCTTCTAGCTGTAAAAAGAGTTGTTTTCCTAGTTAAATGCTGATAAGAATTGTAGGTCACAAAAGGTGTGTTTGTGTTTGTTGTTGCTCCTGGCTGCAGATAACTCTGCTGAGCGAGATAAATGCCGAGAGCAGTTCAGGGTTCATGGTGTTTTTAGCAAAGAAATAATGATAACTGAACGCAGCCTGTGGTCTGTTTGCTCTCTAAAATACCCAGGGCTGGAGATGTTAACTTGGGTTTATTATTGGTGCTGCATGTGTTGCTCAGTTGTTGCGAGAAATGTGCCTCATGATCAGAGCTTAATTGTAGCCATCATGGTGCGATTTGGTTAGTTAGCTATTAACACCCTGCTGGGCAGCATGAAGCTGGCTGTGTACAAACTGACATGTTGAGGCTTTGAGAAACGGTCTCACTGACTCAGCGGCTGATGATCCTCCAGCTGCCAGCTTGTTTGGAAAACCTGCTGCTGACTGAGAGAACATTTCAACACAAAAAATAACCAACACAGAATAATCTTCAGCGGGACAGCTTATTTATTTTACAGTCCAATAAACGTTGGCCACGTTTATTCAGTTTGGGAGTGACCAGTTGAAAACAACAACAACAACAACAAAACAACGGCAGATGGAGTTGGTATGCTGCTGACTCATTGGGAATTGCATGATTTCTATAAATAACTGTAAAGCTCTGAAGGAAAATTTTGAGATTTTGGAAAAAAACCTTCAGTTCAATTTCCTACCAATAATTCACAGATGAGATTGACACAACTTTCAAGCTTGCTGCTGTTTTACCAGCCAACTAGTTTTTTTTTTTTCTGGCTAACAATTGAACAGGAAGCATTACGTTATGCAACAGTAACAAGACTTAATAGACACATCATACCTTTTTAAAGCTCCTGTGAGTTTTTTTTTTTTTAGCTGGTTACATAGATTGGTTTGGTTAGGCAGGTATAAACACTAATTTAATATAAGCTGCAGAAACAAATGAGACCATCAGCAATAAAAATGAATTAAACCTGTAACTGGTGCCGCGTGGTAGGTCTGCTGAAAAAGCCTTTGTTCACCTTCTCTAGGTATTTACATGTTTGCTGACTTATTGGTCAAATGTTGACTTGTAAGTTAGCGCCTGAACTACCAGCTGGGTAAACAAAACTATTGATCTTTTTGATTTTGTGGACTTGGTAACACATCCAAGTACCTCGGGCAGGGGCTAGTGCAACATAATGCCATAGCGCTGACCAGTGTTTACAAGCACAGATATCAGATGCACAGATGAAAGATGTAGGGCTCGATGGTGTGAGTGTTTCACTTAGATTTGTGTCTAGAAAATAGATTAATACAAACTGTAACGCCATTTCTAAAACTCAAACTGGCTTGGGGCCACCACTGGTTCCGGATTTCTGAAAATGTACCTCTTATTTCCTGTATTCTTTTTTTTGTCATAGTTGAGCATGGACCTGTACTTGCATTTGCTAAAGTTTATTGTTGTGAAAAGCTTCTCACACATTTATGCACTTCCAAAAAGCCTCATTACACGACTGAAAACTTGACAGAGCTCTGGGAATGATGAATATAATTCTCTCAAAAACAGTTCAGTCTTGTTAGCTTTTCCCTGTGCGTCTCTGAATTTAGTTTTAAGTTCACTGTTACACTGCAGGTCGCTAAGTTCCATCTGAAACACATTTTGAACTCTCACCACATCAGCTGAGAGAGGGTCTGCAAACACTTGGAACGTGACAAGGTGTGCCTTGAAGTCAGAAAACCTCTGATCACATTCCTGCTGTAGATATTCCTCACCACTGCATGCTGTGCCTTCCTCCACAGGAGATCTGCATGCTGAAAAATGACCGAGATTTTTTGCATAGAGCTGAGTTTTCTACAATCTTAGTTTTGTGCAGAAGGCTTTCACATTTTCATAAGCTGCTGTGGTGAGCTGACTACGGCCCTGAAGCTTCAGGTTAAGGATGTTAAGCTCCTGTGTTATTTCCACAAAGAATGCAAGGTCCATGCAAGGTCCATAACCCATTTTGGATTTTCAATTCAGGAACATCCATCCTACCATCTTTCATAAGTCTCTTCAGGACATTAAGTCCTTTTGAGCCAATGCACCTCAATAAAATAAAGAATACCACCATACACTGATTAAAGTTCTTCTCACTTGCACACAAGCTCAGTAACTCTTCCTTTGCCTTGAATATGTCATCAATGTCCCTGATGAAACTAGCCCGCGCTGAGCACTGTCTGTTTTGTCTGCGCTTTCGTTGAATGCTACAGAGAATACAGTGAAACATTTGGCTTTCTCTTGTAACTGATCATAAGTGTCACTTGATAATCAGTGTTGGCTGATAGAGAAATATTGTAGAACAGATTCCCCTTTTATGGACACAGAAAATGGCCAGAAATGTCCCCCAGCCGGTAGATTGAGACCCCTGTGGTACATGAAACATGTTACATAATACATGGTCTGTTGGTCCAGCAACAAGAAGTTCATTTTAGTTTGTTTAAAACTTGTTGGTAAGTTGGTTTGCAAATTTTTAAAACAGGAAATTAGTCATCAAGACTGTGAATAATAGATGATCTGTTAACCATAGACGTCACAAAACTTGAGACATAAGAACCCAGACAATCGAATTTCCTCTTGAGGATAAATTAAGCTCATCTCGTCTCGTCTCGTCTCATCTTTAACCTTTGCCACAGCAGAGTATGACTACTGGGACACAGAGGGCTGTTTTTTCAAACAGAAGATACAGGGCAGGATCTGGAGAAGATTAGAGAAAGCACTAGCTCCACAGTAGACACCAGAATCAACACAAAATGAGAGTCACTGACAGGGCCACCTGACATATGTTACCAAGTCTATCAAAAATATCAAACTCATTTGTGATCCTGGAAGAACGAGGTACAGTGTAAATGTCATAATGAGCCTATCACTACACCCCCAGTAACCATAAATCATTCAGTTTTACTTCAGTTCTCTGGCTGCTCTGCTTTCTATCATCTCTGTGTGATGAATGCAGCTGCCACTTTGTAAACGAAGAGTTAGTCCTGTCTGTCTGTCTCATGGTTTGGGAGATAATCAGTCTTTTATTAAATGGGTGATCTGATCCACCAGACATAGATTGTCTTTTGACACAGTCTCACCCAGAATAGCCCTGATGATACAAAAGTCCATTTAGAGGCAAAACAGCTACACACTGACTAACTTGTTTGGTGCCAGTCACTATGTTATTTTCCTTCTCATTTCATTCACTTGTCTGTGCTGAATGAATTTTCATCCCCACTGTCTCAAAAACTTCAGCTTTTAACAGCGTGATTGTATTAGGAGTCCTGTAATGCACTACTGTCTGCTGAGGGACTTAAAGCTAGTGAAAGAGCCGGCGCACTTGACTTGAGCTTGATTTGATTTAGGTGTCTCAGTCCATGTTGTTATGTTCCACATATGGCATTTGTAGGCTTGTGCTGCAGGATACACATATTGTATGCTGTGGCTATTTTGCTGAAAAAATCCTTATAACCACATATACAAAGCTGCCACTTCCCTCCAATGTCACTCAAAGGGTACGATGATCAAATACTGATTTAAATTCACACAGCTGTTTCCATGTCTGTGCCATGAGTCCCTGTCCACACCTCAGAAGTTGCTGTGTGTAAATAAATTACTTTCTTTATCAGCTGTTGCTTCTAATATTTCAGAGCACTTTTTAGACCGCAATGTAAACCACACTTAGAAAGAAATGTGCAAATATTACTGAAGTGAAACTGAAAATATTGACGGGAATTAAGACATGAAATGGCTAAATTGCACAACAGGCATCCTGCTGACATGATGAAACCACAGAAATTGAAAAAAGATAAACTTCCTTTAAAAAGACAGAATAAAAAACAACAAAAAAGAGGTGTCAGAGAGGTCAACTCAGAGATTTCTTAAAGCAAAGACAAAAGGAAAACTTTTAAACAACAAAAACTCACTTCAAAAATGTCCAACCAGGGAATCCAAACTCAATAAACCAAAACCACCAGTTGACAATAATCAAAAGAAACAAAAAGGCACTGGGAAAACAAGAGGATAAGAGGTGGAGTTCACAAGGTATGGACAACATGGACAAAGAACCAACAAGGAAGAGGGGAAGACAGGGACAGGGAGGCAGACAAGACAAAGGTGAGACTTGAGAGTCATCAACAGGGAAAACTGAAAAAGCTAAACTAAACTAGATACACAGGGATCAACTACTACAAGACAAATAGGGAACACTAAAAACTGAACTGAGGGACCAAACAGTGAAAAACAAGAACATAAGAATAATGAACACAGGGAAACAGAGACAGTAGGAAAAATACACAGAAAAAACAACTAAATAACAAAACCAGAGAAAAACTAAACCAACAGAAACTGATCATGACAAGAAGGCAGTTCTGCAAAAATACCTCGCAGTGCAAAGGTCACATTTTAAGGACTAATTAGAGGAGGTTTTTTTATCGCTAACTTGGGAACTGTGAGATTAACTTTATCATGTCCCACTCTGGACTTTAGATAATTAGGGAAAGCACCTATTTGCAGCTAATGAACTCCCTCTCCTCCACTTCCTATGATAGAAATAGACACATATGTAGCACAGGCTCAGACAGAAGGGGCACACAACTTTGGCTTGATGGTGATTTCAAAGTATTTATGAATTTATAGAGAATTTATTTGACTTGTTATTTTTAGTAACTGATTGAAAAATGTCAATAATTTTAATTACCAGTAGTTTACAGTCAATGCAGGATATGTTTTCTACAATTACGACCTAAACGAGTGCATTTCAACTTAATACTCTGAAAGGAAGGAGGCTCTTGTCTTGTTGTGACTTACTTGAGGGTAATCTTGTCTCTGTTTCTCCATTTTAAAGCTGTCCTTGTGTTGATCTTGTTCCAGTGTGGGTTCAGAGCCCTGCAAACTTCCCTTTTAGTAAAAACTGTGTGCTGTCAGATTAATTCACGTAAACAACTTTTAGTGCATCTCTAAAGATCATCTGCACTATGAGTATTTTATTTAGATTTGTTGCATATGTGCATGGAGGGAAAACACTAAGTTAGTTTCACTGATTTGATTGGGTGCTGCGCTACACTGTTTACCTTATTAGCTGTAGATTCATGTTTATACCACATCTCGGTGCATACATCCACACTTGCATCCCCACATCCATCAGACTCCACCTCTCCTCCAATAAGCTGCTCTCAGGGGACTTGTACACACCCTTGTTGCCATGGAGACACCTCTAAGCCTGGTCGTGAAGAGCTGGATCTCAGCTACATGTAGTTATGGACAGTAAAGCCTGAAAAGGTAAAAGTCAGGCTCTCTTAAAGTATCAAGAAGACAATCCTGAGGTGATGATCCTGAAAGAGCCTCAGGATGAGACACAGCAGGACTGTGACGCTGAGTAAAATCTGCATTTGACAGTTGTTTGTATTGTCTTTTAGTGTCACAGTGCATGTGTAAGTTTATCACAGTGTTGGAATCCAAATTTGTGTTTGTTATTGAGCTAAACCAGCCCTTGATAGCTTTCAGTTTGAACCCAAAGATAGGAACCACAAAAAAATCAGTAAAAATAAGGCACTAGAACCTCTCATTTATAACCTTCTTTTCTCTTCTCTGGATTGATTTTTTTTCCCCGACAGAACATGAAGCAGAAAGTCTGATAAACAGACAGATAATTAGGAAGGAGGATTAAGAGTGACGTGTGATCCTGAGACTGACAGCTGACATCTTGTTGCAGGATGTGCCATCAGCTCACCTCTGCTCCCACCATTGATTGGTCTCAGCTCCTGTTGTCTTATCTTTTTGTACATGTGCTGCAGCACACAGAGCTAATGAGGAAACAGACAAGATATAGAGACAGACAGGAACCTGCTCTGACATGGCCCTCATGAATCCAAAATTGCATTAATCACTGGGGGGTTTAAAAAACAGAAAAGGAGAAGAAAAGAATAGAGAAGAAGGGGATTAGTTCACCAACTGGAACTTGTATTATGAGACTCGGTACGAAGGACAAAAAGAGTGAATTAGGGTCTGGATAAGGGGGCTGCATTTGTCTGTGTCTCTGCTTTTCATGTGAATTTGGCTCTGCAGTGTAGAGACCAGATACTGCAGAGCTGAGTCGGGGATTAGGTTAGTGAAATTTGGCTCAGTGCAGCTTTTGTCTTGTGTGTGTGTGTGTGTGTGCTCATTTTATGTGTTCCTTAAACACATTGTGATAAGAATGCCCAAGGATGTTATTTTCTAATTGTTAAATACCCTCTGAGACTGTTTGTGCTGTAGAATTTACCCCTATTATATCGTGACATGTTCCTTTTTTTTTTTTTTTTTGCACAAGCTGTAAAGAGAAAAACACGTGGGAATTTCTTCCATGTGTGTTAAAAACCGTGTTTTTATAAAGACATAAACAAGACTGACTCAAGTATACAGGCGGTAGTTCCTCAGCTGTGGTATCCTGCAGTAAAATGACCAATCTCTCCTGCTCCTCCCCTCACAGAGAGGCTTCACCCTGCATGCTGCCCTCACAATGCTCTGCAGACAATCCCTCTTATTCACTGCACCCCTAATTTTAACTCCACTTCATTGCGTCGTGATCTCACGTGGCCCTCTGAAACAGCAAACTTGCAGTAAAATGCTGCACCGGTGCATCATCGCTGGTGTCCTGGATTGACTTCTTTTGGAGGGGCAGGTTTTAATTCTGTGAGGTAACAAGTTACATCTTGTTCTCAAGCACTAAATGTGTTATTGCTTCAGGGTTAGGAAAATGAGTAATTGTTTTAGTGAGGAGGAAATTTCCAAAGTCTCCTTTGAGTGTTGAGTTTTATCTTTGCATCACTTTTTGGAAATTAATGGTAGTGCTGCTCTAAGCTGCGTCTTTTTCAGCAGGAAAAAACTTCAACTAAACACTCCATCCATGTAGATTTAATGCTAGCTTTAAGTGCATTGCCTCACTGTTTTTGAATAGAAATAAGCTTTCATGGTATAATGAGTATGCAAACATTCATAGACTATACATATTATTCTTAAAGTCCCACTCATTTTAGTGGTCTTTAAGTTGTGATTATTAAGTTTTTAGCCAAAATCATGTTACCTGTGTCATTTTCAAGGGCTTTTCTTCTGCAGAGCTCCAGTAGCTCCCAAGCAATTTGCCTCTGAGTCACGGGCAGAGACAGTGCTGCTCTGCACACTCGTCTTCATGTTAGCTTGCAGCCAAATGCCGGTGTAGTAGAAGTAGCAGGTAACATAGGAGCTATTCAGCTCTCAGACACTAATGTCTTTGGGGGCATGATGAAAGTTAATATCATTATTAGCTTTCTTATGAGCATTGCAATCCGCTAACACACATGCTTGTTTCGCGATAGTCCTCTCTACTTTCCTGAGTGTGGCCTGCATAGTAAGGCTGTGGGGGCGGAGCTTGGATTTATGACGTAGGAAATCTCATTATGTCTGAGCCTGCTGTTTGGTCTGCCAGAGATTCACAGCGATTTGAATGCAGAAATACTCAAAAATGCAATTTCGCACTTTCTTTTCTCATGATATGTCCTGTAGCATCAGAAAAATGTCACATGAACATGTAGACAACAAGAAAAACATGATTTTCATCAGAGTGGGTCTTTAAGGAGTCCTCTTCAAGCTTGCAAGCAGGCACAGGAGGTGTTGGTTTTTTACGCACATAAAAATCACTGCTGCACACCTAACCTCTATTAGGGTTCAGTGCTCAGGCTCAAGTTTGAGATTGAGCTCTACTTCCATCACCTCTCTCAGCATGCTATGTTGACCCCAAAGAGATTCCCATTGAACTGTCCTATATCCAGTTCTCTTAACACAGCTTAAAAGAAGCCCACACACTGTGATGGATTGTCGTGCTTTTAAACAACTTTCTGTAGAGTTTTATGGACACCTCAGATTTATAACCAGTGCACAAAATATTACCACTCAAACAGCTGAAATTACAAGTTTTTGTCTTTGAGAGTCAAAGGTCAGGGATCTTCAGCATCCTTCTATTGTTTTTAGAGGGTTTCCTGCTCTGTGCTTTCATTTCCTGTCTGTAAACGGTGAAAGAGAGAGACTATAAAGGAGCAGGTGTCCAGTGTAAAGGGCTTTTATCATGATGATGTATGGACTCCAGGTTATAGATTTGCTTCCTAGAACATTAGCAGTCTGCTGCTGTCATTATATGTCAGATGTAGTATATTCCAGGACTATAGAGCAGTTATAATAAACTAATCTAATTTGCTTAGACTAACTGTGAATGAAGAATACATGCAAATGAACTAATGGTGTGCTCCTGTAGTTATGAGCCGACTGCACTTCAATACATTTAGACCAAAACCTGAATGTGTGCAGACAACTCCAGTAGTTCAAAGAGGAAAGCTTTTGATTCCACCAGCTCTGAGAAATGTAAATACTGCTGCATGATTATTCCAGTTTTACAGGAAAATACTGATAGGGAATAAATTGGATTAATGCAGCTTTTCGGACTGACTCCGGCTCTTGTGTTATGTTATATGGAGGCTTGGAGGAAGATATATTTGACTTAGTAATTACAGTCACGTGGTTCAGATGTGTTTTAAAATAGGTAAAACACAAAGAAAAACAAGGTTTGCATAAAACAGGGAGAATATTTGTTGTCGCGTTTAACTGACTTTGCATCAAAAGGTTCAAATGAAGCTTGATTTCATCAGCAAAAATCTAATTTTGTTGTACTCTTAAATGGCTCTGAAAGCAAAAGGCTGTTAAATAAAGAAGTTTGGCCTTTGTATCGTTGATCCCAGCAGAGTGCGACCATATTTCAGCTGCTCCAGTCACATCCTGCCTCTCTCCATCAGCTTTTTTGTCTGAAGATAACCCCCACCGCCCTTCTCTGAAAGAAAAAATAAGCAGATGGCTCCCTCCTAAAACAGGGAGAGGCAACACACAGAAGGTCTGCCACAGATAATAGCAGCATGGTTAATCAAACAACAACATTAAAGGTTGGACTGGTACTCTTTGAATCAGATTTGTGTTTTAAAGGGGGTTTGTAGTGGAGGAAATTTAGTCAAAAAACTCAGTTAGATATAAAAGATCGAGAGCTTTAAATAAGCCCGTGGTGACGTTTCTTTTAAATAATGCCAACAGTAATACTAGGTACTAAAAAGCTATTTCAAAAACTCATTGTTATTTATTGATTTTCCAGAACATTTTATTATAAAACCAATCTTTAAACAGTGTTTTGTCTGTGCTCAATGATATTCTCACCAGAGCAGAGCAGAGCAGCTGAAAGTGGGGCAACAATCAGGACAGGATCGCTCAGAAATCTAAGGGTTGTGCTTCTGTGTCATCGATGTTGGGGTGATGGTTCAGGACATGTTTAAACTGAGGTTATTGGACACAGATAATCTGAAAGAAGAAATATACAGGATGTAAAATGTGCATCTTTTAATCGGTGTTAGCTTGCTTGTTGGTGATTGTAATCAGGAGGAAACGTTGTTGAAGGCAGTACAGGCTTATTGGTAAGTGTTTTATCAGTGCCATATGAGCTGGTCGTATTTATTTCTTCACCATAATGATAACCCTGTGAAACATCTCCCCTTTTATTGGGGCCCTCCTCCTCCTCCTTCTTGGCGGAGCAGAACCACAGAGGGGGTCGCTTACTTTGACTTAACCACCACAGCCAGTGAAGCCACTCAGAGCTGGGAATACTTAAGGAGTAATTCTCCAATTGCTCATGGTTTCTCCGAGGGAAGGGCACACTTCTGGTGTGTGCGTGACCTATTTTTCCTAGCTCATCTGTCAAATGCTGAGCTGCAGCTGGTGGTTTCAGAGTTCCCCTCTTTTCAGAAAGAATGTTTTCTGAAGTCTTCACTGTCACTCATGCGGATCTGTGGCACAGTTTCCAGGGGTATTTCTCTCAGCTTGACTCTTTTTCTTGTTTCTTAACGACAAAAAAATTGGGCAAACAGGGAACATAGCGGCATGTCTGGGAAGAAAAGACATTCCTGACAGGGGCTGCAGTGGTAGTTTTTGCTCTCTAAGCCTGGAGAGTTTTGGGGGTAGAGGGAGGATAAAGAGGAGGGCAGAGACTGCGGTTAACCGCACAGTGAAGCGGAGCACTCCAGGCTGAGGCCAGGCGGCACGACATCACAGTGAGAGAAAAGTCTCACCCGCCCCGCACAACATCACTGTTTCAGTTCAGATGGCAAACTTCCACCAGCAGTGAGAGGCTGCATATATCCGCAAGGAGGGCTCGGCTGACCAAATTACACCCTCAGCAGCACTGAAACACAGTCTGTGTGACGGCTGTGGTTTCAACTTTCAGTCAGCAGTTCGTCTAACTGACACAGAGTCACTTCACTGCCATGACTCAGATATACAGTATATGAAATGAAATCTTTAGAGTTACCTTTTGTTATGATTCATGCTGGAACATCAGGGTGTTACAACATGAAGTGACCAACTGGTACTCTGGGAAGAAGTGCATTTCTGACTGTCATAGGGATGGGCGATACAGGCTACAAAATTTATCACGATAAGTTTTGCCATTATGGCGATCACGATAAAAGTCCCGATAAAAAATATTATAATTCCTGTCTAAGTTTTTGACTCATTCTGTCTTGAGAACACCGGTTGGTATTGTCAAATAAAATACTTAACTACAAATTTAAGTGGTAGGTTATAGAGGAAACTACTGACATCAAACAAGTCTGAAATGTGAAAACGCTTTCAACTAGGAGAAAAAATCAATTCACAGAAGTATCACAATTTTTTGTTTCACAATTTTTAAATTGATTTTGTTGTTCAAAAATCTTTTTTTTTAATTGAATAATAAATCTTAAAAACTGACTTACATGTGATGTGTATTTATTGGGGAAATATGGTACCTGAAATAGTCAATAAACAATCATGATCATTTAAGTGTTTCACTGGTGTTAGAAATGCAGACTAAAAATTGAGAAAATCAATAATATCGTAGAATAGCAATTTAAATAGAATCAATAGCATCCAAAAAATCGTGAAAGAATCAAATCGGGAGAAAAGCATATTATCCCAGCCCTACTTTCAACATTTGTTGAAAACTCTTATCAGACAGTGGATCTGCTGCTGCTGTTCACTCTGTACAATGTCAGGCATACCCGATAGTGCTCATGTAAGCCCCAATCTTGAAGGAAATCCCTCATGTGGAGCCTCGTTTAGCAACAACCTGCTGAGAGATGTCTTCATTACCACCTTCGGCCATGTTTGTTTGTTATTCTGCTCTGTACGGGCTATGGTTGCGAGTTCGTCGCTCGCACTTATGTTATCAACTTGCATGGCATTTATCGTGAGATGGCAAATATTTATTGTGGAGGAATTTTCTGAGGATAAACACAGCATCCAAAATCATCAGCCTGCCCATCACAGACCTCTCACACCTCAACAATATCTCCATCACATGCATGGCCCGGACTATCAGCACAGACTCAGACCACCCTCTCCACAGTCACTTCTGCCTGCTGCCCTCAGGCCGAAGGTTCAGGACTCTGAGGTGGAAGCGGGCACGTTTCAGCAAGAGCTTTGTCCCTTCCGCAATCGCTGCCCTGAATAGTTTGCAGAGATAATCCCATGCCTAATCTGCATGTGTGTTGTCCTGTTAGCCCTGTCCTTATTGTTAGTATTGTGATGTCCCGTGTGCCCCTCTGTCCCTTATTATGTAACGTGCCTTGTTGTCCTTAAGTGTATGTGTCCATGCAAGTGTCTGTGAAAATGAATATCCCCCCGGGGACAATAAAGGTCTATCTATCTATCTATTTATCTATCTAAATTGTGAACAGTAATTTAACGCCCATACCAATTTGTCACGCACACCTTCAAAGACAAGAAAAACTAAGACATTTTTACAGTACTATCACAAACTCCTGAAAACTTCATCTCAAATGCAACTCATTTGGGAGTTAGCTATATGTGTGAATGCAAACGGCTACATTTTCAGCTCAACTTCATGCAAACTTCTTGCTGTTGGTGCCTTGGTAAAACCAGGATAATATAAGGGTTAGATGAAGTGAGATGGCATCAGGAAATATTGCGCAAAGTTAATTATTGGCAAGCGAGTGGGAGGGAGGTGATAATGTTTGTTTCACTCATCCAGTGTGAGTTTTGCTGCTTTCTCAGTACCTGCCAGTGTGTACTTCTTCACTAATTCATCTAAACTGTGGATAACTTTAATAACTTATAGCTCTGGTATAAAGGCTCTAACTGTTGTCAAAGGGCATATTTAAGTTAACCTGGATGATACCCAGTCAGCATAAAAACACACAATGAAGACTTTCTTTAACTCGACTGCTTCATTTGCCAACCTTTAAAAATATTGCATCATTGACAGTAACAGTGGTAAAAGCCAAACAAAGACAGATGTCAGAAGTTGACAGAAAAAACAAAATTGAAAAGGATTAGAAGAAACAAAACAACTATAAGAGTGTAAAAAAGGAACAGCCACTTAAATCCTGGATCAGGTGGTAAATCGTTGCACCCGGACTCTGCAGCATCCTTTTCACATTATGTCCAGCTTCCTGGGACCTTTGCTCCATCCAACAGGAAAAAAACACTTCTGGGCCTGAAGCTCCTGAAAATATCTAAAAATCTGAGGAGGTCATGTATTAAAGAGGCTTTTGGTTGTAAAAAAAAAAAAAGTTGAGCGAGTTATTTAAAATCAAGTCTTGTTAAAATAAAAACAGGCAAACACCTGCCTATCTGTAGTTGAACAATCCCCCCCAAAATCTAATACACAATCACTGCGATGTAACTACTCAGGTCCTGCTTTAATCTTTAATTCTTGCCATTTAGCTCTACTTCTGAACTCTGCTCAGGGATCACTCTTTGGGAAATCACACGTTTTATGTGACAAGAGAGTCTCTGATATGATCAAGAGACATTTAGTGTTTGATAGAGAACTCCCATTAGCTCGGGTTTCCTTCCCCTTTGAGGAGTGACATTAGACTCGCCCTGTTTATCGTAGCACTTTCAATCAGGTTGTGTTTTTACTCTGCAGAGTAGGCCTCTTTCTGTCTCTCTATTCCTGAGTGGGAGCATCTTTGCTGCTGATGACAGCACTACAAAGAGGTGTCAGGTTTCTCTCATGGGTTCCTGCTGGCATGAAGGCAGCCTCTCGTTCTTCGATCTTTTGCACTCACTTGAAGAGAAGTGAAGCGTTATCGTCTTGTTAAATACGCACACCTCGCTTTTGCATTGCTGCTCTTAAGAAGGAGTTTGTTAAAATAGTAAAGAATCATATCACAGAGCGTTTTAGTCAATACATGCTATTTTAGGGCAATAAAACATGCTTTTTTTGGTTTTTCCCTTACAGGGCATATGTTGCACTGCTGTAGTCAAGCAGCATCATAAACAATTGACTCATAACAATTTTGTTTGCTTTTTTCATGTGCAGAGATCCGTAACCAGCTGGTAGAGCAGTTCAAATGCTTGGAGCAGCAGTCGGAGTCTCGCATCCAGCTGCTTCAGGACCTGCAGGAGTTTTTCCGCCGCAAGGCTGAGATCGAGCTGGAATATTCCCGCAGCTTAGAGAAGCTGGCCGAGAGATTCTCCTCCAAGATCCGCAGCTCCAGGGAGCACCAGCAGTTCAAGTGAGTGACCCTTTATGCACGCTTGACATGCAGGGTTTGATGCTAAGATGGTTGCACATCAAATGTTAGTTTCGTCAAAAGGTTGTGTGCAAAGTTTCCAAATTAATAGCACTCTACCAAAAGTAGGAAGCTGATTTTCTCCCCTCCTTTATAAATTTAAATGATCTCCAACAGAAAACATGACCCTGAATTGCAACATAGGGCTGGGCAATAAACTGAAAGTCACCAATACCAAAATTTACGACAATAACCAACGTCATTTTGCCCATATCGATATATTTGGTGTAAAAAAACAAATAGAAGTTGGTTTTGGATGTGTGTAGGTAGGCTATGGTCTCATGTCCCTTTAAGATGCTGTCCTACATTGGAGATGTGACTCCACCCCATCCAGTCCGTAACAAAAAGGGAAAGACAGGTGAGGAGATGGAGGACGGTTCCAAAGTTGTAGCGGCGGCTGAAGTAGACGAAGTTAATGTGGTGGGGGGTGAGCAGTTTGTGGAGTATTTATCGTCCATTTATCGTGATCAAGGTGAACTGCTCAATTTATCCTGATATTCACTTGAGGCCATATCGCCCAGCCCTACTGCAACATCTAATGTTTGATGTATGATTTAGTTAAAATTAAGGCAACTTTCTAGAAAAATGTAAAATGATTCCCTTGGCCTGAAGAAAGTTTGACACACTACCCTGAGAAGTGCCTGCAGTATTTGGACTCAGACAAGCTGTATAACTTCATTCTATCTGAGGCTCAGATCTGTTTGCAGCCTCAGAGGCCCAAGGCAAAATAAAGTTTAACTCCTTTTTAAGCATTTTAGCTCATTGTGTAAATGTAAAAGTTAATAAAACTTTACAGTCTTCTCTTCTCTCAAGTTTGACAGCTTAGGAATAAAACTGTATTTCTATGGCGATCTAAGCAAGTGAATTCACCTATCAAGGAGAGAACATGCCTCATCCTATGAGAAACTAAAACTGTGTTTAAAGCAGTAATATGTATTATTCTCTCTCCTTCATGTTGCTTGTGTTAACCAGACTCTGTTTAGTTCAGTTTTTTTCTATAGTGTCTGAATTTTGGTTTGTAGCACACTTTCACTATTTATAACCTGACTGTAAGACCCCACCCTGCTAATCACAGTACTCCCAATGATTACAGAGCACAGCTATGCAACAAAATACTCCATTATGTGTGTGTGAACTATGAGGGAATATCTGATATCACAGATGAGATCTTTATGACGTGTGTTGGCTCTGGAGTGGAGATGAGGATTCAGGTCATTTCAGAAGTAAAACATTGTTGTAAAGCAGACACGTTACTTGTATTTAAATTAGGGCTTCACTTGAAGAAAAGTATTGTGTGTGTGTGTGTGTGGGGGGGGTGACATTTGTATCATATGATCACAAGAGGTCGCATTAATATGAAACTGCAGGTAGAGTGGAGATCTCAGTCATGATGGAAACATTACATTGAGGCTTTAGCAGACTTTGCATTCAGAAGACTTTTCTCTAACTAGTAACTGGTCTTAATTTATGGACAGCTTTATTATTGACTGCATTTTTGAGTTGCAGTCTGCAGTATCAACATTGTTTTCAGATAGAACTCAATCCAGTGATGAAACTAAAAGAGAAAATGCATAAATGAGTCCCAGAAGTTGAAAACAATGACTTTAAGTTTTTTTCTTATGTCATTACATTAAATCTGCTCACATGCTCTTACCCTGACCCACTAAGACCTGCAGTTCACACACTTAAAGGTACATAAAAGGTGTAGTCATCTGCAGAGAAACCACCAGGAACACATTGGTACATGAGTCACGCGGTGCATGAAATGAAGCTCTGCCGCTCCCAAAATCGAGCACCTCAGGCGAGTGGAAAAGCTTTAACCCTGCTGTGATCTGGCACTCGATTCAGTCATAGATCTACTCCTACATATTTGTAGTCCAGTCAGCTCTGAGTCTCGCACGCCGAATAGTGGGAGTGCATTCCTGACATTTTCATATTTTAAACCTGAGAGGAATGTGTAATTTGAGTGCTCTACACTCAAACACAAGATAATGATATTCAAATGAAAAAAAAAAGGAACAAAACAAACAGATGTTCCCAAATCTGTGGACCAGATGTGGAAATATGGTGTGACACAGAAAATGCAATAAGTTCACAAACTATAAACACTGTAATAATAAAACAAACAAATAAAACAAACATAAATAAATACATACAGTGTGGACAGCTCAAGCAGGGTTTCACTCAAATTTCCTTTTTCTATTTTTACTATACTCGATAGTGTTACAACCAAATAAGATACGACAGAGTTTTGTGCACGCTCAACATGGTGGAGCAGTGTGTGTCTGTGTGAATGCTTGACTTGTTTAATTGAGTCCAGCTGTGTTCGAGGGAGCGCTGTGCTGCTCTGTGTCGTCTGGCTGATAGTAGACAGAGTTTTCTGCTGCTGGGATACGACGGCCGAACTTTTACAGACTTTACAGATGATCTGCTCCACACAGAGAGAGGAAGGTGCTCGAAAATAATCCTCAGATGCATGATCTGATCATGTGACACTTAGATTGTGGTTGACTTAAAAGCAAATGTGCTCCGATGCAGGGTTTGGACAAAGGTCGCTCATAATCACACATGTATAAAAACGCAGCAAAGAGATAACTTCCTGTGTGTTGACATAGAGGCTTCACACTTTAAATGTGTCGACTTTAGACGAGTTTCCTGTATATTTTTGTTACTTCTTTGTAACTGAATGTATTGAAAACATGTTTAAAACACAAAAATAATAATAAAATTGGAGCTGAAGAAGTGCAGCAGAAACGGACCACAGAGGAAGTGTGTGTGGGAGGCTGCCCCTTCTTTAGGGATGTGTAAAGGATGTTAAACTGAGTCATCATGAAACTCTGTTATTTAAAATCTTCACCACACACACACTTTCACATGTGTCAGAAATACAGTTTACCTTTCATAGTGATTACCTTTCTTCACTCTCACTAGTCTGCACCAGAATTATAAGCCACTTAGACAAACCATAAATATTCTGATGACTGACCATAGACCTAAAATGCCATTCAAATGTTGTGTTGTAGGGCAGTCATCTGCTTCTGTAGCTCCATATAATGGCAACTGCCACATTGCTATAACGCTCAACCACTGGGATGTAAAAAAAGCACAGATGATAGGTGGCATCTTGCAGTATGGTGTAGATTCTTGATCTAGGAAATGGGGATAAAGTAACATATAACCGCTTGATTGCAGCAATACATATAACTAGCACAAACAGGTGGACCTTGACCTGCAAACACTACTGGAGGCCCGGGGTCAGGCTCTGTATTGGTAGCCACACCCGTCACATTTACCTGCAGACTGTGTGATTATCTGCTTTGCTGTGTTGAATAAATTGTGCTGACTGTGACTGCCTTTTTTTTTATTTTAGACTGTAACAATTTAGATTTTTGTGTAAAGGACTTAAAAATCTGTAAATTTGGATTATCCTGCTTTAACACTTAGAACTCCGCTGGATCGCCGATCCCACGTGACACCATTAATATTGTTTACAGTTTCTCAGGAACTATACCGTGTATCTCTATGGGATGAAAAGTGTTTAAAAGCTTACCCTTTTGGCGATCTATCGAGGGTTTCCAAGCATCTCTACCCCTTCCAAAAGGTTTACCATCCAGCCACAAAAATTGATGTTTGATCAAAGATGTTTGATAAACCGGTGAAAACATGGTTATGTCTCATATTGTAGTGGTAAAAAAAAGATAGCTATTGCTAAATGCCGCTAATGTCTTCCAGGTTTGATAAGCTGTTTTGATGACATCTTTTTCTGTCAAACTTTCAACCAAATACATGGTCTCATATTCTTCTTCTATTGTTCCCTTGGCAATAGTGTCCAATAAGAGGCAACCAAAGATCAACAAGAGACAAGAAAGTTCCCTGCTTGTCTGCAAAATAAGAAATAATGGTCGTCAATGCTTGAAAACAAGCAAAGAAGAGATTCTGAGCAGTATGAGGTGGCCCTCTGTCTCATCCCAGAAGGGAACAGCTTCAAGGAGTGGCATAAACAACTGTAAATAGCAAAAATGCCTGGAGGAATTATTGTAAATATGTAAATAGTTTCTGTTGTGTTTTTGTTCCAATCCCAGTATTTCTTCTCCTGATAGCCAAGACTTAACAGAATGATGTGCAGGTGAGAAAAGGCTTGGTCACTAGATTTATGTGTTTTTTGAGCAAAGTACTGTTTGTATCAATTTCCGTTTGTGTGTTTTGGTTGACTTTGATGGTTCTGAATCTACTGTCACATTCATTTTACATAATTTTTGCACCCATAAACTGACAGCTGAGGTTGTCCTGAAAAAAATATGTGTATACATTTGCTGTGCTTTAAAGGATAGAGTTGCTACATAAATTTTTACACAAAATAAATAAATAAAACAACAACAGGCGGACAGAAAATAGCAAAATATAGCAGGGAGTGCTAAGGGTTAAACAGGGTCCAAGGAATCTTGACTTGACAGTGTAAATTCCAAAGTTAGTCTCCTCTAATCTACAAAGAGGATCATTTTATGTTACACCTTATGCCCTAAAAACCTGGTCTAGTGTGGCAGGCAACCTATTAATCAGCTGTTACACACCCTTTACTGTGCCTTTTCTCTCTCTGCAGAGTTGTTAAGTTCATGGCGAAACCATAATGATGCCAATAAGGCCTGGCAAGAAAAACACTGGTTCTGGTCCAGTAAACACAGTTTTGGCATTAAGCCCAGCTCTTCAACATCAAACATACAGAAATCATAAACATTTAAGCCTTCAAACCTCTCTCTCTCTCTCTCTTTATTACTCATTAATAGATTTTCCTGTTAACTTTGACTGTATTGAATCTGATCCAAAACATCCGACCTATGCTTCACCCAACATCCCTAAACACCAGTGACTGGGATTTATCCCAGTTTTACTTCTGCTTTGTAAATTGTGACTTGAAAAGCAGTGAATTGTTCGTTCTTCTGTGTTTGTAGAGGCCAGAATAGGCAGCTTTAATAGAGTCATCTTCACCAGGATAGACTACCATATGTGCTGGATCTCAGCCTGCAGTCTTCTGGCTGAACCCTTCCTGTGCAGATTCATTAGCAAGCTGAACGCCACTGTGATTTACAGCTGCTGCAGCTACAGCTACACCGCAGCAGCAGCAGCCTGACCAAGCATCACTTTGCTCTCCACTTTACCTCATTTGCCACAGTGTGGATACAGTGAAGGGTTGCCTCGCTGCCTCACACTGCAGATAGAGAACCGCTTCCTTTTTTTTTTTCTTCCAGTTCCTGAGAGACAACAGCTAACCTGATTTTAATTATGGAGCAGACTTTTCAGGGTACATCATGAATGGGATTTTTAATGTAGCACATTGAATTAGAGGGGATGTGTATCGTCTGTCATACAGACATATTCAGACATTACACAACCATTAGCAAGACAACTCATGCAATATTGACATGGAGAATAACCTGTCAAGGGGAGATAAGACAGGGTTTGTAGTGCTGTCCAAAATGGTTTGAGTGTGTCTAAGCCAAGTGATTGGTCTGGGAGGGGAAAGTGTTTGGTGTTTAAAGCACCAGATCTTTGAAGACCGTGGGACTTATTGTAGTTTTGAGGGTGCCTTTACTAATTCCGAAGTCATGTCTGTTTTTATTTCATGGTCAGAAAAGTACTGCTTTGAAATCATCACCAAATGTTCCAGCGTGTTTTTCCAGCTCAATAAGATGCAGCCTTCATCTGTCTTGTAAGGACCTCTGTGAAGAAGTGTAATGAACTGCATGTCATTAGCCATGTTTACATGTAAAAAAAATCTTGATCCAATTAAAAATTTGAGGGATCGGACAATCTGAATCCAATGTTTAGATGGGTGCGAAATCAAATAGTCCGATCATGACATGCGCTAAGTTTTATTCAGATTAGAAGCATTGGGACATGCGCAGAGTTGTCTGATTTCACTAAAACAACTGCAAAAGAAGAGTTGTATTTACGCCTGTGCTGTCAGCAAACCAACAAATGCGGTAGTAGCTCACTTCATCCAATACAGGATGTTCCCCCCAGTTAAATGTTGTCTCTATATGGCGTCCTTGCATACTTATTTTACTGTTCTATCAAAGGTTGCGCTGTGCGTGCAGACGTGACATCATTACGCTGTATGTACGCCTTGTTATGTTATCGGAGGAGCAGACACGGCACCTGCGGTTGTGTTTTATGCCAGAGTGTTTATAATGAAACCTCCTGTACTGGCCTCAATAAATAAGTCAAAGGTTAAAGAGTGAAGATCAAGTCAGGTAAGAGAATCACGATCAGAATAAGTGTTTACATCGAAAAAAGTTTGGCATAAACCACCCCTCTCGATTGGAATACAATTTCTTTCCGATTGAGCTGAATTGGATCAAAATCTTCCGATTGACATGTTTACATGACACATTTTTATTCCGTTTGTTTGTGCCCATGTAGACTCAGCTCATGTGTTGAATTCTCAAATCTGATTGGTTAATTACGGCATTCTAAAGTCTGCTATATCTTAAGATCAGACTGTTGCTATGAGGAACAAGCCACGCTTAGGGATACAGCTTTGGTCCAACAGTTCTGAGGAGCTAGAGTAGTTAGAAGTCGAGAAGCTAAAAGAAGAAATGAGGTAAACAAGAAATCCTCAAGTGGACACCTCAGGATGGTTGCAGTTTTTGCAAGGGAGATGGCTCATTATTCATCAGTCAGCTGGTCGATTAATCGGTTTGTCCCTAGTTATAATGAGAAGCTTTGTAATAGGGGGCACATGTCTCTTAGTTATATTTAGTTATATGATAAATAATGACTGCTAATACAATGTGGTGCAGTTTAATTCCTCTTTCTAGGCTGTGCTCTTGCACCTGTCTACAGCTTTACAGCTTCAGTTGTTTATGTTTAACCATGTCACTCTGGAGCTCTGATGGGGTCAAAGGTGAAACTATATCTCTGGTCTGTTTGAGGACAGGTTTATTTGCTCTTGTCAGATCAACAAGCCCAGCTTATGGAGGTCAGCATGTACAACATCAATAGATCAGCTGGCTTGTACTTTGATAATCAGACCTCGTCAAACCTTCCTTACTGATAGTGCTCCATGTCTGCGTAGCTTTACACTATCATATGTTGGCACTTGGTCTCCTCACAAACAAGAAAAATAGAAAACATTTTTAACGACGTGCAAATCAGCACTGGAGTATATTGAAGCCTTGCCTAAAAATGGGGGCAGAGTGAATTTGAATGGCAAAGCTGGCACGGTGTGCCCACGTGGCCCCTTGTCTTTTGAAACTGTGTTTGGCTGCATCTCCTCTTTCTCGGCTGTTTCATTGATAAGCAGCAGGCAGGCAGGAAGGCAAGCAGGCAGGCAGGCAGTGTAGAGGGGATTAAAGGCCTTTCATAGAGCCCAGTCCTGGTTTGATAAATACAGACTTCCTTCTGGAAATCCTGGCTCAGACACATCATAGGCCCTGGGTGATTAGATGGTGGCAACTGGTGCAACCATGACTAAAGGATGTGCACTGCTCCGTACTATGATTAGGTTCGGGGTGCACACATGTTGGAGAGATCTAGCCATCAGCGTATCTCAGAATTATGACAGAATTCTTGAAATTTATCTTTTATTTGTTGTTTCTCTGTTCACTTTTGCTGTAACTGTGCCAGATCCTCTTCATGAATTTAAAAGAAAGCACTCCATGGATGCAGACCTTGGAAAAATCCATGGAGACAGTCAGGTCGAGACAGATGTAACAGGATGCTAGAGAGCTTCACCCCTCTCTCCTCCTTCTCTTCCCCCCCTTCCTTCTCATTTCTCTAGAGACCACCAGAGCTCTTCATTTGCCGCCTGCATGTTAATGATATCCTGTGTTAAAACACCACGGGCATGGTGCCATCCAAAACCAGCCCTTTGAAGCCATGTACATCAATTGACCTGCAGGCTCTCCACTGATACTTAGTATTTTGTAGGAAATCATTGATGGCAAATGTAGAATAAGATCAGATACAGGAATAAACCAGAGCATTGTGAAAATTAAGCACATTTGAAAGAGTCACTTTGGAAAAGGTAGCTCCTCTGTCCTATTAAAAAAAAAACAAGGAGCTACATTTATTATTGTGTTAAAATACCCAGCTCCCAGAGATGAGGCCTAATTACCCATCCTGCTTCTAATTCGTGCCAAATTAGGGCAGTGACCAGGGAAAAGAAGATCTCACAGTCTTTACTGTTTTTACTCCCTAAGGCCTACTAAAAGAAAGAGCTCTAATTCCTTTGGCTTCACAGTCAGTGAACACTTCTAGTGTTTATTTTATTGACACTGATGGTCAACAAACAAAGCCAATAGAATATGATGATCCTACAACTCCTAACAAGATGAATTTTGGTATTTCTTTAGATGATGCCTGGTCTAAATTCTGATTTGCTTGAACTTGCTACTTGGTAAATTGTTTCTCTATCGGTGAGTGTTGTTTGAAAATTGGAAAACATTGTCCAGTTGTGTCGGAAAATTTAATTAGGATATAAGACAGCAGCTTTACATCCCACTGAGCATTTTTTTTTGGTCTAAAAGAGGTCTAATAGACATCTAAATGCAGCCTAGACAACTGGTCTAAAATCAGGCAACCCCAGGTCAAAAAATTGAAGTTCTTTAGACGTCTAAATTTAGACCAAGTTTAGACTAAATCTAAATCTGGGATATTTCTATACTACACTGTATATTGCTCAATGGCTGTCATAATTATTTTGTTTAAGTACTTGGAGATCAGCTATGCAACTTAAAGTTGCTTTTTGAAATAAATACTTATCGAATAATGGGTTAAAGTGCAACGTCTAATTTGCGTCTAAAAATATACAGAATCTAGACGGTTGAAATTAGGTCTAAATTTCAACCGTGTAATAGCCGTCTATTGCTCAGTGGGATTGGAGAACCATCCTTAGCTACATGCATAAACACTTAAAACTGTTAGAGGAGGGCTAAGAAAAACTGCATTTAGATACATATTTGGGTAGGCGGCTGAGTGGGATGTAAAAGGAGTTCAAATGGGTGCATGGTTGCATGGAGTGATGGAGCATTTCTGACCACTTTTAGGATTAGCAAGGAGTCGAGCTGACATTCCCCTAATCTCTCAAGCACAAACATCAATTATACAGTTGGTAGCTGCATCCTTCACAGGCAGATAGGTCAGACAAGCAGAACTGGTACAGAAGAAACGGGCAATCCTGAGGAGGGGAGGGAGAAAATGGCCCGCATTAAAATCTATTCATCTGTATAGTCAGTCATTTGGGTTCATCTCACTTTGAAGACCTAATTTATGCCTAGTGTAATCATTTTACGATTTCTACTTAATTGCAAGATTTAAATGTGGCGTGACTTGATTGCTGGATTCTTTTAATTTACCGTTACTTTCCCGTAATGGACAATTAATTGACTTGGTTTCAGACAACGTGCATCTCAGGACACCGCTCATGTCAGAGGAGGAGTGATAAATGGGAAGATAAAGTTTGCTACACATGTTGTCCTGTTCTCTACTCTGCACTAATGCAGTGAGAGCATTGTCCTGGTCTCCTGTCAGCCTGATGTAAGTGCACTGAGAGGCAGAGCTGCATATATAGGAATAATGGGAAAAGCACTCTGAAGCAGCTATAGGAATCAACTTCATTAGATGTGATTAGCATTATGTAGGCTCTCTGAAGGGGGGCTCTTTGATGTCAGATCAGCTCATTTCTTTTTTCCTGCTCCACACTGAAACCCTATCCCCTCCACCCTGCTCCCGCTCTCTTCCTACTGTGCTCCCATTTCTCTCTCTGTCTCTCTCTTTGCCTCCTCTTCAGGGTTGGATGATTGATTAATGCCAAGATAGTATCCAGACAAGGGTGTGTGTATGTGCGCGTGTGTGTTTGATAGTGTAAGTGGTTTAATGTGAATGTACTTTGATTGCTTTATTTGAAAGTGCCCACAGGCAGAGACAGTTAAAACTGATTATCCTGCAATCAGGACCCATGACTCTCAGGATTATTGTGGTCAGCAGCATTACACATTTACCAAGTTGAGACTTTGTTTGACTGCAGAATTGTTTTGATTGGGTGTGTGGGGCAAAAAGGAAATAAAAAGAGGGGGAGAGGATGCTCAGTGGGGAAGAAATTGATCAAGAAATATGGAAATAAAAGACAAATTGATTATTTTTATTGTGATAATTTAAAAAGCTGAAGAAAACTTTTTCATATTAATTTCTAAATAATAATTTCAGATATACTTATCTCTGGCCATATCTAGCAAACTATAAAAAATCACAGACCGCTGTATATGGATAGCTGATGAAAATAGTGAAGATGTTCTGTTGACAGCAGGTTGAGTTGTAGTAACTGATCACGTGTAAGTTTCAAATCTCTGGTACTTCATGACCAAAAATTTCCAAAACACCTACAAGTTAAACTGCAGGATTAATTTCATCAGGGCCTGACTGTGTATTCAGTCGACCAAAAGATTAATGTTGTCATCCTTTTGAGTAAGCACCACATTTATCTGTCTGTCACACAAATGTTTCATATATATATTATTGCTGAACAAAAATGCCATGCCTAAGCTGCAGCATAGATATCAGGGCTGTATCGCCGGATAATGGCTGCTCCAGTGAGGCTAATGCTTCACTACCTGGATGTTAACAAGAGCAGATTACGAAATGTAACTTATATCATGGAGTGGTTTGTTTTAATCTTGAAAACAGAGATAAAGTTGTATTTATGTTGTCACATTGAAGTGGAATATAAACACAACCAGAGCAATATGCATCTAGCGCCTGAGATTGACATTGACCTGCAAAGACCAAAGACTTGTGGCACCACCTCTCCTAATATTACTTGGCAAGCCTACTTGGCAAGACTCATGAAGGGCTGAGATGGTGAGATAAATTGGACAGCAAATATAAAGTGATCAGACAATTGTTTTGCTTAAGTCCATTTACATGCTGAAAAAAGGCATTCTAACATTTCTAATGGTAGTGTTGTAGCATACGAATACCCTTTTCCCTTCCTTTATCAATAGGACAAAGAAAAATTCTCAAATGCATGTGTTTTTCTTGTTCTTTTCAGGAAGGATCAGCACCTGCTGTCCTCAGTAAACTGCTGGTACCTGGTACTGAACCAGACAAGGAGAGAGAGCCGAGACCACGCCACCCTCAGCGACATCTACACCAATAATGTCATTATCCGCTTGGCCCAAATCAGCGAGGACATCATCCGCCTGTTTAAGAAGGTTGGTGAGAATAGCTTCCTTTTTGACGATGTGACAATGCAAACAATATAAGAGCTAGATGGACAATGTTTTGGAAAGGTATAAACAGCAGCTCCTGGAAGGCTTCACTCTTCAGTGTGCAAGCTCGTGATATCCTATAGAAATATGTATTCTCATGTGTCAAAAAAGCATTGGGAAAAGGAAATGTAAAGAACCCCCCCTGAATCAACAGCCTACAGCCCCAAATGGTGTGAGCGCCGGCTGGCTGGCTGTCAGCACATAGCAGAGATGACTGAGGTCTTATCCAAACAGCAGAACCCTGTTTTCACCTTGCAGGCCTTCCTGTAGGTGAGCTCTAGTCTGCTTACTTGGCTCCATTCAGAAATTACTTTGTGTGTGCCTGTGTGCACGAATATGTCTGTCAGAATCAGTGCCAGTCCTGAAAACGAAGAGACTCCATCCTCTTTCAATCAGGTGCCCTCAGGAAACTTTTTTCGATATTTGAAGGTTTGAATGGATGTTTCTGCTGCTGCCTTATAAAAACATTAAAGAGAGGTCACATGTATTGTAGCAGAAACATCATTGAGCTCAGAGGAAAATGTTAAAGTGAAATAAATGAAAAGGCTTTGGGTGATTGACAGCTGTTTACAGCAAGGTGATCAACAATAGAAAGTTACTATTAAGAAAAGTGGGAACCAAAGGGTTGTTTAACATTTGGTCGTTTGGTCTGTCAAACATATTATTGCTCATCATGAAGACCTTTATAGGTGTAGTGATTGGTACTCTGTATAGTATGTTTAAGACTGCATATTTCCAAAGAGCTGGATATATTGAACACATTCTCCATGTTTGATAGGTGCTCTTTAAGTGTCAAGATATGTACGGGTTTTTATACCTTCAAGACATCTTTCATGGTAAAAGAGACATCTCAGAGGGATGGCCTTGGCCCCCTCACCCCAAAGAAACCTGATTGGCCAACACCTGCATAAACCATTCTCTCTGAATAAGTGCAGTATGAGTATGACTCTACACTTGTCAAGTTTTTACTACCAAGAAGGTCTATCAGTTCAAATTCCCATGCTTCCTTATTGTCTAACTGGTGCATTTAACACACTCATGTACTCAATACAAGAACATGTATGTTTCTAGTTTGTCTATTCTTTACTACAGTAAACATGGCAGAGTAAATTTGCGGTCTCAGTGGAAGTGAATCTGCTCCAATGGAGGTATTATTCTATTTCTACTGAGGGTTGTTTGGTAAATGTTATCCTCTGATTGAGCACCTTTGAAGCAGTGTAGTTTTTTGTGTGTATTTGAATCCTTAAATTATATGATTGTCTAGAGGCAGAAATCACTGTATGTCCAATGCCAACATAGTTATCAGTGCTGCAACAGACTTCTAGTAGTTTTGTGACATTTAATTTTAATGCATTTTCTCAAATCTCCTCTCAGAAGATTTTTGACGCGTATGAAATAGATTCAAAAATACGAAAGTATACAAGCCCGTTTACAAGAAGATTGTTGATTTTTACAGTAATATTTTTAATGCCTAAAACTAGTACAAGGGATAGGTATCAGCCTAGCATTTTAAATTACAGGTCTGTTTACTTTTTCCACATAAATCACTCAAAACAAATGATATATTTGACTTTGAAAAGTCAGAATTATGAGACTTTTTGTCAGAAGACACTAACTAAATATGTAAAAGACAAGATGAGCTGAGACTGCTTGTCCACAGGAAGCATCAAAATGAACACAAACTGTTCCCCACAGGAGCTTTAAGTTTGTAAGATAACATCTCATGACAAAGAGTAACGTCTGTATAAAGCCTTAATGTACAAAAATGGAATAATTATTATTACAAATGGTGAGAGAAATGTTAATCCATGGTATTCTAATAGGCATGTGGACACATAGTCCAGGTCAATTCTGTTGAACTCACCCATTCAAAGAACCAGAGTGCATCCATGCAAGGTAACAACATGAAAACTGTCTCAGAAATACAATCAGACTGCTGCATGTGTTAAAGCAGTGAGTTAATTCATGTTGCAACTGTTGTTCTTTACCTTCCATAGACAGAGGATGTAAATAATGTATGACCACAGGCAGTATAATAAAGGCTGCTACAGTCTGACCCACTACAGCTCTTACACTGTATTGCATCACACAGGCTGATCGAACCCTCCCTGCTCCCCCTGAGCCTCTGCAGTGCATGCTGCAGTCTGTCTGCCTTCAGAGTCACTCATGCAGGCAGATGCCATTCACCAGCTGCCTGAGATCTCCAAGGGTTCTCCCCATTTATCACATCATAGTCTGGTGCCTGCTTTAGTGCTGCTTAATGCCTTAAATCTATTTAAAAACAAAGCAAAACAACAAATCTTCCCTGTATTACTCGGCTTGTTCAGTCTCCCCCCCCTCCCGCAGCTACATTTCATAATCCTGTTAAGTGAAGAACTGTTGGAGCAAGATTATGTTTCATGATTTTTTTTCTGTAGTTTAGATTCTGACTCACTAGCAGCAAGTTTTCTCAAGCACAGATATAATAGCCAAGCAGGGTGTGGACAAAACCTCAACCTTTATCTGTGTGTGCATCCCTCCAAATAAATGCTAGGTGTGGTTTGAGTCGGTGTGTGTGTGTGATTGTGTGTTTATGTGTTTTTCACTGATTTCTCATACTGTGTAGTTACAGTGTTTGTTTTTTTTATAGCAAAACTCCCCCCTCCTTATTTCAGGCTGTCAGAAAATGACACCTCTCATAGTTAGCCATATGTCACCATGCATGACTGTCATGCACCTTGCTGAGTCATTGTGTTGCACCAGAATGAATGAATCAGCTGTTCAGCCTGTTGTAAGAGGTGTCTTTTTCAAAGGTAGTGCACACTGGGGGTTTACAGAACTCTTGTACTTAAAAGTTGCTGCCAATTTTAAAAGCACCTCACACACTGTTCACTTGGATATGCAGTCTGCAAGCTTCAGCTATTGTTAGCTCTATGCTAACAGCCTGACCTGATTAGCTGTGTGCATTAATCCAAGACCGACAAGGCTGTCAATGTTTTACTCCTGAACATGGATCTGATTCTAATTACCTTTCCTTCCTGTCAATCACCTGTGAATACTCTGAAAGTCTGATTAGCAAGTTGGATTTGTTGTCACATGAAGATCCATTATTTTTGTCAGCTTTCAAACAATGTTGGCCTTTTTGTGTGTGTAAAAAATACAGTGCATTTCATCCCACTGACCACAGTGAGCAGGCTCAAAGTTTTATTTATTATTTAAGTTTGACAGGACAACAATGATTATCAGTGAGAACCTTTGTTGACAGTGATAAACTCTGTGTAAACTTAAACTCCGTGGTGGGGCTCCAACTCTTTACGCAGAGCACAACACCACCATCGCAGGTCTTGCTGGCTGCTTTCCATATGATTTATCTTTTACTTTGAAAAAAAACTGAGTCAACATGAGATTAAAGATTGTATTTGTGCCAAGCTTCCATTATCTCAAGTACACTACACAGACTTTTTTTCTTGAACAGCTAACGATCCTTATCACCCATTTAATGAAACGAGGTCCAAAAAATGACGATTGTTCCTAAGTCACAAGTCAAATAATTCTTTATTTTGATATTGCAGTATATTTGTAAAATACACTGATATAGTATTACAATACACTTTTTAACATGCTTATTTAAGCTATTTAAAGTAAAGAAAACAGGCCATGAAATGTCAACAGATATGTAATATGGTTTGTGGATAGAATTTTCAGACCCTGATGTTTTTGGCTTTAAAAAGGTTCCCAATTCTCATATCTGTGGTGACACCTTGAGGCAGATGAAAGAAAACATCAGAAATGTGATGAAATGTTTGACTTGGCTGTTTCAGCTGGCTTAGATCCCTCACTCATATTACATCCACTGGGAGACTAATATTTAGGGGTTGAGAGCCGGCAAACTGAAAAACCTGAATCAGTTTAGAAACATTGAACTTTTCAAAAAATGATCATGAATTACATGTACATTAAATTAATAGTAGTAGAAAACTAAAAAGGGTGCCCTTAAACTGCACAAAGATAGCTGCTAACCGATTCTTGTGAAAACAGTGTTGAAGTGCATATCAGGGTTGTCCTAAAGTGACCAATTTCTTAGTTGTTTTAACTAAGTAGCCCAAAGTCAAGAAAACACTCAGAAAACATTAAAAACCCCTCAAGCATAATTAATTCAACACATCTAATCACAGGATCACAGGGTTTGTGAGTAAGACTTGGCTTCTATGAAATGCTGTTTAAACCCAATCATATGACTGTGACTCATGAGGAGATCCTCCTCCAGGTATTTTAACATTTGTTACATCCCTGTAAGAGAGCATTATTGGATTATGGTAGTAGCTATGATCTGAAGCTCCTGCCATGGCCCGGGCAGGTTGGACACAACAGACAGTATGACTAGCATTCAGGGCCAGCATTTATACAAGCATACAACACTGTTAAAAACACACACATATTCCCAGTATATACAGTTGTTAAATGTTTTTGTAATTGAATTGGAGGATTTTTCTTTATTTCAGCCTTCCTCAAACATTACAACTTCTCACAACTCTAATACAAGAAGAGGATTTTTGTTTTCTCGAATGTATCTGACTGTTAAACAAAGATGTTTGAGCTGTAGTGCAAATTTTCCCTCCAGAGTCTTCAAACCAAAGCTGTGTGTTTTTCACCCCCACAAACAGACATTTGCTCTGTCAGTTCTTTCTGCTTACAGCTGAGTCCTGTTTTTGATTATAAGTCTTGCTGCGTGAAGTGATGACTGTGAAAAAGGTGCCGTGGGACTTCCCGAAGAGTTCAATGCAGCACTCGAAACACAACTGGTGACAAGACAAACAACAGCTTTAGCAATCCTCACACTGCTGAAATAAGACATGAAACTGGAAGTCTGGCTGGTTCCTCTTTAAGATTTGTTGATTTTTTACTCGAGGTCACAGTCAAGCAAGCAAGTGGCTGTCTTCTGTTGTCAAGGATGTCACACTGTCTTTACTTCTCCAATGCACATCACTTTACCACAGTTTAAAGTTTTGGAGGAAAATACAACCTTTCAGAGGAAATATTGCATTTATTGTGTTATAATCCAAGGCTACCTTTCATTGTGGAATACTATTCAGATGTTCCATGACAAAATTTGGTCAGTTAATCAACAAAATCAGTGAGATTTATACTCTAATCATCCTCCAGACATCTTTTTTTTACTTTTGTGACGATCCATCCAATAGTTATCCAGACAAGCCTGCTGCATAATAGACTTTGTTTCAACAGATCACAGCTGAAGACTCAAACATGATTTGTTTTTCTCTGCTTGCTGTGTTTCAGAGCAAGGACATTGGGATCCAGATGCATGAAGAGTTGGTGAAGGTGACAAATGAACTCTACACTGTAAGTAATTCACTTTCTCTCCCTTTGATTGATCTCTCACATCTTATCCCATCGCTGAGCTCATCCAGTTTTGTTTCTTTTCTCTTTGTCTTTCTGACAAGTTGTTATATGTTTTTTTGTTCATCATGTTTTCTCTCTGGTTCATGGACACAAAGAAATACTTGTTTGTTTAAAGGTACTTTAACTTTGAAGCTGTAAACTTGTCTTAGCGCTTAAAAATGTAGTCTTTGAAACTGGCCTTGACTTATTTATTCTGTGACCATTCATTTGAGGGTGGGATTTAAAAAACACTATCAGTGCAGGAGTTCGTCCAATACCTTTTTCCAAAAATGTCTCTTTTTGGTGTTAACAGCTTTGGCAAGTATGATACAAAAAAGACATTTTCATTATGTATTACACAATGTACTACAGCGGCATCTAAAATAACCAAAAAGTCTGATAAGAACTCAGAGAAACAAAGAAAAAAAAAACAAAAGACTGTAAAAAGGAAAATGTCAAGCTCCATTTACTTCAAATATTGGCATCAATATTTTCAATGTGTCTTATATTTTCTGTGCAGAGGCTGAGGTATAGTTGAGGTCTTGGCAGTGGTTGATTTGAAAGGTGAAAGGAAACACTTGAATGATGGCATGGAAAATCACATTTTTTACTCTGAGCTGAACAGTGTGTGGGCTCTGATCACTTTCACATCTGTGGTTCCATCAGCACAGGACCTGCTCAGTGGTCTCATAGCTAGCTGTCTTTGTTGTCTGTCTTTAAAGAGAAGGATAAATATCAATCTAATTGTATTATCTGCATATTGTTTGAATGGACGCATCACTTGTTTTTAGGTCACCTGTTCCAGCTCAGTTACTTTGTTGTGTCTGATATCAGACATAGACCGTATAAAACATGGTGTGGTCACTGTGTGGTTACTGGAGGGACATTTCAAAGTCTAATCCTGGTTGGTACATAAAACGCATAAAGATAGCTGCTAACCGATTCTTGTTTAAACAAAGTAGCCCAAAGGCAAGAAAACACTCAGAAAACATAAAAAAAAAACCTCAATCATAATTAATTCAACACATCTAATCACAGGATCACAGAGTTTGTGAGTAAGACTTGGATTCTATGAAATGCTGTTTTAAACCCAGTCATATGACTGTAACTCATGAGGAGATCCTCCTCCAGGTATTTTAACATTTGTTACATCCCTGTAATAGAGCATTATTGGATTATGGTAGTAGCTATGATCTGAAGCTACTGCCATGGCCCGGGCAGGTTGGACACAACAGACAGTATGACTAGCATTCAGGGCCAGCATTTATACAAGCATACAACACTGTTAAAAATTTTTCTTTATTTCAACCTTCCTCAAACATTACAACTTCTCACAACTCTAATACAAGAAGAGGATTTTTGTTTTCTCGAATGTATCTGACTGTTGAACAAAGATGTTTGAGCTGCAGTGCAAATTTTCCCTCCAGAGTCTTCAAACTAAAGCTGTGTGTTTTTCACCCTCACAAACAGACATTTGCTCTGTCAGTTCTTTCTGACAGGGACATTTTAAAGTCCAATCCTGGTTGGTACATGATCAATGAACTACACATCCCCAATCCTTGTTGAATAAAACAATTTGTTTTGAGATGCAGGGCTCTCAAGTGTCACATATTGAGCGTGACAGTCACTCTTTTGGGCCTTTTGTCCCGCACTCCTGCTACACATTGTATTTCTCACATTGAAAATATATACATTTCTCTTGCGCGCTGCTCTAGCTATGGCATTGGCAGGAATCGAGCACGTCTCCCATTAGAGCGCCTGTGCCAGTACCAGTACCGATTGGCTGTTTCTGATTGGCTATTGTGTGCGAATCAGAAACAGAAGCATGACTGTATCTGGGTAAATCTTAACGCAACAACCGATGAAAAAAATTCACTTCTGCTATAACCGGCAATCCCTCTAAGTTTTATTTAAAATAACATTGATAATAATATAAATGATATGAAAGACCCCCATTCCTGTAACCCCTGGTCTGCATTTAAATCTTGAGAGCCCTGGAAATGGGCTGCTTAATATGGGACAAAATGGGGATTCTTTGACTTTTGGAGCCAGCCTCAAGTGGACACTTGAGGAACTGCATTTTTATTATTTTTTTAATTAAAGCATCGGCTTCATTTTTAAACACTGTAATTTAGTGCTTGAGGTCAGCTCATGGTCAGACAGCCTCTCTTCTGTTACAAATCCTTATTTCTAGTTGGGTTTAAATGTTTTATATATTCTATTTTGATGAGAGAAAGGTAGCCCTCACCTAAAGTTTATAAGTTCTGAAAGTTTATGTTCTTTCCAGCGCCCACATAGCTCATAAAGCTTATTTTTGATGACTCTCAGCTGCTTCCCATATGTTGTAGTATAAAAATTCATCATATCTGCTAAATGGATGCATGGATTGATGTCTCTTCATGTAATTTATCAATACGTTGAATTAATTGTTGATATGACTCATACTCTGATGAAACAGAGGAGTGATTTAACTATGAGAACTAAGTATAGCATTACATAACAGTATTGCAGTATCAAAGAAAGCAGCATTTCTCCTTTTCTGATTGATATGTTAAAATGTGCTGTCATTTTATGTGTTTGCATCAGCCTGTACTATTTGTATTGTATATATTTACAATAGCTGTCCAGAGCTGAAGAACTGAATTGTTAATAATAGGATTTCCAGCAGGCAACCCTGCAGACAGTTGAGCGTATGTCAGGGATAAGGATGCACTGAGCTGGGTGAGGCTTAGTGCCTGAAACTGGACGAGCTCCAGGCAACTTCAGCAGTCTCTTGCCCCCCGAGGTGAAACAGAGGAGATGGCAGAGCTGCCTAACTCTGTATGACTAATTCATCTGTGCAATGTGATGAGAATCAAACTACCAGAGGGCAGCGCTGGCAGCTCTCCCTGATCCTACCATCTGTACATTTGGATGCTGAAGCAGACGGGTGTTACAGGGAGCTTGTGAGAAAAAAAGGGCATATGTGTGTTAATAACATGCATATGCACTTTAAAAGGAATTTTATAATGTTCAAATGTCTCGATGGTTGAACCCAGGCTGAGCTGAAAGGAAAGGCAGGTATTATTATTGCCATTTCCTGTTTGATTTGAAATATCAGGGTGCATTCAGGGTCGCTGCAGACTTCAGAATCAAATCAGTCTTCTATGTTTTATATATATATATATATATATATATATATATATATATATATATATATATATACTGTAAGTGTCCTCCCTATTAAATAGAATCCTCATAAAACTAATAGGGCCCCTCTTCTCACACTCCACATTTCAGACCTGTAGCCTTTTTTTTTTCTTAAAAGTTGGCAAAGGATTGTGGTAGTTGTGCGAAACATTACAGCAAAGGAGGAAAGCATATTGCTGCATCGCCACCATCCTGTCTTATAAACGTAGTGATTTTATGCTTGTTGATAAACCACATACCTTTGCACATTCAGTATTTGTTTTCTCAATTCTCGCACATGATCCTTTATCTGCTTCATCTCTTTGCATTACTCCTTTAACTGTAAGTAGAGGACTGTCTAAGGGGAGGTGACTTGGCATCTTACAACAACAGGAGTTTCCCTCATTATCTTTGGAAAAGTTTGCCAGGCAGTCACCGGAGTACGAGACTACACAAAGAACTGGTCTGCTTTTATCCGTCTATCTGCCCCTCACCCAATAGTAACACTGTCTGCTGGAAGAAAATAAAGCACTGTTTTTCATGACTGCACCCCTGTTAGTATTGTATTGTACAGAAATAGCAAAATCAATAGCGCGGCCACATGGTGATAGCCTCGTGGTATTTTTTAACAGTTTTCTCTGGCTGCCAAAAAGGAAATTTAGCAGAAAGAAAGCTGTGAAATCCCGTTTGGCTCCCTGGCTGTGAAGTGAGAGTTCTGGGAGAGAGACTTTGTAAGAGTGCTAGCTTGTTGTTCAAATATTGTAGAAAGTATGATTCTGCAGCAAGAGTGTTGGAGAGAAAGAGAGCGAGAGAGAAAGAGAAAAAGAGAAGAGAAGAGAGTTCTTGTCTGTTCTTCCTGTGTCTGTGCCTCATCATTATAACCAAACTGGATGAAAAATAGGAGCAAAAGCCACATCCTGACATCACTCTCAGAGGCGTTTCTCTATAAAATTCAGCTTTTTATGATCGAACTTGTTTTAATTTCCTGCTACACTGACTTAATATCCTCACTGGGATCAATAAAGCTTATCTTATCCTCATCATTCACCACCTTGTGTCTGATGTCTGCTCTTCTGTCTCTTACACACATCTTAAGCTAACACTGAATAACTGGCTTTTGAGCCTGAGTTTTACTGACGATTTCATTCGTTCATTTTCATTTTTTAATTGATTTGCAGACTGTCATTCATAATTTTAGCTGCATATTTGTCTCATAGCTCAAGATGTGCACACTTAGTCAATCAAATAATTCAAGATTATCACCCTAAACAAACCTTTTTTCTACAAGAATTAGACCGACAATGCCTCCAGTGGTTTAGCTGGACTGAGATTCATCATAAGCCTTGTGACATAAGTTCTTTGGAGGAGATAAATCCTTATTTAACAATTACTTGTCATGCTTTTGTTTTGATATTTGTTTTTAGATTTCTGTACACTCAGAGAAATATTTAGGCCTCATTGCATATAAAATTCTCATCGACTGTGTTTGAGTGACTTAGATTTAACATAAACAGCGCAGGCCAATAAACTTTATGTGCTGCATATTTTTCAGTCAAGTGTAAATAAAACAATTAAGAATCAGATTTTTGTAACAATATCATATACTAATATAAGCCCAATGTGTTTTGAATAAATAGTGCCAGATTTATGTAATCATCATCGACAAATCCAATTTGTTTCTGTCTAAAAATATTTAACCAAATGAATCTTGGTTGATCCACAGGACTTAAATATTTAAACTCTATTCATACTATTAAACAGATAGTATGACAGTTATAATTTGAATGATGATGTGAATACTTAAAAATAAACTGTGCCATGATTTATTTTTCCGAGTGTATGCTATTGTAGTCAATTTGATAGATTAGCAATGAATTGTTTACAAAAGGCTTTATTCAGTTTCAACTGGATTTTTAGACAATGCTAAGCCATGCCAAAATGGTTGCTCAATTATTTCAGTTATCAGAGTGTTTTCATACTTTTAGATTAGTTGGATTTTAAGTTTCTAGTTAACCCGCTTAAAAAACAGGTGATGCTAGTCAACACATGTCAAATCCTCACAGCTGCTGCAAACTCTACAATCTAACGTTTAAATTTCATTATTTGAAAATGGTGACAAACTTTGATTTCTGTTGGATTATGATTTTTTAGTGAAAAGCTGGCATCTTATTAGTATGTGAAGTACATTTTCACCATGAAATGTTATTTATACTGTTAACTATTCTATGGAAATCATGGGAATTTTCCAAGAATAGTGAACGATGCGTTCTTTTTTGCAAAGCTTTTTCTTGTGAGACTGTTTCCCTTTGCTCATGCATCATCCACCATTTTAGCTAAAGATAAATGGGATTTCATCTGGATTTCATGAATAGGATTTCATCTGACAAGACTTGTTCTGTAGGAACAAACTTAAAATTTACATCTGCTCACTTATATTCTTGCCATGATAATAGGGTGGGCGATAAAAGGAAAAGTTACCAATATTCACAACAATAACCAACATCATTTTGCCCATATCTGTATATCTGGTGTCAAAAAAATACATAAATAAAATTTGGTTTTGGATGTGTGTAGGCTATTGTCTCATGTCCCTTTTAAGATGCTGTCCTATGTCAGAGACCTGACTCCACCCTATTCAGTCCATAACAAAGAGGGAAAGACAGGCGAGGAGATGGAGGACGGTTCAAAAGTTGTAGTGGCTGGAGTGGTGGCCAAAGTAGACAAAGTTAATGTTTGAGGGGGTGAGCAGCTAGCTGAGTAGTTATCGTCCATTTATCGTTATAGGGGTGAACTGCTCAATATATCATAATATTGATTTGAGGCCATATCGCCCAGCCCTACATGATAATCTATAAGACCCTCAGCAGGTTTTTTTGGTCATAAAGTAAAATATTGTTGTGGACAATAATAAGAAGTTTGATTTCTACAAATATCCTCAGCAGTTGTCAACGTTTTCATCTGCTGAATATTTTAGACACTCACTGAGTATGTTGTTTCTTTTCCCAGACTGGCTTTCATCATTAAAAGCTCCAGCCACACTCTCACCGTTTGGTTTCTCACAGCAGCTCACAGATTCAGCTCAGCAGTTAAATTGCTCTTGGCTGTTGTCTGTGTGGACTCAACTATACACACACCTACTGTAGACACAGCTGAAGCTCAGTCTTCCTGCAAATTACTGACGCCTTTAGCTGTAGGTGCTGGAGTCACATGGTTCAAAACTCGCTGGTAGCCTGTTTCCAGAGAAACTGTTTGACAGCCTGGAGAAGAAAAGACAGAAGAGGTTGCCTCATTCCTTTCTGTATTTTCACTCAGAGAATACACCAGTGGCTTTTATTCCATCTTTATAGACTTCAGGAGTTTGCCTCTCAGGTCTTAGTCACCCCTCTCTCTTTTATTCCATCAAAAACAAACAGAACCTTCCCGGGTGGAAGCCCCACTAAATATTACCATCAGGATTAGAGATCAGTAAAAGATTGTAGCTCAACTGACCAAACAGCAAACATGATTTTGATGAGCTGTGTTCAAAAACTTTAAAGGAACCCTGCTGCTCAGGCTCACTCCTGTGCAAGCATCATGTGCTTTACCACAGGAAACAAATAAACTGCTGTTTATGTCCACTGTTAAATATCCTGAGGTGTTCATAGAAAATCCTGGATGCCTGAGACGTTTGAAGATGCAGCTCACATATGGCTGTTCCTTTACGAGGCTCACGAATGAGGCTCCCATGAGGAGAAACCCTCTCTGTGAACATCTGGGACAAGTCTGGAAAGAACCAGGATGTTTCTGTCTTGTCTTACAAGGGTTTTCTGTCACTGCAGTCTTGTCATGACAGTGTTGGAATCACTTCAAAGAGAATCGTAACAGCGGAGAACAATCACTGCAGCCAAAAGAGATGAAAACGAACACCATCTGAGTGATGAAGATGTGCTACAGAACTAATGAAATGGTCTTGAAAAGCCACATTGAGACGGAGATAATGGGGCCAGTAAGATCTGATGACCACGAATGTACTACACCCAGACGTGTGCCCCTGGAGTGACATCTGTGTTACTGCTGCAGGCTAAAGAAGCTGAAATGAAATCACATTTTTGTGGGTATTAGCCTCAATATAATCACACTGCTCTGTGAGTCCATGTAAACACTAGGGGTGTCCCGATACAACTTTCTTTACTTATGATATGATACTGATATTGTAGCCTTCAGTACTGGCCACCACTGAAATTGATCCGCTACTGGCACAAACTTGTACATGGCAAGTTTTGCATTCAGCTGCAACGTCTTTTCCAGACTTAATCAAAAAAAAATATTGCCACACGGCCGACATCACTCCTACTCCTTGCTACTTTGTTAATACTTTAGTACACACTGTTGTTGTGATCACATGGGCTCTACATGCTGGATCTGGGTGCTGCTAGATAGAGGTGCTGGAGCAGAGTCTGGAATGGACTGTTTGTGTCAGAGTGCTGATATCGGAGATTTTAGATGCAGGCTGAAATAATCTGATATTCGTTTTTTGGCTGATATTGGACCGATATCCAATATCAATATTGGATCGGCACATCCCTAGTAAACACACCTCTGTGATGAGCATTGATGCAAATTTGGTGTAGGCTACATTTGTTGCATTGTTCTATTAAAATAGGTTTTCTTAATTTGCAGATTAATTGTCTAGTTTGTAAAGTGTGAAAGAATCAAAAAATATCAATTCATTGTCTAAAAGCAGGAAGTAATAAATGTTAAACAACTTTAGCTTTAGTTTTCTGCAAATCACTGATAATAAACCTTGCCATCCACTTCAAAGCAACTATCGTCCATCCATTTTCTCTTTTCATCATTAAGCTGATAAATCTGTTGAACATAGCTTGCAGCATTTACATCCTGTCTTTAAATCTTGTCAGTTTACCCTCTAAAAATGATTACAGATTTACTGTAAGATGTGTTGATGGTAAATCCTGGTAACAGCGGTCAGGTGGGAGGTTAAATATCTGTCATTCTCCTTCTGCAGGTGATGAAAACCTACCACATGTACCACACTGAGAGTATCAGTGCAGAGAGCAAGCTGAAGGATGCTGAGAAACAGGAGGAGAAGCAGTTCAGCAAGTCCGGAGATCTCAATGTGAACCTCCTGCGCCATGAGGACCGCCAGCCAAGGCGCAGTTTTGTCAGGAAAATAGAGAAGATGAAAGAGAAGGTGGGTGTGACAATGTTGTTGGTACACTTGATATATCTGAAGCTGCTGAATCTGAACTTTTTATGACGAAATATATTTAACAACCTTGTGTGAAGGGGTCACAGATTTAGTTTTATAGTGTAGCAATGTGTGGAGGTGGGACATATCCACAATGATGTGGCATCAAGTCGGGCACTATGATGAAAGCGGTCAAACATCATGTTAGGTAGGCCAGTCATTGCAATGTCTTTGCCAAATTTCATTTATATCCTTCACTTATATCCTGTCATGACTAGGAATAAGCATGACACTGAAGTGGCAAGCTAAAAATGAACTATTAATAACAAGCTAGCATCAGCAGAGTTATTGTAACATAACAACGTCTTATCCTCTCGAGCTCTCATGCTCAGATAATTTGCAGGCATGTACTAATAAATACTGGTGCAACGGATCACAACACTCACGGATCGGATCGTTCCTCGGATCAAGAGTCACGGATCGGATCATTTTTCGGATCAGCAAAAAGCAGTTTTGTCTGTATATTAAACACTTAAATGGTTGAATTAAAATATATAAAAGTAGTGCATACGGCATAATATCTTCTTTTCAACATAATTATTAATGAAAAACAACTTAAAGTGCAATATATAGGCATATCTCCTTCCTTTAAAATGTAACAATGAACCAAAAATGAAGTATGTGCGCGGTGGGATATTGTAACATGGCTCAAGCACTTTCAGCATGTTTTTAAAGCCCTCGTTTGCACAACTGAATATGGCCTCATGTCTGTAGCTATAAACACACCGATAGCGTTTGTGATAGCTTTAACCCGGTCGGATTGCGCAGGAAGAGGCTGCTTAAATGCTGCGGTGATGAGCGGTTGCTGGCCAGCTTTCGTTTTATCTCAGGTGTTATGACATAGAATGCACCCCTGCCGTAGAATGCACCCCCTGACGGGAGCGCGGTTTAAAGTACATAACGAGGCGAAATAATCCAAGTTTTTCTTACATTGGATGGATTCAAAAGCGTTTGCCTGTAATAATTTCATTCAGGCTATTCAAAGAAGCCAAAAACAACAGCCCTTGGAATATTGCTGTCCCGAAAATATAATGCTCTCTACCTGGACAGCTTTCTGTACAGTTTATACCCAAGTACACCTCTATATTTGCATTTTTGAGACACATAAAAAGAAAATGAAAGTTTGCTGCTCCATTTGACATGTTGTCATGATCTAATACTCGTGTTTCTTTAAATATGAGATCATTATCTCCACTTTAAGAAGCTAACGAGTGGAGGGGATGCAGGGGTGCGTTTTACGGCAGGGGTGCAGTCTACGGCACAACACCTGTCATTAAAACACCCAGGTGATGTTGCTTTCAAATGCGTGAACATGCTCGATGTGTTTCCACTGTCATATGGCTTTCTTATGCCACAGTGCCTACACACCTTTGCAGTTTTGTCCACTGACCTCTTTCCTTCCTCATCATAGTTGACAGGGAAGCCAAATTTTTTTTTTCAGAAATTGAACTGCGGGTAATGTGTGTGCCGAACCGATGACGTCGATCCGAACGGATCACGGATCAATGATGATCCGTTGCACCACTACTAATAAACAAGTGCACTGATAGCATCCAGGTTGTATTTTATTTTATTGATATAGAACTGGATACCCAAGCTTACATCAGAATACACTAATGTCTATATCTTTTCTACGGAGCCCGGGAGGTGACATAAATTTTTTTTTTTTTTTTTTTATTGGCATGTGTGATTTAGTATTTCGTAAGTGTGTTTTATTATATTGCAGATTTGATTTAACTGTTCGTTAATAAGCAAAATCACTTCCTACAAGTCCGAATATCGCCAACCGCAAAGTCGCTGTGCTTTAAGGATCCTGATGAGGTGTCCTCTACTCAAAACAATACCAAACGTGGCTAAGCTATAAAGTATCTCTTTGTTAGTCATACCAAAATAAAAGAAAATGTTGATTATATGCTCTCTGTGTATGACTCTGTCCTTCCTCTCTCACAAATGAGGCGCACGGAGGATTATTTACAAAAACGCATGCGAAGATACAAATAGAACGTACGTACCAGATACGTATAAAATCCAAGTTGGAGATACTAAATCGCATGTGTTAGACACTTAATTGCACGTGCGAATAAAAAAAAAAAAGTTCATGTCACTTTTCCAGGTTCTGTACTTTCCCCCCTAAAATATGTTCAATTTAAAAGTGATGACTCAGCACAAGTTACATCGTAGAAATACACACCAAAGCCATGTGATGTCAGTTTATGACAGCTCAGGTCATGAGATAAGGTCGCTCCTACTATTAGGTGCAGGCAAACTAAGCAGACACTCATGTAAACCCTTATGGATTTATCTTTATGGATAATACTTAAATGTTTTCCTGACTGGCTGTTATATTCAGGCTCTCATTGGCCATTAAATGACATAGTTTTCTTATTTAAGGCAATTTAGACCTTGAAATTTCCATTCACTGCTGTCATTTTATATAGACTGCTTTCACCCAAGAGTTAAAAGCTACATACCCAGATGATTGCTCAAGTCCAGTTTGAGTTTTGAGTCCTCACTGAGAATTTTCACCCAGTTCTGTTTTTTTTTTTTCCTCATCCGATGGAGTTTATATCATCTTGTAAAAAACTGTTTTAGTTTTCAGGCCTAAAAATATACTGAAGGGTTTTGTTTCAGTCACACAGGTGGCTGTTAATGTATAAACCTGTCATACTCCACCTGTCAAACAGCAAACAGGATCTATGTACAAATGTAGTGGTACAGTCAGCTGTTAGCATCAGATATTTCCCTCAGGACTCAGCAAACAGAGCTGACAAGGAATAAATATTAGAGTTTCATTCAGAGAGTCAAAAGTAGGACTCCAAACTGTTATGTTATATTTTGTTTAACTTTGTTTTTGAAGACTCACAAGACCTTAAAACCAGTACATCCAGTTTAAGAGGAGTCTGTGCTGGGTTTAAAGAAAATGTAAGTCTATATCACTACTAGAGCTAAAGCAGTCTTCTAGGCCAAGAATTGGACTATCTATCTATCTATTTTATGCAGATTTTTAGTTGTTTAAGAGTCCTCTCTGCCATCACTGGTGGACTGCTGGTCTCTGGAGCACACTAAACTTCTTATGCACTGATGTATGCTTTCGTCTGGATCTTATTCTGGAGTTCTTTCTGTGCAAATATCACACTCATTATTTCTTAGGTGAAAAGAATCAAAGACTGTCAGGGTGACAAGCAGCTCTCCCTCCTCAGAGTTGTTTCCTCAGAGATGCTGCTTGGCTTGGCTTGGGAGCTGAAACCGATTTATAACACGGCATGGCTGCCTCGTGCTGCCGAGCTTTTGCATCGTGACTCTGCTTACAAACAGTTCAGAAGAGGAAGAGGAAGAAGTAAAGTTAATCCCAGTGCAGAAATTTGCATTACAATAGGATTTATGAAAGTAGGAATAAACGGCTCATTTATATTGAAATGTGAAATGTGTCTGCTTTAGAGTTATGATGCTTTCGTTGTTGTGTCGACAGTAATGTTTTTTGAGCTTTCTGAAAAATGTTGCTGCCACAGTGAAACTACTTTGTCTATACTGACACTTTTTCCCCCCATATGTCATTCTGTCAGTGGAAAACACTATAATTCTGTCATTGTTCATCAGTGTTGTGTACAGTTGTTAGCATTTACCTGATTGCCCTGGAGACAGAGGCCCATACACAGCAAGTTAAACTAGTGTCATTTTAAACATGCAAATACTCTCAAACTTGTATTCTGTGTAAATAGTTTATATAAAGAGTAAATGATCATTGTGAGCGATGTCAAACAAACTCATCTTAACACCACCTTCAAGAAGGTACTAAAAGGGATATTCCAGTGTAAAATTAATTCAGGATCAAACATACCGTAACGCCGAGTTAGACACCCCCTCAAGAGATGACTCTAGTTAGACTAACTTTAGTAACGACCGCAGGATAGCAATACACAGTGGTCTGAGGAGCCATAAACAAACTTCAACCAAAACGCCACTCTATAGCCACAAATAATGCTCAGAACAGCACCTAACTTCATCAACAGAACATATAGGGTCCCAGCCATAGTACTAGCCACCAAACATCTTTTTTAACTTTGCCTAATTTCTTTAGCAAAGAGACTAAACACAACTCACCCACTCTCTTCCAGCAGCTACTTTTTTTGTAGTGAGACCTCAGGCCAGTCCATTACGGACTGCTGCAGGGTGACGCAGCTCAAGGACGAACATTTATGATCATTTCTTCATGGAAATTCAATCAGACCGAGACACTAAGGCTACTGAACTGCTGAGAACTACTGCGTCTGCAGTGCAAAATGATCAATATGGTGATTATTACTTCAAGGAAATGATAAAGAAATGATCATAAATGTTCTTCCTTGAGCTGTGTAATGGATTGGCCCTAGGTCACCACTCTGGAAGAGAGTAGGTGAGTTGTGTTTAGTCTCTTTGCTAGAGAAATCAGGCAAAGTTAAAAAGATGTTTGGTGGCTAATGCTGTGACTGTGACCCTATATGTACTGTTGATGAAGTTAGGTGCTGTTCTGAGCATTATTTGTAGCTATAGAGTGGCTTTTTGGTTGAGTTTGTGTGTGGCTCCTCAGACAGCATTGTGTATTGCTATTGTGCGGTCGTTACTAAAGTTGGTAAAACTAGAGAAGCAAGCAGTCAGCAACATTCATCTCTTGACGGGGTGTCTAACTCTGTGTTATGGTGTGTTTGACCCTAAATTAATTTTATGCCGGAATAACTCTGTAAAGCTGCTGTGAGCAACTTTAATTCGTGTTGATTCTGGTGCCCCCTGTGGACAAAGTGTTTCTTATGTCTTGTCCTGTATTTATGAAAACTGTATTTTCAGACAAAAAATCTCACCCTGTATGCAGGTTTGTTATGATCCATAAACAACTTCTCTGAGCTCTGTTAGCCCAAACTCTCCCTCCTCTCTCTCCCTCTTTTACTATGTTGTTCCTGAAGCTTGAGCTGACTGAGCCCCACACTCAACCCTTCCTACTGCTTGATTTCCCTGCACTAATGTGTTTTTCCTTCATGTACTCTGTCTCCTCTCTCCTCCCCAGAGGCAGGCCAAGTACTCAGAGAATAAGCTGAAATGCACAAAAGCACGGAACGACTATTTATTGAACCTGGCGGCAACAAATGCAGTCGTGGCAAAATATTACATCCATGACGTCTCTGATATGATTGATGTAAGTATGCGTATCAGGCACATGTGTGTTTGTTTACATCTCTCAGCTGGGATTTCTGGTGTTGGTTTAACTCTGCAGCACTGTCGCTTTTCTCACCATCTGTTCCTGTGCTGCGTTGACTCTCAGCCTGTTAGCTGTTTGTTTTCTAGCTGCTCTGTTGGCCCTGAAAAATGTATTTACTATCATTTTTTCATTATTCATCGCTGCATAACAAACCCAACACTGATGAATGTCGTTGAAAGGAGAACTGGTTAAATGATCTGTAGTATCCCAGAGCTACAGGAGGATATTCTTGACTGATGGTTTCAAGGGACTCCATCAGTGTTGTTGACAGAATGATTTGTGCTTGCTCTCTGCTTTCTTTGCTCTCTTACTCCTCCTCGGTCTTGTCCTAGTTCGCTGTTTTGTTGATGCTGTTTTTGTGAACTTTGCTGAGACAAACACAGCATGTCCTTGTCATGGTTTCGCCTCCAACTGTCATCTAGCAGATAAACATGACCAAAGACAAACTCATTCTTTCTAAAAGCAGCTAAAATTAAGTGAATAGTGTTCCCTTTTATTTACCTGCTATAATCATGATTTTAAATGCCCACTTAACCCACATTTAACACCTGAATATAAAGTGGTTTGAGTTTTCAACCACTGGCACTGCTGGGAAGTCTGATATCTGACGTGTGTTGAAAAGGAGGACTTTGTTTAGCGAACCACTAATGATTGGATCTCACTCAAAGTCAGCTGGTGAGCAGTGGCTCTGTTTATGCAGGCATGAATGTGGTTCATGTGGTTGGCAGAGGGGTCTCAGCTCTGTGTGACCCGCTACCAGTCACATAAACAGACACATTGGGTTAAATCTTCGTCAAAGTGATGAGTTAGTGATATGTTTTTTTGCCCTCTATATCCAACATTTTACTGTCTGATTTGTTCTTATATTTCACTTTGATGCAGTATACACTCTGAACTGGTTTATTAATTTTAGATCCTCAGTCAATGGATTTGAATTTCACAACCAGTGTAGTGTGGTTATAGTAGTTAGTGTTAAAGGGATGGTTCCTTTCTTTCATGCAGGGTTGTAAGAGTATTACCCACAAGAGATCCTGTTTGCTCAGCAACCTTTATCGACAAAACTGCCACACAGAGAACCCACACAGAAGCCAGGCTTTGAAAATGGAGCCATATTTACAAAGTAATCTGGCATATTTTAACAAAATTTGAACCAAAATGTAATGCAGGTGCGAGTTTATTACAAATAAAAGAAACTATGTGGGCTTTACTCTGCTGTCAGAAAGCCACTCTGTAACTGTTGTTACCAAGTCCCATTCATGGGGTAATCTGTTGGTCATCCATATCCCCTGTGGGTAAAACATATCTGATATTAGGTACCTCATACAAACCCACTTAAATAAATATATCTGAATACCTTTATTGGTTGTAGTAGCTAATTATGTGCCTTTCCAAAATTGTATTTTGTGTGCTTTTATTTCTGAGCTTTTGAAATGTAGCTTAATGTATTCACTTTTTTGTTCTGAGTAAAGACTGAGGTTTAATTTCTCTCATAAATTCATGTTTTATTGCTCAGTGACTGAGTTTACATACCATCTGGTTTGGTGGCTGAATATGCTTAAAAATATATTCAACTAAAACAATCACTTTAAAATGAGATTTCTGTCTCTGGAGCTAGTACACCAGCTCTGCTCTGCTGCTTCTCTCCATACTGACGGTCTAGTTGTCACATTTTTGCTCAGGGCCAAACCACCACACAACCTATGATTAGTCTCAATGAGAGATGCACATTCCCTTGTCAGACATGATAAGGTTTGATCCGATGAGATTCCTGTAATATCATTTTTGGTTTATGATTTAAAAAATGCAGTTAAATCTGCATGAATTGTAAATCTCTTACTATATGTTAAGTGACACTGATATGTTGATGGTAGCTGTACATAATGAAAACCACTTTCACTGTCATGACTCTTCGCACCCCTTTGCTGGACAGCTTTGAAGGATCCAGTGTTTTCAGTCTGAAAGGTCCCTGTCAGATCAGATCCTGCTGAGCCGTGGAGACTGGGGTTGTGAGCATGATCGGTTTGGCCACCACAAGGAGGCAAGGGGAGGGAAAAGGGTCTGTTTGTCATGTCAGAGTCACTGCACAGCACACATTATACTAGACCTTCAAGCACAGACAAGTCAGCTCTGTTGGTCAGTGAATAGCAACTGTTGGGAATGTTATTAAATCTACAGTGTTGGGTTTATTCCTCCACTTCACTGGACTAAAACGGATAAAGAAAGTGATGAATGTGAAAAGCTTTTACATAAAAGAGAAAAGACTTCGTGATGTGTAAACCAGAGAGAAGTGAGTTAAAACATACAGCAATAAAATTAAAATTAAAAATGTATATTTCTGTTGAAATTAGTTTTTTTTACGATGGAGTATTAGGGCCACATAAAAAAAAAGAAAATGAAGATTTCGAGATTAAAGTTGTTAACTTACAGAATAAAGTCATTACTAACGAGAATAAGGTCGTGACAAAATCATCACTTACGAGAATAAAGTCCCTATATTCTAAGCTGTTGTTTAAGATGACAGATGTTGAAATGAGAGCCATGGAGCATTTCGTGAAAATATACTTCAATATGGGTTTCTCAAACAAGGAGACACTTACTCTTCTGGCACATCAGCACCACATTATCATAAGTACCATAATGATTTTATTACAACTTCATTCTCGTAAGTAATAATTTTATTATGACTTTATTCTCGTAAGTAATTACTTTATTCTCATAAATTAATAAATTAACAACTTAAATCTCGAAGTCTTTATATTTTTTTCTTGATGTGGCCCTAATACTCTGTCGTAGTTTTTAGACTTGAGTATTATTTTATGGTGTAAATCCAAATAAAGCAATAGATGAAGCTCTTTTAGTGACGTATAAAAACATGGGAACCTTGACAAAAATGACCCTTTTGGCATATATTTACACAAAAGCCTCTTTCACATGTTGAGAATTTTTCAGAAGCTTCACCCCCAAAAGATTTAAAAAGTTGTTTGCTCACGTGTTTCTCTCACAGAAAAAGTCATCACTATTGCTTAAAGATGGTTGTTGTGGTGTGTGGAGTTCCACTTGATGTTTCACAAAACGACCAATCAATATAATAATGTATAGTAGTCATGTGTTGTGTGGTCTGTGTCATCTTGATAAGGATTGGCCTTTTTTCCACCTTTGATGATTTTCGTCATCTGCTATGTTCCTCTACTGTGTTTGCACTTGTCTCATGGTATAAACGTCATCACCCCTCCCTGCTTGCTCACAGTCAAGTCCATAAAGAGTTCCTGCTGCTTTCTTACAGTGAAATTTTTTTATTAGGGCTGCTAGGAAAAATTTTACACAAATAACAGCAAAAATCTCTCTGTTTGCATTCACACATCCCAACCAAAGAAGTTCTGTAAGGTTTGAGGACTTTTGTAAACGCACACCTACAGATTACATTTGAACATAAATAAAGCGGTTAGATTGAAAGTGCATGTACCTAATCTTCCTCCTCTATTTATCTGCTACTTCCAGCCTCTGCTACAGAAATTGGTGTTTCCTCACTTAGTTGGCTCATTTAAAATCAAGCTTCTTTTCTCCTTTAAGACTTCAGTCTACTGTGCCACTTTGACGGAGTGATGCAATAAAGCCTGTGCACCAAAGTGGAGAGGCCGCTCCCTCAGTGGTAAAGACCACTCAGGAGTGTTTACTTAGTGATTCACAGAGCTGTCAGATGCCTCCAGCTCCATTTAAAACCTCCTCACTATCATCCACTGCTTAATTAGGTTACTTCATGGCGCTCCATGTGATAAGGCTCTGTAATTATCTCTGCTGTCCTACTGTGCCAGCTCCTGTAATTCTCTGAACTCTACTGCTATTTTTGAAAGGTAATCTGTAGCAGGATGTAATTTTGGATTTAGTCCATTAAAGGAGTTGAAACATGGTAAGAAGAGCTAGAACTCAAAAAGATTACTTTTAAAACTTAGACTGAAGCACTCTTTCACATCCCCTGATAAACTTACGTAAGATTTGCTAGTTCTGCAAGCTTCCAGGGGTGTTACACCCCATGGTACTGAATGATGTAGGAGTATACTTAAGGGTGTGGTAGGTTTACTATGAAATCACTGTTAGGTGTGGTAATAAGTGTAAAAGAACATTTTTGACAAAGCCCATGAAAGATGCTTGTAAAATTATTTATGTGTTTTTCTATCTCAATAGTGCTGTGACCTTGGCTACCATGCTAGCTTGGCACGCACCCTCAGGACCTACCTATCTGCAGAGTACAACCTGGAAACATCACGCCACGAGGGACTGGATATCATCGAGAACGCGGTGGACAACCTTGATTCCCGCAGTGACAAGCACAAGATCATGGATATGCATAACCAGGTGTTCTGTCCTCCCATGCGCTTTGAGTACCTGCCACATATGGGAGACGAGGTGAGCTGCTTTAAATGCTGAGTTACTTTACAAAGTCACTCCTACAGCTCCAGGTGGATCCTGTGTTCTGCGTTCTAACCCCTTGTTTTTTCTCCTTAGGTGTGCCAAGTGAGCGCTCAGCAGCCAGTCCAGACTGAACTTCTGATGCGCTACCACCAACTGCAGTCTCGTTTAGCTACCCTAAAGATTGAGAATGAGGAGGTATGGATTTATGACTGGGTCTGTGCCTCCCTACACACACAACCTTCAGCCCCCCCCTCAAAACAGAAAGCTCTGTCTCATTTTGCCCTGAGCCAAGTAGGAGGGCCACATCACCATCTGTTCTTATTGCAATTACTCTCAGATGACCCCTGCTCGGTGGGGGGCAGAATATATTTAGATTGTCACAATGCCAGTGTTGTTCTCTGTATGGAGTTGTATTTGAAATTATCTCTTGGATGATAAAGAAAAGACTTTCACATTGAGAGGCACAGAAAGAGAGGTGCAAATGGAGGTGATAATAACCAGGTCCTTTTAGACTCTCTTGTGCCAATGGCTCCATCTATTGCCTGTCTGCCAATGTCATACAGAGTTAGACACCACCTCGAGACATGAATGTCACCGACCGCTTGCTTTTCTAGTTATACCAACTTTAGTAACAACCGCACAATAGCAATACAGAGAGCCACGCACTCAACCAAAACGCCACTCTATAGCCACAAATAATGCTCAGAACAGCACCTAACTTCATCAACAGTACATATAGGGTCCCAGCCAAGGTACTAGCCATCAAACATCTTTTTAACTGTGTCTGATTTCTTTAGCAAAGAGACTAAACACAATTCACCTACTCTCTTCCAGCAGCTGCTTGTTTGTAGGGAGACCTCTGGGCAGGTCCATTACCGACTGCTGCAGGGGGATGCAGCTCAAGGAAGAACATTTATGATCATTTCTTTATCATTTCCTTGAAGTAAAAATTATCATATTAATCATTTTGCACTGCAGATGCAGTAGTTCTTCTGCCTTAGCGTCTCGGTCTGATTGCATTTCCATGAAGAAATGATCATAAATGTTCTTCCTTGAGCTGCGTCACACCCTGTAGTCCGTAATGGACTGGCCCAAGATCTTGCTACAAACAAGCGGCTGCTGAAAGAGAGTTGGTGAGTTGTGTTTAGTTTCTTTGCTTAAGAAATAAGGCAAAATAAAAAGATGTTTGGTGGCTAGTACTATGGCTGGGACCCTATATGTACTGTTGGTGAAGTTAGGTGCTGTTCTGAGCATTATTTGTGGCTATAGAGTGGTGTTAGTTTGGGTGTGGCCCCCTAGACCGCTGGATATTGCTATTGTGTGGTCGTTACTAAAGTTGGTATAACTAGAGAAACAAGCGGTCGACAACATTCATCTCTCGAGGGGGTGTTTAACTCAGTGTTACGGTGTGTTTGACCCTGAATTAACTTAATGCCGGAATATCCCTTTAAAGGCGGCTTTGTGCAGGGCATCCTTAGCTTAATTATTGTTCATGGGTTGATTTGTCTTCAGCAAATTAGTCCTTCAAATGCATCCGTTTGCCTTTGACATGGTCTGCAGTTACCATGTTGTGATCAGTTAGATCTCTGTCATCATTTGTCCCTGTCTCTTTTGTATCTGCTCAGGTGAGAAAGACCTTGGATGCCACCATGCAAACCCTGCAGGACATGCTGACAGTGGAGGATTTTGACGTGTCGGATGCTTTCCAGCACAGCCGCTCCACTGAATCCATCAAATCTGTGGCCTCTGAGTCCTACATGAGCAAGATGAATGTAGCCAAGAGGAGGTCTAACCAACAGGAAACGGAAACATTCTACTTCACAGTGAGTTTGCGTCAGTTTTGATCTGTTAACAGCTCACGGTCTGCTGTGAACTTTGCTCTTCTGTCTTCAAAATTGAGCCATCAGTCATCACTTTCACATGCTCTGAATAAATAAATTAGACTACACTCCAGCAGATTGAATTTATGCTGATTAGTGCCACACTGAATTATTTGACCAGGCTCCTGTTACACTGGATTAGTGCTGCTGCTCGATCATTTGTTGCCTTTATTTCTCTATCCAGAAATTCAAGGAGTTCCTGAACGGCAGTAACCTCATCATTAAGCTGCAAGCCAAGCACGACCTACTGAAGCAGACACTGGGTGAAGGTAAGGGGTCGTTTCTCTTCATCTTTCTCCCGTGTCTGTGGAGTCTTTTACTGGCATGTGCCTGATCCAGTGTTTCCCCCTGTCATTATTAGCAACAGAATCCTGCTACAGCTCTGGTAAAATGCTGCCCTCTGGGTCATAGTGGTGCAGGTCTTCTCTAATGAGGTATGGGGGCAACAAAGACAGATTCTTTCAAGGAAGCAGGAAGGAAAGAGGAAATTCAAATGGGAATCTATCACACCAATAGCAGACCTTGTCTAATTTGAAGTATCCATTTCTTTTTCTGCTTAACCCATTTAGTCAAAGCCTTATCCGGTTAGTGTCTATATGTTATAGCCGCAGGGAGGGTTTCCATTTCCAAGCTGTGAGAGAAAGACTTTCCTTTGCCCCTCCCTCCCCCAGGGGTCCCCTTGTCACCTCAGCCGTGAACAGTTTACGCCCAATCAATCAGCAGGACCAGACCCAGGCCCATTTCTGCAGCTGCTCTTGCATCAGGGGTGCACCTAATAGAAAAAGATATCAGACAAGGACACCTGAGGCCCTGAAATAACATGCATATATCCAGATATTTCACCTTTGAGTTGTACTTAAAAATGTATTTTGTCCTGTCGCACCTCTTCGACCTGGAGCCATCCTGATGAATCTCCCAAAACACTCAGTCTTTGTTGTTTGTTTAATCCAGTGGACAAATGTGTTTATACGTCTTTAACAGAGCAGCTGATTGAATCTATGCATATGGCATGTGGTGCTTTCAAGTACCACCCATGTTTAATTATTTAGGTGATCAATCAGGGTTGTGTCGCCCTCATTAGCTTGCTGCTCCATACAGAAAATGCTGTGATTCTGTGTGTGTGTGTACGTAGGCACAGCATAGGGTACCAGATGAGACTTCTCTGCCACATGGTGTTAACCTCCCCTGCATGCATTAATAAAAACATAATATCCAGCTTTGGCAGCTGATAAGACGATACTTGGGTGTTTGCCAGCCTTTGTTAACCAGATTAAAAGTCACCAGTGTCTTTTGTTTTCTCACTTATTGGCTCACAGGAACATGGAATTGAATTTTTAGCACATGCTTGAGAAATTCATTTTCATTTTGAGGTCGGTTGGCCAGAGGTAGATGGGACCATCACTCAGAGGAATGATGTCTGTTGTTTCTTCACATGAATGCTCCAGAGAGCTCATCCCATCTGCCTGTATGATGTGTTGAGATATTGGTTAGCCTTTGCTCTTGCTGTCCATTGTTTGTTGGAGTAAAGAAATCATGTTGAAATGCTTTGGAGGCATTGCTGCAGTCCCTTTTGATTCATACACAAGGGAATGACAGACCAAAACAGTCTTATACTCAGCTCATAAAGTAAAAGTTGTGCGGTCTTTAACTTATCTGAAAAACCTGTCAATGTCAGTTTTACATCAGAATCAGAAATACTTTAATAATCCCCAGGGGGAAATTGCTTTTGTCACAGTACTCCAGTGCAAACACAGTAAAAGAGGAGATAAATAATAGATAAAATAAAAGATAAAGTAGATTAAATAAGTACAAATATAGAGATAAGATACAAGTATTTATACTATAAACAACACAACATGACTAAAAATGTACTGATTACTGTGGTATTCATGATTTCATCAGCTTTGGCATATTTAATCAAACACTATCTCTGAGATAGATGTTGCTCAGCCTATAGTCTTGCACTATGTGCGTATGTTGTTGGACAACTATAACAAAAGGCTCAGTGAGGCAGCACAGACATTGCTCAGTGTCACCATTGATTGACTCCCCCCCACCCAACATATACACCCAATAACCCCACCCCCTTTTCTTTGCTCCTAAAGGAGGTCTATAACCCCACAGGGTGCTCAGAGTCTGCTCAATAGCTTTTCCCAGTGAATGGTGCTAGCACTGCTGCATTCATGGCTCTCTCAATAGTCATGTTGTATCTATCAATGGTGGATGCTAGAGTCTGTATAATAAGTACCACAAAGATGTAACACGTCCCTGTTGTGTTTTTGTTTTCACAGGGGAACGGGCTGAGTGTGGAACTACAAGGTATGAAGTCCTCTGAGACTCCTGTTTTATTAGCCTTGTTGATAACTTTAAAGAGAATAATCTTTGTTTTGAAGAAGTAATTAAATGTTTTTGGTTTTTTTTCCCCAAGTCCCTGATTTAGATTCGCATTATTCCAACTGAGTTCAAATCAGAGGGGCCGGCTTTAATGATAAAAAGGTCTTTGATAAGACATCCTACTTTGTTTTTGTTCATTATGTTTGAAACTGTTTTACCTTTTTCTAAAATCAAAGAACATTTTGGATTTAACCCAAATCTACAATCACACAGCTTTGGCAAGCACTAAAGATAGTTTTACATTTATTTTGATCTCTATAACAGAAGAAGTCAATGTAAAGGCTGGCTGCTGCCCACTTATACCACAGTAATTCGAGGCAACTAGATATGTGAAAAATCACAACTTACATTAGCTTCCAAAGCGAATCTATTTGGTGACATTTATGGCCCATCATACGACATTTCCACTAAGCAGTCTTGTATGGACTGATATCTTTTAGGATGCAATAGTTTGCCTTTCCATGGTCAGGAGTTTAAATAACAGGTATGTACCATCTTTTTCTCTTGGCACCTCTCTGTTGGCATACCAAGAGTACTCATCAGGCCCTGATAGTTGAAGTAAAACACACTGTAATCTGCTGATCGAAGGAGAGGAAGGGAAAGAGATGGTACTTTATTATATCTCCCTCAACCTGATGTTATTTGACTAGTGACACTTAGTACCTCTGTGAATTTTGACTCAGGTTTATACACATTTTTATTCATATTAAAGATTGCTCTTGAGTGTTAGGGTTGGTCTTATTAGGAAACAATCTTGTTAAAATTGGGTGCTTTGTTTACTCACAGACACCAGCTTAGCAGTGAAAGCGGTGCAGAGATAACTGCAGACGAAAAGATCACAGTATAAGAAGTGTTTTCTGTCATCTGGTATTATTTAATAACAGACACAGTCACCTGCAGCCAGTAAGATTCATGATGACCAGTTTTACCACATATGCCGTGTGGAGAAAATTTGTGAGCTGTCTATTCTCTTGATTTTTGGCACATTTAGACACACCACTCATGCCGACAGTCTGAACAGTCCAATCTGTTAACGCGCATGCCAAATTGAATATCAAGCCATTCTGGAGCCATCACACAGCCAACATGCTTCCTGTTTGTAGAGCCCAAAGATACAGTTGGCTGTGGAAATGCAAGATCAGGATTTACCGTACCTGACTGTTTAGTGTGAAAGTACCATTTGGGTCCCATAAAGGGGCTGAGGGCCACACTGCAGAATCCCTGTCTTAAAATATTCAACATTTTACTCTGAAAGACTACATTATTATGACTCTATTACATTTTCTAAACATGTGCTTATTTTGAATTTTGTGTTTTTGTCCACCCCTCAGGCCCCCTACCCTTCCCCCTAAACCACAGAAAATGCGGAAGCCTAGGCCACGCTCGTTGTATAACCATAAGCTGTTTAATGGCAATATGGAGACCTTCATCAAGGTACCCTGTGGTAGTGGGGGTTTCAAACCAAGAGACGAAGGCAGCCTGAGCCTTCACTCTCATCCTCTTCCTCACTTTGGCCTTCTGTCTCTCCCTCTTCCAGCTGCCCGTCACGATGATATAACGCCTCTGTTTAACCTCTAATCCTCCTCCCCCTCCTCCTGCCAGTGGCTCTGCAGACAGAGCAGCAATCAGCTGTTCTTTCATTCATTTCCAGAACAATTTACCGTCTTAAGCTCTATTTTTGAATCTGGTCACTCTTTAGATGCCTGAGAGGCAGCAGACAGCACTGATTCTGTTTTGTCCCTCATTCCTCCTGACACTTTACTGCATCTCTGTAGCCTTTCTGTCACCAGTCCCTGTGCTGCTCAGCCTTCTTAAACCTCCAGAGGGGTAACTCATCACCTAAGCTTTTCTAACTCTTGGCTTCTCTGCTTTCTCTTCCTCTGCTGCTTTGTGCTTTGCTGCTCTCTTGTCCCAGAGGAAGAAGGAATGCCCGAACCCGCATTCAGGTACCTCTGTGTGCTGGAGAGTAGAGGCACTAAAACTTGTACCAGCTTCTGCCTGAGCTAAACTTTTATGCTGCCAGTTTCCACATTTTTTAATATAATGTTGTGCATCTCAAATTTCTAGTGATATATGTTGTAAAATATTTATAAGACATGAGTGTTAATATCATCCATATCTGTTTTAATGAACCATACCTGTGTGTTTGTTACTATGTAAAATGGAAGGCTAAGATATAATACAGACATATTATAATGCTACAGAATAGACTTTATATCAGATGCTGTGTTTTACTTATAGAAGTGTATTGCTACTTTGCCAGAATAAGAAAATGAATGTTATATAGGTGTAATGTTATAAGAGAAAAAGCTAATCATAGCTAAATATTTTCATGTTTAATAATAATTTTGCATTATCACAACATGTAAAAAAAGGTATAATGTTTAAACAAGAAACTATCATAACAATACTTCATATATCTTTTATATCTATGCTTGTGAGCCCTTAATCAGCTGCAGTGTTGTTGTTTTTTGGGAAAATAGTACGCGTGACGTTAGGGCTGGGCGATATGGGAAAAAGTTTATCAGAATATTTTTTTTTTCACATGAGTCGATATCAATATATATCACAATATAAAAAAGGAAATTTAACAGTGCTTATTGGTAGCATGTCTTTTGCAATACAATACACTACTGCATCTGTGAGGTCTTTGTGGCACTGCTGCAGGTATTAAAAATGATTTGACTTATTACCTCGACTTTACAAGAACATGTACTCAACATAATTTGCAGTACACATCACTCTGCTTCATGTCCGACCTCAAAAACCAAAATATCTCCACACCACCAATGTTTTGTGCCAGTGTTGTCGATGATGTCATCATCTGTTGAGCCTTCATCTGTATTTCTGCCGGGGGGAGCACTCATTTTATTTTCCCCCCCTTGGCAGTGCTGTCGGCTTCACGTGTTAAAGTGCTATAGTTGCATGTAGCTGCAGCCTGCTACTACGCAGTTGTTTGCTACTTGGTTCTAACTCAGCACATGATTGGCTCAGCGCGAAGCGGACCCGGAGCAACTCCCCTTTTCATTGGCTATTCGTATAGTCTACCAAAACACCGCAGAATGCCGACTGTCCAAAAGCATATTGACCATGTTTTAAATAGATATTGAGGGAAATTAATTTTCGATATGTATAATTATCGTGTTTTCGCCCGGCCCTATGTGACGTAAGTAAAGTGATTCACTTGTAGCTTTTGCTTTCACTGGGAGGTATTAACACACTTACTGAATCTTTTCGAAGTGTATTACTGTCTGCAATTATTTGTCTTGCCTTGTCTGTGTCTAATAGTATTTTACATCATGCCTTTGCAGGATTCAGGCCAACCAATCCCACTTGTTGTTGAAAGCTGTATCAGATACATCAATCTGTACGGTAAGACTTGTTGCTGTGACTGTAACTGCGTAGAGCAAGGGCAGACAAAGAGAAAATGATAGAATCCTCTGAAAACTCCTTCAGTCTCATGAAACGTGACAGCTGCTATTGTGTGAGGCAATTTATTTCCACAAATAGCAGCAGGTAGAGACTCTAACCTGCTCTGCTCTCCACCTCTGAGGCGCTCAGCTTTTCTCTGCTCTGCCTGCCACTGATTTGACAGGCTCATAACAATAGATCACACATGGAGAGTTCTGAAAGTCTATGTTCAGTCAGTCCGGCCGCCCTCCTGCTATAACTCCTCCCTGTCTACCTTCACATCTGTCTCTAGCTCGTTGCTGTAGCCTGCAGGCCTTTTCTTTGGGATCTGGACCTAATGAAACTCCAGAAAACTGATTAGGAGCCCTTTAACTAAAACCATATGCTGCAGCCTCACTGAAGGCTCTCTCACGGAAAAAAAACGTCTCCTTTTATGACTAGATTACATTTCCTGCCCTGTGTTATTTGTTTCCAGTGAGCTCCAAGTCAGCCTGCGTTGACATTCGGAGATAATGGCAGCTAGTGCATCTCCTCATATCAAAATTCTGTTTTGGTTTCTTTCAGGCCTGCAGCAGCAGGGCATATTTCGTGTGCCAGGATCACAAGTGGAAGTCAATGATATTAAAAATTCATTTGAAAGAGGTAAGTCAAAGATAGATGGCTTTAAATCTTCCCAAATAAAAAAAGATTGTGTAAACTTCATCTCGTGATTGTCTCTATTCAGGTGAAGATCCCTTGATTGACGACCAAAACGAGCATGATATCAACTCAGTAGCTGGGGTGCTCAAGCTGTACTTCAGAGGACTGGAGAACCCTCTCTTCCCAAAAGAGCGCTTCCTGGACTTTATCTCCACTATCAGTAAGTCACGCAACAGCGTTTGTGAGTAGACTGGCCAATTAGAAAAGAGAAAACACACCTTACAATCTAGTGGAAAAGCAGCCTTCCTCATGAAGAGAAAGACATGCAGGGCAGCACCTGGAAGCAATCTGCAGGGGAGCCGATACTTAACGGAAAGCCTGTAGGAAGAGAAGAGTATGGGCCACATCAGTGTGCCGTGTGTGAAGTCACCACAGAATAGTTTCTTGCTTTTTCTGCTGTATTAGTTTGATTTCTCGGCGCGCCCCAGGGCTTGGGTGAAAAGCAAACAGGGGGCATTTATCAAAGTGTCAGATAACAGCTTTCAGAATCTTACCTGCATTTGGCTCTCACACACAGTGATCAATTTTCTTTGCTGGGCTCTGGTTTGTATCCTATTTTAGTGCAGACCTAATGCCCATGAAGAAGGCTTTAAAATGTTTTACACTTTGTCTCTTGTTTGTGAAAGAGTGAATGGCTGTTTTAACACCGCTCTGTCTTTGTGTTCCAGAGCTAGAGTCTGAAGCTGAGAGGGCACATCACATCCAGCAGATTGTTGTGACTCTTCCACGCACCATTATCATCGTCATGAGATACCTTTTTGCTTTTCTCAATCAGTGAGTTTGCCGTGATTCACAGTACACTGTAAGCCATAGCTTTTTTGTTAATACAGAGGAGCATCCAGACATCAGTCATTTGTGGTGATCAGACCTTAAGCTTAACTTTTATTTGAATACAGGTCCATGTGGAGAAATCTAAGCTGTCATGTAAATCTAAGCTATCAGGTATAATAGAAACATCCAGGCTAGAAAAAATCTGCCTTCTCTTCATTGCTGCATCTGTCCGTGGTGTTTGGGAAGTTATTTATGGCCACGGAAACTCATACTTCACTGAAGTAGTATACCTGTCCTCTTCTAATGGATGTTATTAATGCTCCTTCTCCTGGGTTTGCCTCAAGAATTTAGATCTTGATTTCATACTCAGTTTTTTCTCCCCTTCTTTTCGACCCCCTTTAATGCTGGAGCTGTTCCACTCGTGGCTTTGATGCCTGGCTTTAGCCTGCTGATAATGTGCAGGCAATGATTATCACTTCCTCTTGCAGCTATGAATGATTTGATGTCTAAGAAGAGGTTCTGGTGTGCGCCGCTGAGTTGAATTGTTGAAGGGGTTGACTGATCGGAGTGCTTTTTAAGCAAATGTCTAACTAAGCTGTGCAATGAAGCATGTAATAGAGCCTGTCAAAACTGAAGTCAAGTGAGGTAACACTCTCAAAAGAGAGTGTTTCTGCTCCAGCTCCTTTTCAAGCTTGAAAGAATTGATATTTAAGAACCTTAAAGCAGCTATAATTGGTAATATTATACCAACAATGGACAATATAACCACTTTGTTTGAGAATAGTACTGGAAATAGTTGTTAACGCACAGAGATATTACCTGACTGTAGATGCATTTAGCTCTGGAAATATTAAAACACTTTCCAAGACAATATTTTGGTAACTTGAATGCAAGTTTTACTCAAAATTCTCAACAAAACAACAGAAAATTGACCCGATATAATCAATAACACCTATGATCAATAGGGAAGCAACAAACTGCTACTACTTAGACGTCTACTACAGTATTTTCCCGTAAAATAAACAGACAAAAATTAACTACACAACAACTTTACTATTATGTGTGTGTAATCAGACTTTTGTTTAAATCAGCTAATGTTGTTGTGTCCTACCCCTCAGTCTCTCCCAGTACAGTGATGAGAATATGATGGACTCCTACAACCTCGCAATCTGCTTCGGTCCAACCCTGATGCCCATCCCAGATGGACAGGACCCTGTCGCGTGCCAAGCTCACGTCAATGAGGTCATCAAGACCATCATCATTCACAACGAGGTCATCTTTCCCAGCCAGCGCGAGCTGGATGGCCCAGTTTATGAAAAGTGCATGACCGGAGGGGAGGAGTACTGGTTAGTACTGGTTGAACCAGACAGTAATTCTGTCAGCTCAGTAAAATTGCAGTATAAGGAAGGGGAAGTGTGTTTGTTGGTGTTCCTCAAACAAATGTCAATAACCTTCCAATATCCACACGTCAGTAACTTTTTTCCTCCCACAGTGACAGCCCACACAGTGAACCAGGAACTATAGATGAGGCTGATAATGGAACTGAACCACACACTAGTGATGAAGGTGAGCATACTGTATGGGACAATTTAAGCTTTGTTATTACCCAGATCAGTTTTAGTTTGGCATAAACTGTATGTAGAATGGACGCTGTCTGCCTCCTCGCTGGGCGCAGCCACCCCAAGAACAGCACCCTCTGTTGATGGGCTGCAGTATAGGTCATAAATCCTGCCTCCCCCAGCAATCCCTATGGAGCTGTGGACAAACTTTAGAAATTAATTACACAGAATATGAATTTTTCTCCCCCTAGTTGCGATGTGAAACATAGTTACAGTAAGACTAGTTCGTGCTCAAGTCCTCTTTTTTTCTGTGCAGCTCCATTTTTAAAAGTTATTTGGGGGTTCGTGTTTTCTATGATTGACACCTGATACAGCCTATGGGCGTACAAGGATTGTGTGGCTCACCCGGGGGATACGCTGTTTAAGCCAAGCGTCATCACAGTGACTCTCAGCGACTCTCCTGCTGAATTCACACAACGCTACTGCGCAATGTTGGTTTCAGGAAGTGGAGAAAAATCATGGAATTACTGAGAGCCTTTTGGCTTCAAATCTGTACACTGGTGGAAGGCAGAACCAAGTTGTCCATAGTATATTCAGTCTGTGTAGTTTGGTAACAGTTCAAAGACGAGGTTTGAAATCAAAGCCAGCACTGTAAAAAGAACAGACAGTTGTCTACATAAATACTTTAAGACATACGGAAAAGAACATTTTCTTTTATCAGGTATCAGAGACATCAGGGAGTGTGATCTCATTGTTGTCCATGCAAACCCATGCATGGACGACATGAACTATTTTTACCATAATCATGCAACCCTACTGTTTACCATTGTCTATATTTGTAGATGTATTTTTTCTGGTCTAGTACTGCTGTAGTATCAAAGAGAGGTGTTGAGCAATATTGTGTTTGTTGTTACTGTTACTCACCTTGTGAGTATTGTAGTTTTTGGAAGGCATTGTGGATATCAAAAGTGTACATACATACAAAGCAACCTTTTTTCATTAAGCGCTTTGACCGAGAGGTGAGTGAGATTTGTGATGCTGTTGCTCATGACTGCAAAAGGCTTATGTGATGTTTGAGGCTGAAGGCAAGTTGAGTAAACAGTGTTGGCATGCAGCAGTGCCTCTTTGATCCTGCAGTCTGTAGTGTGTATTTTTGTGTATTTGTATTTATATGTGTGTGTTTGTGTGAGTCTCTCTCTCTCTCTCCCTCCTCCCTTGCTTGCTCTTTGTTCAGTGTTAGTCAGCAGTTCTCCTGGGACTTTCTCCTTTGTGCCGTATTTCCCCAATTCTCTTCTGAGCTTTGAATACACAAGTGGGTCATGCTCCAAAGCTAAAACACAGATAAAACACGATAGAATAGCGTGTCAGTGAAGAGTTCGCAGACAGAAGTGTGGAGTGCCAAATCAGACTAGAACCTCAGTCATCTTTGCTGTTGAATGTGTTTGTAATAATAATTGCTCCCTTTCTGTTCTTTGACTTGGAAAAGACAACAAAGGTGGATTGATTGTTGGAGGTTCTGCTCCAGACTGAAAGCCTACACCAAAATAATTGTACTGTTCTTGTAAAAAAAAGAAACAATTTGCTGTCTTTTTAAGAACAAAGCAATCCTGCCATGTGACAAGGTCCCTTTCCAATCATTAAAGTTATATTTATCTCTCATCTGCATTCACCGCAACTGTTCCTCTGATTGATTTTAACTATACAGTGAACTCTGGCTGACCCCTGCTGGCTGTTCTGGTCAAATACACTCACACAAGACAAGGACACTTTCAACAACACAACATTTCCATTATCAAGCCAAAAAGGATTTAAAATATGCACTAGGTTGTAGCTATGATGCTTATTCAGCATATGTCAAATGAAAGCACTGGTTCAAAGTGTTCTTTCTAAAAAAAAAAAAAAAAAAAGATTTTACAAGAATGTTACTAATCAAGAAAATAAAACATATTGATGATTGCTCTTTTGTTAATTTTCCTTGTTTTTTCATCCTTTCAGAGGTGGAGCAGATCGAGGCCATTGCTAAGTTTGACTATGTGGGTCGCACTCCCAGAGAGCTGTCCTTTAAGAAGGGAGCGTCTCTGCTCCTGTACCACAGAGCGTCTGAAGACTGGTGGGAAGGACGCCACAATGGCGTGGATGGCCTTATCCCGCATCAGTACATTGTAGTGCAAGACCTGTGAGTATAATTAATGTACGCTTTAGGTGCTGTTGTTGATGCTCCTGCATGTGTCAGGGATGTCTGTCTGTCCTCTTCTCCTTCACTTTTTCACAAACTGACCTCAGGATGAAGTAATTTAATTTTGCTAAGAAAAGGTCAAGTAAGCTGTCCCGTTCTCGTGAGCACAACATTTTAAAAGTTTAGCTTACACCCACTCAAGTAATATTAGATGATCTGAAGGTCATCGCAGAAGATTATACTCCATTCTGACAAATACACAGAGTATTCACAATTTCCCATTAATGAAGCTTTGTGTTAGTGCAGGCAGGACATGTACGTCATGCACCTCATCTGTATTCATCCAAAAGCCTGCTGGTTGAATTCCATCTTGTAACCTGCTTCACATTAATCACCACATATTCACACTGAGGTAGTCCCTGTGAATGGGACTTCTGTCTCACCATCCCTGCCACACCAGAGCTGCATCTTTTCTGTCTGAAGCCTTTGGTCGATCTGTAGCCCAGGGCTGTGTACAGTGCCCAGCGTAAGTCAGTACACCCCCTATGAAAAGTAATGTATTACTCAATATCTAGATGAGCAAAAGTACAATTTCCAAAGTTTTGACAAAGCTGAGTTTTATAATAAGCGTAATATGGTAACTAAAATGTATCTTTGCTCCAGGAACTTTGATTGGGGTGTACTTATTCTTGAATGCTGATTTTAAACTGAAAAAAAAAACAAAAACTTTTTTGTATGCAACTTAAATCTTTTTTTGCAATCAATGGCCTACATTTGGGGAAGTATTTTGTTGTATAGTCTGACATAGAAAATGTTGATTTTGAAAGGAAACTAAAGGTTTTCTGACAACTCAAGGGGTTTACTCATTTATGCTGAGCACTGTATAACCTATGCATGCACAACACATACAATATCACTTTATCTCTGCGCTGGTTTGCCAACAGAGCTGTCAATCACAACGTCACATCTCCTTTTTTAAATCAAATATGAAATTAAAACTAAAGTTATTAGAGAGACTAACTCTGCAGCATAAATCAGTGTGATAAAACTAAACTATAACAAAGAAAATCATGTTTGAGAAAAGTTTGTTTAACATGTATTTGAAATTAATGACAGTATTACACTAAAGCCTCACATTGGATCAGAAAATGCTTTTCACCATTTGAATGAATGGCCATAGATATGCTCTGTATATTGTATGTGCGTACTTGTGTGTTTGCTCCATCAAGCACGAGTGTCTTCTGCTCTTTCAGGGATGATGCTTTCTCTGATAACCTCAGTCAGAAAGCAGACAGTGAAGCCAGCAGTGGACCATTACTGGATGATAAAGGTTCATCCAAAAATGATGCTCCATCACCATGTGAACCATCACCTGACTACAACTTTGGAGGGGTCATGGGGAGGTAGACACCAGAATAGCTTTACCAACTTTTTTTTTTTTTTCTGTTAAGAGACTTATTTCTCAATTATTGTCACGATCCGCTCTTTGTCTACAGGGTAAGATTAAGGTCTGATGGGGCTGCAATCCCACGTCATAGAGGTAATACAGACACCCACAGCCCCACTCGAGTTGCTGACACTCCTCCACGAGCTGCAGCCTGCCCCAGCAGCCCCCATAAGGTGTCCATCAACAAAGCCCGCATCGAGAGCCCAGAAAAGAGACGTCTTGGCACATTTGGTAGTGCAGGAAGCATCAACTATCCAGACAGAAAGGCGTATCCTGAGGGCCACCCTTTGAGGCCGGTGCCAGGGGCCACTCGACACAGCAGCCTCGGGGACCACAAATCACTGGAGACTGAAGCTCTGGCTGAGGTAAAGGTGGGAAATGTTAGCTAGAGGCACAAGTGTTTAGAAAATGTACAAAACAAACTGGTACAATTTGATTACGTACATATCTGCTCGGCTGCTTTGTGGTCCCAGAACCAGACTTGATATATGAAGTGTCACGTAATTATAGGACATAAATTGATTGGAAAAGATTGGCGGAACAGAGCCAGGCCCCCTGATGTGGCTGTCAGTCTGAGAGCAGCAGCTGGGACTTAGAGTAAATGTCAGAGTTAGACTGCAGCTGTGTGATGGACGCACACCTCAAGGACACAGAGGGCTGGAGATGAATAACAAGCCGAGGAGCGCTGAAACAAACAGTTTTCATTGGTTAATAGCTGCAGCAGTGGGATCCGAACCCAATCAATAACAAAATGTTCTATGTGCAAAAGAACTTGACTAGAACTGAACATTAATTTTTAAAATGCCATACAAGTAGACTGGAATTTTTTATCAGGCCCAGTCAGGCATTTTTTTCAGGATTTCAGGACCGTGTCCTAACATTATGATGCTGAGTTAGCGAGCTTTAATGATGTATGTCTTACAGAGGTTATTGGGATCTGCAGCTTACATTGTTGGATAATGAAAGGGGAATTAACGAAACTTAAATGTGGAAAAAGTCATCTTGCTGACAATAGTCAATAATAATGTTACAGGCACATTGGGTGGAGATAAAGAGCATAAAAGAGTGATCCCAAACCACTTTTTTCAGAGTGTTGTCCTTACTGAAAGGGATATTCCAAACGCATATAACAATACAGAGAGCCACGCGCTCAACCAAAACACCACTCTATAGCCACAAATAATGCTCAGAACAGCACCTAACTTCATCAACAGTACATATAGGGTCCCAGCCATAGTGCTAGCCACCAAACATCTTTTTAACTTTGCCTAATTTCTTTAGCAAAGAGACTAAACACAACTCACCTACTCTCTTCCAACAGCAGCTTGTTTGTAGGGAGACCTCTGGGCAGGTCCATTGACTGCAGCGGGGTGACGCAGCTTAAGGAAGAACATTTATGATCATTTCTTTATCATTTCCTTGAAGTAATAATCATCATATTAATCATTTTGCACTGCAGATGCGGTAGTTCTTCTGCCTTAGTGTCTCAGTCTGATTGCATTTCCATGAAGAAATGATCATAAATGTTCTTCTGTGAGCTGCGTCCCTGCGCTGCAGTTGATGGACTCACCTGGAGGTTTCCGTACAAACAAGCGGCTGCTGGAAGAGAGTGGGTGAGTTGTGTTTAGTCTCTTTGCTAAAGAAATTAGGCAAAGTTAAAAAGATGTTTGGTGGCTAGTACTAGGGCTGGGACCCTATATGTACTGTTGATGAAGTTAGGTGCTGTTCTGAGCATTATTTGTGGTTATAGAGTGGCGTTTTGGTTGAGCGCGTGGCTCTCTGTATTGCTATCCTGCGGTCGTTACTAAAGTTGGTATAACTAGAAAAGCAAGCGGCAACATTCATCTCTTGAGGGTGTGTCTAACTCGGTGTTAAAGTGTGATTGACCCTAAATTAATTTTACGCCACAATATCCCTTTAAGTTTGTTTTCATTCTGCACTATTGTGAACAAGGGAAAGGAAATTCACGTTTTTCTTTGAGTCTTGAATGAACATTTTCAAATGTTTATCAAACAGATGTCACTGATGTGTCTTTGTCACCTTTATCCCAATTCTTCCAGGACATAGAAAAGACCATGACCACAGCCCTCCATGAGCTTCGTGAGCTGGAACGACAGAACACAGTGAAACAGGCTCCTGATGTGGTCTTGGACACTTTGGAGCCCATGAAGAACCCTGTCAGCTCAGAGCCCGGCAGTCCTCTGCACACCATCATGATCCGCGACCCAGACGCAGCCATGCGCCGCAGCAGCAGCTCCACCTCAGAAATGATGACCACCTTCAAGCCCGCCCTGTCCGCTCGCCTGGCTGGGGCTCAGCTACGCCCTCCACCCATGAGGCCGGTGCGCCCTCCTCCCACCCAGCACCGCTCCAGCAGCTCTAGTTCTTCAGGGGTCGGCAGTCCTGCTGTAACTCCCACAGAGAAGATGTTTCCGAGTAACAACACAGCTGCTGGTTCTAATATAAACACATCCGGGGATGCTGGTGATAAATCTGGTACCATGTAGCGAAGGTGGAATCTGAAAGTTGGGAAGGTTTTAAAACTTTCTGCATGAGGGGAAAGCTTATGGACAGAGCGCTGATGTGAAAAAGGAGATAGCACTTCCCTCTGTGTTCTGCTTCACTTCTTCACATGTATTCAGGAAGCTCTTAAAGCAAGTATATAGTGTGTTACTTAAGTGATAAAACGGTGCAAGAAGCTGCAGAGGCGCGATAGTGTAAAGCTTGTAGAAACTTGATTCAGCTGCAGAGTGTCCAAGCACACATGTGTTTCAGTTTTACCTCAGTTACATAGATAACAGTGAATGCAAGTGAAGCAATACTTGTGTGAAATCTGGTTTCCACTCAGCAGACGTCGTCCAGCTACATTTGAGTCCCTCCTGGTGATGAGTACAAAATAATATCTGGATGGGCGTGTGCAAGCATTCAGGAAATATACCGTGTCTGTCTGCCATTTTGGTAACAGCCCAATGACTGTACATACAATCTTACTTGAAGTCACCATAAGTTCTTTTTGTACAATAATACATTGGATGTTCATCAAAGTAACAACTATGGGACATTATATTCTTCTGCATGCAGTGTTTGGGGGTGAAAAGGGAAAAAATCAAACCTTACATCATTAAGAAATTTGGAATTGAATTTTAGATATTCAGATATTTGACAGTATTATTCTTAAAATCATCAACATAAGAGGCTTATGGTAGCATTAACATTTTCCCTCAAGTGCGCTGCAAAAAGAAAATTAGCATGATCACTGAAAACTTGAACATTGCTGATCAGGACTTTACAAAACATGTCATGCTCAGTAGGACAGGACTCTGTGTGTGTCCTTGTATGTCCCTCAAAATAATGCAGAAAAATAATACACCAATATGGAAACCTGTGGTAAACTTGTAAATAGTATATAGCTAGTTCTTTTTTAGTGTTAATTTTGTACAGTAAAGAAGAAGTAAAAGGGATGACTGTGGAAGTAATTTGAGAACAAAGACGTCTTTTATCATCTTCAGTAAACTGCAAGAATGTTCTGTAGGAAAAAGAGTTCAAATGATCTAACTTGTTCTGTGTGCTTAAAATGCATTTGGGAAAAATAATAGAGGATTGGACCGCTGATAGGCAGACAACGAAGACAGATTTTTTTTTGCATCATGTTTTTACCACATAAATTTCTCGGTCAGATTTGAAGCTGGGACTGTTGCCTCTTCAAGTCTTGCCTGGGGGATTTTATTGCAAACGAGACATTGAATTGTAACATTTCATAGGTCTTCTTTCAAATGTAAAATGTGACGCGTACCCAGAGGAACCCAAGAAGCAAATGTGAAACATCCTCTTCTCACGTCTGTCCTCTAGCTTCCCACCTTTTTTTTTCCTTACCCATGTTGATTGACTCAGTTACGCTCTGATTGCAGACTTTTTTCATCGGAAGAAAACTTCAAAGAAAACATTTCAGTGCTTTGATTAACTTTTACCTCTCTTATCATTCTGACAGCTCTGATCCAGAGACCGTGTTATTCGCATCCCAAAGAGCTTGCTCTTTTCTGCATGTTTTGCGCTATAGCGCCTGACTCATCCTCTGGGGCAGTTCATGGCTGTATGCGGTGCCTTGCCTTGGTGAAACGCACAAGGAATTGCAATTATGGATGTTTTTTTTTTATTTTCCTTGAGAAACAGGCCTTAAAATTAACAGGGATCGGGAATGATAATTTCTGCTGTTTGCTGCAGTTACTTAAATACAAGGACTGAAAGAGAAAAATGCTAGATAGAACTAAAGGTACCTACATATTAGCATGTAAAGCAAGCTCTAATTCCACTTTTAGCTCTGCAGCAATAATCAGATACAAAATGTAAGCTGAAAATAACTGCTTCTCCCTCTATGGGTTATTTGTTACTGACAGATCTATAAATGTCCAGAATGGGAAGGGGGAATTAGAAAGAAAAGAAAGTTATGCAAAGAGGAAAACAGCATTTAAAATCATACAGTGCGCTTACACCCTCTGGTGGTTCTTGCTGGTATTGCCTCTTGATAACGTCACCTCGCGTAGGTATTACCAGTATGATCTTCAGCTCGTTTTACAATCACTGAGCTTATTCATATAGTTCTATTTGTCCGTCCTGTTTACAGTTTTGCACCAAGAAAGCACAGAATATCAAAAGGTGGACTTCTCATATTTAACTAACTAGACTGTTTTGGGGTTTTTTTTGTAATTTATAGACACTTGTTTAAAGTGGTGCAGAAATTTTGAGTGCCTTTTGTGCACAACATCATTTTTATTGGACTTTTATATTTTAATTTTTTTTTTTTACTGTAATATTATTGTCTATTAGTTGTCATGTTTATTATAAACCAATGTTGCTTCTTTTAATCTTTACTTATTGCTACTTGTGGAAAACCATCATAAGGGAAACATAGTGTAAAGTTAATCCTCTGGTGAATTACGAAAGAAATCACCATTGAAAGCTTGTCTGTGCTTGAGTGGAACCTAAAGAAATAAAAGTAAACTACTGTATACATGATTTCTACTGGCAAAGAGCAGTAGAGTAACCTCATGATATTTTCTGTCATCTTTTTGTTCTCTGTGTGAAATGCCTGTGCTGTGGTTGAGCCGTAACTCTCGTACGTTGTTGCAGAAATGTTGGAAATGGCAGGACTCATGGACCCGCTACCTGTGGCGGTAATAAAGCACTTGATGCTCTCTTGTTTCCCCTACATGTGATGTGACATGGACATTTTCTCTCTATGCCGAAATGGGTAACACTGTTGGACAGAAGATTAGTATTCAAAGGAGACTTTACAGTGAGGGGTGGAGTGTGAGTAGTTGTCACGCTGTTAACCTTCTCTTTAGTTGTTTGTCTAGTGATGCTGTTTGTCGATGAGTGTCTGGATGTTTGAAACCCTGTGAAGTAATGTACACCATACCACTGACTGGTTGTTGAAAAACCTTGAGTCCAAATAAAACCATTATTGCTCTGTGAAGTATGATATTGTGCACTCCTTGTTTTTGGTGTTAGGGTCAAATCCAGCTCAAATCACAAATCAAATCACAGATTAAATCACTAATGGAAACATTTTACCTCTCTTTGACCTAATAGACCTTAACCGACTTATAATCACTATGAATACCTCTGAAACATAGTATCTGTTTGGAAATTAGCAACACAATTCATCCCTACTAACACATGTGCGGACTTGTGAGAAACAATTGAGACTAAATTTGACCTGCAGAAATGTCCTCACCAGGCTACTTCAATTATTACAATATTTAACCCCAATATCTCAGGTTGAAAATCATATAGCTTAAGGGCATCTCCTGGGTTTTGTCATTGCAATGCATTTCAATTTGATGACTGAGAAAAGAACAATAAAGTATGACTGACGTATATTTCAGTGTAAAACAATGGCTTTGGTAACAGGTTAGCTGTGGTCGGATAGTAGCTGATGCTAGCATTTGTGCACTTTCAGTTATCTAAATTAGCAAGGAAAAGTCTGAAACCTTGAAACTTTGATGGTTCACAGATGGATTGTAAAGGATTCATCAGATGAAATTTAAAAATGTAGGAATTTACCTCCAATTTCAGGCAGTTTTGGCCTGTGAAATTTAAAGGTACCATGTGGAACTTTCCATTTGTATCGATTCTGGCACCCCCTGTGGACATATTAGCTATTTCTTATCTAATTCTTGACTGTCAAATGTATAATTTATTATGAATGTTTTTGCAGGGAATTGTAAAGTAGTTGTCTCCACCGCTGCTTGGTTGATACCTACCCCCTCACAAGTTTCAGGCATTGAAAATTACTGTATTAAACTAATCAGTCTTGTTGCTTATAGTTTTGTTTGCTTGGTTATATCATGAAAAGTCATTAATATGAATTTCATTATTTCATTAATGTCAGAAAACTCCTCACAGGAATTTTGGCATTAGCAGTTGTAACCACGGATCAGTATCAATTATGTTATTAGGATTAAAATTTGATTAACCCTGGGATTAAAATTTCAATATTGTTGCATATAGTGAGAGAGGCAGTGAAAAAATGTTATTTTTGTTAATCTACTTTTTTATTACATGGCCATAAGTTTACTGCACCTGCATCCCAGAAAACTAGCCACCACATGTGAGGCTGAAATGAGCTTTATTTATGGGGCTTAACGTCATTGTATGAGAAAAATTTTAAGACTTATAAAAACTTAAAACAAGTAGACTGCAACAGGAGGACATACATAAAAATGGAAGTTGTGAAAGAGGTTTAATCTAAAACAGCTCAGTTAACATTTATAAACTATATTGAATAAAATAGCTCAGAGCGATGCAAAGAACACGTGGGAGAATATTGGTTCTTTTGATTGGTTATAAAATAGAATAAAGGAAGTAGGTAGCTCTATGAATGAACTCTCTAAAATTCTTAATGAAGATGAATGAAATGTCCAACATGCAGCAGAGCCTGTGGTTTACTGTGTGTCCACACGGGGGAGAAACTGCAGCAGTGACATTGTTGAATGAACAAGGTACTTACATGGAGAGCGTGTAGTCAGCCCTGTCTTAATAACTCTCCAAGGATTAGGAACCAGCGTGTTTGGTACACAGTGAACAGCGTTTTGCATAAACTAGGTGATTACATTTCCCTTTGAAATTGGCTTTCTAGTTCATTGGTCAGAGAGTGTTAAACCAGCATCCTCTCACTGACAGCATACACAAAATGTAATTTGTTCCACCTGAGAAACCACTGCTCCATAATAATGTGTCAAATAAGCAACCGTCTTCTTGTTTGTAATCATCCGGGAAGATTATAACTCTCAGCAAATAAAGATCAGCTGGAAGTGTGCTTATTAAGATTTGTAGATATGACACTGAAGTTATTTACAGAAGTGATCCGTTCCAAGGTTAGCAGTGGTTCAAGTTTAATGCTACAGATTTTCCTTTCAAAGCAGAGAATGGACACTCGGGAGGTGGGAAATACATGCAGCATATTTAACATTTAAGATGCCATTGTAATAAGAAGACATGTTTAGTTTCCCTTGTTACACTTCAACCTTGACGTGCCTGTTTACAGTTTACTTCTGCATTTCTATTCTGACTTTTGTGGCTCTACAGGACCAGTACAAGCATAGTCGTTTGCTTTAAGTCATGAAGAAACAGGGTGTGAAAGAAGTTGCAAATAGTCATAAATTATTTAGATTACTTGGAACATGGAAATTAGACCTAAAGAGCTGTCCACCAACAAACACGTCTAGTTTCAATGTGATGCCTCGGTGAATATAATGTACCTCGTTAGTCCAGAACAGATACCACAGCTGCGTTGAAAAATATGTTGCATCAAGCCTCTCCTGTGGCCTGATTCAGTTTATCTTCTATTATGATTAACATACAAACACAAGCAGACATCTCAATAACACATAATCTCTTTGTAACGGTCACAGCACAACAGAATTATTATGACTTCATGTTTAACCTTCGTCCTGTCTGCCCACAGCAACGCTGCATCACAATAATGAATGGTGAAGCAGTAATAGGGAAAGTAAATCCCCTGGAGAACCGATGATGAGCTGCAAATCATTCATTCATTCATCATCTGAATTGAATAATGTAAATGAATGGCTGTCATGTTCCTGTTCTCCAAGTGTTACTATCCTTTTTAAAGCAAAAACGGCTTTCTGTGCGCCTTAAGATAAGATTAAAAATCTATGTTTTACTTGAGACCGCACTATCTCAAGGCGCGATGACACATAAATACTGAAACTGAATTTTAAAGAGCTTTCGCTAAGTGAAAATAACTTGAAAAAGGATAGTACAGGCTTGTAATGACAGATGGTAGGCATTTAATCAATTCAGTGCATGCTCTCTGCAGCACATGTGTACACCAGAGTCCTGCCAATAATAAAAAGAAAAGAGAAAAAAAAAAAAAAACATGTTCAGTCAACCTTGAATTAGTTCAAAACGCTACAGAATAATAATGACAGAGAAAAAAAAAACAAACACACACAAGCTCTTTAATTTTTAATGCAAATGATCTGATCAACAAACAAAATGCTCAAATGTGATGGTTTATGCTTTACTTACTATGCATAAATGAATCTTTTCTGTTAATTTGATGGATTAATTTAGTGTTTTAATCTTACAAACATTTTTCTGCTGTGAAACAGACACTTTTATTGCCTTGGCCTAACAATTGGGTTAATTCTGTTCCATGTAGTCTTTTTATTTACTATCTTATTCTTTCAGTTATCTGATATTTTACTGATGCAATAATATGGCACATGCTACATGCTAACATGACAGATGCTTTTTACTTGAGAAACTAAAACAAAGAAACTCTAAAATATTAATTTCTGTTTGTTACATGTGCTCGTGATGGTATTTGTCTCTTGCTCTCTTTATTATCATGTATCTGAACCACAGAGTTCCTGTTCTATAGAGTCTTGGTCTCTCATACAAATCTAATACAAATCTCTCAGCCCAACCAACCTCAACTTCTTTCAGTGACTGGGCAGAGGATTGATGCCTTGCTCAAGGATACTCAGGCAGAACAAATATTTTCTGGATGGATCAAAGTAGGTCTCTCCAGCAGAGATAGATAGATAGATAGAGAGAGAGAGAGAGAAGAGAGAATAATGAGAGGTCGGGGGAGGAAGAGAGACCGGAGGAGAGCAAGATGTAGCTGGTAAGAGGAGACTGGAAAATTTTCTTTGAAAGTATAGGAACATGAAGCTTTTTCATCTTTCATTTTTTGCCAGGATCAGTGTGTCAGACAGGCGTCAGAGGGCTGCAGAAATCCCCATTATACTTAATACTTCATGCTGCTGGGCGATCAATAATTTTTCTTGATGCAACCTTATGAAAAATGTTGATCTCACTTTGAAATCAGGCATTCTATCAAATTTTCCTGATATTATTGAAACCAGGCTCATTGATATTTCCCTCAACCAGTGAATGGAAATGTTCCTCAACAATCAGCAGACATTTAAGTTCATAGCAGATGACTCTTAATTCTGTGACATCAACAGTTATACAGTATATGTCTTTGATGTGTCAACACATGGTGAGACACCTCAAAAGAGCATGCATAATATATTCGATCCAAAGAGGCAGTGCAAGTAAGCCTGCTTGTTCTCTCTGTGTACACATACTTACACAAATACCTGCATAAACGTGACACTTCACACACAAATTTACACACACAGTCAGTTTGCATCACTGCTGATATTAAATCCAAACAACCAACAATGGAACATACTGTCAACAGCCTACTGAACCGTGAGATGTTATTCATGCTTGTTGATTTTTCCATCTTGAAAAATTTTAGTCCTGGCCTCAGGTCAGTCCATTATGGACTGCTGAGGGGTGACATAAATGTTCTTCCTTGAGCTGCATCACCCCGCAGCAGTCCGTAGTGGACTGGCCTGAGGTCTCTCTACAGACAAGTGGCTGCTGGGAGAGAGTAGGTGAGTTGTGTTTAGTCTCTTTGCTAAAGAAATCAGGCAAAGTTAAAAAGATGTTTGATGGCTAGTTGATGAAGTTAGGTGCTGTTCTGAGCATTATTTGTGGCTATAGAGTGGCTTTTTGGTTGAGGTTTGTTTATGGCTCCTCGGACTGCTGTGTATTGCAATCATGAGGTCGTTACTAAAGTTGGTATAACTAGAGAAGCAAGCGGTCGGCAACATTCATCTTTCAAGGGGGTGTCTAACTCTGTGTTACGGTGTGTTTGACCCTAAATTAATTTTACGCCAGAATATCCCTTTCACTGTATATTAATTAATAATCAGAGTTTACCCCAGGTAGCTTACAAGTTGATGGCATTTTATTAAAAAAAAAAACATTAAAATAAAGTAAATACAGATGTTTGGTTACAAAGACAGAGATAACAGAACAAGTACAAACTTACATGTACCATTTACAGGAACAGCATAAAAATGAAAATAGACTGATATTAGTTTGATTTACGGAGTTTTTGAGCCAGCAGGTCTGTAGAAATAGCATAGTAGGGGT